GCTCGCGTCCCCCGAATTGCTTCCACCACCATTCTCTCCACCGACAGGCAGAATCAGGCAGGCTTCAAGTGCTGGGCGCACGTACAAGGATCTTGTCCGCTCCGTCCAGGATGTGCTAATAAAGAAAACGGAAGAATTTATGAGAGCTGTGAAGTCCCGGAACAGGCAAACAATGGGAGAAAGCAATGAGAATGGCGGGAACATGGAAAATCGAGCACGGAGACGGAGACGGGAATGTGAGCATAGTCGGGATCTGGACTCGATTGAGACGACAAGGAGTCCTCTGGTGCACAATTAGGTACACTGAAGTGTATTCAGGCGACGGTGTGCTGTGAAGCGTCTCGGAGAGCTCCGATCCCATTTTTGCCCCGAAAATCGTCAATTCGGGGCCATGTCTGATGTCAAATCCCCGAAATTCGGCCTCTTGGGACCTTCACCGGAACCCCGAAAATGGCCGAAATCGCCTCTTTGAGGGATCGGAGCTCTGGTGGGGTTCGCACCGGTCCTGCTACAAGTTCAGGCCCGTGGGAAGTTCGCAAACTGACCGGAGTCAGTTTCAACCATTTTCATGGTAAACTGGATTTTGGCGGGAGACAACACGGGAAATTAGGTTCAGTTCGGGCTGCCAGGGGACAGGGGACGAGAGCATACGCAATTCAACTTATTATCTCAACGCTGCGCGCGTGCATGCGGTGGACGTGGCGCATGGCATTGCAGTGAGAAGATATCTACATATGTTTTCTCGTACAGCGGCCGTGGCCCCATGGTTAAACCCAAATTCACTACATAGAAGCCCCAATCACACCAGTTGCATGGCCCTAGAGATCCAAGTCGTCTAGAAGCTGCACGAACGCCTGCCTCGCGCGCCCACCCTCCCGCACCGTGGCGGTCAGCTCCTGCTGGATCATCTTCACGTTCTCCCGCTTCCTCGCCCCGTCCTCGCCGCGCATCTTGTCCAGCACTTCCGCAAGCTCACGTCGCACGGCCTCGATCGTGCCCTCCGGAGCCTTGCCCGTCCGATAGATCGGGCGCAGGCCTTCCGGCCCGGTGCGAACCTCGAACAGCTGGTACGCCACGTCGAGCACGCTGCTCAACGTGGCGGCAACAAGAGGCTGGTCGGCGGAGAAATCCCAGCAGATCCTGCGAGGGAAACAAATGAAGTGAGACCTTCTCCTGATCAGAGTTGGAATAGAATCGAGAAAAGGCGTACATGGGGATCCCGGAGCTCATGCCTTCCATCGCGCTATTATAACCCGCGTGGGTCAAGAACCAGCCGGTCGCCTAGCCATGAAAGCGAGTTAGAGCCCCGTCGTGGTGCGCCCGATGACGATCACTTACAGGGTGCGACAGGATGTCCTGCTGCGGAGACCACTGGGAGAGCACGCCTACGCCGGAGTTCTTCACTTTTTCTGCGACAGAGTCGGGTATGACTGCCATGGGGGATGCATGGCTGAAAATCTACGGGCCGCGTTGTGGAATTATGGTTAACCGGGGAGACGGCGGACGCGACGAGACGCGATACGCACGAATGGCACTTTGTTCTCCATGAGCACGTCTAACACCGCCCACAGACCGTCTGGCTTGGCCCATGGTCCGAATAGCGTGCCGAACGAGATCTGGAGCGGCGAACGATCAGAAACGATACGGTGTCCGCCTTCCCCGCTCCTTGCTTACGTATACGACAGAGGCTAGTCCATGCGCTTGAAGTGCGGAATCGAGGAAGGCGACGATCTCCTTGGCCTTTGGAGACAGAGCGAGCTCGCCACCGGCACCGGTTCGCGTCGGGAACTGCGGTCCGATGTTGTACACCTTGCGTGGCGGAGAGAAGGACGCTTGCCATCGCTCCATGGCTTCGACGCCGGGGTCGCAAACCGGGTCTGAGACTTGGATCACACCATCGCATTTCTGGAAGAACCTGGAAGCGACGGTGAGCACGGGGAATACGCATGGGCGGGTATAGATGGATGTACGAACTCGTGGCCGCACAGAGATACCTGCACCAGCGACTCATCAAACGCCACCGGCATCTACGCATTCGTGAGCCATCAGTTCATGCGGCTGCGAAGTGACCTACCTCCTGAGGGAAATCCTCGTAATCATACATCGGAGGGAGGCCGGGCATGTGCCGGAGCTCCCCTGGCAAGTTCCTCTTCATCTAACGCGTCAAAATCAGCCCCATGATCATCGTGGCCATGTCCTAGTCCGTCGCCGCACCTCGGACAGGACCTCGCCCATGGTCTGGCCAGTCTTGGCCGAGACGCCCTCCAACACCGGCCTGAGGTCACCCATTCCCCCGAACTCCTTCGGACCGAAGAGGCGGAGGACGGCGCTCGTCGCACCGCTCTGCCAAGCGTAGATCTTTGTGGAAGGCGCCAGCTCGCGAATGACGCGCAAGACGCATGCACCGAAGAACTGAGTTTTCATCGCATCAGGCCAAGCGCGGTTCGTACTAGGAAGTTGAGTGCGGCTTACGTCGAGGATGGCAACAGACGGAGGCGCGATCGGCTCAAAGGTCGTGAGTTTCAGCGCGCACTGGACGGTTTCTTGCCTCAGTAACCTCACGAAGAGTTCGTGGAACGGCTCCTCAGCGGCGCTTAGGTTCGTCGGTCCCAATTCCGAGGGAAAGGACACCACTCTGCACGTAATAAACCGTTGGGATGCGCATGAGGAGGGAGGTAGATGGAGAGCGAACCTGATGCGTTGCTTCGTATTTTCTTCGTCTGGCCCGAAACTGCGCCCGATCTCGTTGTGGACCTTGTCGACCAGCGATGGCGACGTCAACAGCGTGATGTAGGTAGACCGGGACTGAACGATTTTGGAAGCGAGGTTACATAGAGGTCGCGCATGCCCTGGAAAACAGTACGGTGAGTATGGATCATGTCAGACGACGATACGACACGTACCCCAGGCACCGTACGTGAACATGAGAATGTGCTTCGGAGCACGAGCTGGTCCTGCGCCATTGGTAGACATATTCAAGTTGCAAAGCGGGATCGCCGTTGAAGTCACTGCTCATCGCGCCTCTCCTACTTATGTGAACAGCGACGCAACGGCTGAACGGGGTACGCGTCGAGTGTACGGCGGTAGCATGCGAGAAATGATTCAGCAGGGTGTGCTTCTCACAGCGGAATCTTGACATGCAGATCCTGATGACCTAAACATGATTTGTCGGAAAGAAGTCAGCAGCCTCGGAGATCGAGCTCTGAGACAGGTACTTATGCTCCCTGGGTCTCTCAGGTAGACGTATAGCCGTCCAGGCCAACGTCCGGGTAATCAAACTCACTTCGTATTTTCGAATCCGTCTGCCCAGCCTTGAGGAATAAATTCAAGGAGATTGCAAGGAGAATCAAAAGGCTCTCGGGTATAGGCCTGGGTTAAGCAAACTGATTGAGACATCTGAGCTTTGAAGATCAAAATGTGTTATTTGCATGATCTAATGTGCGGAACGCGCCACAAAGCAAGACCGTGGACGTCGGGAGCAAAAACCAAATGTAACACGTGACCTGATCTCTGCGAATATCCTCTGATCGCTCTCAGCGTTTGTTGCCTTGGATCAAGCACCGTCAGCCAGTCGACAACCCGATGTCGACCGTGACCGTCTTCGTCAAGTCTCCCGACACCCGCTCAGAGCGGCGCTACGACCTCCACACGACCATCGGCCAGCTCAAGGTTCGCGTACCCGCGACTTCGTCCGCACCTGCCCGCACCCGTTCTCATGACGGCGCACATATACTTCCCGCGCCGCGATGATCTTGCTCTGCGTTGAACGATCCAGCCGAAGCTTGAGCTTATCACTGGTATACCGGTGGCGAATCAGCTGATCCAGCTGCTCAATACGGAGGAGGACACGAGCCCCGTGAACGTACTCTCTGAGGACGACAAGCCCCTCGGCTATTACAGTGTCCGCGACTTCCAAGTGCTCAATGTAGGCTCTCGTCGCAAGCTTGCAACAGTACGGGAGTTGGAGCTCAAACGTCTTCGTAGGTTATCGACACGAATCCCTCCACGTCCTGGACAGGGCAATTAGGCGATCCGTCTCAGGTAGAAAAATTCGAGCTGACGGAGGAAGAATACGCGCAGAGACGAGGTACGTGGTGTCCGTTTTCTCTTGTGTCACCTTTCTCTAACCCCGATTCACTGCCGCAGATTCGGTCCTGGCTTACAAGCAAGCGCACAAGATCGGCCGCTTCGCCCCCAAGGCTGCCGAGCAGCACGAACAGGTCCACATCGCGCCCATCAACATCCCCGTCGGCGCGCGCTGCGAGGTTGAATCCAGCGAACAAGGCCTGCACAAGCGCGGCACCGTCCGCTTCGTGGGTCCCACACAGTTTTCCAAAACCGGTGTATGGGTCGGGATCGAATACGACGAGCCGCTGGGCAAGAACGATGGATCGTACGTGCCCCTCGATCTTCCCTTTATGTCGTCTGTCTCTCAACGTGGGTCACGTTCGTAGGGTGCAAGGCGTGCGATATTTTGAATGCAAGCCCAATTACGGCGTGTTCGTTCGACCGGAAAAGGTTACCGTTGGTGACTTCCCGGAGGAGGACATAGAGCTGGAGGAGATGTGACGACCCGCCACCAAATCGCACATTCTAAGTGCCACATCAAACAAGAATGTATCATAGGACATCGTCATGTTGTGCACTTCCCCGCTTCGCCCACCTTGTGATGATGAGATAGAAAGATCAACGGACACGAATATAACAGATACTGGTCATCACGGCTCAGCTATGAGTTCCTGCAAGCTTCACCGCACCCCGGTTATACACTGCTGTCCACTTCGCCCCCTCCTTGCCCTCCTTCACCGCCTCGGCAACGGGAGGCAGTCCTGCGCTGCCCAGCTCGCCCGCGATGCGGATGCTCTTCGCGAGCTGCGCCACCTTGATGTGATATCGTTAGTCACAGCAGGACGCGGCGTCGGAAAGAAGGCGATGACATACTGGGATCTGCGTGCGCGAGCTGATGATGGAGAACAAGCCGAGCCCCTTGGAGATGAACCTAGCGCCGGCAGGTCAGTCGTCTTCGCGTTTCGCGTGCATTGGGCAGCCGGAAGGGGACGACGTACTCTGCGACTGCCTCTGCCGGCCGCGAGTCGCCGCGTTCCGCGTGCGTGAGTAAGCCGGGCTTGAAGATGATCGTATCGTCGTATCCGAGAGCGGCGAGCCCTTCCTCCGTTAGACCTTTACTCTTCGGGTACAGGAACGGGGACGAGGAGGAGGAACCGGCGGACTGTGGCGATGTTTTAGTGCTGTCTTGACGGACTGCGTGCTGGAGACACCCACGGAGAGGTAAATGAGGCGCTGCGGTGTATCGACTTTGGCGGCTTTCGCGGCATTGAGGACGTATCTATCGTGCATGCATGGTCAATAATCCGAGGATGATAGCATTAGAGTCGACGGTATCATACTCTCTGTCGATCTTCTCGAACGCTTCCGCGCTGCCCGCTGCTTTTCTCGTCGTTCCCAACCTAAATCACGGCAACCGTGCATCAGGAACGTACCCACATACGATCGTCCCGAGGACGAGTTTAGTAACCAATATACATACGTGATGAACACCACGTCCCACTTGCCCTCCGCCAACCCCGCCTGGGCGATGTTCTCAAAGTCGATCGCCTTCTGCTCAAGCTTCTCCTTCCCGGTTTCGAGCTTGTCGAGCGGCGTCACCCGCCGGCCGTACTCCCCCACACGCGTGAATTGCGGCGAGTTCAGGAGCTCCTTCAAGAGGTGCTTGCCGGTCGCCCCGGTCGCGCCGATGAGGAGCGCAGACTTGCCTGTAGCAGACATGATTGAGTGTTGACACAGTCAGTGTTGAGTTGGATGCCAAGGTATTCCAGGTATATTACAAAGACAAGTGTTCGGATAGCACGAGCACGCGTGCTTGAGCGAGCAAATGCAAAAGCGCAACCGGCAACCCGGATGACGTCGTCGCCGGGAAGGGCGTGTGGCTGTGCGCCACGCCTTCTGTTGGCCACGAACCACGACCCACGACCTCTCTAGGAGAGCATATCGATTAGTCGTACTCAATGAAGGCGACATCACAATATGCATGCAAGCGGCGTCTTATTGCTTAGGCAAATCAGCAACGCCTGTGTTACTATTTGACTTAATTTGACCAACCCCGCTGGCGGCTGACATGCTGGCGATTCAGCGCCTGGTGTGTGCGCTCCATCTGGAACATGCCGCTTTCCGAGGTCTTGGAAAGCTTCTCCTCGATCGCTAGTACCGCTCATCCCGGAACCTGGCTGCCCTCAATACCTGTCATAACTGTGACAGTAGGCGTTCAATCACTTTGAAGGTTGAAGGTTTGTTGAAGGTTGAAATCACTCGATCCAGGCCATTGACCCCCGGAACTTTCTGTTTCATGAAGTTTTTGAATGCGATGCAATCGTTTTAGATGGTGGGCGGCATGGATCCTGCTTCATCGGGCGCGCAGCCAGCACTCAAAGCGTCGCGGTCACATGATAACTCGCGATCCGGCAATGACGTTCCTCGCGTCAGTTCTATGGCGGATATCCATCAGCAAGAACCGCCAAATGTGGAGGTTCGGGATGTCAATCGTGTCGCGTTCCGCCGCCGCCTTCTGGGTGTGGTCGGACATCTCGGGGGACAGCGACCTGCGTCGCCGCGCAGGCGGGCGGGCGGATCACCTGCTCCCACCGAGGCAGCCGACGACAGGGGGGGCAAACGTATAAAAGAACTGGACAGACCGATGTTGACCTTCAGCGCAGTTGTTCACACCCGAAACTCGCTATAGCACCGCGTCACCCCCAGCTCGTCAATTACTTCGCGATGCTCGCCCTCGTCACCCTCGCCGTCGCCCTCGCTGGTTCCGCGCTCGCTGCGCCCGCCGACATCGTCAAGCGCCAGACTGTCGACGGTGAGCATTCCAGCGCATTCGTCGGTTTTGTTTCTTGAGCTGATGGCTCTTGCTACAGACACCACGGTACTCAACTACGCGCTCACCCTCGAGCATCTCGAGAACACGTTCTACGCGGAGGGTCTTGCCAAATACGACGCCGCCGCGTTCAAGAACGCCGGCTTCCCCGACTGGGTGCGCGGCCGTGTCAGCCAGATCGCGGAGCACGAAGCGTCGCACGTCAAGTTCCTCTCCACCGCCCTCGGAAACGCGGCGACCAAGCCATGCACCTACAACTTGTAAGTGAACCTCGAGGAACGGAAATTTTGGCACAATCGCTGACTTATCTTCATCAGCCCATACACGGACCCGAAGTCTTTCCTCGCTCTGTCCATGGCGCTTGAGGGCACTGGCACCTCGGCATACTTGGGCGCCGCTCAGCTCATCTCCAACAAGGATTATCTGACTGCTGCTGGCGTAAGCATCATTAGCCGCCCGCGTATTAACGTAGCTGATGTTCATTGTCCAGTCTATCCTCACGACGGAAGCCCGCCATGATGCGTGGATTTCCTCCGCCGTTCGCAAAGAGGCGGCGTGGAACCTGCCGTACGATACTCCGCTCGGTCTCAGCGGCGTGTACTCCATTGCCTGTACGTTCATCTCTTTCTCTTATCATCGCATTCGCTAACCGCTTGTTTCCAGCGCAATTCATCACGAGCTGCCCTAGCAGCAACCCCACTCTGCCGGTGACCACCTATCCCTCCTTCTCTCTCACCCCGGCCGCGCCCGCCGTTGGCGAGAAGGTGAAGATGAACTTCGACAACAAGGATAACAATTCGCCCCTCTACGTCGCGTACTACTCCGGTCTCAACGTCTTCTACTCGGACGTGGCCAGCGACGGCACGACGACCATCCCCTCGGACCTGAAGAACGCGGGCACGGTGTACGCGAGCGTTGTCAAGAGCAAGGACGCGACCCCTACCGACCAGACGACCCTCAGCGGGCTTACCATTCTTTACTTCGCCTTCAACTCTGCCACGCAGCAGTTGTAGAAACCCATGCGGTGATCGTTTTGGCCAAACGGACTTTATTGTTGGACATGGACATAGACATGGTGTATGATAAGGGTGTACATTACTATCTCCCGCCTTCCTTTATTTCACATAATATAATATAATCAGCGACAATAACGATGGGACAGTGGTTTCTTCCATTTTAGAGAGTGCTCTGAAAGAAAGAGAATCTCTCACGGTCACGTTGTGATGCCCACAACATGTTTCTCCGAGTTCATGCATGCCCCCGACGTTGTTTGGTCTTTGCCTGCAATGAAGACAGCGTCCATTCAACTCAACAATACTTCCATGCTTGAACGGAATAAACGCTGCTTCTGCATGGATTGACACTGCCTTTAACCAGCGAGACCATGACGTATCTCGGCTGGAGAGCAACACCCGGAATGCACGCCATCTGGGTGACCCTGCAGCATTCGCGCGGCACCGTCGGTGGCCGCTATACTTGGGCACTCTCCATAAATACCAGCATCGACCCGTTCCCGGATCTTCGCTTCACACCGAGCGGAACGGCATCCACCATACGGAGAGGGCTAGTCGCCGTTTTCAATGGTCGATCCGAAACAAGGTTTGACTTCTTCGAGGACTTATGCACCTCGTTCCGTCGGCCCACCGGCTCATGGCACGTACGCCACTGGATAACATCCCAAACGTAGCCGTGACTCTCGTATCTGATACAGGCGTTCGAGACAAGCTCTCTCGGGGCCGAGCTGGTTGTGTGTGGATTACATCGGCATCCACACAGGGCGCAGGACATACATGGTAGTCCGATGCTATTGTGGTGCACGAATCGACATATGTTCGCTACGGCGTAAATAATGTAATGGTGCGCTCTTGGGTACTTAAAAGGCGTGTGTGTTGGACTGACCACTATGGGCTCATTCGTCTCTAAGCGCACCATGTCTGTTTCACCCTCTCCGGAACCTGAGATCCAGGGTCACATCCTTGTGCATTGCTTTGGCGACTGGGGTAAGTTCCGATGCATTGCATGTATGAATGCCCCGCTGATGGTGTGCCGTTATAGGTCATATACGACCTCTGTGCAATCTCGCCGGTCGCATCGTTAGATATAAGCCCATAAATATCACCTTCTTGATCTCCCCTACATTTTACAATCTCGCGAAGCTTGAGTTGTCGAGAAGTTTCGGTAAGGACGAAGAGCGCCAGGCGGAGCGTATCAAGTAGGGAATCCGCTAGCTGCGTCCCATCCGAATACTGACGCTCCACAGGCTGGTCGGTCTAAAAGAGGATGTGACCGTCCTCAGCGTCGGTACGGGAGACGCCATATTCGAAGACATCTACAAGGCCGTGGTCGAGACGGGCTCCTTGACTTGCTCCGTGACGAAGGCCCAGTTCGATGGTCTCACTCACCCAGACGCCGTGATTCTCGACGTCAGTCCATTGTCTCGTGGCGCTGTACGGATTTCATACTCACGCGTTGCCATAGTTCTTTGGCTTCGGCCCACTGCAGTTGATCCGTCAAGCTAGCCGCAAGCCCGTCAAGGTGCTCGCCTGGCAGACCGGAGCCATCTCTTACATGCTCCGCGTCTTTGGACCAGTTACTGAAGAAGGCATTGGTCACTGGGAGAAAGTCGTAGCAACGAAAGCCGCGGAGACTGGCAAGAACTTCCTAGAGGCTGCAGACCAGGTACGCCGGCCAAGCTGCCAATCATTGCTTGGAGAAGTTTGCTGACCCGGAGGTGCTGTCCAGCTATTAACTAGGAGCGAGGGAACTATCATTGATATACCCGGCTTGCCAAAGATGTATGACTGGGAGTGCTTCCCCCAACCTGTAAGGAGCTTCGTGTGGTACGTGGAAGCTTGTCTGATCCACCGGCGCACGCCAGCTGCCCCTATTCCCCGTTGGCTTTATCAGCACGCAGATGTACCAGTGAGACACTCTTCTCGTCAGACTCGTCATTTTATACTGACGTGTGAAATTCTAGGTTGCTCCGTGCATGCGATGGTGAGAGCAAGACATCTCCTGATGACGGACTGCTTTAAATATAGCCACATGTAGGCATCATCCACACAGACGCTGCAGCGTACGAGGCCGAGTTCATCAAGACCTTCAGCAAGTGGTTTGGGGAAGACAGAGGCAGCTACTGCCTCGGTCCGATCCTCCCCGCATCCGAGGTAGAGGCCGCTCAGGCCGGTGAACTAATGCAATCGCCAAAGGGACAAGAGATCAAGCAGTTCCTGAACAAGTCCGTCGAGACTCACGGACCGCATTCCGTCCTTTACGTCAGTGCTATGGTCATCGTTCGCTGTCTACATTCCTGATTATCCAACAGATCTCCTTCGGAACTTTCTGGTGGCCGGCAGAGCCGGAAAAGGTATGGGCCTTCGTGGAGGCGGTAATGGAGTTGAAAGTTCCCTTCGTACGCCGGTCTCTTCTTGTTCAAGGCTGTCATTCTGAGGTTGTGTAGATTATGAGCCATGGCTCTCCCCGCGCTACCATTCCTCCCGAACTTGTCAAGAAAGCGCAAGATTCAGGCGTGGGCATCTTCGTTCAATGGGCGCCGCAGCAAAGTATACTAGCACATGAGGTAACGTCCTGCAGTATCGTGTTTCGCCGCGAAGCTCATGAGGACCTTCAAGGCTACGGGTTGGTTCATGTCCCATTGCGGACAGAACTCTGTACTTGAATCATGTAAGTGCGACGTGGCAGCGGTCGGACAATCATTGTGCTGACAGACTGCTTTCGTACAGTGAGCTACGGCGTGCCAATGTGAATTGGATTTTATATATTTCTGTAACCCTCCCTGACGCACGCTACCAGGATCGCGTGGCCTCAAGCCATCGACCAGGTCGTAAACGCTGTGCACATCAGCACGAACATCAAAGCCGGATACGAACTCTTCGAGACTCGCAGCGGAGAGATGGGCCTCAAGGCTATCCTCCGCACCGGGAAGACGCCTGAGGGCACCATCGATGCCGTCCGTCGCGAGGCCAAAGAGGTCTTAGAGCTTGCTCGAGGTCCCGATGGCCAGACCAGGCGGGCGAACGCGATTAAAGTGAAGGAGGAGATGGCCCAAGCGTGGAATGAAGACGGGCCCGCTTTCACCGACTTCCGGAAGCTGCTCGGTGATATCAATCTGGTCTGATGGCAAGTGGATGCTCTTGTTTTATTGTAATGTATAGCGCGCACGTACGCGATATCGAGGACAATTGTAACATGATATTGGCACGAGTTATGCGTGCATGTTTGGTTCTGTACTGTACATTGTTCGGCATCGCTTGACCGAAATTCGATGAACTTGACTTCGACGACTCAAAACAGGTCTTTCCTGCTCTCAACCAACCACGCTTTGTCTTCCGCACTCAAACGCTCCTCATAGGGCGCGAAAGAAGGTATGGCCTCCTGGAAGCATCTTCGGATCGTGGAAGCGTGCTGCGGCGTTCTGGGTTTGATGGAGCATACGAACGGGCGGGGATCTGTCACCACGCCCTGTGCGGTGGTACAAACTCTCAGCAAATCGAAGACTAGTATGTAATGGTTCAACCTTATGATAGGCCCAAAGATCCAAGGGCTCGATCTCCCCAGTCAGCTTGTTGACGGTCGGCGCAAAATCGAAGCCCCATATAAGGTTCATGCTATTGACCATCTACGATGACCATTGAACGAACCGCAGTGGTAGCCTGGAGCAGACTGGTCTCACCAACGTATTCTGAGCCAAGTGTATCCCAGGACACACACGCTGCGTGCACCACCGTAAGAAATCCTGGATCGCAATGAACAGAGCTAGGCAGATCACTGACCCTCCCGGCCCCAAATAGCAAGTCAGGCTTGAAATCGCTGGTGTCCGTTCCAGGTTTTGTGCCGAACTCGGATTCCAGAAAACGTTCCGGTATGAATTCGTCTGGGCGATCGTATAATTCTGGATCATGGTAGACGCCCCCTACGTCAAGTGCTCAGTTGGCGAGGCACACAGTATTGGCAGATGCACTAACAGACGTTGATGTATATCGTGCTACCTTTGGGTATGATGTGACCTTTATACTGGCGGCTCGAGTATCAGCACAATGCAAACCGACCGAGTCATGAATACCTACGATCTCGTCGGAGAGGGATGCGTGAGGTAGGGCCAGCGGGGCGACAGGTCTGAACCGATGAACTTCCTGAATCAGCGCCTACAGAGCATGATCAACCATCTGGTTATGCACTTGGCTCTTTCACTGACTTGGAGATATATCAACTTCCGGTAATCTTCGGGCGCCGGCATTCTATCTGGCCCTACCACACGATCCATCTCCTCCTGCGCCTTGTGCTGTGCCTCAGGGAAGGCGGCCAGTAGTAGAACGAAAGAATGCAGAAACGACGATGTGGTATCACTTCCTCCCTCAATCACGTTTCCGCCCAGGAATCTGTTTCAGCGCTACGTTGATGATTTTCCAACGCCATCCGAAACGAAATACGCACGCCTGCATCTCCCTGTCGACTTTTAACTCCCCTGATTTCCGAATTATTTCATCCATGAACGTCGTAATTTCTCCGGACTCTCCATTTTGCACTCTCGCCTCGCTTTCGCTGAGAAGGTCGAAATAGAGATCCCTTTGCATACGCCGAAGTTGACGGCACGCAAGCTTCCACGGAGCCCATCTTTCGGGTACGTATCGCAAAAGGGGGATCTGGTCGACAGGTGGATGTGCCCCAGGTTCATTGAGGTAATTGACGAGGCGCGTGATCTCGAAGAACGCCGCCGTTTCCTTGGTTTCGTACCTGGGCGATCGATGAACGTGAGTTTTCCTTGCCGGCAGAATTGAACCTCTCACCTCGGCGCACGTTTACCATAGAAAACGGAAAGGACAACGGAGTTCGAATATCTCCGGACATGCCACCAAGCTCGCTTAGGAACGTATTCTATAAGCTTACCCAAGGAACGAAGCTTTGATCGTACCTCGGGAGTTTGTAGAAGATCGTACATCAATTGAGTCGACTCCGCGCATTGGATTGACAAATGCTTGTTGCACTTCTGCTGCGTCAACACCCAATGAGCCGCCTTGCGAAGTGCCCGCCATGTGTCCGCTGAAACCAAGTTTAGACATGGAGCTGGATCTCGATTGGACGCGGTTTGCACTTACAATACCGCGCTCGCGTCATATTCAAGCCGCCCGTGATCAGAATCGACATGTAGTTCGCAGGGCGGTCGGCCGTGCTCGCGCTTCGTCTATCCATGAGTTCCCGAATGGCTTCCATACTGGTGAGAACGATGACTACTCCGGAGCCTAACGTCAACTAATCGAGTGCGGTGATCAGCGCAGAAGCCAGGAATGTCGCTAGTGAACGTGAAACATACGGAGTAGACGTCCCCGTATATTCTCGCCCATTCCGTGAACCTGGCGGGATCTTTGAGAATTGGAAGGGGTGTTATGTGTGACAAAACCTACTGATAGTGGGCATAGGCCTTCGGGAAGATATGGGCGTTCCCTAGTATGGGGACCGTCGGTGGACCAGGAGGAAGCCCCTCTTGTCTTTGACCTATCCTCAGTACTCTCGACAACATCCAGACGAGAGTGATTAGTGCAAGGCAAGTTGCTATCATGATCAAGGTATGGACAATAGGGCCGCTGTGCGTTTGCGGGCACGACCGTGCGCGAGTTATAGGAGAAACTACGTTCCGCTCACACGTAATGGAACTATGGCATTTCCAGTGGCTCAAGCTTCTGACGAGTGAAGAGTTGTGTCGGCTTCACCTTGAGATACCGTGCAGTTCTCCGCGGAATGCAGGGCATCACAATGTGTTCGAGTTCGGTGACCTGACAAGTTGCAGTTCGTCAGCACACCCGCAAAGAGATGTTGCCGGTTCTGTGAGGTGGTCGCGTCGTTTCATTCCAGGGCGAGGCAGTAGGGCGTGCTGCTGTTCGAAAAAGGCGAGATGAAAGTCGTTATCTGAAACACGGTCATCCTATAAAAAGCCAGTGGCCGCAAACCTTTGGTCTGCGGCATGTGAAGCGTTAGCCATGTATTCGAAGGTTGGCGGAGATGGAATATTGTGAGAGCATGGAAGGGCAGCTTCAGCTTAGCATAAGTCGCCGGGCCTTCTCGTGAGTAACGTAGTTTCTCCTGACGCCGGCGAGAGCAGTCTTCCAGCTCTGTGCGCGTTCGGCGAGGCCTCGGAAAGAGTTATAAGAAGGAGTTGGGATGACGAAACAGAGAGCCACGGTATTGTTCTTCGATATTAACACTGTCCAGCTTCGATGATATGATCTGGTAGTTTGCATTCTGTAATGAGTCAGGTGCATGCCGATTGCGCCGCCGGTCTCGACACAGGGAGCAGACAAACAGAACCACACCAATCAATGGTTAATGTCCATAGGTCTTAGCTGCGATATTGCTGCGATAGGCACTCCACACTAGATATAAGTCGATTGTCGCTCCTTGGTGGGTGTAGTGCTGTCCCCAAGACATGTGAGCATCCCAGCTTCATTTGGATATCATACACAAGAACACCGGTGAGATCAAGTTTCTAGCCTTTCTCGTGCGGAACATGAGGCAGTAAATCATCGGTGCGATGGAACGGTATAAACCGCTTTGAACTGATGAGACAACTTGTCTCCCCAGGCAGACTCTAGAGCGTGAAGACAGTCGTTCACGCATGAGACAACCTGGAGAACACGGAGACAGAGACGGAGTTTCCACGTGGCAGGTGACGCAGAATTCACGTGCACTCCCCAAACGGACGCGTCCAATTCGGGATGGCGGCCATATTGCATGTAGCTCTTGACCTCAACTCACATTTACGACCTTGCCAGCATATCGCATCTTTCGGGAGGTCCAGGACAAAGCGTCCCTAGAAACATGACGGTTGAGACGCGGGGCGGCATTCCTCGGACTGTCTCAGCGACCAGCTTCTCACCGAGTATACTCAAGGACCGGCTGTCGCACATCAGTGCGCAATCTTTGCAGCCCGTGAAGGCCCTCCATGGTACCTTGGAGTACGTAAACCATGCTCTAGAAACGAATTTAGGGTAGCTGTGAACGTTTGCCAGCTTCGTACCCGCGAAGATACCTCGTCAGCGCAGATTGCAGACGCTAGTCGTCGCGATCTGGTCCCTGATGATCCCAATCATGCTCTTCATCTGGCTACTGCTATGGTACGTAACTGTCCTATCTCTCTTTCCTCTGTTCCACTTTCCTCCCAAGATGTGCTGAGACGAGGACGATACGCGGTTACCGTATGGGGTCCCTCGGATCTTGGGAGATGTCCTTCCCATCTGGCATTCCTACGCACATGAACTTCCACTTGCACTGAAGTAATACTGACTGTCATCCTCACAGCTCCATACCAGCGTTATGGCCTGTGCTCGCTATATATTACATCTGGAAAGGATGGATCGATGGCGGGCCCGAGCACGGGGGCCGTATCAGCCCGTGGTTCCGCTCGGCGTGGTGGTGGAAATATTTCGCGGAATACTATCCAGCATCGTACGTCAACATATTTGCCTCTTTGCTGTCTGACAAACCACGAGATCTGTAGGTTCCGAATGGTAAAGCCTTTCAATGCCATAGTCGGTGGTTACCGGTTGTTCATGAACTTTGTTCCCGGAAGGAAGCTCCCTTGCCACCAGATAGGCCCTATGTTTTTGGCTACCATCCGCACGGTAGGTGCACGCCATTACCAGAATGGACGCGATTTAACTCTCGGATCGCTCAGGGATCATCGGCATGTATGTCGCTATTTATGAATCTCCATTCTCATCGGTAACCTGATGTCGACGCTTGGCAGGGGTGCTATCGCCACGTTTGCCACCGAAGGTGCGCCAACACATGCATCCACCATCGCCGCAGGTTTACTGAGTTGCGCGAATAGCCACCGGTTTTTCTAAAGCATTCCCGGGCATCGTTCCGCACCTCCTGACGCTGACGTCCAACTTCCAAATCCCACTATACCGTGACATCATGCTGGCGCTCGGGATCTGCAGCGTAAGTAAGCAAAGCTGTAGCAACATCTTACGGAGAGGGCCTGGCCAGGTAATGTCGCAAATCCTCCCAATCGGGGTGATGACTAACTCAAACGATGTCGGCGTTTACCTAGGCAATTACGATAGTCGTCGGCGGCGCTGCAGAGAGTTTAGCCGCGCACCCCGGGACCGCGGACCTCACACTGCGGAAACGGTGCGTTGTCCCACCTCGCAGTCCCGCCCGCGTTAACGACTTGCTCGTTGTAGATTAGGGTTTATCAAGATTGCCATCCAGCATGGGTGAGCCTTGCATCATGACGTTCTTGTCCTTGCGCTGAGGGGCACCCTTTTCATTTCCTACCAGAGCCGCATTGGTCCCCGTCTTCTCGTTCGGCGAGAACGATATCTACCAGCAGATGCCGAACGATAAGGGCACGCTTCTATATACCATCCAGAAGAAGTTCCAGAGCGTTTTTGGCTTTACGCTCCCTTTGTTCCACGGCCGCGGGATGTTGAACTGTGGGTTTTGGACTTACCATCTCTTTGCGACGAATATGGTCTGATCATGATGACTCAATAGACAATTTGGGTTTGATGCCGTACCGGAGGCAAATCGTGTCTGTCAGTGCGTATACCGGTTTTTATCTCTGCAATTAGCATCAGCCCAATATCCTATCCTCTTCGCAGTTGGACGCCCCATATTGTGCGACCAATGTGATTCACCGACCATGGAGGAAGTTACTCGGGTCCAGCAACAATACATCGCGGAACTGATGAGGTAACCCCAAAGCACGTATTATTGTTTCTCGCTGACCCCTTGCCGGTAATTAGAATATGGGAAACGTATAAAGACATCTTCGCGCGATCGCGGAAGCGCGAGCTAAGCATCATCGATTAACCTTTTGCTTTTCTCTCGCCATTCGCCTGCCACCAGTTTCCCGGGCCCAAGGGGTCGCCACTTAGATGTTGTATATATACCAATAGGATACATGGTCGCGGCGTCGCAGACGATGGCATAGAGGCTTGTATTTACTACCTCTGCCCGGGACCGCATAACTCGTTAGGTGTCGTCGGGGCACCCAAACTCAACGCCGAGGTACGGGCCAAGGTGATTTGTCACGTTCCCAATAAATATGTTAGGCACGTCGCCGAGGATGCAAGCAGCGTCGGTGTTGTCCTGGCCTGGGTGCTGGATTCATCAAGCCGCCGCCGATCTGAAGCCTGTCATTGGACTCACCAGAGCATCGGACCCACTGGCCACTGGGGTAGTCGATGTGCACCTCGCCGGAGGCGCTGTGGTAGCCGAAAAGTGATGGCGGGACGGTAGGTACGATGTCCTTGAGGTTGTTGACGTGCGTAAAGTTCGTGTTGGCGTCCACGTAGTCGGCGAAAGCTTGGTTGCCAACGCGGGGAGTACCGAACGCTACTGTGGTGAACGTGGTATTCGGAGGGAGGTGGAGCGGGAGGTAAACGTCATCGAGCAGAGCGAGCGCCGCTCCTAGTTTCTTCATGAGACGCGGAGCAACGGGAGTACGGAAACGGGCACATACCGAGGCTATGGCCTGTCAACGTTACCGAAGTGGTGTCGTACTTCGCCAGCGCGGCTTGCACACCTGCGAGCACGCCCTCTGCGGAACGCGAGTGCGAGTCGCGGAAACCGCTGTGCACCTCGACGGACGATGAGATCCCAGGGAAGAGAGACTGGCTCAGAGGACCAGGTATGAAATTGGCATCGATAAGGACCGGGATTCTGCGTTGGATCATGTGTAAGACAAGCTATAATATCAAAGGCGGAGGCGAGAAAGCGCTTCACATAGCCTCGGTCTTCGTTCCCTGATGTCCAACGACCACAGTAGCAAGATCGAGGTCATATCCGACATACCCTATGCGTATGATAAGCGTTCAATCGGATCCGAGGCGAAGAATCTGAACCGACAGTACTGTGTCACGGCGCCTTCGCCTCCAGAAGCAACTGGCTGGAAAGTTGGCTGAGATGGGCAGTTTTCTGCACGACACGATGCTCAGCAAACTCAAACCGAGCATCAGCGCTTCGGTATCACTCACCGCAGGTCCAAGAGAGGGTATCGGAGGCCTTGCAGTACGCGGCATTGGCGTAGTTGATGTACGGCCTGAAAGCTTTCGACCTGTTCATCCGTCAAATCCGTGACGCCCGATCGCCTCTGGCTCGTAGTAAAAGCGCTGGCTTGTGCCGGAGCGAGCAAGAACCCGAGGATGAAGAACGAGAGCAACGACGTGATCCTGGACCAGGGGAAAGAGAGGGACTCGGGGCGGCGCCATAGATAGCTCGCTCGCATTATAACGGCCTGGGCCCGGTTGCGGGACAGTTTGCATACCTTCTGGAGGAGCTTCAGGTGCGTAGCCAGGTACCAAGGAAGCCGTCAGGGCCATAGGCAGTCCTCCAAACGGAACTATTCACGGAGAACCATGTTCAACCGAATAAGCCGTTAGCGGACTTCTTGGGGCGCCAAGCCTCGACGTTGCGGTTGCAAACGCCTCAAGTCAAAATCTGAGACCCTCAGTACTCAAAGCATAGGTCAGGAGGAGCCAGATGTCTGGAATCCACTGTTCTTTCAAGTTGGTGTTGCTCGAAAGCGCATGGTGGTAAGCAGTTTATGGGAGAGTGGACGGACAAGATAAAAATCTAGAAGATTATCGCGAGAAGCAAGCCCCCGTCAGATTTCTGGGAAGTCCGACTGACACTAAAGAAGCGCACCATAGAACCACGGAGTTTCGGGCCCGTCTATACTCCCGCCATCTCCAAGGTGGCATACGTGGCACGTCTGCAGTGATGCTGAAATGTCATATATTATACAGTCCTTACAGTTCTAATCGTGTTAACATGAGAGAGAGAGCCAGACATGAATGCGATAACAGCAAGCGGGCCATGCAACCTAAATCGGAACGACGCTCAACGTTTTCATGCGTAAAGGTCGTCGTCCGCAGCGTCCTCGCCGAATCCTGCGTTGCCGCTCGCGGCGGCCGGAGCGGCCCCGCTGGCACCTGGCGCGCCGCCCTCGGGGAACTTGAAGGTCGAGCCGAACGACCTTGACTGTTGGAGGTTCTGCGCGAACATCTCGTACCGCCGGATGTCGGCGTCGGAGACCGACCGACGAGCAAACTTCATGGCCTCCTCGAAGTGGTCCCTAGAAAGCACAAGACGTATGAGCATCGAATGAAAGCTGCAGAAAGGTAGGCCATACCTGGTGATGTACGCGACCGGATCCTCTTCCTCCTCCTCAGCCTCGTCCATCTTCGCGTCGTCGCCCGCAGCTTCCTCCTTCTCCTTCTTTTCCCGCTCCCTCTTGACGTCCGCCTCGATACTCTCGCGGATCGCACACTTAGCTGCGCGCTGGCAGATCTCGGTGAGATCAGCACCGGAGAAGCCGTGCGTATTCCTCGCAAGGTAGTTGAGGTCGACGTCGGGCGCCACGGGCGATTTGCGCAAGCAGGCCTTGAGGATGGCCAACCGAGAGGCCTCGTCTGGCAAGGGAATGTAGATAAGTTGGTCGAGACGACCAGGACGGAGGAGGGCGGGGTCGATCTGGTCAGGCCTGTTTGTGGCACCGATGATGAAGACATTCTTCTTGGCGTTCATACCGTCCATTTCCGTCAGGATCTGGTTGAGGACACGGTCGCCGGCGCCACCAGCATCGCCCATAGATCCACCACGAGCCTTTGCGATGGAGTCCAACTCGTCGAAGAACATGACACAAGGCGCCGCGGCTCGAGCCTTGTCGAAGACGTCGCGCACGTTAGCCTCGGATTCACCGAACCACATGGTCAACAGTTCAGGACCCTATCGATACGATCAGAATGAGTCAAATAACGATAACCACTGAGGTCCGCATACCTTGATCGAGATGAAGTTGGCCTGGCACTCGTTGGCGATGGCCTTCGCCAACATGGTCTTACCGGTACCCGGAGGACCGTAGAACAATACACCCTTCGAAGGCGACATTCCGTACTTGAGGAACTTCTCCGGGTGCTCCACAGGGTACTGCACGGTCTCCTGCAACTCCTGCTTGACCTTGTCCAGACCACCGATGTCGTTCCAGGTGACGGTGGGCACCTCGACGACGGTCTCCCGAAGCGCCGACGGGTTCGAGACGCCGAGCGCGAAGCGGAAGTTGTCCATGGTCACGCCGAGCGAGTCGAGAACCTCGGCGTCGATGGTGTCTTCGTCGAGGTCGATGAGGTCCATCTTCTCACGGATTTGCTGCATGGCGGCTTCGGAGCATAACGAAGCCAAGTCGGCACCGACGTAACCGTGAGTGTCGGCAGCGATGCGCTCGAGGTCGACATCGTCCGCGAGCTTCATGTTCTTCGTGTGGATGCGAAGAATCTCGAGACGGCCGGTAGGGTCAGGGATGCCGATATCGACTTCGCGGTCGAAACGGCCGAAACGACGGAGTGCAGGGTCGATGGAGTTTGGCCTGTTGGTGGCGGCCATGACGACGACATTCGATCGGGCCTTCAAACCGTCCATGAGGGTAAGAAGTTGAGATACGACTCGGCGCTCGACTTCGCCGTTGGTCTAAGCGAGTCGTCAGTCCTTGGCCAACGCAAATAAAACCTGGTATGACGTACCTTTTCACGCTTCGGCGCGATAGAGTCGATTTCATCGATGAAGATGATTGACGGCGAGTTCTTTTCCGCCTCCTCGAAAGCTTTCCTCAGGTTACTCTCCGACTCTCCCGCCATCTTACTCATGATCTCGGGACCATTGATCAAGAAGAAGAATGCACCGGTCTCATTCGCGACCGCTCGTGCCATTAGGGTTTTACCGGTACCGGGAGGGCCGTACATAAGGATACCGCGTGGCGGCTTGATACCGATCGACTTGAATAGCTGAGGGTGGCGGAGGGGGAGTTCGACCAGTTCACGGATCTGCGCCATCTGCTTACGGCAGCCACCGATATCGTCGTAGCCGACGTCGTTGAGGTTGGACTCCTCGTCTTCTCTCCTGACCGGGTCGCCCTCGGTGTGGATAACGGTGTCTTGGGCGACGATGCAGTATTCGGCGGGGTCGGTTTCGATGACCTTGAATTCCACTGTCCTCATGCCGCCGCGGACGAGGAAGGTGTCGCCCTTGCGTACGGGGCGGTACGCTGCACAAAGGTCAAATTCTGCACGGGAACAGGCAAGATCGGGACTGACCTTCAAGGAAATAGGGCTTAAGGTAAACCTCGAACAGGTTTCCGGAGAGACCCTCGATCGAGTCGTCGAACGGGAGGACGTGTATCCGCTTTCCGTACTTGATGTCCAAGCACTGGTGCACATTGACGAGATCTCCGAGCTTCACTCGCAGGTTGTTGCGGGCGACCTTGTTAATCTGGATCTTGCCTTCATCGACGTCATCGGAACTGAGGACGATGAGGACGGTATCGCGCCGCTTCTTGCCACTGCGCGAAAGCCACGTCAGTTGAGTGAGACGAGTTGAACGACACGTCAACGTACCGAACTATGATCGTGTCTCCGCGGAAGAGTTGGAGTAGCTCCATCGTTGCAGGATTCAAGTGGGCGACTGGGCGGTGGCGTCAGCCACGGCGTTTGTCGCATCTAGCATTAAGGAACTCACCAGAGTTATCATCGGACGTCGCCTCATCGACCACTAGACGGTTGGGCCTGGGGTAACGGTTAGCGATGCGCGTCCTGCTGATATCTCGAGTGACTATCGCACGTACGATTTCTTTGGCCGCAGAATCGCGGTCGCGGTGTCGTCAACGGGTTTGAGCGGGCCTCCAGCGGGATCAGCCATGGTCGTGAAAGTAAGTTGGAACTTGTCCTGGCGAGATTCGGTGGTGGTCGTTATAAAGAACGGGACGCGCGTCCCGTCTCAGTCTGCGTCAGCCACATCGTGCGAACCTTTGCCGTGGCCCTTTCGCGTTATTGCACTTCGACTCTATTCCAGCAGCTTCCAGCCTCTCGCTATAGTCCCACTTGCATGCTATCAAGTCGGCTACAGCTGGTCTTATATCGGAGTGACTGCCTGCGGAAGATGCCTGCTATCTTGCGAGCGTTTCTTTGGTTTCATCACATCCGCTCGCCCACGAAGCGCAAGTTCATTCATTCTCGCGCCAAGGCGCTCGAGATAACTGGCGTCTGCAAGCACGGAACGCCTGGTATGCTGCTCGTGGAGGGAGAAGAGGCGTCAGTGAAGACTTACGTGAAGGATATCAAAGCTCTGCGATGGCAGGCGGTGGAAGTGCGTAAAATCGAATCAGAGGTGGTCTCCGACAGCGCTTGCGGTGGCCGCGATTGGCGGACTCTCCGGAAGCTGAGCGGCCCCTTCGGCGTCCAGGAGGTCGAGCACGGGCGAGATCTCAGTTCGCGAATGAGAGCCTGCGGTCTGGACGCCTTTCTGAGGGACGCGATGCTGAGGCGGTAAGTTCCGCGTCCCAGGCATTCATCGGCGATACTGAGCGCCCAACGTCTAGATGATACACACGTACGCCAGTGCAGATGACTGCCCGTGCAACCCTCATACGGGCTATCACCGTCGTGCACTGCGCGTCGCCACGGAGTTACTACGGCTGCGCCAACCCATCGATTCCGCGCCTGATTGATTGGGCGCTTGATAGTTGCCCTATAAAGACATGAAGAGGCATGAGGGCGCAGCATGTTCTCCTTTGCCCCCACTCTCACTCAGTCTTCGACCATCCGCGATAGCACACAGAAATCTGAAGAACACGATCCATCGTGCTGCCCATCATGCGTCATGGAAAGGTCAGGGAGTACTGCGACGTTCGTATTTCGTTTCACGTCGCCATTGCATGCCTTAGCCGTTGCTCATGATTACTGCAGAATCTGTCGAAGCGGGTGATCACACCGCTACGCCGCAAATCAGACTTCGCTGATGTTGCCCATCCTCCTGCGACCTCTATGGAACATTTCCCGGAAGAATTACTCGAGGGAATCATATCCCTTTCTTTACAGGTGCCAAGTTGGGTTTATTACGAAACGCTTCCGTTGGAAACGGAAAGCATTCACGGAGTGTATGCTATATCACAGGCGGCCTTGAGTCGAATCATTCTCGTATGTCAGACATGGTACCGCATCGGCGTCCCACATCTGTATCGCAGGCCGTTATTGGTCTCTCCCAAAAAGCTCTCTCTGTTTGTCCAGACCGTGACCAATAATCCGGCCCTTGCCAACCACGTTCGATCCCTCGCACTGGGCGAGAAGTTGCGAAAGGGAATACCGCGATGGCTCGATAGCATTCTGAAGATGCAGGCCCGTCGCAGGGAACGCACGCGTCATCACCTCGTTTCTGCAATGTCGCAGTGTCATCAGGTAGCTTGGCTGGCCGTATCTTGTGCCGAAATGGATGCACGCAAGTCGACCATCCCGTCGTCGTACAGACTGATACACATGGTCCAGCGTCAGCCAGCCTTTGACAAACTACAGAAATTGTCCCTGTCGGGGCTATGGCTTTGTCGTCTGGGACGCGACTTTCAACTACCTCACCTCCAGTCGCTGGTCTTGTACAACAGTCATGCATGCCGGAACGCGCATTGGCCGCACCTACCCGCTCTCGAGCGGCTCATGCTGTACAACTCCTCTTTGATGACACCGTTCGACGAGGAGAGGTATCCGAAGCTCTCGTACCTCGGGCTTTTTCAGAATCAGATGGGATGCCAAGACACGATCTCCATCATGGCGAGGAGTTTGCAGCCCTTCGCATCCGTGCTCAACATACTCACGATGGTCGGAAGCAACGAGCTCGTCTTGTTCTGTGAGCTGAACCTGCGCTTGTACACACACCTGGAATATCTCGAGATCTCACGACCGCTGCACTGGACATTCCAGAACGTGAGTAACCTGGTCATCCCTGCGCAACTCAACACCTTCTTCGGGTACTGCACGTCTCCGGGCCAGTTGGCGATGCTTACCTGGGAGTTATGGTTCCGGGCTTCGTGTGCTGTAAACTGGTTTTTGACATTCCTCTCGACAATCGTGCCTCCTGCTGCACCTGGTAAACCCGACGTCGGGGTCCAGATCTACTGCCCATGTCCTGAGTACCGGCCCGGCAGATTTGAAGCTCTCTACAGTATGTGGGGATTGAACGTGACATCTTTGACATATATGGATACAAGCTTGGGAGAGCCACATCATTATATACCACCTGGTTTTTCTGCTGTGATCAGGGTCGAGGAACAAGACGGAGACCCTCGCCCGAGCTATCTTTTGTAAGTCTCAAGGACTTCTTTCGATTCCTGCCTAACGTGCTGTCCATTCCATAGAACTCAGTATATGACATGCATGAGCCAGTATTGTAATCAACCAGCCCAGGCTCAGAAGAATCTATCTGCAGAATAGCTATGGTCAGTACATGGGCTAACAGGTGACCCACTGGATGCCCCAGAAATTGGGATTTGGCAACTGCTGTGAACCTGTGCAAGAACAGTTCTCCGCGGCCTAAAAGACACCCTGCCAGGATGATTCCATCATATGACTTCGCAATTCGTCCGATTCCTGAAGCAGCTGGTCTACTGCATGTTGCTTTTCCGATAAATCCGATGACAGGGCTAAGTGCCAAAAAACCAGAAGACACATAACGCATTACAGCTCTATGCAATTACAGGGTATATACCCAGAGATATCACATCCTCAGCAACCCATCTCAACGCCGTCATAAGGCCCATCGTGATCGCTTTCATCTCCCTCAAAGATATTCGGCACATCCCCAACAATACATAGATCGCTCGAGTTATCTTGGCCTGTACCTCACATGGTCAGCGATCCTCGTCGATTTTTCTGACCGATTCGATCTTACCGGGGCAAGCGTCCCACGCGCCCGAATCCTGGATGTGCACCTCGCCCGAGGGATGGTGGAAACCGAGAAACATGCCCGGCAATATCGGGACGATATCCTCCTCATTGTTGATGTGCGTCAGCGCCGTGACGTGCGCGTCGACGTAGTCCGCGAACGCCTGGTTCCCGACCTTACGAAATCGTCTCAGTATCGGGACCGCTTTCGGGAGATACGTGGCACTACGTACCCTGGGCAAGCCGTAAACGACGGTCTGGAACGTAGTGGTGGACGGTAGATGAAGCGGAAGGTAGACGGCGTCGAGGAGCGCGATGGCGCCGCCGAGCGAGTGCCCGACCATCGTGACCGACGTCGCGCCGAACCGGGACATAGCAGTCTGCACGGCCGCGAGGACCTGGGTGGCAGCACTGCAGAGGGAGGTATGAGATGAATGACAGGCCTGGCCAGTCGTCTGTGAGTCGTAAACACTTGCCTGGCTTGTGCGCTCCGGAATCCTTCGTGGACCTCAACTGAGGACGAGATACCGGGGAAGAGCGTCGAGTCCAGCGTTCCTTTAGCGATGTCTGCATCGGTAATCAGCGGCAAGCTACGCGTCGGGGACGCGATTTGATTAATTCGGACATAACCCCGTATGACGCCAGTAATACATACATCTCGCTCGTGTCCGTGCCCTGGTGCGACACGACGACGGTTTTCGACGCAGGCAAGAATCCGACGAACCAGAATTGGACCGAGTCGCCATCCCCGCCGGACGCGACGGGCTCGAACCCGGGAACGTTATCGCAGTTCGTCCCGCAGTCCCACGCGAGCGTCGTCGCGGGGCTGCAGTACCCGGCGCTGGCGAGGAAGGTGAACGGCTTGAAGGCCTCGATCTGGCTCGTGCTGAGGGTCGTGATGCTCTGCCGTGCGTGCAGCGACGGGGCGGCAAGCGCTCCGGCGACCCACATCGCGGCAGCAGACAGAGACAGGCGCGAGGAGACCATGGCGCTACAAAGGGCTCGAGAGGGGAGGGAGAGCAATCCGGAGCTCGCTGAGGTCGTCCTCCGCTGCTGCACCAGCTATATATGGGGCACACTTAGTATACGCAATTAAGCCGGTAGCTGGATCCCGGTGAGAAGCATGGCACCGTCTCTGAAGAAGAACAGATGCGGTCGATAAATAAGCCCGCCTCCGCGTGTCGGCAATCAAGTCCAAGCAGCTTATGGACCAGGCGATGCCATGCGACGTCCACGGCCGTCGTTGCCTCGAGAACGTTTGCCCATGGTCGTACAGGTGCTTATGGCGCGCTGGAGGGAAGCCCTCGGCGGTAGTGCTGGCGAGGGAGCGAGCGTGAGGCCGATCAACGTTATCTATAGCAGCATCCTGCTGGCCAATTGAAAGGCTGGTTGACGTGCGGGGCGCGAGAACGTGCGTCGCATAGCAATGAGGCAATCCCGTGGCAGGCGGAGTAAACGGTTTAGCATGGAGGAGAAGAGAAGAACCATGCGTGCCTGTCGAAGGAGTATACTTCGAGTAGGTCATGGGGGATGCAATCTAGCAAAGCCTCAGTCTCGGACGGTCTGAACCGAATTGTATGTGATTATATTGCTGATCACGTGCGCATGCGCATACTCCTCGATCGACGTTTGTCGGATTAAGTACATTGAAAGGAAAGAGGAAAAGAAGTCGTTTAGGAACCTGCGTCGAGTTATTTCACGTTGATCGTAGATCCAAATAACCTCAATCGTCATCCATTAGCATTAAATGCAAACTGCGGAAGAACCAGGTGAACGAGCGCCACCATGAAACTACAGTGTAGATGATGCCAGCGGTGTTCTGAGTAGCCTGAACAAGTGCGTCTCCCTGTTCGGTTTCGACCAACGAATCTGTACCGTCCGAGATCAGTTTGTGGCGGATGACCTTCAGGATCGTGACTGGTGCGGGCTTCGGGATCGGGATCGCCGGGGTGGAGGTCAATACGTAGACCAGCCGGCGCTGCCAGTGCCAGATCGCGCGATAGTAGCCTACGGCGGGGTGCTCGTCGTACTTTACCACGCGCGAGCGCAGTTCCGGTCCCAGTCCTCTCAAAATCGCGTGGAGCCGGGGAATCACCTCGTTCATGGTCGGCCGCTCTCTGGGATTGATGCGCGTCATGTCCTCCAGAAGCGGACGCAAGAACTTGAAGCCTTTGTATACCTGGGATCAAAGGTCGGGTTCGGTTTATTGGTCCTACAACTCAGGGTAGTACAAAGTAAGCCATGGCTCACATAGACTATGTGTTCGCGAATTCCAGATGCAAGGCCGTAGACGTCCGCGGGGAAGGGGTCGTAGTACACAGCGCGGGCCATGAAGGCCGGGTTCGATCGGAGCTGCGGATGTCGACGAATCAATTCGCGTATCTGCATGGGAACCTCAATCTCGGGAGCTGCTAAGTGCACATCGTCAAGATCGTAACGAGGCACTCTCGGGGGGATCCCGCGAGGGTAAATCCGCGACGCCCGGGACGAGGCAAAATAGTACCGGGGCGGGCGTTGCGTGCGCGTGTAGCGCTTCGCGTATGCCTCGGGGTTCCAGTCTCTCGCGCGCTTGGGGCTGATGGGGTGGAACCCCTCGGGATACATATCCCTCGGATCCAACATGGCCTTCCTCATGATGTTTGCGCTGCGAGTTGAAGGCCAAGTTGAGCGGGGTCGACGATCGCTCATAAACGTACGTGACGTACCGATACGCTATCCTGTGCATGTGCAGAAAGTGCAAGCCCTGGTGATCCAACGACGTGAGCTTTTTCTGGAGAACATTCTCGGATGATCTGGGACCAACGACTTGCCTCGAAGATCTGCATAATCATGGACACAATTTCTCCGACGGTGTCAAAGGAAGGGTCATTCCACTCGCGAAGCACCGGGGAAACGATGAAGACCGTGTTTTTCTCTCCGGAGGCGGCGAGAACCTCATATACGGGCACGCAGTGGTTGCGACGGTCGCAGGCGAGCGGCTCTCGACCAAGTGTGCGAATGATTGACACTTGGTGTGAGGGCGCGGGGGCGCAAATGCGCGTCAACAAGATGTCGGCGCCGTCTGCGACGCGAACGGCGAACATTTTGGTGATAGAGCTCTAGGTAGCAAGGAATACGGGGGTCGCGTTCAGATCATCCGGGCGTTCGCAGCACGCAAAGACTTACTATGTTGTAGAGTGCACCGTCCTCCTGATCCCAATAAGGGACATCTTCGCCCTTTCCCTTCCAAGACGGGACCCAGCCCGGTCTGAACCGGTCGGGCAGGCGGTATCCGTACCCCAGTAGCCAGTCGTAGCGATCGCGCCAGCGCTGCTCGAATTCGTCCAGCTCGCCGCCCTTTCGATCCACGCGTCGCTCGCCCGCAAACGCCGCCCGCAAACGCCGCTTGTGTACGACCAGCTCACGCTCCCCGCGATCCACGTCTTGTTTTTCCACAGACACCGCGCGAGAGTGCTGGTCGTGTACGACCACTTCACGCGTCCCTCGAAGTACGAGTTGCTTTTCTTCAGACATGGTGCGCTAAAGTCGCAAGGTAAGTGATGCATCGGAGCGTACCTGTCTGCACTTTAAGTTCCACTGGACGGAGGGACAGGAATGAGGCACGAACAAAAGTACTAAGGTGGTGCTGGACATGTTTTTCGTCTACTTATCCTGTTCTCTTTGTGATCGTATTATCTTCCGCGATCACAGAGACGAAGTTCAAAAGCCACACGGAGTGGCACAATCGCTCTAAGGCGGTTGACGCTGTTCATGGCGAGTCGATGCGCCGAGGCCAATGCTGCAGAGAAACGGAGACCTAGTGACAAAAGCGAGTTGTACACTGTTGTACAGCACCCAGCGCTTACATAGCGCCGGAGTGATTACGTAGGCTCGTGTCCAGCCCCGGAGGCTCTGGAGTCGCCAAGTTGTCCATGAGCTTACTTCCTCCCAGACCAACACAATGCCAGCACACGGGAGGTGCCGCTCTACTTTCCTCTGGCTATGTAGGGTTATGCTGAATTGCGCGACATGGGTCAATTGTTTCGCGGACCGCATAGGATTGCTCGCATGAATCGGGTTGCTGGTCATACTTCCAGCACACCCCGGTAAAAACAGCTGCACACGGCCAAAGAGATCTTAGACAAAAGATTCTTGTCACTGGAATGATACCACATGGAGTAATGTCTGTGATTATCCCGCCAGACAATCCCCTCGAGTTTATGAGTCTCAATAACGTGTCGTGTTGCTGTCGCTCGCGCCTCGAGTACATAAAGCAAGGAAAAAGCGTCCTGACTCGCTACTACCTACGATGGCGGATATACTCGACCCTTGCGCTTACCTTCATGCTTTTGACAGCGATCTTGTCTCATGGGAATATTTCTGGCGCGACCATTACAACTGGCTAAAGAGCTGTGGATATTGTCTACGTGCTCGATATCATCCGGACTGGATTCCATCATGGATAATCAGGGATGACTTGGTCGATTACGAACAAGAAGATTTCTGGATTGATGGGGCTGTTGGTTTCCCATCCATCAACGTAATTCAGCGAATTGAACAAGATCCCCTCACAGGATGCTTGTAATATGGACGCCGTTCGCATGGAGGACGGTATCGCCGTGAAGTTGAAACTTATTCACCTTCGCGAATACATCGAAGAAGAAAAACTTTTGTACAAACTCGACGAAGATGCGCTCGCCACCGACCCTCAGAACCACTGTATGCCGACGTTCGAGATTCTCAATGTCCCTGGTGAGGAGGAAGATCTGCGGATTGTCATCACGCCACTGCTGCGTGATTGGGACGATCCTCGTTTTGACACTGTGGGCGAAGTCGTCTCCGTGATCCAGCAAATCTTTGAGGTATCGAGTCCTTCCAATTCTTGTGTACAATCATGTCACAGCTCGCACTATAGGGCATGAACTTTATGCATACTCACGGAATAGCATATTGGTAAGTCGCAAGCTTATGCTATACTCAGTTTCGGTGATCCATAACTCCCCTTCGCTCCCAGCAGCACCGTAAGGAACAATATCAAGCTAGATCCTTGGGACATGTATCCCGACGGATTTCATCCTTCCAACCATACAGTGCCGAGTGACTGGGATATCTATGGAGTCGCCAAGCATTACACGCGCACCCAATGCTCACCTAGATACTACCTCGAGATATCTCCTACGTCGCTAATCTACTCCACCCGACACGGTGCGACCGCTGCTTCGATTGATGGTGTCGACGGCGCCGTTTTTGAGGTCCAACAGGATGGATGTAGCACGTACTTTCCATTTGCCGAGGACGTATACTCGCTCGCAGACTGGGTCAAGAAAGACATCATCGACGTGAGTGCCTCCATGTGGGGTCGCTTCATTGCGCACATATGACTGAACGTCAACACGGTTTCCAGGTGTTCAAGGACTTCGACTTTCTCCGCCCACTGGCGGAAGAAATGACACTCAACAGTCATGTTCACCGTCCACAAATGGAGGACGCGATTCACCGCCTTGATGCGTTGATCAAAGGCATGAGCTCCTCGCAGCTTCGTTCGCCCGCGGTCTACAAGAGCGACCATTCGCTTGTGAGGGTCTATCGCGCTATCGGATATTGGAAACGTCGGCTTTTCTTTACGGCAACATCCACTCCGCCAATCCCGATGCCGAAGACTGCCATCAAGTCTATCGATGAGAACGATTTCAAGCGCATTACTACCATTGGGCTACGATGTGGTGTTCGCCTCAGACAAAACGTCAATGTTGCGAGTAGACTGCAGAGGAGCTGTTCCGAGACGATCTCGTACTGGAGGCTCATCATATACTGCTTTAAGATGTATCATTATGTGTTATTGGGAGAAAACGGGTTTTGAGGGGCGGTGAACGAGAATTCCATACCGTCGACGAGCACTACACTGCATGCGGACTATCGATCGTGGGCGACTTAACTGAAACACGGGCGACGATGAAGGCGAGAAGCGACTATATCTATCATACAGAACGAAATCCAGCCTGAGGAATCATATCTGTTTCTGATATGTGCGTGGGACTTATTCTGCTACGAGTTCGAGCCCGGGAATGCAAGCATCCAAGTCTTCGCTTTAGTCGCTGAGGCTCGCAATGTCACCGTGCATGCGACTGCACCGGAGCACCTGGTTGTCCATATCACTGACTCTGGGGTGGACAGTGCCACTCGGTCACGCTTTCGTGAATGCGCATCGAGTCCCTAACGTGCCTGGATTACAACTTGTTGTGGAAATTGAGGGCCACTTGCAGCACGACGTCCTAGCATTGTGGATCAGCACAAGCGTATCGCTCCAGGCATTATCATAATAGACCTATAGTTAGGCGGTCGTTTGAACGACTTCTACTACGGTGGGTAGGCTAGCGTCCAGTTGAGTTGCATTAAGCCCTTCAGGCAACGTCACGTCTCGGTCTCGCTCGTATTGTCTGTCGTCCCATTCCCCGAAACCAACATAACTGTCGGGGTAATCATCGACAACCTCGTCAGGATCATACTCCGGATCATCGTTTTCGCCCGGAGGCGTGTTATCCGTAGGCACGACGCCCTTCGCTAGCTCCACGTCTCGAGGCGTCCACTCAAGAGGGTCACTTGCTGAATCGTGCCCGCGTTGCTTCGCGAGGCCTAGAAAACGCTCCCTCCATGTTGTGTAATCGGGGGCGTCGCTGAAATCGAGAGTCCAGGAAGTTGCCAACGTCGGGAATTCCGGCCCGTGTGAGTAAAACACCTGTGCAAGCTTCCTTCGCAGCTTGAATTCGTATCATGGCATGTATTTGCCCCTCGTCGAGGTAAGCTCTCGTCCAGTCCGATCGCCAAGGTAGATCTCCGCGGCCGAGATAGAGTCCCACGTATGCCAAAGACTCGAGGTCGTCCCTACGTGAGAGGTCTAGACGATATCGTTCCGACGACCGGTGACTCCAGTTGAGTGAAGTTATCGCATGCGATCGAAAAAAGAACCCAGCGACGCCCTTATGAGAATTTAAACTGGCCCACTGGAAGGTACCGACGATCCCTCGTTTCTCGCTTATCGGGTCGTACTTGACCGGTGGACAAGCACGCTGAAAGGGCTTGGCAATATCGAAATCGATGAGCTTGAGCCGCGGCCGAATCCTCTAAGAAGCTGAGAATATTGGCAGGCTTGACGTCCCGATGGACGATCCCAAAAGAATGGACGTGTTGGAGAGCGGAGAGCTGCGAAATCACTGCTTCGGCATATTCTCCGACACTCGGATGCAAGTTACCATTTGTTCCATGACGCGGGCGTACGTTTTCACAGGAGAACCAAAAGGCGCAGGGTGTAGACCTTTCAGACTGGGTCCGAGGAGCTCCATCGCCAGATATTCGAAGTGCGGCAGGTGTCCGTAAGCGTAAACCTCTGGAATCGACATATGTCCTCGAAGCGCTTGCAGGATTCGACTTTCGTGCCGTAGCAAGGGCCTTCGGACCCGTAGTGAAGCGCGCGATGTCTTGAGAGCGATGACTTTCTGATCGCTCTCGTCTAAGGCCTGATAGACTCGGCTCTGTACTTACACACGATGTCAGCGATGTCTTGTGTATGAAGTTTTCCTTCGACTCACGTAGGCGCCATGCCCAAGCGCAGGCTTGTACGGGAGGCGAAAGCGGCATATCTGAGTGTCTCGGTTTGCCATTGATGATGCTGAATACCCGGATCTCAGCATTCCGCGAATGAAGCTCTCCAAGACGGGCTCCTGATGTCGATGGTAAACATGAGAAGCAGTTCAGATGTAACCCAACGCATGTACCACGTCTACACACGGGTGAATAGGTGACAAATGCTGTCCCGCGCCCCTATCGTGTTCTGGTCTTTTACTCTTCATAGAAACATACGTATACGTGTCGCGTCTGTCGGTGAACATTACCATGCAGTCAAGCCCGCCACTAACCCCGATGTACCGTGCAATGCATATATCTGCACCCGTGTCCTACCATCACGATACCAGAAGACGTGTCTCGCTGTATCAGAAATACGATCAGTGTCCGAATAAAGCGTTCCCAGGTTCCGACGGGAGCCGAAAGAATGACATCCCTTCGACGCGGAACCTTTTGCCCGAAAGACTGGATGAATCAATCAATTCATATATGTACTCAGTGCACGTGACGAGCGCCCCTTGTGCCTTCGCCATCGTCGTCGCCGTCGTCGCCGTCGTCGCCGGCGCGCACACAGCTCGTCCAAGACGCCCGCAACGGTCTCCTGGACGTCGAGTGCCCCGTCACCGCCACGTACGTCGTCCGCCTTCCATGGACCGCATTCCGTGCCGAACGCCTGATTCATCGAACGCAGTCTCGGCACAGCGCCCCGCGCCATTGTTAGCGCTGCGATCTCTCTGGCAGTCGTCCTGACCGCCACCTCTTCAAAAGGGCGACGACGCCGCGCACGACGACGATGGACCCGTCCCCGTCACCGCCGGCAGTGACATCCACCACGCCCACACCCATGACTCGCTCTGGCAGCCTACGCACGCGCTCGCGGTTGCACGGTCCCCGCGTCCCGCGCCCGTTGACCGCGCGCACCCAGCCGCTCGTCGTCGACGTCCCGCCCCCGCCCTTAACCGCCTCCAGCTCTTCCGATAACCTCAACCCTTCCTCCTCGGCCCAGCAGTCGAGCGCCCCCACGTACAGCGCCGGCTTCGTATATAACGGCGCGGGGTACGTCGAGGGCATCCCGGACGAACTGCTGTCCCCGCCCCCGGACGCGCCTGAACCAGCGTACGAGCCCGCGCTCGCCACGGCCGTGGCGGACTCGCCGACGGTGCTGCCCTTCCGGAGCCCGACGACAGGCGTCCCTTTCCCGGTCCCGGTGCCGGACACACCTGCACCTGCTTATCCTGCCACGCCGCCGCCGCCGCCCCACCCACAACTACCGCTCTCGCGCACGCAATCCCAGACTCAGGTGCAGCGCGGCTCGCCGTCGCCCTTCCCCTTCCCCTTCCGCGAGCCTCTGGACACCGTCGACACCGGCGTGCAAACCGCCGCGTCCTCCTCCTTACCCCCTTCGCCCCCACCCATACCCTCCGCTTCCCCCCCGTCCATCACAAAAGTCGACGTCGGCGTCCAGGCCCTCGTCCCGTCTCCCCCGCCCTCCCCCGTGCCCTCGCACCCGACCTCGACGCACAAGCCCACCCCGGCGCCGACCCCCAAACCGTCCCTCGTCCTCCTCCCACCCGCCGCGCCGCTCTCCTTCGCTCCTCCGCCCACGCCCGCCTCCCCGCCCTACAAAGGCCTCACCCTCCACGCCGCCCAATGGACGTTCACCTCCCCGCAGCTCCAGGCCATCGTCGCCCGCGCGATCCGGCAATCCGCGCACGAAGACGCGCTCCGCATCCTCCCGCTCGACTGCCTCGACGACGCCGAAGGCGGGGACGACGGCGCGAGCGCGCGCGAGGCGCGGAGGGTCGAGGCCGCGGCGCGCGAGGCGCAGGCGCGGTACCGGTTCCTGGCGCAGAGGAGGAGGATGGTGTTGCAGGGGCTGTGCGCGCTCGCGAGCGGCGGCGGCGGTGGGAACGGCGGGGCGGGCGGGGGGGAGGAGCCGGAGGAGAACGTGCTGGGCAAGCTGACGCTCGACCTCGCGGCGCTGTGCGCCGAGCTGGATGCGCTCGCGGCGGCGCTGCTCGCCCACGCCCACGCGCTGCATACGCTGCGCGCGGCGCAGCACGTGCACCATTCGTCGGCGCTCGCGATCGCGCTGCGCAAGCTGAACGCGTCGTATGCGAAGAGGAGCCGGCAGCTCGAGCGCGCGCAGAGGAGGGTCGCCGATCTGGAGGGCGAGGTGGAGGAGGCGTGGAGGGTGGCGGAGGAGGTCGCGCGCGAGGTGGATGGGAGAGAGGGGAGGAGGGGGATCGAGCAGATGGTGGAGGAGATGGGGTTTGCGTACACGGATATTGTAGGTGGCGAGGCGAGGGAGGAGAGCGACGAAGGGAGGGAGAGGGAGGATGGAGATGATGATGCTGAGGAGGAGGAGGAGGAGGATGCGGAGGAGGAGAGCCCGTTGCAGGGGAGGAGTCCGGTGGGGAACAAGACGATGGTGGAGGAGCAGACGATGGCGTTTGGAAGGGTGGAGCCGGAGCCGAGTGAGGAGGCTTTGGCGGCACGGGCGGCGTTGCATCGTGATCCGGTCGAGGAAGAGGAGGAACAGGACAGGCCACCGAACAACGAAGGACATGCGCCCGGCCACACCCCAATCGAGGCGGCGGAGGTGGAGAACGCGACCGGAACTACGACACATGACGACGCGCCGGAATACGACTCTGCGCTCGATTCGGACAGCGAGGACACCGGTATCCAGCACCAGGATGTCGATGAAGACGATACGGGACCGTTGTCGGGCGATATCTACGACGAGGGCACGATCGGCATCGTCAATGGCGTGCGGGCCGTCGCGAGCAAGGCGATGCTGCTCGCGCACCCCGCCAGTCCGCCGCCGGGGACGGAGACCTTTGGCCCCCTACCGGCGTCTATACCTCTTCCGCCTTCTGTGGCGGGCTCCAGCTTGGGCGGCAGCGTTCCGAATTCTCCAAGCCATGCCGAGCCAGCGGCGGAAACCGCCGCTGAAGACGCCCAGCCATCGGCATCTTCAAACCCGGCCCCCACAGCGCCGCCGCAAGCGCCGCTCCCGAGCCCGCCCTCCGCCACCGAACTCCTCTCAGGTCTCGTCACGCCTCCCTCTGTCTCCGCCTCCGCCTCGCGCGCCTCGTCCCTGATCGCGCCCTCCCCGCCGCCCGATAGCGACAGCCCAGTCGCGGCCGCACCCTCGGCGTTCGCGCGACACCACCGCTCGCTCTCCCTCGGTTCATTCATCTCAACGCCCGCCTCGCCGCCACCTCTGTACATCCCGTCCGCCCCACGCGCGATCGCGCCCGTCCCGCGCCCTCACTCGGACCACGAGCGGGACGAGCAGACAAGAGAAGGGCTGAACCTGCCCCGCTTGCCCACGCCCGTCTTCCCCTCGCCCCTCTCGCCGCCGTCGGACTACTCCGACCCGGACGGGGCGATGTCGCCCCGCCGGCGCGAGCGCAAGATGTCGGCGGAGAGCGCCAAGTCGTCCGCGTCCGCGAGCCGGCGCGTGTCCGCCGCGCGCAAGCGGAGCATCCTCAAGACCAAGAGCGGCCTGCGCAGCCCGCGGACGAGCACCGGGCCCCCCGGGCCCGGGCCCGCGATCAGGCAGCGGAGTCGCAGCCGCGGGCGACACTCGGCCAAGCCGTCGCTTAGCGGTGGACAGCTGGAGGCGGCCAACTCGGTCGCGTTCCCGCCCGTGCCGAGCGTCCCGTCCGAGCACCAGAGCACGCAGAGCCAGCGCTCGACGTTTTTGGATCTGAAGCCGACGCCGCCGATTCCGGGCGCGGCGCCGGCGGAGGACGCCAATTCGATGATCGGCCGCGCGAGCTTTTTGGACATGGAGCGGGACAGGACGCCGAAGGCGAGCATGATGAGCTCGATGGCGGACGAGGACGGGAGTCTGGTGGAGGCCACGATCCGCATCCCGCTCGCGAACGGGGCGGCCGAGAGGGCGAGGGGAAAGACGCAGGACGGTGAGCGATCGTTTTATATCTCGTCTGTCCAAGGATAGAGCGCTGAGATGTTGATGACGGTTGCTGCAGATCATGACATCGTGCCGCCCCCGCACCGGAGCGCGTTCTCGTTCCTGCACCACGCCTCGAGCTCCGCAGTGCAAGATATGTCGGACGGTGAGGACGGGCACGAGGACGTGACGAAGCACGCGTCGACGCAGGGAATACCACCCAAGTCGGTCCGGCGCGCGAGCGTGTCCGAGTACAGCTCGTCGTACACGTACCCCAAGAGCCCGGCGGGCGGGAGCGGGTCGAGCGCCACCGGGAGGAAGAGCAAGTCGCCCCGCGGGGCCAAGTCTCCGGAGAGGATCGGCACGGTGGTTGCGTCGTGGCTAAACCTCGGCGCGCTGGGCAAGAAGGGCGCGAAGCGGCATTCGAGCGCGATCGATAGGCTGGTGGAGGAGGAAGGCGATGGTGCCGCAAATTCTGGGACGGGGAGCGGGCATGCGAGGGGACAGGGGTCGAGCGAGAGCGGGGCTGCGTCCGGGTCCGGGCATGGCCACGCGTCGAGGATTGGATACGAAAAGGTGCTTGGTTTGGTGTCGCCGAAAGGCCGCAAGGACTCGAAGGCGATTGGCTGAGACGGATGTCGGTCTAACATCTTGATTTGGTTGTAGTTGGTTGTCCACTCCTTTCTTTCCGCTGTATCCTATGCTTTTGGATTGCTCTCTCCGTCGGTTTTCACCCTCGTAATTGCTTTTTCGGCACACGTTTTAGATACTCATCGATTCCTAGGATTTCATTAACATGTATAATACACTATATTGACACAAATGTATATGCGCAATCAGTGAAATACATTAGAGGGATGTAAGTACTATACTCTACAGTCCAGGATAAGATGATACACTGTCTATGCTTTGGCGTGCCGGCGTTTCGCCAACCATTGGTAGTGGCAGGCTTCCAGACGCTGTATGACCTGTTCGATGGTCGGGCGGAACGCCGGGTCGTACGACCAGCAATCGAGAAACAGGCCGTATAATTCTTCGTCCATGCCCCGTTCGACAGCCGCTTCGTCCATAGGTTTCTCTGGCAGCTTCCGCTCCCCGGGATAAGGGGCCATCGCGAGTTTGTAGTCGTGCAGACGGAGACGCTTTCCCATCACCTGTATAACATCAGTTGCGTGACCCTCCACGGCAAAAAAAGAGAACGGTCACTCACGAGCATAATCAGCCCGCCGAAGGGCCAGATATCGGCTGGTTTGCCGTACATGTACTTGTTCGATGAGCCGCATTCCGGAGCAACGACCCTAGTAGGCGGAATCAGAGACCGCATCTGTGACGAACCATGAATGCAATCAGATACCAATGAGTGTCGTCGTACTCCGCCGACCTATATCGGACTTTTCCGTCCGAATATCTGAGGGTCTACCGTGCGTGGTTTTAGTGAGGTCCGTGTGAGAGGCATGTGTGGCGACATACTCGGGCATCGTAGAATTTGGTGATATAAACCTTGGGCTCTTCGTCCTCTTCTATGATTTGAAACGCGGTCTTCCATTGAGGGATGACTCATGAGCACGGCGAGGGGAAATCGACTACCCACGCTGAGCCACATACCTCCTTTATCCTGCCGTGTACTACATTCTTTCTGTGAAGCCAATTAATGCACCGTGCCATCTTGATGAGCTAGCGGATTAGGTGAGCATCAGGTGCGTTGAAAGCCAATGCGAGGTTCATACCAGGAGGAGGCGATCGGCGTCGGGACGCTTCGTAAGATATTCGGCTATTGACCCAAGCGTCCAAGGTGCGATCAACCCGCTGTGGAAGAAAACCATTGTTGCTACGTCCGATTTAGAGGATATTTCGAGCTTACTGATGGAGGCAACCCCACAGAGGAAGGACGACGCCCTCTGAATCTGCCTCGTATAAAGCCTTCCATACGCTCGAAGCGTCATTGAATGGCTGATGAACGAGCTCAGCCTTAACGCAGCGCGGTCACTCGAAAATCGGCGGTACTCACATCTCGATCATAACGTCTCCAAGGGCCGTCACAATCGGCACGCCGACATGGATGTCGATAGAACGCTGCCTCGCTCGCACCAAAAAATAGGTCTATTTTGAACACGTCTGCCATGTTCCCGGGTATTTCATCTCCGTCGACGAACCACGTGAATTCGTCGGGACCTGTGTCATCGCGGTTACTGGAGTCGTAGATATATGGATCCTTCAGCTCCAACGGGTTCCTGATGAATTCGATAGCACGTCGGAGGGTCGACCAAGCGCGGAAAAGCTCCTCCTCTCCGGATGGCGGTAGAATGCGAATGAACTGGGTTTCCCGTGTTACCTCGATCATAGAACGTGGTTTAAACCACGCACCTTGCGCAGATCCTCCAGAGTGGTAATGATGGTGTGCTTTCGTGTTTCCCACCTATCTGCTTGGACTTCTTCGGCAAAAAGGGAGGTGAGGCGGGCGACCAGGGAGGCAATGGAGGGCATCTCGACATATCTGTCCAGCTGACAGGGAATCGGTCAGGGGGCTTGAACCTAGCTGGGATGGACAAACGTCGTGTTGTGACAGGAACTTCAGGACCTTATGGGCTGTTTCCCTGAGCCGCTCGATTGTGCGGGTATCGTACCAATCGTCGTCGAGGTATTGATTGTAGAGAGGGAACCCAACAGGGTTCGGGTCCCACGATGGAGTAGCCTCTAGCAAAATCCTGGAACGAGGAGCAAGCGTCCACATACATTAGTTCATTACGGCAGTTGGAGTCCGGTATACTTACGAGTAGGCCTCAGGCAGTGCGTTGACGACAGAATTCCGAGAGCTCCACTCCTTGTACTTGGAGCGGAGCGCCAGAATCATCCGATCGCAGTAGAGCGCGACCAAACGATGCGCCAGTCTGTTTCTAAGGGCCGTCAAGATATGAGTGCTATCCAACTAGTAGGAATGACGATAGCCTGACTTCTTACTCAGCACATAGGTCACATCATTAAGAGCCTGCACCCGCCAAACGTGCTTCTGGAAACAAAACGGAGCCCCGCTGGCCGCACCAGATGCGGTTGCGAACGATGTTTCGATGACGTGTATGCGTTCCTCGCGGGGATAGCCCATATTAGGATGTCTATACAGGTGAGAGTGTGCAAGTTTAGAGGTCGGGCAGCGATGGATCTGGTAAAACGTGAAGTCGAGATATGCAGCGCGCGCTGGAGTGTAGACCTGTGGTTTTATGCTTCGCCAAATACAAAGCGTCTGTGTAGCAACGCCGGTGCCATATTGTTGTTGCCAACATGCAGGTAAAAAGGTCGCGCTGAACCTCCCTCAGCAGTTCGAAGAGAGATGCGATGAACAAAAGGAGAGCACTCTTGATCCGGCGAATGCTGTCTCGTTGATCAATACCGTCTCACCTGGGCAAGTAGCATGTAAGCTTGCAATCACATGCGGATGTCCAGTTCTCACTCGGATAAGAATTGCATATACCAGCTTCGTTGGTAGGATGAATCGCATAGGAACAAAGGGCTGCATCCAGGTGTGGGCGTCTGTTGAGACAGCGTGAACAGCAGGCTTTGTCACGCTCCTAGTCCTTGTAATGGCTACATTTCCTGTCAAAAAATCAACAGCAGACGTTGACCAGATTGTTGTCTGGAGCCGGCGAAAGATTCGACAAGGTAAGAATACTAACGGCTGCGATACCAAGAGAGGTAACGATGTGGCGGTGCAGGTCAGCGCGCTTTAGGAGAGCCTCTCACGCGCCGCAGCTTTATCACCGTCCAGACCCGCAGGCTGCTTGCTTTTTGGTGTCCGGAAGTTGTCGCGCGTTCTGGTGAAGCAAATCCACATGGATTGGCCTCAGAACCTACCAATGTTCCCGTCCGTTTTGGAGATGCATCACAATAGCGGCATCGACAGCACTGAATCAAGTATGTACTCAGACCCAACATGATGTGCAATCTCGATGGTACGCACTCCTAAAATTCAAATTTCGACGCTGCATACCCAATCCTTATACAATACGCAGACATCTGATTGCTTACGCGAGTTGCCTAGATTTCCAGATCATCAAGGAGATGCACCAGAGCCTGTCTGGCTTGGCCACCCTCGCGAGTGGTCGCAAACAGCTCATCCCTAATCCTCTCAGCCTTCGCGCGTTTGGCATCACCATCTGCACCCTTCGCCTTCTCAAGAATGTCCACGAACTCCCTCCGCAACGCCTCAGGCGTTCCCTCCGGTGCTTTGCCCGTGCGGTAAATCGGCTTCCGGGCGTATGGTCCGCTGCGCACTTCGAGTAGCTGGTAGGCGACGTTGAGGTTGACGCTCAGAACGACGGCGTTGACTGGCTGATCACCGAAGAAGTCCCAGCAGATCCTTGTCACGTCCGGTCAGACCCCACTCGTATATCACGATACGGTGACTCACATAGGAACGCCGGCGCTCAGGCTCTCGATCACGCTGTTTTGGCCGGAGTGCGTCAGGAACCACCCGATGGCCTGGAAAATGTATCAATACTGAGGCCGCACCTCGCCGAGGAACTGCGATCGCCGTACCTTGTGGGCAAGTATCTTCTCCTGCGGCGTCCACTTGGAGAGGATCCCAAGACCAGAGCGCTCAATCTTGGCTGAGATCTCCTCCGGAATGATGGCTTGCGGCGATGCATGAGCAAGGATCTATTTGGTGAAAATGCCCGTGATTAGCGCGCTCCACGACGCGATGATTGCCACGGGATCCGTACGAATGGCACATTTTTCTCGATGAGTACGTCGACGATGATCCACAGCTTCTCTGGATTGCCCCACGGCCCCCATGTAGTACCAAAGGAAATCTGTGGACTCTTGTCAACAGGACGCCATCGAGCCAGGTATTCTGAGCGTACATATACGACCGAGTGGGATCCATGCGTTGCGAGTTTCGAGTCGAGGAAAGTCGTATGAATATCGGCACCGGCGCCCTCGACTGTCGCCTGCGCCTGCAGTGGAAGCTGTGGGCCAATGCTATATACCTTTTTTGGCGGTTGTTCGCTGGCCGTCCAGTCTGCGACGGCACCGATCCCGCCGTTGTCAATGCATGGATCTGAGGTCAGGACTATGCCTTGACATTCCTTCAAGAAGCTGTAGAAAGCCGGTAAACAGATGCTACACGCCGATACAAAACCGAGAAACACACGTGTGAGAGGAATGCTGAATGGTCAGGAAATGGCCATAGAGAGGGGGCGGCATCTTAATGTCAAATTCGATGAAGGTCAGCGCCAGCGGAGCACCTAGATGGGTACACAAAGGCGCACCGGCTGAGCGAGAAATTCCCAGTCGTACATCGGAGGCAGATCGCCAATGGTGATTAGCTTGCCAGGCAAGTTCTCCATAGTCTGCGTGATCGGATGTTAGTGAGTGACAGTGATATATCGCAGGGTATGCGCAGCTCACCATCGCGAGTGTCTCCACAGGACCCTTCCCCGTCTTCGCGGCCAATGCCTCAACAGAGGCCTTCATGTCGCCTGCCCCGCCTCTCTCGACTGGGCCATAAGTATGGACTAAGTGGGCTGGACTGTGAGTGCCCCAGGCCAAGACGGGAATCTTGGCGATATCGTGCACCGCGGTCAACGCATACAATGCGAAGAACTGTATAATTACTTAGCTCATGTCGTAAAAAAAATCCGTTCGACTGACGTCGATTATGGCAGCTTTGGGAGGACTGACAACCTCGAAGGTAGTCCCCTTAGCTGCGCAGGTGATGGCTTCTCCCTTGGACAAACTGGTCACGACTTGTCGAAACGCCTCTTCCGCCGGACCGTAGTCGAGATCTGATGTACCTCCTGGAAGAGAAACGACCCTAGGTTCATAGTTAGCTTGGAGTGTAGCTCCGCCAACGCCACGAGACGAAGTACCTAATGAATTTCTTGGCATCCTCATCAGAGGAAACGAAGTTCCTGCTAATCTCTAGCTCTATTTTGTCGAGAAGCTTCTCGGAAACGGCCAGAGTGACATAGATCGGACGCGATTTCACGACGTTCGCAGCGAAGTTGCACAGCGGTTTGACGTGACCTACGCGTTATCACGGTGGCGTTCGATTCGGGTGAAATTGACCAGCGCGTGAGGTAAAAGTCGCCTTTCACCCGAAAATCAGGTGAATGGGGTGGCGTGCGGGTGAAATGGATTCGCCCGAAAGTGAGGTGAAAATAGCCCAGTGACATTTTTCTGCGAGGAAACGCATCATATCGCTGCCAACTACTGCTAGACATACCTCCTTGAGATTTTGTTGGTTATTGTGTTATATACTTGTACTCTACACTCTGCATGCACAGCGACGGGCTGCCTTGCACCGACACTATTCGCAAGTCCAAGTCTGCTGCTTTGGGGTGGAGCGCTGATGTAAGCGGTTGCATTACGCGCCACGACCCGCTTTGCGATACGACTTTCTCTGCTTCCACCATTACCAACGACCAGCAAACGGACTTCAAAGCAGAGCATGTAGCTCCGTACGAGACAAAGAAGCAGCGCGTAGAAGATCATCTAGTATCACCGATGCTGAAAGGGAGGCTTAGGCGACAACTACCCTCGGCTGCCAATGCAGACCCTGACCACCGCACGGCTTCGTGCAATGAGAGGTCAGCTGCGTAACCCGAGGTCAACAGACCCACAGAACCACTACATGAGCTGGGTGTGATGTAGCATCGGGTGAGGCAACTCGAACAACTCACGTCAATGGTGCACTGACTGTCTGTGATATCCAGAGGCTGACAATGTTGACCACGTCCACAGTCGTGCTCTCTGCCACCTCACGAACTGACTTCCGCTGACGCTCGCTGATGCCCTGCTCGATGTTAGCTGTGTACAGCCATGCCTGCTCAAGCTCGGCAATTCTTTCGTATCAACACTATAGTTGACGATGGCGACGGATCCGCGACGATTGGAACACAATGCCGATGCGAGCGACAACAGCGACTTCATTTGCGGCGCGTGTTGACCCGACTGGCCGCTGCTCGTTCACCACTCGCCCGGACGCGTACCACTTTTGACTCTTACCTCAGAAGGATGGCGGTCATGCGCCGACCTTGGGTGCCGAGTGTAGGTGTCTATAGAGTCGTCCTTCGTTCCATGTTTTACCGTACCGCACTGCAATGTACCGTATCATGTTTATCTATTACTTTCTGTATCGCTGCCCCGGGCAATCTGAAAATGTATAGTCGGCAAAAGTCAACCGCATTGCGGGTGAAATTTCACCTCATATTCGGTCTAGAGGGCTTTCAGCATGAGGGTGAAAGAGTTCATACTTCAGGTGAATTTCACCTGTGGCTTTCACCCGTCGTGCAGTCCAATTTCATCGGAGGAGGGTGGTTTTCACCTACCTCCAGGATGAAAGCCGCCCGAACATCAGGTGAATGCACAGGTGAATTTCACCTGTTCTGAACGCCCCCGTGTTATGAGAACACAACGCAGATCAGAGATCCGCGACTACGAGGTACGCACCCCAGGACGCGATAGCGTGCAGCAACAGGTGCCCCGGCATGGTGCTGATCAGATCGGGGAACAGCGTTATCTGATAAGGAGCAAGGTAGGTAGGATGGATGGTGCCCTCTTTATATACACCAACGCCAGCTTGGTATTTTGCCGAAGGTAAGTTTCGTCCTCGGACCTCCAAGGCCGGCGAACATACGTGGACCGGCGCATGAACGTGGCCTGTCGGCGAGGTGGTTTTACGTTGTATACGCGTACGTTCGCCATCAACAGCAGACGGCCTTCATTCCCAGCTTGCCGGTGTTAAGCCCAAGCAGGTGCTGTGCTGACGTCTCGGAGAGATTGTCGGAGAGGTTGTCAGAGAGTTTGGGCGGACTTGCTTTGAGTACGTTTCCCACAGGTACAAAACGCGTCCCACAGTCAGAAGAGGGCTTGATCCGAACCGACTCTTGGTGTTTTTATCTCAATTTTGATTGGCTAAAAATTATATATTTTTCTGTATTGCATAATATATGCGTAATCATCACGACTCGTAATCGGATACCTATTCATTTTGTACCCATGCAACCAGTATCGTCAAGCAAGATACATGCGCCGACATCGACGCGGTGCCCTTTCAGTGTCTTTGAGGTAAGTCTCCTCCTACAATAACATGGGTAAGTGCCGGCGGCCCCAATCTCTGTCATGCATATTCACGATTGATGATGACAGCCGTCGAGAACCTATTCTCACTCCTCAGCTCATGCAATCTATACAACGATACTGTCCGGCTCTTGACTCACTCCACAATACAGTCAAGCATGTATCAAACCTATTCATCGGGGTTCACTAGAACTTCAGGTCATCGAGGAGATGCATCAACGCCTGTCTCGCGTGTCCACCCTCACGAGTGGTCGCAGCAAGTGCATCCCTGATTTTCTCGGCATTCGCGCGTTTAGCCGCACCATCCGGTCCCTTCATCTTCTCCAAAACGTCGATGAACTCCCTCCGCACGGCCTCGGGCGTTCCCTCCGGCGCACGACCTGTGCGGTGCAGAGGCTTCAGGCCGTGCCTTCCGCTGCGCACCTCAAGAAGCTGGTAGGCGACGTTGAGGTTGACGCTGAGGACAGCGGTGTTGATCGGCTGGTCGCCGAGGAAGGGCCAACATATCCTACTCGCAGCTGGTGAGACGTCGTTCTGATTACGGAAGCGTGCAACTCACATGGGGATGCCGGCGCCGAGACTCTCGACGACACTGTTTTGACCTGCGTGCGTGAGGAACCAGCCCGTCGCCTGGGCCCATAAGGGTAAGTCTGTGGCATTCCAGGGTGTAGAATCGCCGTACCTTGTGGTCAAGGATGGTCTGCTGGGGCGTCCATTTCGAGAGGAGCCCGAGCCCAGATCGCTCAACCTTGGCCGATACCTCGTCGGGAATGATGGCTTGCGGTGACGCATGGCCAAGGATCTAGACATCGGAAGCTCCTCAGCACTCGGGCCGACATGACTATCAACGATCGTGCGCTCACGAACGGCACGTTTCTCTCTATCAAAACGTCGAGCAACGTCCACAATGGCTGAGGATTCCCCCAAGGCCCCCACGTCGTTCCGAAGGAGATCTGCAGACTCGTCAGCGAGACCTCAAACAAGGTCTTGGGTGTTACGTACATATACGACCGAATGGGCTCCGTGGGACTCGAGTTTCGAGTCAAGGAAGGCGGTCGCAGGATCTGCTGTCGACGACTGAACCGATTCCGCTTTCTCAGGAGCGGACGCGCTCTGCGGGCCTATGCTGTATACCTTCCTGGGCGGATCGCGGCTCGCCATCCATTCTTCCACGGCACGAATACCGCCTTGGTCGATACACGGATCCGTGGTCAACACGACGCCGTCGCACTCCTTCAGGAAGCTGTATTCGAACAAAATTAGAAATGCGCGCATATCCGCAGGAACGAGGCCACTCGCTTGTGAGACGCGTGTTGGATCGTGATGAAGGGCCCATAGAGCATAGGAGGCATCTATCGCCACGCACCATCAGCAACAGACGGGACCGAAGAACGGGGCCAGGACACGGACCATCTGCGGAAAGAACTCGTAGTCATACATGGGAGGCAGATCCCCAACCGTGACCAGTTTTCCAGGTAAATTGTTCAGGGCCTGTAAGACGTCCGTCAGTTCCCTAGCTTTCGGGCGGCGAAGAACGTTCTGGCATCACCACTGCGAGCGTCTCCGGCACAGTTTTCCCCGTTTTGACGGCCAGGGCTTCCACCATCGGTTTCATGTCGCCCATTCCTCCCCTCTCGACGGGCCCGTAGCTCCGGAGCATGTGCGCCGGACTATGGCTTCCCCATGCTAGGACTGGGATCTTGGAGATATCGTGTAAGGCGCGCAGCGCGTACAGCGCAAAGAACTAGTGTAGTGTGGTATGTGGTCAGTGGTCGCGTCCTTCAGGAAGCTGGACGAGAACCGTGCTCACGTCTATTATGGCAGCTTTGGGAGGATTGATAACTTCGAAGACGGTACCTCGAGCTCCGCAGGTGATGGCCTCTCCTTTCGCAAGCGCGGTCACTACCTGTCGGAACGGTTCTTCCGCCTGACCTAGGTTGATCCCGGCCGACTCGATGGGCAAAGAGACGACCCTATGATGGTCCCGTCAGCTCACAGTTATCGGGGTGAGCGGAGGCGGTACCTGATCAACTTCCGTGCAGGATCGTCGACGGACGAGAAGCTCTTCCCGATCTCGAGTTCGATCTTATCGAGAAGCGAGGGCGAGGTCACGAACGTGACCTGGACCGGGCGCAGACTGACGACCGTCGCCACGAAGTTGCACAGCGGCTTGGTGTGACCTTGCACAAACATCGTGGTAAGATAAACCGAACGTTAGGATTCGGTCCGGAAGAGGCGCACCCCAGGCAGCGATGGCGTGCAACAGCAAGTGCTCTCGACGTTCCATATCGTTTGATGGCTTGCGGTAAGAAGCGGTCATCCGATCTGATGATGAAAAGTCAATGGCTCGCGAGCCCCGCTATATACAGACGCGAGCGGCAGCGTTTTGGCCTTCCGGCTGGGATGCCGGTCACCCAATTACCGCCCATCTTTCATCCTCCACGACGGACGCCCACGGGATGCGCGGGCGTACACGAACGCAGGTTCTCAATGTCCGCGATCCTCAGTTGCGTCGTGGTGTTGAATATCGATCTCACTTTGAGGGAGTCCATCGTCATGTTAACTCTAGCTCGAGTGATGCCGCGCAGCCGCGTGGGAAAGTTAGCGTGTCCAGTAGCTTGTTGCCTCCATGCTAGAGTGTTAGAGTGTTTGAGAGATGTTTGGTATGATTGGGGAAAACACCTACAAGAACATTACGTCGCTCCCGCCGCACAGCGCTGAAGACACAGCTGCGCTCGCACACTTACTTACGCGTCACAGTGTCGCTAAGGTTACATTCCACATTGAGAATTATGATACACTGATGCTGCATTTGTGTTAACGTCTGACGTGTTCTCAGCTCGCAATCAGTACCTATTCAGTGGACGTTTAGTGTCGTTGAGCGATGATCAGACAGATGGACAGCAACAGAACATACGGCTGAAGGCGTGAGCCCGAGGTCCTTGAGCGTCTTCGCAAAGTCCGCTTGGGTGAACTGCTTCCGCGGGAAGTGCTGCGCGAAGGTGACGGTGTCGACGTCCACGGCAAGGTTCTGGCCAGCAAGGTACTCCGCGACCTCGCGCAGTGCTAAAAATAGAGGAACACAATCAAACTTCACCGTAGCAAGGCAAGTGGAAGAGGGAAAGGATCGGACGGTGCTTACTGGCTTCGCTGGGCAGCGTCGTAACATACGGCTGCCCGCCGCTCGCCATGCGGATCTGCAGCCTCGTCTCCTTGTACTCCCGACCCGCCGTGCCGGCGCTCGCCGCCACAGCGCTGGGTTTGGGCGCAGGGGCAGAGGACGAAGCCTGGCCGGCCATGTTATCCGTGATGGGCCGCCCTTCGCGCAGCGCCTTCTCCCGCGCCGTCCTCTCCGCACGCGCTTTCTTGTCGGCCTCGATCTGCGCCTTAATCGCGGCGCGCGCTTTCGCGTCTTCGATTTTTTCTGCACGTACGCGAGTTCATGTTTCCTGGTGAAAGAAAAAGGCAACGTGGCGCTCACCTCGTTTGCGCTGCTCGGCCTCTTTCATGGCTTGCTTGAGCGCAAGTTCTTCCTTCACCTGCGACATGTCCTGGGGGGGGGAAGGAACGACGGATTTCAGCTTTCTGGAAGATGATGCTCGAAAGGAAGGCGCTGCCCACCTTGCCTGACTTGCGCCGGATCTCCTCGTTGGCTTTGGCCTCCTTCGCCTCCTCCGCCGCTTTGGCCGCTCGCTTCGCGGCCATCTTCTCCTTCAGCTCCGCGAGTTTCTGCTTCTTCTCTTCTTCGGTGAGCGGTTTGATCTTGGCACCACATGAATATGAGGTTTGTATCACCGGAACCGCAGATCGACGCTCACCTCCTCCGTGGATTCCTCAAACTGATCGTGCCCGCTCTTCTCCGCGTGGAAGTTGGCCAAAGCCGTGTTCTTGAACACCTTGCCGCACAGAGAGCATTTTATGCTCTGAATTTCAGTAGTAATGGTGGCCGTGAGCTTTCGTGCTGGTGATGGAACGTCGGTGGGATCGCGCTACACATACCTTCGCCTCGGCGTCGTTACCTACGCCGGCGCGCAGGGCCTCCGCGTCCTCGTCGTCATCCATGTCTCTTGGCGCGCTCGTCTCGGTTTGAGAACTCTGATCGGGGATCGGCTGGCCCTCGTGCTCGAGGATGTGGTCCATCGCCGGCTGCAGCCCCCGCCCCCCGGTCGCTTTGAGCGCCCAGTCTACGCGCGCAGGGTCGAAGCCCATGGAGAGGAGAACGTCCCTGTCGCTTGACATGGCTGTAGGGGATATGTAGCGTGTGTAAGGTCGAGTGTGTACGGAAGGATAACAGTAGCAACTCGAGAGGCGGACGCGTGGACGACGCGTCGGAGATGACGCCACTGACATAATCTGCTCCGGGGCCTCCGGCACGGCACGCCCTTCATCTTGTTCTCATGCACCGACCGTCTCCGAGATTATGTCTTCGCGATAATCTGTCGCCACCCTCGTCTGATCTTCTCTGTCCTCTTCCAGTCTTCTCTGTCCTCTTCCAGTCAAAGTCCAAGCAACCCAAAGCCTGCAACATATGCTCTCATGGGAATATCTGATTTACCTTCACTTGCTCTCATGCGGACCGCTCATGCATATCATGCTCGACGTGGTGCGGGAAGCCCTCTCACCCTGTGGCGCGCCTCCGTCCGGAGCCATGTTAGGATATATCGGAGTGCTATGCATCTAATCAACCTGCCAGGGCTGTCGTACCTGATCCATGGCGCCGTCATTCTTCGACATCGCCCCCGAACCCGCGCTCGCGATTGTTTCACTGGCCATCTATAAGTACCAAACGACCGTGTTTCTCCCCGGCTGCTGCCCGCCCTCCTCGTAGTACCGCCGGTCGACCCGGGATCCACGCACGCGCACTATGGCCCCCTCCCTTCTCGCGCTCTGTCTCCCGCTCGCCTCCGCGCTCCTCTCGACGGCCATCCCGCTCAAACTCGAAAAGCGCGCGAGCGTCACCGCGCTCTCCTCTTCTCAGATCAGCGCCTTCAAGCCGTTCTCCTTCTTCGCCAGCGCCGGCTACTGCGACCCGTCCGCGACGCTCGCCTGGACCTGCGGCGCCAACTGCGACGCGAACCCGGGCTTCGTGCCCGTCGCGTCGGGCGGGGACGGCTCCAAGGAGCAGTTCTGGTTCGTAGGGTTCGACCCCGCGCACGACACCGTCATCGTCTCGCACCAGGGCACGGATCCCTCTGCAATGTCAGTACTCCCATATCCGCCCACGCGTCCGAAAATAATCGCAATATTGATGTTTATTCTTTTTTGTTGCTGTTGTAATATTGTTACAGCATCCCGCTCGTCACCGACTCGGAGTTCTTCCTCGGCGAGTTGGACTCGACGTTGTTCCCCGGCATCGACTCGTCGATCAAGGTTCACGACGGGTTCCGCGACGCGCAGCAGAAGTGAGCCCACTCCGCCTTTTCATACCTCGCTCGCTTTTCTTTGGGCCTTTCGGTGGCTAACGTTTTGTTTACCTGTGCAGGTCCGCGTCGGACGTGTTGGCTGCGGTGAAGAAGACTATGTCTGCTCACGGAACGACCTCCGTGACCATGGTCGGGCACTCGCTCGGTGAGCTTCTGCCTCGGATTTGTACTCCAAGGCCGGGTCTCTGACATCAGCATCGACGAACAGGCGCCGCAATCGCTCTGATCGACTCGGTTTTCTTGCCGTTGCACCTCCCCTCCTCCACCACATTCCGCGTCATCGGCTACGGCATGCCCAGGGTCAGTGCTATGTACCGGCTCCTCGTTCGTTGATCTCATGCTGCCACGGCGTAGGTCGGCAACCAGGAATTCGCAGACTACATCGACTCTCATAACGGGGTGACGCACATCAACAACAAGGAAGACGAGGTGCCGATACGTGAGCCAACCTTCCTTTACCCGGTATCATCCTGAAAACGCTTTTTTTGCTGAGACGCTTGAAGTGCCGGGCCGCTTCCTCGGCTTCCACCATCCCTCGGGCGAACTGCATATCCAAGATTCCGAAAGCTGGCTGTCCTGCCCAGGTACGCTTCCTCCTAGGATCATCGAACGTCTTTCTCAACTCTGTTTTTTTCCTGTACTTCTCGCTCTCTCTCTTTTAGGCCAGGACAACACGGACGACGAGTGCACGACCGGGGACGTGGGCAACGTCTTTGAGGGTGACCTTGACGACCACGACGGACCCTACGACGGCGTCGTGATGGGCTGTTGATCGACGATACAAAACGCTCGTAGATCGTCTTGCGATGACACGTAAGGCTCACGCTTTGACAGTGGACATGCTATCGACATTGATCGGATATCTCTGGGAGACTGGGACGATATTACACTATGGATATTTATGGCCGCTCTTTGTACTCTACCATAGTTGCATGACAACCACACTCGGTGCATGCATGTTGTTCGATGGCAGTAGGTATGTCCATCAGGCACGATGACGACGATCGGTTCGATGTGAAAGCGTTAGAGCTCAAGCTCAGTGATTCGACTACTGCGGTATCATGCGGTCTTTTGTATGAGCGACTTTCTTCGCGCTCCGGGTCCGGCTGGGAGACGATTGTAAAGTACACTGCCCCGACTCCGTTAATTGTTCCGTTGCCACGTGTCCGGACGGACCGGTGTTTACCCGGTATCGGAGGGCCTCGCTTTGGTCTTTGTCTGCGACGTTGTACAAAGTCGATCTCTACAACGTCGTCCTTGAGCTCGTAACTATGGATTCATGTTGTCAATTGGACTACTACAACATATGTCCACCACCGCCTCGATCGACGTGCAACGCCAGCCGACAAACATGCCAATTATTGGGGCCGCAGAGCGTGAAACGCGCTGGGGGCAAGGGAAAGTATAAGAACTCGCCAGCATGTTTCACGAACGAGAACCTTGATATCAGACTGGCTACGACCACGGAACGTTCAGGAACTACCCGGTGGGCTCACTGCTAGAGTGTGGTTTACTCTAGTCGCAAACACCCTTCTGGCAAACCCGAGCCAAATCCACCGTGAGTACTCTATCGCATTCGCCTGCAACGTTCGACTCTGATATGAAGGACTAATCTTAGAAATCGGGCGCATAAGCTTGTTTCGATATCCCATAATAATCCCCACCGACATGGATTTACCCGGCAGAAACATCGCAGATCGCATCCCACCGGAGATCATGCTGAGGATACTCACGATCTACCACGACGCGATAGCTCCTGTGCAAAGGCTACTATACGTTTGCAAGTCCTTCAAGGCCTTGATCGAGGACCACTCCCGCTTCTGGAACCGGCTCTACATCCTCGAGCCCATCCCGGAGGACCTCCCGCACCTCGAGCGCATTCTGCAGCTTTCCCGTTCGCAGCCGCTCTATGTCACGCTCGTCCTCCCCGGCAACGACGCGTACGAAGACACCGAGCCGCCAGAGGCCGACAGCGCCGCCGCCGCCGACCTTTGCATACGCCGGCTCCGGGACCAGCAACACAGGCTCGCGAGCCTCGGCGTGTTCGCCTTCCGCGACGGCGACATCCGCGCCGTCGCGCGTGCGCTGGAGGGTGCCCAGCTCCCGGTCCTGCACGAGCTGTGGCTCGCCGACGTCGTCGATCAGCACACCTCGGAGAACCTGCACCGGCTCGCCAAGCTTCCCGAGCCGCCCGTGTTCATCTTCGACCGCGCCGCGCCGCCACCGCTCCTCTCCGTGGTGCGCATCGAACAGCGCATCGCGCGTTACGCCGTCGCCCCGATGCGCGGCCTCACGGCGCTGCACCTCGGCACGCCCGCCGGCAGCCGCTGCGACGAGCTCCTCGACATGCTCCAGATCGCGACGCAGGGCTCGCCCGGGCTGCAATGCCTCGGCCTCGGCCTGTGCGGCGTGATGCTCCCGCTCTCGCAGACGCTGCGGGAGCCGCAGTCGCTCCCTTTCCCCGCGCTGCTCTACCTCCACCTCGAGGGCGGCTCGGAGACGATCGCCTGGATCGTGCTCTGGACGCTCTCCGCGCCCGCGCTCAAGGCGCTGCACGTCATGGACCACTTCTTCGACCCCATGGAGCTCGAGCACGAAGAGTTCCTCGAGTGGCCGCAGGACCCGGCCGAGACGTTCACGCAGCGCTTCGGGCCCGGCGGCATCTTGCCCAGCCCGTACGCGAGCGTGCAGAGCCTCACCCTCCGCAACGTCGGCTGGCTGAGCCTGCTGCCCGTCCTGCCGAACCTGCGCCACCTCACGCTGTGCTGGGTCCACTACGTGTTCAGCATGGTGGAGTACCTCGGCGAGCCGCCGGAGAAGGCGCCCGAACTCGAGGTGCTCACGTTCGAGGGTGACCTCATCAACGACGAGGGTCGTCGCCTGTTCCTCGACGTCGTCCGCCGCAAGGCGCGCAAGGGTCGGCTGCGCCGCGTCCGGATGTTCCATCTTCAGGAAGACGGAATTGGTAACCGCCACCCGGAGGAGTTCATGCAGAGCTTGAGAGAGTTGGTGGAGGTGTCGTATGTCAACCCTCACCCTCGCGACTTTAACATGGATGGAGAGGCGTTGGCTCATCTGTACGCCTCCGCGACCGAGGTCGACGATTGGGAGTGGCACATGGCGGAGCGCTCGTGGTGATCGCAAAATCCAGGCGAACAAGCTGGACATACCAGCTGATATACCAGATCAAGTATGCTTCGTAGCAATAGACCCGATGGAATGTCACTGTTGCTCCTCTACACGCGTGGTGATGTGTGAATTCCACGGCATGGCGTTGAGGGCCGTCTGCGATACGAGATGGAGGGCGCATCGGGCCAGGATGAGATGCGATACAGGCAAATACACGCGCGCAACCTCAATCCTCCTCTCCCTCCTCCTCCTCCTCTTCCTCTGCTTCCTCTTCCTCTTCCTCCTCGCCCTCTTCCCCCTCAGGTTCTTGAGAGCCCCAACCATCATCATCCTCATCTGATTCCTCCTCATCCGCCTCTTCGTGCTTCCTCTTTCCACCACCCTCAATACTAGTGATCCCTGTCGTATCCGCATCCCCGTCCGCCAACGCCAAGCATGTCAGCCGAGTTCCGCTGCTATCATACTCCGCAACCGGAGGTATGCTCGCCACGCCATCCTTTCCGTCCACGTCGATCTGTGTCGTTGAAGAGGGCACTGAGCGCAGATCGTAAATGAGGATCTTGCCGTCCGACGAGGCAGTGCTAACGACGGTAGTGGACGATGTTGACGGGCCCGGCAGCGCGATTTTGAGGGTCGCCACCGCTTTAACGCTGCGCATGAACCATGAGCGTGTAGACACGAAGGAAGAAAGGAGGTTGCGCACCGGTTGGAGTGTCCAACCAGCTCGGCAACGAAAGTTGGGACGACGTCTTTTGCGGCGTCTACGGTCGGCGGGACGTCGTAAACCGATAGTTTCTTGTCCTCGGCGCCAACGAGGAGGAGTTCGTGCACGTCTATCTCTGTTTTGCTGTCCGAACACGACGGGCGCTTGACGAAGCAAACATCGTGTATCCGGGAGGGGTGAGAGATGGTGTGCAGTAAAGCCATGTTCTGCAATATGTGAAATCAGAAGACAGACTTGTCCAGGGGCAAAACGGAAGCTTACAGTGGAGTAGATGTCGATCGTCGACTGCGATTGCACCACGAAAAGCGCCCCGGAGACGGACCATCGCACGACCTCGCCCTCTGCGACGACCAGGTGAGCACTTCCATCGTTGGCAAAGAAACAAAATCTTGCCGTACCTTTGCCAAGTTTTGTGCTCGCGCTGCCTTTACCCCGCATGAGATCCCACATCCTGAGCGTGCGGTCCTTTCCTACGCTCAACGCGACCTTGCCTGATGGGTGAACGGCGACGCAGTTCACCCGGCCTTTGTGACCCTTCATGGAGCGCAAGACGGCCCAGTCTCGCGCGCGGAAGAGGCATAGCGAACCGTCCTCAGAGGCGGAGAGGAGATGTGAACGAGAGGGAAAGCTCAGATGCGTTATTGACCCTGGCGATAACAAAGCCGCTGAGAAGACGGTACGACGGGCAATTAACGTAATACGCCCTCACCTTCGTGGTGCATAAGCCCGCCGATCTCCTTTCTTCGGCGCAGATCCCATACCTTGATGATCTCGTCCGCGCTTCCCGTCGCTAACCACTTGCCACCGTTCGGAGAGGCGGCGACGGCTTTGATGCACGAGACGTGTGCGGGGAATATGAAGATCGGTTTTAGCTTCCAGTCGTATCCTCCATCCTCGGTACGCGATACCGTCCCTTGCAGGCCGTAGAGGAGTTTTTCGTACGACCCAGCGATGACCTTGAATGATGACGGAAGACTCTCTTGTAAACGCTCGGCCTTCGCCTTGCCCTTGTCCGATGCAGGAGTTCGGACGGTGGTAGGTTTCCTGGCTGATGGAGTTGTCGCAGGCGCCGGTTTTTTTAGCGACACTTGGCTCGGTTTGACTCTCGCGATGGATTTTGTGTGATGTTCGGTGGTGCGTTGACGCTTGGTAGGACGTTGTGTAGGAGCCATTGGTTATGTGGTTAAGAGCAAAGTCTTGTGGCAAGTCGTCGCCGCCTTTCAGCTCGAGCTTGCCAAAATATCGCGGCAACGGCAAATGCCGACTCATGCGTATGTACCAGTTAGTGTGTACGACTTCTCCCCGACCACCCGAATTCGGTGCAGAGCCAATTGGACGATGAGGACGATGTCCACTACTATACGGAGCCCAAGACGGTCGACTCGAAAGGCTTCACGACGTCGTTGCCTGGTTGGTTGCACCTTGATTTCGAGGAGGAAACGACGTGGATAGCCTTGACGATTTGAACTTGTCGCTGCTCTCCGCTCATGGTTTGTCTCCTGGATATGGACATCGTTACCGTAGCCTCGAAATCGGACACCGAATCGGCAGGTGCGTAAGCCCCTCTACTTCACACTTCGATCGACCGGGGCAGGCTTCCCATGATGCTGTATTCTGTATTTTCTCTTTTGAATCACCACATGTAGGAGCGATTGATCTGAATGCCTTTCTTGTCAGCAAGCTCTAAGCAAGCTTTTGCTCGCGACCAGTACCCGGAGCTCCGGGCCGGTATTGGGCCATTTGAGGTCAAGTTACCTCGAGGCTTTCCTTACCGTCGCACGCTACGTCCGGGATCAGAATAGACAAAAGGCTCGTCGTGGCTCGGGGTGACTAGAACCTCTGAACCACAAATGCGCTCATGAGGCAACCGCGACACCTCGAGGCTACCATGATGCGATTCACGTTCCCACAGACGCATGGCTTCGAGACGAACGAACACCGCGAACGCCCAAACGCGTCGAACAAAGAGCATGTCGAATGATATGAATGCCTTCGGTTGGCTGAATGGATCCCGTCAGACCCCACTAGATAATCACTCATGCCCCCCGACGCCGATGCTGCCACCAGGACCGTGATTCACGAGCCTCCGATTCGGATCTGCGACTTGCCTGAAGAGATCCTGCACTGGATATTTGAATTGTTGGTCCCGCTTGACTATGAAAGCGTGTGCGCCTGCTTGAGTGTATGTCCTCCCGAAGTTCAATGCAAGAACGAGGCTCACCTTCAGCAAAATGTTATAGGTCTGCAGATTGTTTCATGCCGTGATCAAGTGCTCCCACATTCTGTGTTATCAGATCCGCCTGGGTCTCGAGGGAAAGAGAGATTTGGCCAATTCCTCGCTGTCTTACGCCCAGCGCAATGCAGCGTTAACGATGTCATTGGATCGCTGGTGTCGACTTGAGTTTTGCTCGTCACACTGGCTGTCGAAGGAGGTTACGGAGCGTTGGGACTTGCAGAATGGATCGTTCGCTCAGATACTCGAGGAAACTGGGGAGATTCTCGTCTTCCAGCTTCCGTCTCGGACCCGCGGCGTGGTCGGCAGGACGTTGACGCTTGAACTCGACTTCACACCCGATGACCTCGTCCTGGATCCTTCGCAAGACTTGCTTGTTATTTTCGAGCAAGTCGATTTGTGAGTGCCCGCATGAACCGGTTTCGAACCAAAGCTCACATTACTACTTCAGAGACGTGGGCGAGAGCCACGTACTGGTGCATATCCTGAAACTCGCAACTGGGGCTCCCCATCCATGGGCTCGTGCTCCTGAAGTCTTGCACCATGCGTCGACCGAGATCCCAGATGCTCTACAAGCATCGGTCTTTGAGGACCTTGTAGGAATGATGACTTGGATTGGGCCACCAGACAGTCCCTTGCCAGTCGGCGTATGTGAATGGACCGTGGGCAACAATCTGCTCGTATGGAACTGGAAGACAGGGGAACTACTGGCGGTGAGTAATCTCTCTGCAGCCTTTCACTCAGCACGACGTGCTAGTTGAATGTTGGCATAGGATATCATCGGGTCCGCGATCAAAACGTACACCTTCTTGTCTCATGAACACATCATGCTCGGCATAATCGATCCGCAAAATGGCCAGCCTCTTCTCGAAATCTGGGATCTCGCTAACTGTGGCTCCGCGCGCCCCGCATTCCGGGGGTGGCCAAGACCTGATACCACGGGCCTTCGTCTCCATCTTCCGTTCAGAAACGGAGATAACGGTGTCAGCGCAATGGCGCTGGACACGGGTACCGGCCCCAGCGCGTATCCTCAGAAGAACGCTCAGGCCCCATTCTACACCCCCGGATACTTCGGCGTCGTTGCCGCAACGTTTGAACTTGCAGCCGACCAGCAATGTATTCTTGTCATGGATCGAAAGGAGCTCCTGCGCCTAGCCCTCGGGGCCCGTGGCTCGGACGGGCTTGTCACCTTGCAGTGGCATGAATGGGGCCCTTCCCGAACGCGTATAATCCCGGAGGTCAACGATGGAGAATCTCGGTGGATAACGAACGGATACCGCATGATCGAGCACGATCCCGACAGGATTTCATCCGGCGACTGCGAATGCGGCGGGGAAGACCAGCAGGTGCTCCGCTTGCGTCTGTATGACTTCTCTCCCGCTACGCGGTTCCGGTCTACAGCGGAGTGGGGTGGGACGGAGGTTCAATATTTCATGGAACCGGAAACCGTGACTCTGACAGGCGCAGACCATCCTATCACCACGTCACTGCCGTTTTCGTTGCACAGGCGAATAATCAGCTGCCCACCTATCGGTATTCATGACGCCTACCTTATCCGTCGCGTTCTCTTGGCCGAAGACGGTATTTTGATTGGTGTGGTGAGCTCGCCCACCTTACGTACGATAAGCTGAGTTCTGAGCTGTTCATTGGCAGAACCGAGAAGATGAGCGGGAGGGTAAGACCGAATACATAGCACTGGCAATTTAGGCCCTCAGTGTGGAAACCTACTATCAGAATCGTGAAATACCAGAAATACAAGCTTAGGTCTTTGTATGCACAAAGCCACCAAACTGTCCTCGATAAGCCTTGCTTCGTAATGCAGGTTTTTGCCGCAATCCATGTGCGCTTAATCGGAGTGAGTCTCGCATGTATGTTCTGTGGTCAACACCATGCAGTATATGGGATGTCATGTGAGAACCATGTTCAACATGGTTCTCACAAGTAGCATGTCTGTCGCATGGAGCCTCCATTTTGCAGCGTCGCGTTTGACCTTTGCCTCTGGAACCCATGCTGGTACACGGGCGACTGTGGAGATATCAGTAACGTGCGTCCATGATTAGAAGGAACTGTTCGCGGGCTCATGAGAATGAAACGTATTGACAAAGAGTCTGGTTGTGTGCGTAGCGTAAGATAGCCTGGGGAGTAATGACTACGATCGCTGCCTCGCAAACGGAGATGAAGAAGCTCACAGGGAAGCAGCTAATTGAGCTTTTTGAACAAACCTATCATTGACCTCTGCCACCTTCATCCCGTATGCAACCTGCATGATAGCCGCACCAACAATGCTAAAACTTGGTCAAGATGCATGAATGCGAGAAGAGCGAGTCTCACTGTCGCCTGTGATCACAAAAATGCTCAGGTGACGAGAGCAGCCGACAAAGCAAGGATCATGCATGATAAAGCTGAATAGGCCAAAAACTCTTCGTCGCGTTGTGGTTCATGAATGTGTTGATGATTCACCGTTGCGTCCGCCATTTTTTACCCATCCTATAGTCAATTGCGCCATGAGAGATCAGCGCAAGGGCGGGCGGCAACCAGTGGGCTCACAGGTCTGTCATCATAGGGACTCGCGGCCTGCCCGAGTAGCTCGCCGAACGTCTTTCGAATATTTCCCTACAGTCTTCCCAGGTACCGATAATGAGAATACCTGTGCCGAAGGCTTCCGCATAGATCACGTCACCTGTAGTACATGAATCGACCAGCTCGTATATTCGGGAGATTTGCAGTTTACCATAGATTTCATGGTCACGGTGAACCACGGGTAGTCGAGGGGGACATCGGGCGCGTTGCCTATCCATGGAATTCTACGTTTGGGACCAGGAGGAACAGGTAATCCGCTTGGATTGACCCTGCGATTGCGTCGACGCGTACACGACAACAAAACTGCTAACGTGAACAGGACAGTGGTTATCGTGGTGATCGCGGAGATTATGCTGGACGCTTATGGGTGACCAGATTCAAGCAGCCTCTGCAGCTTGAATGTACGGAGGGGACGTGTGTCAACCATGGAGTTATCGCTCGGATGTGCACCTTCCGACGCCCAATGGCACGAGTTCGCCTTACCATCAGCCGATCGCACACAGCACGCACGCGCCTCTTGCTTTCGTCGCTTAAGCCACGCAACTTTTCTTCCTCCCTGGCTAATACGCGTCCGGACACACCCAAACCACAGAAACGCACTATGAACCAACAACGTAAATGTGTGTGTACCGCTGGACCATATGGCAATAGACAGGTTACTTCTAATCTTTCACCACCAGCTCCATGATGCAGAGGCTCCCCCTCGTCTCCCACACGCGCTTGATCACGAGTCCGCTTGCGTCAGCGAGGCGTTCCCAATCCTCTGGTGTGCGCTCCGCGCTGTTGAACAGTCCTAGCATGGCGATGTCGGCCATGTGATGCTGACGCTGGGCGTATCCGTAGTTTGCAGGCAATGGGGGCGGCGCAGGGGTAATGTGCGGGCTTCCAAGTGTGGTGTTGAGCACGAGTTCCGAAATGAGGATCCGGCTTCGTGGGGCAGTGAGCGCCGGACGGAGCGCTTTGAGGATCCGGATGCAGTATGCGTCCGACCAATCGTGCCTGTGGGTGCGATCAGGTCAGTCGCGGACAGTACGTAGTGATAGAGATGAACACTTTACAGGATGTTGCGCAGGTGGTATACATCGGCGCCCTTCACTGGTTGCTCGTTGAAGAAATCATGCGGCATCAGACGGACGGTGCCCTTCGCCTCTGCGCCCGGGATTTCGCGCTCCCAGATTTCTTTGGCTTGGATGACGGTCTGGGGGCGGTCTTGCACGACGAACTTCATGTTGGGGAAGTTATGGGCGAGGTCGAGGCACATGCCCCCTGCGCTTCTGTTCGTATGGGTTGGCGGAAGTGACTAGAGAGACGTACCAACACCTCCTCCGACGTCCACGATCGTCGCGTTACTGAGTTCATGCCAAGGATAATCTACGTGAGCTGATCAGTGATGCATCCACAAAATGAGGGCAAAGCCTTACCGACGAGCCAAGCTGAGCCCCTGGCACGTCCACCTCCCAGCATTCCGAGACCGAAAAGCTCGAGCTCCGGCCGCTTTCCTCTGGTGCCGTCCGGCAATTCAATCTCTTCTTCCATCCAGTCCCAAAACGACAAGTTCGTCTTGTGCGCCAGCTGGAAGGCAGTCTCGACAGGGGAGTCGGAGGGACCGAACTTGGGATGTAGCAGGGCTTCAGGTAGGGCGACGCAGGGCGGGACGGTCATGAGCCTGAACAAACGAGTTTTACATCAGCTCAAACTTCTGAACCAGATAGTTGGACTTCGACTGACCCTGTGAGCAAAGATGCGCGGAGGATCTCGTTATTTGCGAGCACTTCACTAATCCAATTATTCGCGAAGTAACCAGGTTGCACCTCGCGGAATACATGGCTCGTGCAAAGAAGTCTGATGACTTGTCCTGGATACGGGAAGGTGTTAAACAAGCATCCTTGACCAGACGAGAGAGGGATTACCTAGTTTCTGCTCCACGACTCCAGTGTGCGCGCTGAGCTCTGACAGCGGCATGCCGATCGTCTGATCCGCTTTCGCCAGCAAATCAGCGATGCGAAGCTGGATCGCGATGTGCAGAGCTCTGGCCTCGAGGTACTGCATGCTCATGGTGGCCAGTCGAGTTTGGGGCACCTGCACAAGTTCCTCTATGACTCCAAAGGCGCCGATGATAGTGCGGACTGCGTCATAAGACTGTGTGCTAGGAGCTCCCCTAGCCGCAGTGGTACCATTGATCGAGCGTTGTTCGTCCTCCTTCCAAGACTGGATCAGACTCTCCGATGCGTCGCTGAGCAGCTTGACGGCCGAGCGAAGTTTTTCAGCCTTTTCTACTGTAGGAGACATTTCAGAGTTCTAAGCTGGTAGATGATATGCTCCGGTAGTCCTTGACGGAGCTCGAGTCGATGATGAGCGGGTGTTGCATGGCGCAAAAACCTATTTACGTCGGTGCAAGGTGATTTCTCATCTCTCCTACGTGTATTTGTGAGCGAATGAATCACTGTCAGAACAAGCCCAATCCACTCACCGAATCTCTTGTGTTTTCACGAGCAGAAGGACCAGGAGACGTTGCGGAGTTGTTTCAACGGCTCATCGAGGGAAGGCCGACAGACCGTGCACACATAACGCTTCAAGAGACAACAAGGGTTGATACATCCATGGGCGACGTTCCCGTCTCATCAAGGAGCCGGACCTTCTGGTCATGAATTACGTGAGGGCAAGCATCCCGGTCGAGAGAAACAACTGGAGGGGTTCAATTCAAAAGGATAGGGTCATGCGTTCATGCGGAAGGGCTTTGCCGGCGCCGGCGCCACGCATTCGTGCTTGACTTTCATCACCAGCCACTGCAGATTGCGCTCGCGTTTTTGGAGTAGATGACCATTGACACTTCACGGACTCGCTGAGCATTGTCTTCGCCACGCACCGAGACCCGTCTGTTTGAAACGGGCGCTGTGAGCTTGAGCTCTAGGAGGATCATTCCTCACACGTACGACCGAACCCGAAACTCACTAGTACTCACTGCTTGTGCATTGCTTCGCATGGATGTCTCTTGCGTATTGATTATGCTCTCGGCGCTCGCACAATGCTCCGAAACTGAATGGGTCTTATCCGGCGCCGGGCCCTCAAGTTTTCGTAGCAACTTGGCATGCCTTTCCATCGTTCTCGCTCTTGCAAGATGAGGATTGCTATCTGGTGCGCATATACCCCTTGGTCCTGTTGTAGATATTGACAAGCGCGGGCGCTTTTCAGTGGCGGGGGCATTGGTGGCCTTCTTCTAGCCCATGAGTTGACAAGACGCGCCGATTTTCATGTGGACGTATATGAAGCTGCCACCCAGTTCTCCGGCATAGGAACAGGGCTTGGTCTCTGGCTCAGGTCCCGCAAGGTGTTGCGTGATATGGGTCTAGATGACCAGGTAGCCGCTATAAGCTGTGCGTATCACGAAGATACAGGTGGGCCGCGTCGATCTGGGTTGGGAGCGTCGATGGCGTTAACTACCGGACAGTGCCTACTGGTATAGTACGCAAGTCCGACCAGCCTGTGGCCTACCAATTCTCGCCCCGTATGATCAAGGGTATTGTTGCATGAAACCTCGACTAAATTCCGGACGAGTCCTGATATCGGTCTTAGGCGGCTGCACGACCGTGCATCGTGGAGAGTTTCACATCATGCTCATGCACGCTCTTGACTCTCGTCACAATTGCACTCTGCACGTCTCGAAGCGACTAGTCTCTTACCTGCAGTCCTCTTCTTCTGAGCGGCCGATCAAGCTCGCTTTCAAAGATGGAACGGAGGCCGAGTGCGATGTCCTTGTCGGTTCGGACGGCTTGCGGTCGTCAGTGAGACTAACTATGATGGAGGAGCTGGCAAAGGATGCAGAATGCGAGCAGCGCTTCAAAGAAGCCGAGGAGTTTCGTTCTTGCAAAGGTGTCTACTGGAGCGGACACCTCGTGTATAGAGCCGTTATCCCACGAGAGAGGCTGGAGGAACTCGCCCCAGATCACCCGGCGCTGGGCAAACTGCCGATGATCGTTAGTTGAAGTAGTCTCCTCTCGATCTCGAACTGACACCGTCATAGCACTATATTGGCAGGAACGGGGCAAGTAATCTATTGCATGCAGTGCTTTGCGTTTGTGTGTGACTCATCATCTCTCCAGAACATCCTGTTGTTCCCTATACAGAAGGGAAAGGCGTTCAATTTTTCAGGCTACGTTATCAACCATGAGGCTGAAGGCACTATCTACTCGGGGCCATCGATCTCGGATGTGGATCCCGAGGAGTTTATCGCTGCTTACCACCACGGCCAAGGCTGGGAACCTCTCGTACAACAAGCACTGGCTGTAAGCATAACCGCCTCCTCATGTTACATCTGAGTGAACGCACCGATCCCTGTTTAGTGTTTGCCCGGACTTCCCATGAATAAATGGGCGGTCAACGTCGTGAAACCCTTGCCCACGTTCGCATCTGGGCGAGTCGCTCTCCTGGGAGACGCAGTATGTCTGCATACGAAGTATCTTCATAGCTCATCGTTGATATCTAAGCCAGGCGCATGCGCTCATGCCACATCAAGGAGCCGGCGCCGGCCAGGTGATAGAGGTCGGTCATATCATGGTGTCAATCAAGCGTGTCTTTGACTCCCGAATAGGATGTATATATTCTCTCGACTCTTTTGCGCGATCCCCGAATCAACACATCAAATGTTGGTCTCGCCATCCAGGTTTATTCCGACGTCCGCCGCCCTCGTGCTCAACAAGCCGCTGAACTGTCGCGCCTCGCCTCGCGTTTGCAAAGCTTCATCGTGCCCGGACGGGAAGGAACGGATGTTGACTTGAAGGAACTGGAGAAAATGATGCAGCAGGCTCACGCGTGGGTTTCAGAGGAGGACGCGAAAGAGGATTGGGAATCCGCGGTGGAGAAGTTGGATTCTGCGCTGCTCGGCGCGCATGTATGAACAAAGAGGATGGCAACCGGTCGAATAGGATGTGGTGCACAGCGAGTCCGTGTAAGGCCAGCTACATGAAATCTGCTGCCCGCTTTCTTCCCCGCGAAGCGGTGCCATCCTCCACGTCTGGTTTTGAAACGTGCGTACTGCCAGCCTCTAATGCTTTGACAACTTCCGGCGGCGGCTTTTCGACCCACATACTCTCGTCGTCGTCTTCTTCTTCTTTATGCCTTCGCTTCTTCGTCTCTCTCCCGTCTTCCTTGTCCCTGTCCTTCTCTTTGATCTTATCCCGGCCTTTCTCCTTATCTTTCTTCTTCTTCTCTTTCTTCGGCGCCGCAGAAGACACAAGGCCCCCGTCTTCACCCTCGTCGTCCGCAAACGACACGAGCACCTTGCCCTTGCCCTTCTTATCCCTTTTATCCTTCCGGTCCCTGTCCTTCGATTTCTTCGTCTCGCGTTCAGACCGTGGGACGAACGTCGGCTTGAAGGTCGCCAGATCGACCTTCTCCGGGAGCGCACTGTCGGGGGCGAGTCCGTTTGACTTTGGCTCGTACAGTGCTTTCGTCGGACCTGAGACCGTAGGGTGTGCCGGCGTTGCCTGAAACCCCTGTTGCGTTGCCGGCGCATCCTTAACTGCAACTACGCTTGGTTGATCCGGTTCCTCTTCCGCCTTATCCTCCTCGTCGCTGTCCTCCTCATCGCTGGCAAAAATCGCTTTGAAAATGTCCATGCTCGGCCGCTCGTACGTCAGCGTGTCCCTGCCCTGTTCCTCATCCTCTCCCAACCCGACGTTCGCCAGGTCCCGCTTCCCTCCCTTGCCCTTCGCCGGCGCGCCCGCCATGATGGCCGACACCTCCTCTGCCGACTTGCCCGCCTCCGCAAGCGCTGCCTCCGCGTCCCAGCCTGAGCCCGGGCCCGCCGACGTCCCAGGCGGCGCGCCAGGCACGGGCTCCGGCGCCACCGGCTCCGGATTCGGATCCTTCACACCGAACCGCTTGCAGAGCAACCGGGACGGCTGCCACGGACGCACCTCGCGCGTGAGCGGGCCGTACATCCCCATCCGCGCCGCGTACGCGCGCGGGTTCTGCTCGCGCTCCTCCTCCTCCTTGCGTTTCCGCTCCTCCTCCTCCTTCTGCTTTTGCTCCTCCGCGCTCAGCTGCTGCTCGCCTGCTCCTCCCTCGAACCCGCCCGAGGCGAACTTGGGCGTGAACAGCCCCTCTTGGATCTTCGGGCCCAAGTCCTGCGCGCGCGCGCTCGTGAAGCGCCCGGCCATCGCCCCGCCCAGCGGGCGGAACACCATCGCCGACTTCGCGTAGTCCGCGAGCTCCTTGTTGAACTCCTCGGCCGATTTGCCGGGTAGGGGTTCGATGGTCAGTTCTTGCGAGTTGGCGTGTGATTGGAGGAAGGCGGTGTAGCGCGCTTGGCGGACGGGGTCGGACGTGTAGGGCTGGAAGCCGCGGAGGGCGAGTTGCGCGGTGGAGGGCTCGACGTGCGGTATTTGGATGTTTGCGGGCTTTGCGGGCGGCGGAACGGGGGCGGACGGTTGGTGCGCAGTGGAGGCGATGGTCTTGAGCCGGTCGCGGTCTTTGCTGGAGATGAAGTCGAACACGGACTTCGGTGCGGCAGGAAGAGGTGTCTCGCCCAAGAGTGCGCCGCGCTGTGGGAAGGATGGGACGTTACAATTTTGAGAGGGTGCAAATAGTGTAGCGTTCGACATACCTCGTCTGCGGACACGCCTCTCTTCCAGTCGTGATGGCTCTTGGGTCCTTCATCGGCCAGTCGCTTCTTCGGATCGTCCATGTTCTCCTTGTCCCACTTTGACGTCCAAACGCGCTTCGGATCGGGCTTCCATCCTGCAGGGACGTCTGGTAGCGGAAACCTACAAAGTGGGGGGAAAGACCGGGTGGAAGATCATCAGCCTCAATAGTGCGTATAAGACACACGATTACCATTTGTCCTCGGCGACCGGTTGGTCTGAGAGTATGAAGCCTTTGAGGACCGGCCGGCCGTCGCGGAAGGTCTGGTATCCCACTGGTTGTTGAAGTCGCGGCGCGGCCGTGGGTCCGCGGGTGGACCGTCCACCGATAGCGATTCGGTCGGGGTCGTCGTGGTCGGCGATGTCGTAGGCCATGCGCGTGGCGGAACGGTTCGACCCGGAGGGATCGTAGACGTCGAGATCATCCTCGTCTGCATCGTTCAGAGCGCCGAGACCGAAGCCAGCTGCAGATGACGGGGTTTGCTTGTGGACCGAAGGAGGAAGGGAAAGAGGCATACCTGACAGTCGTGGGCCAATAGGGCCCTTTGAGCCTGACGCGCCGAGGCTCTCGTTCAGCCCCATCCCCGCGCTATAACCCAGGCCGTGCGTGTTGTCCTTCCTCGTCGTCAACAGGAGCGGTGTGTCCCGAGGTGCGTACGTATGCTTCTTCGCTTCTTCGTCGTCCTCGGCGTCGGGCGGGATCTCGGTGACCGCGCCGGCGGAGAACTGAAGGTCTTGCAGCATGCGTTGGCGGTGGGTGAGTCGCGGGCCGATACCCTGGCCGAGGCGCCAGCCCATCTTCTTGAGGATGCGCGCGCCGGCAGAGTCCTTCGGGGCAGGGAGGAGGGTCGAGGCCAATTTCGCTGCCATTGAGCTTATAGCATGTTAGTGCGGGTCGTTCGTGGAAGTTGGGGTACGCACTCGTCCTCGACGTCGCCGGTGCGTTTGCTCATTTCGGCCTGGGTGCCGCCGAGGATGTCCATTTCCTCTGTCTCGTCGACGAGCTTGCGCGATTCGGCGAGTTCAGCAAGGTCCTCTTCGTCCATGAAATCCTCTGGCCGGGCTTGCTTCTTCTTGGCGCGTTCTGAGCGCGACGATACGAATGTTTGAGGGGTCCATCCTTCGTACGGTGTAATTCAGCGACAGGTAGGCTTTCGAGTACATGACACACACACAAACCTTCCTTCGACCCCACCGTGTTGAAGTAGCCGGCCGAGTATCCTCCCGTGAACGCGCCGTGCAGGCGTCGTCGACCTTTCTCGTCTCGAACCTGCAGAGTCAGTCAGTCAGTGCCCCGCAATGCATTCGATGACGGCTCATCCGCACCTCTTGTTTCCATAGAGGAACGAACTCTCCCGTGTCCTTGGACTTCTCGAGCGGAGGCAGGGGAGTGCCGATGAGACAGAAAGACTCGTTGGCACGGGCGCTTGCCGGGTCTATGCCCATGTCGTTCAACTTGCGCTTGAGACGGCTCGTCATGGTGGGCTAGTTGTACAGATTTCACCGAACGGATGGGAAGAGGGAGAGCCTGCGGGCCGTGGCTTGGAAGTACTGACTTGCAAGACAGCAAACGGATTATATGGACAATAAGGCGAAGTCTTGATAAGTCTCTGGTAGTATATCGGATAGTACACCCGCCTGTCATCTCGTTTCCGTGGTGCGCGGGAGAGCGGGGTTCGACTCCCCGCCAGAGAGACTGTTTTGGTTGTTTTTGGGCGACATTCCCACGGCGACCCTCCTTCCCTTGAGCTTCCACCATGTTGCACTTTGCATAGGATATGGGAGTGTAATGGATCCTGGCACTAGGCTTGAGTCGTTTCTCAAATCCGTTGTTCTTTCCTCATTTGCAAGTCACAAGAGAATCCTCTTGCGATGACACTCGCCGGACTAAACAAGGCGAGCGATGACTCTGATCAGTGACCCCGCCTGCTGGGTTACCCAGGATGCTTTCTCCGACTCGTTCAAGACTAGCCCTAGTCATACTGTCCTAGATCAAACTGCAATCCTCGCTTCTGCTTCACTTAGGCCAACTCCATGAACTGTACTCATCGGGCCCCAAGCTCCTCAATTGGGACGGGTTTTCTGCTCGCGAATGTCTGCCGCCATGGCTTACGCTACCCTTTACGCGCTTCATCAAGGGTATCACGATTCTCCTGCCTCTCCTAGCTCTGCTCGTGCAGTGCCAACCGGACACAATAAGACTCAACACGAGAACTTCATCACCTTGCCCATGCGCGCTCTTCCGAGTGTCGAACATTTAAATTATCATGCTGTCTGTTCAGACTTCACGCCTGCCCGAATCTGGAGATTCGAGCTCCAAAAACGGACCACCGACGTCAAAGTGACAATATGTCAGAAGTGACTCCCGCCGCGGTTCAACATGCGAGGATCCGAGGCGAGGTATATAAGTTCGCCCGACCGCGTCCTTCGTACCCTCATCTTGCCTCTCTCTGCGACTGGTTCGGTGAGTTGCCTCCTCGCCTCTCCGCGTTGCCCCGCTTATCCTTCCCCTATGTCAGCATACATCCCACAAAAGCCCTTTTCATCACAACACTAGCCACCTTCACTTTCTTCAGCGCCAGTCGCTCACACCTTTCCAACTAACCACTTGCGTCGTCTCCAACTCGCTTGCTCAGCAACTCGTCGACCCACTCAACTTGCCAGTCTTTCTTTCTACCCTACCAAGAACCTCCCGTGCCGTTCAGAATCATGGTTCGCGTCACTATCCGTATCCTCGCCCTCCTCCTCGCCCTTGTTGCACCTGGGAGGGTTGCGCGGGCGGCGCCGGTCCCAACTTCCGCCAGCTCGATGAGTGCGTTCATCAGTTGTATCACGGGCCTCCTGCTGATCCATTTTCTTTTCGTTTGCAGCTGCGACTAGTCAGACGGCATCGTCGACTTCTAGTGTGCGTTACCAGTTTTTCCGTGCTTGTTCTCGTAGCTAACCGAACCCTCGTCAGGTGCCCACCGTGATGCCGACGCAGAGCATGAAACTCCCCCCTCAAGCGCGAGCGTACGCAGCTTCGCTTGGTATATACCCCGATGCGTTTGGTATGTCTCCTTCCAGGTCGTCTAATTTTCTGCAAACTCACTATCCTGTAGCCGCGTTGGCGATGTCCGCGAGTGCTGCGGTCGAGCTGGATCGTCGTGAACCTCACCACCACCACGATGACCACCATCGCGAGAAGATCGTCGTCAACGGCGACCACGACCGCGTCGAGGCTCGGGATCCTCATCATCATCACGATGACCACCATCGGGAGAAGATCATCGTCAACGGTGATCACGACCGAGTGGAGGCACGCGAGCCGCACCATCACCACGACCACCACAAGGAGAAGATTGTGGTGAACGGCGACCACGACCGTGTCGAGGCCCGAGACCCTCACCATCACCACGATCATCATCGCGAGAAGGTCATTGTTAACGGCGACCACGACCACGTCGACGCCCGTCGCAGCAACGACGAGTCTAAGGGCGTGCCCGGTATCATCCAGTTGTTCCGCAATGACTCAGCCGACGTCGCTTCCCTCGTCGTCGACCAGAGCGATCCTTCGACCCCAATGTTCATGGCCTCGCCGATGAACGCGACGCAAGTCCGCCTAGTCTTCCTCTCCGAGGAAGACGCGCAAAGCGCTGGCCTGAATATGTCATCGTTGAACGCTACGGAGGTTCCTGTTCAGGTTCGTGTCCGTGATCCCACTCTGTTCGTATTAACCTTGGACCCGTCGACAGCTCACCGTTGACGCCTTCAATCCGATATCCGCGATGTCCGGCGCGGTTGATGATGTTCTTGCAACTTTGTGCGCCACGGTCGGCGGTGTGCTCGACGGTCTCCTTGGAGCCATAGGCCTTAAGCTCTGCCCGGAGAGTGCCGCCAGTATGTCCACCGCCCAGGCTTTCGCTTACGACACGGAAAGCGGCGTCGTCCGCCCTATCGGTGGAGGTGACGTGGCCATGCAATTGCATTCCGCCGCCGCACCCGCCGCCGCGAACGTGAGTGAGGCAGCTGTTGACTTCCCCGATACCGCTTCCCGCCCGCCCATCATGGCTGCCGAGGCGACCAATGTGACCGCTGCCTCCTCGTCGAACGCGACCGCGGCGTCCGCTGCTGGCGTACCCGTAACGCTTGTCTTCCACCCGCTGGAGATGCAGGTCAAGATCGTGAACTCGTCGGCCATCACAGGAGGCAATAGCACGCAGCAGGCCGCCAGCGCCGAGGAGCCGAAGTCGTCGCTGGCTTAGGACTGGTGGAACGCGGAGTCTTGTATTATATTAGGCGCAGCCTTTGTATCACTACTGTAGCATCGTGTAAGTAGTGTACTATAGATGTAGGATATGTACGGGAATGGATCATGTTCTTGGTCTACAACGCCGCGTGCCCGCATACTTTCGTGGTGGAATCGAGGGTCCTCTTCGATGGTACGTAGTATTACTGAATTATAACACAGGGGTGCTAAGCATTGTCGTTGGGTGAAGGCTATAGTACAGACGCGTACGCAGAGGTCCGTCATGAGCGTAGTGGTGGCAAGGTGATAAGTTATGCTGAACAGTGAAATGTCCTGAATCATGTTCCTAGAATCTCGAGCGCCGTCGCGCCTTACAGACCCGACCTGACGATGCCGATCTGCGCCTTCGCGGATCCCTTGCGCTCCCCCAGCGCCACGCGGGGCTCGCGCACAGAACTCGGCGGGAGCAGGCGGGTGGAGCCCTTGCGGCCTTTGGTCTGGACCGTCGCCGGCCGTAACACGGGCGGATGCGCCGCGCCGAGGGCGGCCATGCCGTGTGTACGCTTGAGCTCGTCCCAGGCGCGGTCGCGCGCGTCTTCGGTGGCGGAGGTGGTGTAGGACGCGGCGGAGGTGGAGGCGTAGGAGGGCGAGGAGCGGAGGGTGGGCTTGCGCGTTGGCGGCGCGGTGGAGGCCGTGGAGGAGACGGAGAGGTTGGTGTGGACGGAGGCGCGGAAGGCGGAGGTGAGCGGGGTGAGGGCGAGCCAGGTGCCGGTCGTGGCGTCTGAGGGTCGTGAGGGAGAGGGTAGCCGTTCGGGCGAGGGCCGCGAGAAAGAGGGAGAGGCGGGTGAGGGTGAGGGTGAGGGTGAGGGCGAGGGTGAGGGCAGGCGCGAGGAGGCGTCGAAAGAGCCGAAGTCGGCGACGGAGGGGACGGGCGGGAGCGTCGGCGCGCGGCTCGCGAGTGGGTTGTGTTTCGAGGGGAGCACGCGTTTGGAGGAGCGGCGCGGAACGGGTGGGGCGGGTGGTAAGGGGAGGTGGGCGGTGGAGGGCGGAGCGAGCGAAGAGGGCGAGGGCGCGACTGCGGAGGAGGACATGGAGGAGGACGAGGTGGAGGCGGAGGTCGCCAGGCCGAGCGTGGAGGCGATGGTGGGGATGGAAGCGAGAGTAGCGGGAATGCGGTCGGAGGATGCTATGGAAGGTAGGCCGCGCGGGGTGGAGGGCGGAGGCGGGGATGCGGAGGAGGAGCTCGGGGCGTGAGGAGTAGTTGAGGTGGTACGGGAGTGCGAACTGGGAGGAGGGCGGATGGTGAGGGCGAGACCTGTGGTTGGCGCGAGCTTGCTCCGGACTCCGATGCTGGCGTTCTTCTGGTGAAGGGGCTGGGGCTGGGCAGACACCGCGGGTGGGGACGGTAAGCGACGGACAGGCATGCTTGTGCGGGTGCGCGGAGGCTGAGGCAGCGGGTTCTTCAGTGCGGGTGCAGGCTGGGGCGGCAACGAGCTGATCGAGCGACGAGAGTCGGAGGCGGAGCGGCTGCGTTGGTGACTGGGGACGAGATCGAGAGGAGGGGACACGGGAACTACTGGTACTGGGGAAACGAAGCTCGACGCGGCGGACGATTCGGAACGCTGGCTCGCGCTCTCGACTGTCAGGCTCGGCACGGGAAGGTGGTCCTCGGCGGGGGGTGGGACGCTAGACGGGCGCGTGGTGAACGCGGGTCGCTGGAGCTCGGGCCCGATCTTGCTGTGCCGAACCGCACTGGCGAGCTTAGCGCGCAGTGCGCGAGGAGTGCTAGCGTCAATGTCTCGTCGGGGCGTCGTTGGTGAGGCTCGTATCGTGGACGCGAACTGCGTCGACGTGGAGGAAGCAGGGCTGCTGAGGACGAGGTCCGAGTCGACCTCGGCGTGGTCGTAAAGCTCGTACGGATCAAACGGGCGCGTCGCCGCGGCCAAAAGGGACTCGTATTGCGACATCGTGGCGGACTCCTGGGAGTAAACCGAGCCCATCGTGGTCGTGGTCATCGCTGTACGCGAGGTGTGCGTGCGCTGCGGGCGAGCGGGGATTGCGAGAGGCGGTCCGGGCTTCTGGAAGGAGACTTGGCCGGGACGCCAGCGGTCGCCGGTTGCCCCTTGAGGCGGAGGCGAAAGCGATCTAGAGGGCGCAGCTGAAAGCGCGACGTCTTGCAAGTCTGATGGCGCAGCCGTGGGTGCGAGGGCAGGTGGGCTGGCAGCGCGCACAGGGCTGTAGAGGGGCATGGGCAGGGACGTCTGTTGCATATCGTGGTCGTGGTCGTGGCCGGACTCAGACGGCCGCGCGTACTGCTCCGTCTCGCTTGGTCTACGGTCGTGCTGGTGATTGCGGAGAAGCGGTTGGTCGGAGGCGCCGCGCTCGTGGTCAGGAGCCCATTCGACGTCTTTGGGCGCTTTGAACTCGAACTGGGAGGATGCGGGGCGGGAGCGGGAGCGACGGTTGCGGATCCAAGGTACGAGGAAGGCGACGAAGATGCAGACGATGATGAGGGAGCTGAAGACGATCCCGACTACGACGCCGGTGGTAATTCCGCCCATGGTATGCGACCGCTTAAGCTGTGGGAGGAGGGCGAAGTCAGGTGGGTACCACGTTGTGCTCTTGCCCTTTTTACGTACCTAACGCAATATTAAGATCCCTAGGGCCGATGAAGTGCAGTAGAAGATTGCTCCGCTGTAATATCCTGGCTTGGACAGAAGTACGGTTCGAGGACTACACGACGATTACTTGAGCTCCGAGCCAAGATATTCGCGGTACAAAGAGGGCGATGAAGAGAGAAAAGGTCAAAAGAGACGAGAACCAGATGTTTAACAGCTAAGGAAGAGAGGTGGACAGCACCGGGCGCAGTGGGTTTTTCGGGTACCCCTGGGCGTGTCCGATGCCCACGGCTCGGTTGGAGGTGGACGAGGGAGACAGATTGGTCGCAGACGCCTGGTAGCCGGGGGCGATACGCCTGTCCTGCAAGGCCGGTTCGGCGAGGCTGTGGGCCGCGCAGAGAGCTGCACAGCGGGAGGTTGCATCATAGCCTAATCTTATATGAATCGATGCATTTTTGCTAAGTCATCCAAGTTCATCGTGGATATCGAAGTAAGCACGACCAGGGCCATGTCCGCAATGCCGAGGGAGAGGCCAAGCAGGCGTGGCTGTACCCAATCACCATCGCTCTTGGCGCTTTTCTCCGCTTTTGCCTTCTCTTTTGCCAGCGACCGCCGTGCAATCAACTGCGCTGGACGCAATACTTATCTGCGGAGCATGCTGCGGTAGCTTCTACTACGAGAGAGACCTCAGAGCTCCATGAATCCCACCATGATGCGCGGACTGGTCATTCGATGATCAGTACTGAGTGCCTCCTCAGGACTTCGAGTCCTCTTGCTAATGCTGCTACGGGTATCTGATGCGGATGGAGTGTGCTCGCGACCACGGATTCTGAACATGTCTGTGCTGGTTCGGGAAGAGATGCACGGTCGACCGCGTGCCACAATACGACAGCATTTTTTGTGCTGTCTCAAACAAACCCCGACTGGAGACTCCGCCTGTTTGTTCAAGCATGTTCTATCATATGATAGCTGCGATATGTAAGTCTCTTCTGACAAGAAACACTGCACTGTCGTGCGAGTTCCTGATATGCAGCTGACATATCGGGAACAGGGGCACGAAGAGGCTGCTAGCGGTTGTCAGGATCGGCGAAACCGCATACGCCTGCTCCCTTTCGTTTCTCGTTTCAATCCGGCAGACAAAGCATTGATATGGCAACGCTGGACGGTGTAGCATGGAATCGAAGAAGAAAATTCGGCGCCACACAGTCCTGGGCCGCGTATAAAAAGGCACGCATGTATGCTATGGCGACTATTCTATCGCCACCTCAAGTTTCACCCGTGCCGCTCTTTCATCAACATCACCTTCATCACCCTCGAGCATGCCCGGACATTCCGACGACTGGTGGCCCGACTTCATCGCGGAAGAGTATGCAAGGGAAAGCGCTTTGAAGGAAAGCATACCTTTCATGAAAGAAGAGATCGGATGGCTTCGAGGTTGGGTGGAGATAGCCGAGGAACGGTTCCGTTACAACCAGCCGCACGCTTACACACAGAAAACGCATTACGCGTACCGGCTGCTCTTCCTGTTCTTGGATAGGATGATACTCGCGCTCTACCGCAAGAACTGCGACAAGACGTTCCATCGTTCAGAGCACGACCACGTCCGATTCAGCGTCGAATTATATTTACCCGAAGTTTCCCGGTGAGTAGTTTCGAAAATCCATGATCGAAGGGTGCAGTACTGACACGCTCGTTCGTCATCGCAGCGTCATGGCGCTCGTTAGCGATCGGATTGACCCTGAATATCAATGTAGTGCCGACCACTACGTAAATGCTAAGATGAATGAACGAGATCTGGAGTGGATTCAGAAGAGCATCCAGAACATCCGGAAGGTGGCTGATTACGCCGTTCGTTGACTTCGTCCCGTCATCTCGTCGAAGTCGACTTATGGAACGCACAGAAACCGGGAAGCCGCTACGGCTGCCTTCCTTCGACGACAGCCGTCATCGACTCCCTCGATGTGTTGTGCGCAACCAAAGTCGAGAAGAGCGACTGGAGGAAACATAGGCAGAAGATCGTGGATCGTGTTCAGGAACTTCGGAAGGTGCTAACGTCCAATGCATTATTTGCATTGCGCCGGTGGGGCTGACGTGATACTATAGTTCCGTGATATCATGCCCGAAAAGAAGTATGTGGATATACGACCGGCCCTCCGACGTGCATGCGAACTGGCGAGATATCCGCTGGGGGATGTCTATTGCGACGAGACCGTGGACGTGCTGCTGCACAAGAGCCCGTTGCAAGGGCGCACGACGGTTCGGCACAGATCGGGCCACTTTTTAGATCAACCGCAGTCGACCTTTTGGCACCCCCACAAGAAGGATCGCGCCAAGGAAGTGAGCGTGTCTCACCACTAACATCACGCTTTTACCCCTGAATGCTAATGATCCGACAGCGCTTCCAACGTGGCTTCGAGATATGGAGGAAGATATACGAGGAAGATGATGAGGGCGTTGTTCTACCTCTTTGGGGGTTCTGCAAGCGAACGTTCGGGCTACTGCAAGTGTCAGCCTCATTCAACGTCGGTGGCCGTATTGACGCCGCCTTGTAATAGCACGTTATTTACCCCTTGCACGCTCGGTTCAGTCGTCGCCTACATCGCGGGGCGCCCTGACGCGGACCGCCTCCTCCTGGTATGCACCCTGTGAATATTCGTCGCGGTTGATGCTTACAGTTCTGTAGCTCGTCAAGATGGCGCGCTGTGTAAGATCAATCCATGCAAGGAACGTAGTGTTGGGCACGCTTGACGGGGTATGTGATGTGCCATCCTCGTTCCTTACATATCCTCATCTCGCAACGGAAGGCGACGTTCCAGGTCATGGAAAAGACGGGACAGCCGGAAATTTTCCTCTCGAAATTCTACAATGCCCAAGTATGTCGCTACGGACGTCTCTGTTAGCACAAATTCACCTTGCGACAGTTCATCTCGGATTCAGGCCTTTGGCTTCCATCATCAGCATATCCTGAGACGCAGTGGTGCGTGCCTTGATTTCAGAGTTATGTCCTTGCCACTCTCCTTACAAATTTCTGCACCGTAGGACCACCGCCCCGGAGTGCGACCCCTTGAGTCCCAACAGCTACGACAAGCAGGCGGACATCTGGCCCTTAGGCGCGCTCATTATCCGAGCAAGTTCATGTCCTATTTTCATCATTCAAACGCCTAAGTGAACGCGAATGGTAGATCATGACGGGCAAACCTCCCGAACAGTGCTTGTACGACGCAATCGCAAGCTCCGACACGGACAAACGGAAGCTAGCGCTCCCATCGCCGCGGTCTTTGGATACCGTGGCCGACAAGCGAAGGATGGACGACGATGTATATGACCTGGCCTACGATTGCTTGAGCCATGACCCGGCTTCGCGACCGACCATCGAGCAGGTCGTAAAGCGGTTGGAGGATTGCCACGAACGTTGGCTGGCGATACACAAACTTAAGGACCCTGTCACCTCGAGTAAGAAAGCATAGTTGGATCTGCTCGACGCCGAACCATTACACTGTATTGTACGATATAATTCTCTTCACGATGCATCCCAAACCCAACGAAACCGTCCAATTGCAAGCCACGTCAAGCACCTACCGTCGGAAACCGGCCCGAAGTCACAACGGTCTTTATATATAATCCCACGGTCAGTTCATTCACTGTCTCACGATCATATCAGCGGCTGTCCTAGCGGAGCTTACTGCATCATGAATTCTATACCGGACACTCGTCATCTATGGCATACACTGCAGCTAGCGCCGGTCCATCGACGTCAGGTCCTACCGATGCTTCACGCACAATAGTTATCGAGGACGCGCAACCTCGGCCAGAGGATGGTGCGCGGGACGCTTCGAGCGTTGACGGCGAGGTCGTCGGCACACTTCGCCTGCGTGCTGCTGGACGACCTGATAGGCCTCGGGTTGCGTGGGCGGAGGAGGTGGTTGACAACGAAGGGATGGGGAAGAAGAAGTCAAAGAGTATGTCCGAGATTGTCTGTGCAGCTCCCCGATGGCCTGACAATATGGTGTTTCTCCAGTATGTTGCATATACCACAAACCAAGGAGGTTTGATGAATCGTCCTCCGAAGAGGACTCATCGGACTCCGACTCGGGTTCAGATGGAGGAGCAAAACCAAGCAACTACCGACGACGACGACGGAATCGGCACCATCATAATCATGACCTCCCCCATGACGAAGACTGCAACCACGGACACCATGGCGGGGACCAGCTGACTCATGGTGGCCCAAGCTCCCAGGCCGTAGTCCACGAACTTGCCGTCGATCCGGAGCCGAATGCATACGAGAGAGGTCCTTCCGCGGGCAAAGGGAAGATGAAGGCTCATGCCGACCACGGTACAACAGCTTCATGCGTTACGTACTGAGCATGAAACTGACAATATTTTCCCCGACAGATTAGCAAGAAATTTGCGTTTCCTTATATGTATCAGTACCATGCAGTCCGCACATGTTGCCGACAGGGCCACGTCGCCCTTCTCGGGGCAGACGACATGAAAGATCTTACAAGTGGAAGGCATCAGCCCAGCGGTTTCGGTAAACATCGATGCCGTCCACCAGTATGCAGTGCCGAGGACTTCGACGACCGACCCACGACGACCTCGTTCGTGACGACGCAGATTTATGAACGGAGCCATATTTTCTGTGTGGATTACGAGGCTGCTTGTACGCAAACGTGGAAGTGCGGGACACATCTAACTGCTGCGTGAGTTGTGCGGTGAACGACTGCCGCTTCTTCATCCTTTCCGGGCATCACGGAGCCAGGAGCTTTAGTCATGGTGTTCATCAGTGATCTCCGTCCATGCCATACGGGCCGCGATTGACACTACAGTAGAATCGACGTCCGGTCGTCAGCGGCAGCGTGCTTTCACTGATGTTGCGCTCATTGTGCATTGATTATATTACCTCAAGGTGCTTACGATGTTCACACAGAGATCTTCGATTGTATCCCAGCGTGGGCACGACACGCCAAGGTGAGCGTCAAATAGCTGGAGACTGAGGACGTTTGTTAGTCAAGCTAATCGGGTTGCAGTCGACGCTTACTACTGCTTTTGTCGCACGATGTGCGGTCTGGCCTCAAAGCGCCGGCGAGGAAGACGCGGTGTTCGACAACGCTGTCCATCGCGTTTTTTGGGAAACATCTGCTCAGCATCCTCTCTATCTGCAATCGTCCTTCGGCACTCATCAGCAAGCTACATGATCAGCCATGCATTTACTGCTCAGCTCCAGACGTCGTCAAGTCAGGAGCTTCACAGAGTGCTACTGAGAAGCCCAGGATCAGCCTCTCTATCAATGATAACGCGTGCTTTGCTGAGAAGCTCGGGAACAGCTCGGATCTCCCACGGATTGCCGGTACAGCGTCCGCCTCGATCTCAACGCAGGAACAGGCCGCCCGTTTGCCTTATAATGCACCTCCTCCCATCCGTAACATTATAGACACCCTCGCCATGTCTTCCAAAGGATCCGCCTCCAAACATCCGCATGTACTGTTGTTTGCTTTGGCCGCCTGGGGTTCGGTGCATCAAATTCACGCTGCGTGTGCAATGCTAACATGCCCTACATAGGACATACGAGGCCCTTGAGCAATCTGGCTTCCAAGATTGCGAAGCTTCGCGGCGTTCATGTCACATTATTCACTTGGGCTTCAGTCGTGGAGAAGGTGCACATCGAGATTTCTCGCAGCTTCGGCGAGAAGGAACAGGAGATTCGCAAGCTCATCAGGTACTATGGCATCCGAACTTCGATTTATGTGCGAATGTTGACTAGCTATAGGGTGGTCGCGCTGCCGGGAGATATGGATACAACCAACTTCCTGGACGTGGACGAATCTTTTCGTCCGGTTTATCACCAACTCGCGAAAGGGGAGCCAGTCACTTGCTCAGTCAAAGGGACTGTATTCGATGCTGTTCTACCTCCTACTGTCGTCATTATAGATGTCAGTCGTTTCACGGAGCTACGACTGCTCGTTTTTCGTCTCCAAGACTGACTCGCGACAGTTCTTCGCTCTACGTCCACTCCGGACCATCCGGGAGCTTAGTCCCGAGCGTATCCCAGTACTTGCGTGGCAGAGTGCTGATCCTGGCCACGTGCTACGGGACTTTGGACCTGTAGAATACGGTGGTATGGGTGATTTGAAGCCTATCGTCCACCGCATCGCCGAAGAACACGGGCTGAGAGTGACAGATGCTACGGCGAAGGTGTCACGCCTTTGTTTGAGTTGTGAACGTCGATCACTGACTCTGTCGTATTCATCAGTATTTCGACGAACTACCAGGAGAAGTTGTGACATTGGGCAAACTTCCGCCTATGTACGATTATGAGAATTTTCCCCAACCAGTACGTTAGGTGCCATACAGTGTAAAGACGGATACTCAAGGAAGGTATCAGATGCCGCTTGAGCTTCTCCAGGTCATGGCAGAGATGCATCACATCGGATACCAGTGAGTTGAAGGCGCTTCTCTCCATCATTGACCATCTCTGCTAACAGCACGTTCGTGTTCGAAGTGCCTTCTTAGAGTGCGATGGGATTGTCCAGACATCGGATCCTTCCTTCGCTCGGGATTCCATCGAAGTTGTAGAGAATTGGATGGCCTCCAGCTCTCCGCCGCGTAAAGTCTACAGCATCGGACCGCAGCTACCTTTTGGTACAGCTGCTGACACGAGGAACGGTGACTTGAAGCAGTCTTCGAAGTCGGAAGAGATCGTCAACTTCCTAGATGCTGCTCTGAAATCTCATGGAGCCAAATCGGTGGTTTACGTGAGTTCGGTTTCATGGCCTGGCGGTCGTAGTCTGAAGGCTCCAACTGATAGATCTCGTTCGGGACCGTTTGGGGTCCCTGGGCACATCCGGAACAGCTATGGGCGATGCTTGACGTCTTCATGGAGACGAAGGTGCCTTTCGTAAGCGCAGTCAATATCGTATCGAGAAAGCAGGTTCCTCAGTGTTGCCCGTAAAAGATCATGAGCCACGCGTCTCCCTTCGCCTCGGTACCAGATGAAGTTCTGAACAAGGTCACGGAATCCGGGCTGGGCGTCATCGCGCACTGGTCTCCGCAACAATATATCCTCTCGCATCCAGTGAGCTACACGATATCCTTAGCTCGTATCACTTTGACAATGCATACGTCAGGCAACTGGATGGTTCGTCACGCATGCCGGGATGAATAGTGCATTGGAAAGTCTCGCTGCTGGTATCCCTATGTCAGCATTATCGACCATTTTTGAGAGGCAGTCAGAACTGACCTTTGATCGATCATAGGATATGCTGGGACTTCGCCGCCGATCAACCTATGATCGCCGCGAACCTCAGTCGCGGTCTCAACGTCGCGTACCACCTTCTCGAGGTACGCAATGGCAGAACCGCCACGAAACCGGCGTACCGCACGGGCAAAGCCCCTGAAGGTTCGATCTCTTCTATCAAAAGGGAGGTAGCAGATGTTGTTGAACAGATGCGGGGGCCGGATGGCGCTACGAAAAGGCAGAATGTGGAGAGGATTTGCGAGGAGCTGGCCGAAAGCATGAAGGAGGGCGGCAATGCGCATCGGTCATTGCTGACTCTATTCGACGATCTAGGATTATAGGTTTACCATCAATACTATGGATCCACATATCGTCATGCTTCGGAAAACACTGGATATATCATTGATCCCGATCCTCACATGCGACATAATACATGTTTAGTAACGGACAATCAATTAGGCAATGAGAAGGCTATTACGAAGTTCTGTGCAACCAGTGCAACGGATATAGAATAAAATATGACTGAAAGTCCGTATAGCTGGGTTTCGCAAGAGCATGATACAAGTAAACTGTACATTCATAAGTGGGGTATACTCTGATGAAAGAAGCAAGGAATCCTGAATCGCGTTACATACAAACAGTCCCTTCTAGTTTAACTCCCTAGATACCCAAACTCCACAGCATCAGCCGCGAACAGACCCGGGCACGATAATCGTCCATAAGAGGTGACAACCTCGCCTGTCCACCAAGGTGCCTCGGCGGAATCGGGCGCATCGGTGACGGCAATCACGTCGCCTGCACTAAACCGAAGTTCGTCCTTCCCATCGATGTCTTGCGTCTCAGCGCCTGCGTAGGGCTTCGTCACTTGCACTGACCACGCACAAAGGGCACCGTCGGCACGGCTACATCGCGAACGAAACTTGAGTCGCATGCTCACCGAAATATTGTATGTTTTGCTCTCCTCTCCACAACCGTTCCTCCCCGGGTCCTAAGCTGCAAATCAACGAAACACGAATCAGAACGAGCGTGCCACCGCTCGTGAGCAAAGCCAAAACAAAATACCAACATCTTTCTTGCACACTGGCAGGGAAAGAATCCGCGTAACCCGGGAATCAGCCAATGCCCCTCCAGCCGCTGTTTGCTATCCTTGCGATCATCGGGGTACTTCTTTATTAACACTGGGGTGCCCTCGGGAACCTCACGATTTGTGACACCGGACCAGTATCTCTTGATTTGCCCTAGGGTTCGAATTTCAAGGTCATTTCAGCACCGGTAAGGGAGCACGCAGAGCGAGAGTATCCCACCTACGAACGGCACCATGTCCCTTTGCAGCTTCGCCCTGGGCGGCCTGGGCAAGACCATAAGGTCAGCGCGAGCAGTGACCAAGTAATCGACAAGGTGACCTACTCGGGATCCCGGAGGACGTTTTCTTTAAAGAGCGCCTTTTGAGCTCCTTTAGGAAAAAGCTGCTGTCCATAACACCAACCATCGGGATACTGATGCTCCACAGCGACGATGTCACCCTTGCCCAGTGGTAGGAGCGCCTCGTCACCATGATACGTGATGATTTTGCGCGCCCGCGCTAGGTCGGCATGCGATGGGCGCTTCGCTCTCACTAACCAAGTGTCAGCTGTGTCCCTGCTCATTAAGGCGCAGACGAGCGTTTTACCATAAAATAGGACGTTCTTGCCGGACATAGTACTTGTATTATCAGAAGGGGGGCGGTCGGGCATATCGCTCTGCCTCACTCTGCGGGACGGTTTGTATGGGCGAGGAGTAATATCGGGCGAGACGGCTTACCTATTTCTGTGGGATGGCCGTTGTCCCGCCTTGTCCAATATTTTTTGCATGGACGGCCGTGTCGCTGGATCCTTCTCCCAGCAGTCATTCAAGTGCACACTCAGGTATGGATCCACGACGCGACGATCGAAAGGCGGCGGTTGACCCTCTTCCAAGAGACCCTTTATTGCATCAATCTTCATACCCGCATACGGGAATCGGCCGGTGTACACTTCCTAGGCATTGGTCTTCATGAGTCACCCTCGGAGGCGGTTCATAAGTGTAAACGTTCGATACCACAATCAGCATCCCCCAAGACCAAACGTCAGCTTTATGAAGTAGTTTCCTCCTCATTGCGCGATGCCGCATAGAGGGATAATACTCCCGCGCTTTTCTCATCGCGTGCAGCTCCCATGCCTGCCATGGCAATGAGCCCTTGGAGAGCGACGACGATGTGACCAAGCCGTTCTGTTCTTTCGCGTATCCGAAGTCACACAGCAGCGCACGGAGTTGGAACGAGCCGGTGCCCGTATGCACGTTGGTGACAAGGACCTAGCAAGACCAGAACATCAAATTTCATGGCCAAGAACCCATGCGATGAGGCAACAACACACGTTAGACGCTTTGACGTCCAGATGCACGGTATCGTTCTTATGAAGGAACGCGAGGCCAAACGCAACGTCGAACACCTGTAGGTCCTCAGCACCGGAACCAACGGCGTACCGGCCGGAAGCACGTCAAACTGACCAGGCCCCTCTTCGTTTGTTCACTCATGTTTGAATTTTTCGTGCAGCAGTCGGCGAGCGTCCCCTCCGGTACGTACGGTGTCACGAGATCGAGTGACCCCTGATTTGGATTGTGGTTGTCGTCGATATATCCGTATATTGGGAGGATATTGGGATGGACCATCTTCATCCAGTTTTCCAGCTCGCGGCGCATACGCTGTGCATGTAACATAACATGTGAAGGCCATCAAACGCGCAGAGTAGATGGTCGACACTCACCCCATAGTCACTATTGTAGGACTGCTTGATCGCCACCGGTATCTTCCCGTTGTATTGGCCGAGGATGACGCGTCCTTGCTGAGTGTATCCCAGAACGACTGTAGGGTCCTGCACGCGATGAAGTCAGCTACGTCCGGAGTGATGTACCGCGTACGCGCCCTTTTGACGCTGCTGCCAAGATTCCGTTGGGCCAGCATCACAGCGTTGTGGTCGCGGCGGGGTATGGTCTCTGATTCGTTGTACCATCTGACCAGTCTACTTGACGCCTATAAACTTTTTCCAATTCCCTCATAGGAACTCCAGGTACAACGAAGCTCAGAGATGTCCGTGTGGGCATGAAACGCTGAGATTTGGTATCCAGGACATTGCACGACGCGACAGCATTTGTCAATTATGTTGGACAGCATCCGTGAGGAAGTCGATGAGCGGAGCTACGTTGTATGGCCGGGAGCTTTGATCTCAACGCGGCGGAAAGGGTTGTGTATCGTGCGTATCGATATGTAACCATGTCGGGCCTTGTTTGCTTGTCATACTGGTGCAGTACAAAGCGCAACGCCGTGAGAAATAGTTTCACCGCGTCGCAGTCTTGACTCTCATGCAAGGCGTCCAGCAGGGAACGGTCGTTTCAATGCTCCATTATCATTATTGAATCTGACCGCACATCCACGCGTAGCGAGAGTGTAGGGCGGAATAGAGATGCAGCGATTTCAACTATCTAAATATTCCGATTCGACTGCATCCCGCTCGAAAGTACCATATGGCCTCTGTTGCGGATGCCTTGGACCTATCAGCTCGCCGGTCCATGGTCCTTCCGCTGGCGCATCGGTGACTGCGATGATATCGCCCACCTTGAAGCGGAGCTCGGTATTCACGTCAATATGACGCGTCTCGCCCTCGAAATCATGGGTCGCTTCCACTACCGAGGGCATATCAGCATCGTGCCATGTTAGTCGAAGTCCGAAGGCTGTCGTACTCACTATAATAAAGCACTCCGTGAGGCAGCCACGTTTTCCGGGGACCAACACTGGACATAGAGCAGAACGAGTGAGAATAATCGACCCTTTGACGAAGAGCGCGTATCTGACATTTTGCGTGCACGATGAGCGGGAAATATCCCAGTGCTATCGGGCTTGAGTTGGCAACCGGTCAGTTTCTCGGTATCGGCGTCACCGTTAGGCTTCCCCGTAATCAGTACAGTATCCCCTTCTTGTACATTGATGTGTCTTCTCGTCGATCGGTACATATATCGCATCGTGGCTATTGCAAGTCGTGCACTCATCAGGTACATGCCTAAAGATTCGACTTGCGGCAAGTATGACCCGTACCTACGAACGGGAGCTGAGTTCTGTGTAACTTTGTTGTCGTCGGACTGCAAAATGCCCACTGTGAGCATATCGAGCAGAAATCATGCGGAGCACCCACTTGGCATCGCACACGTGCACCGCCGTGAAAAGCGGTTTGGGATCTTCCATGCGGGTGAATCGTTGCCCGACAAGCCACCCATCGGGACTGTCCTTGGTTACAGCGATGATATCTCCTGCACAAAAATGCAGCAGGTCGTCTGCTTTGAAATCCAGTCCGCGCCCGAACTTTGCATGCCAACGTCGCTTAGCCCGCGCTACGGGTATGTTAGCTCACCATTCTTTGTCCAGAGACAAGTGACACATGCCATAGAATAAGACTTGTTTGCCATCAGTGGTTTGTTGACGACACGGGCTACGAGGCGAGGATGCGCGGTGTTCTTCCCTACAAGTCTCGTCAGCGAGTGATATCCATGTCCTATGGAGAGCCATACTCCACTGGATCAGGTGCCGGTATCTTGAGTTCGTCTATAACTTCCTGCATGGTTGGTCGTGACAGGACATTTCGCGCCCAGCAGCGCTTCATCGTTACCCTCAACTCCTCCTCCATTCCTTTCTTCTTTACGAACGCTCGACTATAAGACGGCGGGGTGCCGTTCCTCAGTTCCGCGCCCACATCTTCACCTTGTTTATTCGCATATGGATGCATGCCCATAAATACCTCCTGCGAGCCAGTGTTTAGTAAGTGCCTAATATGGATGGATGACGTATGTCGTACCAAAACCGTCATACCCCAGGACCACACATCTGCTTTCTGGAGTAGCTTCCTTTCTGAACGTTTGATCTCGGGAAATCTCTCTGCGAAGGCGCTGGGGGCGGCCAGCTCCCATGCCTTCCAGCGCGTAGAGCCTCCGCTATCAAGCGATGCAGATGTTATCTTGTCTTTCTCCGGATCTTTGGCGAGTCCAAAATCGGAGAGAAGGGCGCGGAGACGAAAGGTGGACCCTGCGCGAACGTTGGTAACAAGGATCTGTGCAGACGTAGTAGAATACCAGCGCTTGACATCCGATAGAACGGACATACATTTGCGGCTTTGACATCCAAATGAACTATGTTGTTGGCATGAAGATATGCGAGGCCTAGCGCGGCATCGAAAATCTGCGAGTGCCGTTATCGATGAGACAGGACCCGACACAGTGCACCGGACATACCAGTCCCTTCCTCGTCTCTGCACTCATGTCCGCATGTGTTCTATAGCAATCCTCCAGGGTGCCTTCAGGTATATATGGCGTGACGATATCCTTTGGAAGGCTCGCGTCATTCTGCAGATAGCCATAGAGCGGTACAACGTTTGGATGTTTGAGCTTCGCCCAATGCTCTAATTCGCGCGTGGGGCGCTTATGGACGGGAAGGGTCAGTGTTGCAAGACGATTAGACTTCACAATACGTGACATACTAGGTGTTCGGATTGCTTTGAGCATTTGACAGCCACCGGAATGTCACCCCAGTACTCAATGTACACCCATCCAAAGGATCCAGATCCAATCACGAACTCCTTCTACATGCTCGGGTCAGTTGATCGCTGCTGTCGTCAGTCACCATATCGAGAGACGTACGTGGACGCTGACTTTCGATGTCAGATTGATAGTCATGGTCAGACGCCTCAATATCTTTTGCTGTGCGGACAGTGGTCTTGATGAAAGTTGGTTCGGCGTGTTGTCCAGATCAGCTCGCTGTAAAGCCTACGGTTACTTCGCGTGGAAAAAGGTAAGGAAAGCTATCGCCGACGCAATCAACCCGCGTTTAAGATGCTGCACCCGCAATGTGAGGTCTCTGGCAGAGCCTTGTCTCTGTAAGGTATCGCGAAGGACCCTCGCAACCAACGCTTTGTCCGGATGGACAGCATTTCGTGCAAGTTGGCAACGGCCAGGAAATTTGCACAGAGGCAAATCCAGACCTCCTGATATAGCAGCATCAGTGAGACCGAAGGTCCGTGTATGTTTCAAACCATGCAGTCCATGGGTTCGAAACCAAACGAAGAAGAGCGTAATGTGCTTCAATGGCTAACGCACTCAAAGCGCTCGACAGCGCGTGGGAATGGTCACTCGTGACGCAACCGAACGATACTTATTTCACTCCCTGGCTCCTTAGCTTCACCTACGCTTGCAGTTTAAGAAGGAGGAAGAAAAAAATCGATTGATCAGGATAAATTCAAAGACCAGCCTGCCTGCACTCTCAGGGAACGACTTCGTTAGTAATACTGCAGCCAAATTTTGAGCCGCACTACCCTAGCCATCGCTTCACAATCGAATCAACGATCCGTGGGCTTGTCGGGAGCGGGCTCGTTGGATATTCTCGCCCGTCATCATCCAAAGGGGTCGGAGATCTGAGGGCTTCTCCTATGGTCTCGAACTCGGATTGATATGGCGAAGGTGCGTCTCGATCTGGTTTACGATAAGTAGTGCTGCTCATACAATGCGCCCAAAGTTGGCATAATGCACTTCACCTGCTGGTGTCATTGAGCTAGAGTAGGTTGCAGTGTCCGATGAGACTGTAATCTCGGCACCGCTTATGGACTCTGCATCGCTCTCTAGATTGCACCAAATGTTAAACTGCGGCAGAGGACTGAAGAAGACGGGCTCACCGTTTTCGGAGTCACGCGTGGATCCGCCTTGAGTGAACCTGGCTTCATCTTCGGGCCGTGAGACATTATCGACGACACGTCCTATATCGGTTCCTGTATCAAGTTATGGTGTAATTCTTTTGGGTAGCGAGATCAGACAACTTGCCCATTGCTGTGGCAGCTTGCCCCAGCGCTCCATCGGGAGGTTGAAGCAGACCTTCACAATCTAAGTATTAAAGTGAGGGATGTCATATTCCGGCGCACCATTAATCACGTCAAGGGGGTTCGAGAGAGCGTTCCCAGAGGAGTCGAGATATGTCTCTCTCTTGTTGTCCCAAGGCGCGGCGAGATCAAATACTGTTGGCGAAGTCCCATCCGGGCCCATAACAACTACGCCCGGCCGATTATTGCCTGCTTCGGCTTCGGTGTGGTTTCCGTGATTTTTTGTCACAGTATGGCGAAGCTTAAGGTCTGTGGGGATTTTAGTAAGAAGAGACCAGAAGAGAGTAGTGACACCGGCCTTCTGAGTGGACGATAGCGACGTCACACTCCGAATAGCGTTTCTTTCGTCTCGCAAAATCCGATGCAGTCTATAAAATCAATCAGCCTCGATATCTCAAAGGCACTGTACACTTGCAAGAAGACGACGCCGGAACTTCTCTGCAGCTTGCCGATATGCCTGGTTTTCATTCCGAGCCGTAGTGATGATCAGATATCGTCGTTTCCAGAGCGGAGCCTTGCGTGCTGCTCTTAATTCTGACTCAAGGGCATCCCGCCGGAGATTCACGCTGGCGATAACTCAGTGCTATCATGTGCGCATAACAAACAGATATCATACTCGTCTAACATGTCCTCCAGACCTCTGAGCGTCTCAGATGGGAGGTGGGCTGTGTAAACCGGTAGCTCTTGAGAGAAGAGATCCATGCATTGTCCGACTGTTTTCTCCGTTTTACAGTAGATGCCCTCGAAGCCCCATGGAGTCAACTTCTTCATAGATTTGATTTGATCAGCATGGACGTCGAGTATAACATCCTTCTGAAGATGAGAGGATGGCGTTGAAGTATGACTCATGTAGGGCAGAGACAGACGAAGGCAGGCGCCAAAGCTCTGCCACGAGGAGCAATATAAGCCGTATCGAGCCAGCTAAAGATAGGTTGGCAATTACTCCTTTTACATTGATTGCGAAGAATCCAGACAATGTTGCAGCGCAAAAAAGTTTTGAAACGTTAAATACACATGCTGTCCGTGGAACAATAGGGTGCGTGACATCTCAGATAAATCACTCGATTACGGCAATTCATAGACGTTGCCTCTCCCGCGCTTTCCGTGGTGTGACTTTGAACGAACACGATTTACTAGTCAGCTTCGAAGTGAGCATTGGCAGTCTTCGGAACTTGCTTCTCATAGTCATCTTGTGAGTTTGATATGTATACATGATGAGGGCTCAACGGGAGGTGCCCTCGTATCAGCATGGTTCGGCTTACAAGTCGCACCATATATTTGCTTCCGCAATCCCACGCTCCGTTGCATTGACAGTTACGTAAAATCAAGAGTTACCAAGTCGCACCATATTTGCTTCTGTGTTCCCACGCGTCAAACGTGCCGCGATTTTGCGTAGACCCTTGTCCTCTCCCTAATGCAAGGACGACGAAGAACGAATGTCGAAGCTGGAGAGCTTTACTCTGGAGAGCTATTTTGGAGAGACAAGTACGAATGGTTGCTCGACTCTGGATATAGACTTCGAGATCGTTACAAGCCGGACTGGGTGCCTTCATGGAGGGGCAAAAGCGACGTCGTCTGGTATAAGCAAGAAGACTCGTTTACTTTCCAGGTCAGGAACACATTGCGCATGATTGGTGGAATGCTGACATACCCCTACAGGACTCCCGTGTCGCAGATGCTGTTCGTGTATCCGATGGCACTCCTGTCGCTCTCAAAAGATTTCGCCCGACCGTGAACCCCCAGGAAGAAGATATCATCATTATGCTCAACAGTGAACCATTTGTTTCCGACCCACGCAATCATTGTGTTCCGATATACGAGATCATGGAAGTCCCCGGAGAGGACTTACGGCTCATTGTCATGCCCTTGCTACGCGAGTACGAGGATCCCAAGTGGGACACCATCGGTGAAGTTGTGAGCTGCATCCAACAGATATTCGAGGCGAGCCCTATTATCCTATGTCACTCTTTCAATGAATTATTGATACAGCTGCCGTTAGGGATTGCGTTTCATGCACATCAATCGCATAGCTCATCGGTGGGTGAAGTTCAATCGCTATCCTTGCGTGAATTACATCATGATTTCGTTCATTCAGGGATTGCACCGTCAACAATATCATGCTCGATCCCAGGGATATGTACCCCGCTTCGTTCCATCCAGCCAGACCCGAGAAATCCGGAGACGGAAAAGCACCAGCCCGTTACTTCACTCGAACGCAGCGTCCATCAAGGTATTACCTCATAGACTTCGGCTTGTCACAGCTGTACCCTCCTGGGGAGCCCGCGATCGCCTTTCCCACCAGGGGAGGCGATAGAACCGTTCCCGAATTCGCCGCCGACTACGATGCCGACTATGACCCTTTCCCTGTCGACGTGTACTACCTTGGCAACTGGGTTCGGGAGTACATCATCAAGGTGAGCATTCAGCGTTACTCTCCGTCGCCGCGGGTCACGCCGTTGCTGATATCGGTTACAGAAGTACCACGGGTTTGAGTTCCTATCAAGCCTCACGGACGATATGACGCTCGTCGACCCGAGCAAACGGCCGACAATGGACCAGGTCATGGAACGACTTGACAAGATTGTGACATCCGCAGGTTCCTGGAAAATGCGTTCTCGGGTCGTAGCTCGCGACGAACACCCCATCATGGGCTTATATCGCGCGATAGGACACTGGAAACGGCGTGTGGTCTTTATCTTCACTCGAACTCCGGCCATCCCGACTCCTCCGCCTATTTCTCCTACCTATGTGCAGCGCAGACCGCTGCCACCAGGCTCGGCGAGCATCACTAAACCTTCTGTTCCAGCAGAAACCGTCCCCGAGGCGGAGCCTAGTGTGCCTCCGCCGGATGCCACATAGCCGACATCGTTGTTTTTGCCATCTGATTTCTGTGCTTTCTTGCTTCGTCGCATGTCTCCTGTCGTTGAATACCGTGAGGCCTCACGAACCGGTTATTCCTGTATTGGAACCGCGCCAGATAATACTACCTACCTACCGTCGTCGGCATATTATGTATCCTGGGTCAACATTGGCGAGAGAAGTCTCCGTTGCCTGCGATGAAGCTCGAGCTGCACCTCGTCGCTATCCGCGGCTCCACTCCGTCAGTAAGTCGGTGGTAAGCTCTGATGTCGGCTCAGATAGTAATGGATAATAGATAGATATGCTTATTTGGAAATAATCAAAGCAAGGGCATGACTATGAGCTTGTAGTCCTCATCCGAAACAGAGAGTATCTCGTAAATGGGAACACAACGGTTATGAGAATCAGATGCTAGGGGGTCGCTTCCGAGCTTGATGATGATGTCCTCTTCCTGGGGGTTCTTGTCTGGGAAGATCCTTTTCAGGGCAACCGGTGTGTTGTCAGACACACGAACGGCGTCCGCGACGCGACTATCCTGAGGAAGTGGTCTAGTAGACTGGCTTGACAGTAGCCTATAACTCTGCCCACCTGGAACGGGTGTGCATCTTCCTGCTCCCAGTACAGCACATCGTCGCCCTTGCCCCTCCATGAAGGCACCCAGTCAGGTTTGAAGCGATCCCGGAGCCTGTAGCCACAGCTGAGCAGTCATTCGTATTTCTCAGCCCATAGGACCTCTACAGGATACAGCTCGCCAGCTTCGACATTGATTTCAGGCAGCATTTGATGGAGCGGGCGAGAGAAGGGACAACAACCGCGTTGCAGAAATTCCAACCCGCTCGGAACCATTTGTTACGTAATAAGGCAAAGCGTAGAAGCAAATTGTCGGTTGCGGAGACGCGATGTATGCGGTTGGAGACTAGCGAAAGTGCGCGACCGGTCGTGCCTCCGTCCGTACATGCGCGGGTGAAGATAATGAGCAGGACCTCGTCGGGGCACCGGTCCATAGATTTCGTGCAGCCGGTGTAACAACGTTGTACGTTGAGACAGTATCATGAGGCGTGACGATATCTTTCGGAAGGCTCGCGTCATTCTGCAGATACCCATAGAACGGTACAAAGTTTGGATGGTTGAGCTTTGTCCAATGCTCTATCTCGCGCGTGTGGCGCTTATGGACGGGAAGGGTCAGTGTTGCAAGACGATCAAACTTCACAATACGTGACTTACTCGGTGTTCGGGTTGTTTCGAACATTTGACAGCCACCGGAATGTCATCCAAGTTCCCGATGTATACCCATCCAAAGGATCCAGACCCAATCACTAAATCTTTCTACATGCTCGTGTCAGTTAACCGCTCAGTCACTAAGTCGAAAGGCGTACGTGGACCCTGACTTTTGATGTTAGATTGATAGCCATGGTCAGATGCCTCGGTATCTCTTGCTTCCAGCACGGTGTTCTGGACGAAAGTCAGTTTGCTATGCGCGTGTCCACAGATTCGAATCAGCTCACTGATCAGTCGACGTTGAAATATGTTCTGGTGGGACATGGCCTGCAACTGCCAGTACTTGAGATTCTTCATCGATAACGTGAGCTGCCAAAGAGTCTGCGGGAGCCTTTGTCCTTGCAAGGAAAGGCGAGGGACCTTCGCGACCAACGCTTTGTTGGGATGGACAGCATTTTGTTTGGGTTGGCAACGATCGGGGAACGTGCACGGAGGCAACTCCAGACTTCCTGATATGGCAGCTTCAATGCGGCCAGAGGTCCGTGCGGACCGGAGCGTGCAGTCCATGGGCATTGGGCACGGAACCAACAAGGGCACCCCTGCAAAGATACGTTTGGACGGCGAACGCCCTCGCGTCAAAGCGCTTGCGTGGGAATAGTTATTACTCGTGACGTAAAATGGACAAACGGCGGAGCTCGTGCGCACTTGTTGCGCTTGCATATCAAATAACAATGACCAGGGGCTCGAAGTAACCAATGTTTTGAAACAAGGGAACACTGGTCATTGCTATGATAACGCAAAACTCCGAGTACTGCTACCCCCATAATCCGAACGTCATGTTCTTGATTGACTCACCCAGACGTGGGCTCGTCGGGCGGCTCGTCGGGAGTAGCATCACCGGGAGCTCCCGCCCGTCATCGTCCAAAGGAGTTGGTGACCGGAGCTCCTCTCCGAGAAGTTCGAACTCTGGTTGATAGGGAGAAGGTGCGTCATGGTCTAATCTAATAGTGAGCGGTCCTGCTCATTCAGAACGTTCGGTCGCAGATCTACTTCACCTGCTGGTGCCAGTGAGCTCGTATAGGTCGCAGTATCCGATAGCGTGATATCAGCGCCGCTTATAGAATCTGCATCGTCTCCTGTATCGCGCCAGATGTCAAACGGCGGCACAGAACCGTAGAATACAGACTCACGGTCCTCAGATTCAAGCGCGGACATATCGTTATGAGATGGATCTCCTCCCGGCGAGGCATCGGCGACGCTACGTCCTCCTTCGGTCTCTATACCAAATATATGGGGCTTATCACCTGATGGTGTGGGCACACAACGTACCCATTTTTGTATCGGACTGCAATAACGCCTCCTCGCGAGCCAAATGCTGACTGCATGCCTGAATGATAGCTTGCAAGGCCTGAGCCTTCACGGAAGTGCTGCCCATGATGTAGCTTACCATTCCTCACCGGTTCTGCTCCGGGCGCGTGCAATAAAGGATTCCCGTTGCAGTCGGTGTACTGCCCTGTTTTGCTGTTGTAAATCGCAGCTAGGTCATATCTCGTCGGCGAAGTCCCATTCGATGGAATGTCAATGTTTTCCTGCCGATCCGAACTTTGAGATGTTTTGTTGCGGTTACGGCTCTCGTGCATCTCTGTGACGATGTGATTGCGTTCCATATCTGTGAGGGATAAGTGACGATAGCGAGAAAAGGATAGTAGCTGTACCTACCTTCTTCATGGACTACAGCAGCAAACACCTCTGCACGGCGGTGTTTGTCCCTTGCTTCGCGCGATGCCGTCTGCCTTACTGATCAGTGTTGATGTTTACCATAACGGCGAGGGCTTACCATCAACACCTCCCGAAACGTTTCTGTGAGCTCACGATATGCGTGGATTTCGTCGCGAGATCTCGTTACAACCAGGATGGGTTTCTTCCAGAATGGCTCCCCAGTGACTTCACGCGCACGTTTTAACTTCGAGACAAGAGAGTCTCGTGCCGTTGATACTCTAGCGACGGCTCAGCTCTGCTGATACGAGTTTGTGAAACATCGCATCCTACCGCAGTTTTGTTTTCTCTAGTGCGTCAAACGTGTCGGCTGAGAGGTGATCCTTGTAGAGCGGTAGCTCCTGTGAAAAGAGGTTCATGCAGTTTTCGGCGGTTTTCTCTGTCTTGATGTAGATGCCTGCGGCGCCCCATGGAGTCAATTTCTTAATAGCATTGACCTGATCATCATAGACATCTAGAATCACATCCCTCTGAGGAGGGGAGGGTATGGAGCCGTTGCTCATCGTGATAGGGGATGGGGACAATCGAGTGACGCCAAAAGGGTGGCCTCACGGGGTAGTAATACGCCGTGGGTCAAAGACGGATTGCTTTCTTTACCACCATAAGGTTAGGTGCGTGAGTGCCAAACAATGTTGCAGCGCGGGTTATGCTGTCCGTCAAATCAATAGATTACGTAGCATGTCACCCCAATCTCGTTGATGTGCCTTTGCCTTCTGGCGTTAGGGTAATCTCATACTCGAGTCACCTACTAGGAGCGGATGCGCAACGAGTCAGCACCGGCCGTTCGTTACGAAAGTAACCCACTGGGGGTGAATGAGCTAGATGAACAAAGTGGCGACAACGCGATCCTGCATGACACGTACAGCCAATCAAACGCAGGTCGTACAGTTGACATGGAAAGTCATTTTATATCGTGACAAGGTGAGGGTGCGCGTAACACAGTACTTAGTCACGCAAGATTTGCTTCCGCATTGACCTGGGACTGTAATACGTAAGATCCCACGATGAGCCCACGTGTCACCATCCGGGTTATTGTTCAACATGCGGTTTCGTGAACCGTTCTTTTCTACCCTCGCGTCCACGTATCTTCCCCCTATGGAAGGCAGAACAATCAATGTTGAAGCCGGAGACCTGTACCCTGGAGAGCCTTTTTGGCGCGACAAATACGAATGGTTGCTCAGCTGTGGTTACAAGCTACGAGATCGGTACAAACCCGACTGGGTGCCTTCATGGAGGGGCAAGAGCGACGTTTACTATTATGACCAGGAGGACTCATTCCCATTCCTGGTTAGCAATCAGTCCTACCCTACCTTGGGATTATGCTGACATCTGAATGCAGGATACTCGCGCTGCGGACGCTGTTCGTGTTTCCGATGGCACTCCCGTTGCCTTGAAGCGCGTATACCCAGACGTGAATCCGCATGAAGAAGCTGTTATCATCAAGCTCGGGAGTGAGCCACTTGCCTCTGACTCTCGCAACCATTGTGTTCCGATATACGAGATACTGGATGTTCCCGGCGAGAATTACCGGTTAATAGTCATGCCTCTGCTTCGCAAATACGCAAACCCCGAGTTCGATACCATCGGTGAAGTCGTAAGCTGTATTCAACAGATCTTCGAGGCATGTTGGTTATTCCCCCCCCCCCCTTCATACAAGCAGCTCATGTCGGACGTGTTGTCACCAGGGATTGCATTTCATGCATGCTCATCGTATTGCTCATCGGTGAGTACGCTTCATTTGTTGTTGCTTCACACTAAAGTACATAACTCATGTATTCACAAAGAGATTGCACTGCCAATAACATTATGCTCGATCCGAGGAACATGTATCCCGACGGATTCCATCCGGCGGAACCCTCGAAAGCCAAAGACCTGAAAGAACCTGCTCAGTATTTTACTCGAACTCAGCGTCCATCGAAGTATTACCTCATAGACTTTGGCTTATCAATGCTGTTTCCTCCCGAAGGGCCCGCCACAGCCATCCCTACTATGGGAGGAGACAGGTCCGTTCCCGAGTTCGCCGCAGACTACGATGCCCCGTACGACCCTTTCCCTGTCGACGTGTATTACCTCGGCAACTGGGTTAGGAAGTATATCATCCAGGTTGGCATTATGTTCTCCGTCGTTTTGACTCTTCGTGCTGCTTATGCGAGATATAGAAATACCACGGATTCGAGTTCTTGTCAGGTCTCATGGACGACATGACGGTTGACGACCCGAGCAAACGACCGACGATGGAACAGGTCATGGAGCGGCTTGACAAGATTATTAAATCCGCATGGTCCTGGAAACTGCGTTCGCGGGTCGCTGCTCGAGACGAACATCCCATCCTGGGCTTGTATCGCGCTATAGGCCACTGGAAACGGCGCGTGGTCTTCATCTATACCCGAACTCCGGCCATCCCGACACCATCGCCTATCCCTCCTACACACGTGCAGCGTAGATCAGCGGCCCCGGCGAGCACCAGTCAACCCTCTGTTCCAGCAGAACCCGACCCCCAGGCAGAGATCATTACGCCTCCGCCGGATGCCACGTAGCCGATATTGTTGAATTTCCCACCTGCTTTCTGTGCTTTCTTGCTTTGGCGCTTACTATACCACTCACTCGAATGCCGTCGTCGGATACCCTCATCTGGAAATCACCGTGCCCTGGGTCATCATTGTGCGAGAAGATTCCACCCGACGGCCTGGAACGTAATGCCGACGTAGAGCTGCAACTCGTCGCTATCCGCGGTCCCAAAACGTCAGCCACCTAAGATCCGATACTGGCGATGCCGTTGTGATAGTGAGCACTAGATAGCAACATCTACAACCCTACGCTGCGTTGTCCACGAATCTCTCAATTTCAAGTATGATAGTGAACTGTTTGCGGTTACAACTTCGCCTTTCCACGGGGCATCTGGAGGCGCTTCGGTGACGTCGCCCGTCTCAAACCAGCGAAGTTGTCTTGCATGCGGGAAGGCTCTATTCTTGCGAAGTTCGTGCCGGGGGTCGTACGACGCATGGTATCATCAACATCACTGGCTACCCGCAGACACGCACCGTCAGCAACCCAGTGCCGACGCTCTGAATCTCGGGTGTCGGAGAGATTAGTTCTCTAGAACAGAATATGCTACGATGATTCTATGCTACATTCACTGTTTCTGAAAGTCGAAGATCACAGTGCAGATGTTGGTCAGTAGTGCTCATTATATTAGGAACTCCGCTTCTACCGCTTCTCGCATGAACGAGCCTGATGGTCGCGTGTGAGAACCTTGTCGGGTTACCACCTCGCCTTTCCAAGGGGCATCTGGAGGCGCGTCGATAACCGCAATCACGTCGTCTGGCTCAAACCAGAGGTTCGTTTTTGCATCGTGTGGATGCATATTCCGCCCATCGAAATCGTGCCATACTGTCACTGTCGCGAGGAGTTAACCCAAGCATCTCGCATAAGGGATACCTCCGCTTACTGTAGTACAAAATCCCTTCCGGTAATTCTGTTGTCCTCGGTCCCAGACTGACGAGGGCATCCAGAAGCACGTCAGCACAAGTCTTTTCGGTACAACAAGAGCCACGAGTACGCACATTTTCTTCGCGTAATGCACGGGAAAGAGGCCGCTCTCTGCCGGTTGCAGCAGGGAGCCGATCATCTTTTCCGCATTGGTTCCGTCCTTTTCCATGTCTTTACTGGGGTAGCATCCGATCGAAACCGTGGTTCCTTTGGGAAATGTTGTACCCAGACGGTCCTTGTACCAGCTCTTCAAGTGGGCTAAATCGGCCATGACACTTGTCAGTGGGCGACGTGTGATTTGGCAGTCAAGGATACGTACAGACAAACGGTAATGGTTCCTTACTCAGTTTGCTCGTGGGCGGTCTGACAGCCGTTCGCATCAGTCTGAAAATGAGGCAGCACGATAGATGACCTACTGGGGATCGCGCAGCCTGTCCGGCTTACAAAGGTGCCTCCATCCCAGGAGTGTAAAGCGTTGTCCTCGGAACCATCCATCACGAGACTCGTGCGTTACGGCGATGATATCTTCCTTCTTCAGTTGTAGCAGCTCGTCCGGTTCGTACGCCTGGATCAACCGCAGCCGATCCGTGCTGGCCCATGCCGATAACTTCGCGCGAGCTCAGGAGATGTCAACGATTAGCCGAACCCGTTCGTGAAATCGTCTTACCATAAAACAATACCCGGTTGCCTCTGCTATCAAACTGATCCGAGGGGGTTCGCAGCTCAGACGTATCTTGCTCCACCCTGAGACGCGGTGAGCAGGATGTGCATGGTCTGATACACTTCGACAGGCTTACGGAGCAGCAGGACGGACCTCCGCCTTGTCAAGGATGGCCTGCATCGATTGTCGACATACAGGATTGAGCTCCCAGGATTCTCGCATCAGGCGCACAAGCATGGAATCCATCCCCTCATTCGTCAGTTCGGCGACATTGTAAGACGGGGTCTTTCCCTTCTTGAGGTAATCCATGACATTGTCTTCCGGGACGTCGTGGTACGGTTGCTTGCCCTCGGCGAAGTCTCGTTCGATGGAATGTCAATGTTTCCAGGCTGATTCGAACTTTGGGATGTTTCGTTGCGGTTGCGGCTCTCGTGCATCTCTGTGACGATGTGATTGCGTTCCATATCTGTGAGAAATAAGTGATAATAACAAGAAAAGGATAGTAGCTATCCCTGCCTTCTTCACGGACTACAGCAGCAAACACCTCTGCTCGGCGGTGTTGGTCCCTTGCTTCGCGCGATGCCGTCTGCCTTATTAATCAGCGTCGATCTTCACCACGAGCATGAAGGCTCACCATCAGTAGCTCCCGAAATGTTTCCGTGAGCTCATGGTGCACTCTGACTTCGTCGCGAGGTTTTGTTATAATCAAGATGGGTTTCTTCCAGAATGGCTGTCCCTTAGCTTGGCGCGCGTTTTTCAGATTCGATAAAAGGGAGCTCCGTGCCGTTGACACTCTAGCAACGGCTCAGTTCTGCCTGTACAAGTCTATACAATGTAGATACCTTACTGTAGCCGTGCGGTTTCCAAGGTTTTGAAGGAATCGACTGGGAGGTGGTCCTTGTAAATAGGTAACTCTTGCGAGAAGAGGTTCATGCAGTTTTCGGCGGTTCTCTCCGTCTTGACGTAGATGCCTTCGAAGCCCCATGGGGTCATTTTCTTGATAGCTTCGACCTGATCAACGTAGACATCGAGGATCACGTCCTTCTGAGGAAGGGAGGACATGGGGATGTTGCTTATGATAAGGATGAAGACGACCCAGTGACGCCGCGAGGGTGCTCTCACGAGCAGTAATGAGGGTCATACTGAGCAATCCAAAGATGGGTTGCTTGACTATCATAAGGTTAGGTGTGTAAGTGTCAAACAATGTTCCAGCGCGGAAAGGTCACGGAGCAGGTTATGCTGTCCTTCGAACTATGTGATGTTTCACGCCAACGTCGCTCATTTACCTTTTCCCTTTGGCGTGAAAGTCTGTCTCGAGTCCTCGCGCATGTGAACCGAGTCATCAGCACCGGACATTGACTACGCCAAAGCAGATCACTGAACAATTCAACAAATCAGATACTTGACCATGGTGGTTGAACATGTATAAGTGTCGTACGTGAACGGGCGGTTAAATTGGAACATCGGTTACAGTCGTGACAAGATCCAAGTCACACTGTTTAGCCACGCGAGTTTGCTTCCGCACTGACACGGTAATATCCCACGACGAGCCACGTGCAGACGTCCGGGCTGTTCAACATGCCTTTTCGTGTTCCCTTACCTTTGCGTTCCCTGCTTTCTCCCCTATGGATGGTGGAACAGTCAATGTCGAGGCCGGCGACCTGTTCCCTGGAGAGACCTACTGGCGCGATAAATACGAATGGTTGCACAGCTGCGGGTATAAGCTTCGAGATCGCTACAAGCCCGATTGGGTGCCTTCATGGAGGGACAAGAGCGACGTGTACTATCATGACCAGGAGGACTCATACCCAATCCTGGTTAGCAGACAGCCCTACGCCACCCCATGAGTACCGACATAGAACTGCAGGATACTCGCGCCGCAGACGCCATCCGTGTTGCCGATGGAACCCCTGTTGCTCTGAAGCGTATATATCCCGACGTGAATTCGTATGAAGAACCTGTTATCATCAAGCTCGGTAGTGACCTACTCAACTCTGATCCTCATAATCACTGCGTTCCGATATACGAAATTCTGGATGTTCCCGGCGAGAATCACCGGCTCATAGTCATGCCGTTGCTTCGCAAATATGCGAACCCCGAGTTTGACACCATTGGTGAAGTAGTAAGCTGCATTCAACAGATTTTCGAGGCATGTTGGCTATTCTCCGTTCATTCCATCAGTTCATAATGAACCTATCGTCATTAGGGATTGCATTTCATGCACACCCACCGCATTGCTCACCGGTGAGTTAGAACATCGCCACTCGTCGAAAGATATGACGAATACATCCCTACAGAGATTGCACCGCCAACAATATCATGCTCGATCCCAGGGATATGTATCCCGATGGATTCCATCCGGCGAAGCCCTCGAAAGCTAAAGACCTGAAAGGAGCTGCTCATTACTATACTCGAACCCAGCGTCCATCACGGTACTACCTCATAGATTTCGGCTTGTCGATGCTCTTCCCTCCTGAAGGGCCCCGGACCGCCATCCCTACCATGGGCGGAGACCGATCCGTTCCTGAGTTTACCACCGATTATGATGCGATATACGATCCTTTCCCTGTGGACGTATACTACCTCGGCAACTGGGTCCGGAAGTACATCATTGAGGTTAGCATCAGCTCCTTCGTTGCTTTGATGATTCGTGCTACTGATACGAAACGCAGAAATACCATGGTTTCGACTTCCTATCAGACCTTATGAACGATATGATGGTTGTCGACCCGAGCAAACGACCGACGATGGACGATGTCATGGATCGGCTTGATAAAATCGTGAAATCCACCGGTTCATGGAGACTGCGCTCACGGGTTGCGGCTCGCGACGAACATTCAATCATGGGCTTGTATCGCGCTATAGGACACTGGAAACGGCGTGTGATCTTCATTGTTATGCGCACCCCGGCCATCCCTACCCCGGCGCCTGGTCCTCCTACATATATGCAACGTAGAGCACCGCCAGAGGGCTCGTCAAGCACGAGGAAATCATCTGTGCCAGCAGAACCTGCCTCCGAGACGGAGGCCAGTGCGCATCCGCCTGTTACCACATAGCCGAGATTGTTGATTCAACCACCTGCTTTCTGTGCTTTCTTGCTTCGTCGCATGCTGTGTTCCTCACCGGCATACTGTTGTCGGATACCATCGTCTGGAAATCATTATGTCCTGGGTCAGCATCGCGCAAGAGGGCTCCATCGCAGAACACCTGACGTGGAGCTGCGGCTCGTCGCTGTTCGCTGCTCCACGTTGTCAGTGAACTCGGTGCTAAGATCTGATGCCGGCGGTGTCGGCTGGATAGTAATGAGCAATATGTATATACTGTATGTTACATATCACAACCCTACGCTACATTATTGGTCATGAAGATCCTAAGTTTCAAGCATTGCACCCGGGCCATCGGTTCGCCAAACATTCTACTTCCACCGAATCCGGCTGGGAGCGAAAGGGGGCCGACGGCGTGCGTACGCGTGCGGCCGGATACCACTCAGTCGATATCATCGATTTTACCACCTCTTTCTTCGTTTACGCTTTTGTTCCTCAGTTATATGTTGTCCTCGGATAGCACCACTTGGAGGTAGTCGCCAAATACCCTTCGTTGGATCTAGTCATTTCTTGAGTCGTGGTATGTTCGATCATGGTTGATGACGACTCGTTATTCGCAGCAATTGCTGTTATGCTACATAGGAAAGATGTACTGAAATCTACCAGATTCTACGCTACATCGCTTCTCCTTAAGAGGAAATATCGACAGTGTACGCGTGACGTCTGAGTGCTCAGCGCTCAGCTTGCTAGATACTCCACCTCTACCGCTTGAGGCAAAAACGTGCCTGACAGTCGCGTACGAGAAGTCTTTGGGGTCACGACCTCGCCTTCCCATGGGGCCTCCGGAGGCGCATCGGTGACCGCGATCACGTCGTTGGTCTCGAACCACAGATTCACCTTCGCATCGTGCGAAAGCATGTTCCGACCATCGAAATCGCACCATACAGTCACTAGTCGTGCGGAGTTAGTCCAAACGTCTCGTAAATGGCGAAGACCTCCACGTACTATAGTACAGGACCCCGGCCGGCAAATCGATCGCCCTCGGCCCAAGACTGACGAGGCAGACGAAACAGTACGTCAGTACGGTTGACCTCGACGAAATCAGCCAAAACGACGAGCACGTACATCCTTTTCGCGTGGTGGACGGGGAAGAGGCCGCTTTCTGCAGGCTCAAGTACTGAACCCGGCATCTTGTCTCGATCAATTGGGTCTTTCGGGTTACGAGCAGGGCCACCAATCATCACGGCCGTGGTTCCTTCGCGATGAATCTTTCCTGTACGGTCCTTGTACCAGCCGTTCAGGTGAGCTAGATTTGAGCATACAGCTCATCAGTTGGCTATATATGAAGATACAGAAGAAATACCTACCGACGAACGGGAATGGCTCCTTGTGCAACTTGGTTTTGGGCGGCCTGAGAACACTCGATATCAGCGTATAAATGAGAAAGTATGAGCAGGCCTTTACTTTGGCTCTCGGAGGCCCTCAGGCGGACAGAGATACTTCCATTTCACAAATTTGAAACGCTGTCCGCGGAACCAGCCATCGGGGGACTCGTGTGTTACAGCAATCAGATCGTCTTGCTTCAATTTCAACAGCTCGTCCGGTTCGTGTGCTTCAATCAATCGAAGCCTGTCTGTGCTAGCCCACGCGGGGACCTTTGCGCGAGCTGGGGAGGTGTCAGAGGGGAGCCGCGTTCACACGTGAAAGTGTTTTACCATAAAACAATATCCGGTTCCCTCTGCTATCAAGCTGATCCGAGGGAGTTCGGGGCTCGGACGTATCCTGCTCCACCCTGAGCCACGGTCAGAAGGATGTACGTTAGGAGAGATATGGACAGGCTCACGAGGCGGGAGACGGGACCTTCGCCTCATCAAGGATGGCTTGCATCGATTTCCGGGCCACGGGATTGAGCTCCCAGGATTCCCGCATCAGGCGCATGAGCACCGAGTCCATCCCCTTGGCGGTAAGCTCGGCGACTTTGAATGATGGCGTCTTGCCCCTTCTGAGATTGTCGACGACCTCATCTTCTGGTACGTTGTGATACGGTTGCTTGCCCGTGTATACTTCCTGCGCTCCGTGATTTCATCATCATGTTACTATAAAGAACACGCGCATCGCCGTACCAGGACTGTCATACCCCATGACCACACGTCCGCTTTGGGTAGCTGCTGCGAACGGAATTGAGACTTCTCCCAGTCCTTACACTTCAGCTTCTGAGAGACTGCGCTCGGTGCAACGATTTCCCATGCCTGCCAGGGTAACGAGCCTCTACCGATGGATGAGCTGTTGTAGTTCTTCAGGATAAAATCTTTAGCGTATCCAAAGTCGCAGAGGAGCCCGCGGAGCTTGAACGAAGACCCTCCCGTGTTCACGTGAGTGACGAGAATCTGCGAAAACCTAAGTAGCGTACAAAGAAGAAGAAGGGGCGTACGAGTCACGCACGTTAGAAGCCTTGACGTCGAGGTGAACTAAGGTTTTCTTATGAAGGTATGCAAGACCAAGTGCGGCATCGAATATCTAAAACCGCTACTGTTCATCCCGAGTTATCCAGATCATGGAATTTCTTACCAAGCTCCTCTTTGTGTCGGAACTGAGATCGTGCGTCCTGCAGCATTCTTGGAGTGTACCCTCAGGTACATACGGAGACACAGGTTCAAGTGGTCGATCAGTCCTAGGCTTCAGATATCCGCAAAACGGCAGGATGTTGGGGTGGATCATCTTCGCCCAGGTTTTAACTTCCCTCTCAAAACGCTGCGACCGAAGTACGTTGTTACCATGGACAGAAAACGTGGTGAATTCGGGACTCACCTCGGTGTCGTTTACCCTCGCTTGCTTGATGGCCATCGGGATAACTTTGTTGCCGATATAATGTCCATACTTAACTTCTCCGTACGAACCAGAACCGAGGGAAATTTGCTCGTCATGGACCTCCCGAAGTTTGACATTCTTGGTGATATCCCATAGATCGGGCTGTCTCATTGAAACGAGTATGTGTCAGATCTGTGGAGTCTGGACGTGAGGTTGCTCGCAACATCCGGTATTTCAACGCCCGCCTACAGGGCGTTAAACATGACAATGCAGTCCCCGATCGCTGATGAAGCATGAGAACCTGGTAACCACGTTGCAGGTGCATTGTACTTGCGACAGCATTACCCTATGAGGCCGAAATACATGAATCTATGTGATCTTGCTCAGATTGTTGCATTATCGTATTGAGTGTCGGTATGTACCCATACGGACGACTAGGGGCGCACCAAGACAGCGAAGGGAGTTAGGCTGGTTGCGTGTACGTGGGAATCGGCAACGGATAATATTAGGGAGGACACATTTGAAAAGTAAGAGTGGGCAGTCCATTTGCCGAGGTGGGCGCGTCTGCGGGGGAATGGGTAGGGTCACCTTCGAAGGGCGGGAGCGGGTGTATCTTCGAGAGCGCGGGCGGGTTTTCGAAGACGCACGCGGTCGGTTTCAGCGCGGCGGTCTCATGCGTGCGAACGTCTTCTGACCGGGCAATGGGAGCATCTAACTTCCTCTGGCATGGTTGATCTATTTTTCATCATTCATCAAAGTAATCCGACGAAACTTGCTCATAGTGGAGAGACGCAATGAGACACGAAGAGATATCGCCACTGGTGTCAGCACGCGCGTGGAAATTTGCGCGCGCCGGTATGGCGCCGGCCCGGGCGATCCCGAGGCTGTCTCTAATGTTCGATGACCGGTACCGAATTCCACGCGAAGCTCCGCTCGTATGCGTCGCACATCTCATTCCTGAGCCCCATCTTCTCCTACAGCTACCCATTGAAATGCGGCTGCTAGTGCACTGATGAGAGTCGGTGATTGTGGTCTGTCATCAGAGGTGTCAAGAGCGGATAATGGTTGCTGGATCTCTTCCTCGGGGAACGTTGCTCGATTGGGTGTTGGTGTCCCTGAAAATCAAGTCAAGGGTCCAAGAAGACAGAGATAAGTATGACTGACAAACCATTACGTTCCCAAAGCGAGTTCAGATCGTCATCGGTACGGCCTGCGTGGCATACTTAGGTATATCGCAGAGCAACATACACCACATGCCATACCTGGCAATTCATCAGGATCGAACACGGGGGGCTTACATGCCGCAGCCAACACTGACGAGGTATCAGTTTCCGGTTTTGCTTGTGGATCGCAGGCTTCCCACCGTCCTTAACCCTCTCGAGATTTGAACCCCTTGCCATGCCTGGAGGTGCTTCTCGTAGAGGGGCTTTTCTTGGTCGAGCAGAAGCTTGCAGATTTTCGACGTCTCATCAGCTTGAACATATATTCCTTGAATGTACTTGGGAAGCTTCTCCGTGAAGGCCTTCATCTGCTCTGCGTATACGTCGAGAATTACATCCCGTTCGGTAGTAAGGGTAGAGGGGGTCGGCAAGTCGCTCATATCAGTAGGCCCGGATCGAATGGACGGGAGATCACGTCGTCGTCAGCACGCCCACTGAGAAAGCGATGAGGCAGAGACAGTTTGAGCGGGATCCGTACTCAGAGTATATAGAAGAGAGGGTTCAGCAATGTTGAGCGACGATGCAAAGTCGTGCTTTGCTGTCCGATAGGCACATGGAAGGTTAAGCCACTTTCGCCTCACAATGGACATCCTGTGCGTGGGTCTCCTCATCGGACCGTGTGGTCAGTGCCGTCCCCTTCGACGATGAGCATCGTACACTGTCGGTTACATACACGTATCTTGAATATCCCTAGAACATCCTTGATGCTATGAATGGATCTCGCGAAGCAAATTATGAGCGCCAGGAGAATCAGAGGCCGGCACACTCCACCGCCTGTGGTTCACCTCTCATATACTCTTAGCTTGGCAGCCACCTCGCAGATAAACACGCCGTATGAACAACAATATAAAGCATATATATCTGGGCTAACGTTTGTTCGGTTGGTGAATTCTACTTAACCCCGGATTCAATTCGATCCAAACGTGGCTTGAAAGCGCAGATTTGCTTCCGTTTTGACGCTTTCGCTCTGAAGATCTGATGACTGTTCAAATTGCTTCCGAGCGGGGAAGCTTTACGTAATCAATAACGTGCTCGATTCACTGCATTTGCGGTTCAAGTTTTACGACTTCGCGGCACAATTCTCTTCGATGCCCAACGCGAAAGCTGGTGACCTGTACTCCGGAGAGATATTCTGGCGTGATCACTACGAATGGCTGAACAATCTTGGCTACAAACTTCGGGATCGTTACCGTCCGGGCTGGGTACCTTCATGGAGGGACAAGAGCAACGTGACTTGGTACGAACAGGAGGATTCATACCCGTTTTTAGTGAGGATTCGAAACCGTCGCGATTATACATTTGTTGAAGCTTGTCACTAGGATACTCGCGTGGCGGACGCTACTCGTGTCGCTGATGGAACTACCGTTGCACTCAAACTCATTTATCCCGACGACAATCCGCAGGTAGAAGATGTCATCATCAAGCTTGGTAGCGAGCCTCTGGCGTCCGACGCACGAAATCACTGCGTTCCAATCTATGAGATACTGCCCCTGCCTGACGGAAATACCGCACGGATCATAGTCATGCCCCTCCTACGCAAGTACGATAATCCACGCTGGGATACCATAGGAGAGGTTGTGAGCTGTATTCAACAGATTTTCGAGGCATGTTGAGTTGCTTCAACTGATCATCTACATGGTCTGACACCGAGCTTATCAGGGGCTTCAACTCATGCATGCTTATCGGATTGCTCATCGGTACGTCCAATGCCTCGCGTGGTTAACTCTGCGATTGATAGACTCGCCTCAGGGATTGCACCGGCAACAACATCATGTTGGATCCTAGGAACATGTACCCGAAGTCGTTCCATCCGGCTGAACCCAACAGATCGCGAGACTGGAGAGGAAATGCTCTGTCGTATACAAGGACCCAGCGTCCATCAAGTTATTATCTCATCGACTTCGGCCTTTCACAGTTGTATCCGCCCCATGGGGCAAAAGCAATACCAGTCGAGGGTGGGGACAAGAGCGTCCCTGAATTCCAGTCCAACCCCAACGGCGAGTACGATCCTTTCCCCGTGGACGTGTACTATCTCGGGAACTGGGTGAAACAATATATCATCAAGGTGAAAGCCGCCCTCTGTTCTGCACTTGTCTGCAATGGAGGTTTCTGATCCGCTTCATAGAAATTGCACGGTTTTGAGTTCCTAGAGCCTCTCATGGACGAGATGACATCGCGGGATCCTATAGAACGGCCGAACATGAACCAGGTGATGACACGACTGGCCGAGATCGTGGAATCGACAGGGTCCTGGAAGCTCCGCTCCCGAGTGGTCGCTTACAAGGAACATCCGATCATTGGCCTATATCGTGCTGTGGGCCACTGGAAACGACGCATCATCTTCATCGTCACTCGCACTCCTCCCATCCCTGTACCAACCCGCGGCCCTCCTGTATACACGGAACGCAAGCCATTGCCCGCGACTGCAAGTGGTGTGTCTACGTCGACAGAGCCAGGTTCCGTCGCGCGAAACAGCGGCGCTGCGGCAGACACATCATCTACGCCATAACCTATACCGTTATTCAACGTCTTGCTTTCGTGCTGTGCGTACTTGGGGATTTCACTGTTGGATACCATGGACTCGGATGGGCTCCTAGGATGATTAGGACATTTTATATACTATTCACATGCATCAATCGATTCACCCTATGACAAATCGAACCGTCGCGTCTTTACAGGGTATCCCTCGAATGGATGGAATTCGTTGCATATGCGCAAGCGAGTTCTCGTCCACAAATATTAAGCTTATGTTTACGAATCCCGAACGTCAGGAGTAAGAGTGTCAGCATACTCCGTACAAGGATCCATGCCACGTCCAACGTAGCTCTCCCAGTCCTGAGCGTTGTCGCTGTTCATTTCGAGAACTGGTAGGCAACGAGCATTTCTACCAAGCTTCTCTTGGCCTCGGCACTGAGATTATGTGTCGTGTAGCATTCCTTCAGCGTACCCTCGGGCACATATGGAGATACCGGGTCGAGTGGCAAGTCGCGCCCGTGCTTCATATATACGCATAACGGGAGAATATTCCGGTGGATCAGAGTTTTCCAGGCCTTCACCTCTCTCTCAAAACGCTGCACACGAGGGAATGTTCTCAGCACGAGCACACAACATAAGGGAACCTCCGAACTCAGCTTAATATTATTCATCCTCGATTGTTTGATAGCCACCGGGAGGACTTTATTGCCAGTGGTGCTGGTATGGTGTCCGTAGATAACGTGTCCCTACGACCCAGTTCCGAGGGAGATCCGTACATCGTCCACCAAGCGAACTTTGACATTCTTGGTGACATCAAATGGATCGGGTTCCATGGGCAGACGTGGCGATCAGCAGCAGGGAACGGATTGTAGTACGTCCTGTTCTCAACGACTGTGAATTCAGAACCTTCTCGCGAGTTATGTCACAGTATCACAACGTGGCAACGAGAGGCGCATGCGTTGCAGTGAGCGACAGCATTTCCGTAACAAGTTCAAACAATACCCGTGGGCACGTTGATGTTCGTAGCCCGGATCTGCCGCGAGTGTCCTGCATCGTGTGTCGGCAAAAAACAGCATGGACAGCCCAAACAGGCGGCGACAAGCACTCGATGCGTAGACGACACGAGGGCAAAGCAGCAGGGGTGCGTGAGCGTGGGACTCGGCAAACTTGAAGCAAGCGTCGTCAGTGCTCTCGAGAAGGCCGGTGTTATGCGTTGCGAACAAAGCGTTGAAAGTATCGTGTATCGTTGCAGATCGTTGCTTGTATAACGTTCAATAATGAGCGACGGTGGCACTGGCATCGATCCCTCGCATCGGACCGGATCGGACGAGATGACATCGGGCGACCAAGACCGGCAGCCAGCACGCGCACTACTTGCGTCTCCTTGTCGCGACGCTGGCATCGAGCTTGCCTTGAGGCCTACATCGCCTTTCGTCTTCCTTGGCTATAGATCTTGACGGGCGTTGTCAATGCCACATACGGAGCAACAATTGCGGTCCGCGAGGATTCGGCACATCAACATCCCCACGATGTTGCTTGTACTCTTTACGGAAATGCTGTCGTCGCTTGCTGCAAAAGGATGCCTAGCGCAGAGATGGATAGAAATACGTACCCTACCCAGTCGAATCCTAACGAACACATCGCCGTGAAGCTCTGTCTAAACACCCCTTTCGTCACCCCGTTTCGCCGCCGAGTCGCTATATTAATACGAAAGAACCGAGTCTACACTCGACCGCGCGAGTATGCTCCGCAAGGTTCGTATCTGATCGTTACTGGAAGCTTGCTAGCTAACAGTGTGCGCAGACCGACATCGTGATCGGAAGTGGTTCGTTCGGAAAAGTCAAATACGGACACTCCGGAGTCATTCCGGTGGCGATCAAGAAGTCGAGTACCTACGAAGCTGCGGTGAGTTCAAGATCGGACATCGTCGTGCCGTTCGTGGTGTTGAGAAGCATCGTAATCTGCAGCGTCACAAACGGGAGCTGGAAACTTGGTTTAAGGCGGTTCATCCCAATATCCTGCCGTTATTTGGATATCTGGAGGACGAGCAGGCTCGCGACGGCCCGATAGAAATAGTATCGCCGTGGGTGCCTGAGGGTACCCTACAAGACTGCTGCAGGACACATGTCAACCTCAGTCCAAAGACAAGGAGGAGCTTGGTACGGACACTCGTTTCTTGTAATACGTCTTGACTGAACCTGCTCAGGTTTTCGATGCTGCGTTAGGCCTTGCATACCTTCATCGGAACGATATAGCACATCTGGATGTCAAAGCGACCAACGTACGCTTCTCTCCCCGTTCTTTCAATCGGATCTGAAGCCTGATGTACCTTTCAGATTCTCGTCACTCACGTACACGTGAAGGGTTCTGTCTTCAAGCTTCGTGCGCTCCTTTGCGACTTTGGCTGCGCCAAAGGTCAACTGCAGGATCAGGACACGTCGGCGTCCGTCGTCAAGGGCTCACTTCGGTGGCAAGCATGGGAACTCTGCGCACCCAGCAAGACCGAAGAGAAGTTCCCAGGATGGAGGAAGTCAAATTCGCGGCATGAGCTTCTTGCAAAGGCGGATGTCTGGTCATGGGGAATGACAATCTTGGTGCGTTGCACCTGCTGCCTCTGTGGCCTAGCTCATTGATTGACCTGACCTACAGGAGGTGTTTTCGGGCGAACTTCCGTACAGCGGTCTACCGGACGACCGGGTCCTGCAACATCTACAGAAATCGGAGACGCCATCCTATGATCGAGACCTGATGACACGCAAGGGCATGGACGAAAGTCTGGAATCGATAATGATGAGCTGTTGGTCGGCGGATCCGCGGTTGCGACCTACGATGCATGCCATCCTTGAGGAGGCAAACATTCCACCAGCTGCTCAGTACGTTCGCATAGCGGATCAACTCTCTGATTTCATCCTCACTGATGTCCCCAGGGTAACGCAGGACGCGTCGCGGCCGCGATCACCGTCGGACCAGTTCAGCTCTCACGCGAAGAAGAGAGTATTGTTCTATGGTGAGGCGAAGTTGCGTCTGTCGCAGTCGCAAAGACCCATCACTGACGTCTCTCAAGCTAGAGCAAAACGTCCTTCATGGGCGAGTGCGGACCGTCAGCAGGATATCTTGACGGCCGAAGCGGATCAGCTGTTGGAAGTCCGCAAAGACGATATCATCGCTGTCACGCACGAAAGCCCAGATGGGTGGTTCCGGGGACAGCGGCACATCCGTGTAGGGGAAATGAGGCTTCCCTGCGAACCAGTTCGGATACGTGACCCGGAGTAGGCCATTCGCTGCCACGACGCTCTCGTGACTGATACTAAGTCATCTCCAGGCCTCCGAAGACCAAGCTACATAAGAACACGGTGCCGTTCGTCGGTCAGCGTCCTGTTGCTATGTCTGTTTTCCATTTCGCCTGCTTACGCCTATCGTATTACAGCACACTTGAAGGTTTGGTATAAGAACAGACACGACGTTGAATATCCCGCGGACACGCCACTTCTCGTAACCAGAACGCCAAAGACTGGAGACGATGTGCAACGGATGAGGGCTTGTATACTGAAGCCCGAGGCGAGCGGTTTGTTTCCCGTCCAGCATGCCAAGAAGATGTGCGTTGTATGTGTGATTCACGGAGGTCGTCTTGTTGACGTGCCAATTCTCATCCTTGTCAGCCTGGGACCACGAGACAGTTGTCGACCGAAAGGTGTTCTGTATTACAGTAAGCAGGGTATTCATTTGGTACGACACCTCGTGGTGATTATTGCTCCATCAGTGCAAGTCATTGCGGACTTCGATCGCGAGCGCGGGATGCATCCTCGACTTGCGGCTCACGAGCTACGTTTCGGACCCGGCGAGGTTATCGCCGTTACCGACGCGCCTGCCGAGGGACCGTGGATTGGTGAAATTGTCAACCCGATGGATCTTCGACCGAGGTGGTCAGGATACTTTTTATCGGACGCCGTTGAGTGTGAATGGTTGGCGAATTGACTTGCGAAGCCGTTCACGTCGTCTCGTTGTGTCCGCTTGTACTCTTAGACATTAAATAATGCATCGCGGCCTGTTTCATACTCGGTATATATTATAATCTATAATCTAATATCTTATCCTGTTCGCATGGTTTAAACGGGCCACGCACTCGACCCCTCCGTAATTAGGAGGCAAGGACACCCCCAAGAGAGATTGCAGCATATGCATGCGGAAACGATTTGTTGACGAACAATGCTCTATCATCGCTAACAGACACGCAATCGCGGCTTTACATCAAGTTGCTCTCGTCCGGCGCCGCAGCATCCTTGAAGGATCCATAAACATCGTACAACTCTCGGAATTACGACGAGCACATTATCATTTCCACGGTTGGGTATCAGACGATAGCATCTCAGCGAGCGATATCCAAAGAGAAAGCACGACAGCAATTGAAGGAGTGAGCTAAAGCAGAAACATGGACTACGTAGCATCAGGCGGGGGCGCGTTGCCCTCCGAATCCGCCCCGGAGTCGGCCGGTATAGATGGTTTTCTCGTGCTTGATGAGCTCGACGGGATTGGTCTGCGTTGTACATAAGTTGGGGGGGCCGGTGCCGGAGTAGGAATGGCCGGGGTGCGGGTCACAATGAAAACCACGCGCCGTTTCCAATGTCCGATGGCGCGATATAACCCAACAATGGGACGTTCGCCACGAGCGACGACGCGCGAGCGGAGTGTCCACGAGCTTGTCGATTTCACAATCTCGTCTAACCGACCCATGACATGATCCATGGTCGGTCGTTTGCTCGGATCGACGACCGTCATCTCATCCATGAGACCGGACAAAAATTCGAACCCGTGGTACTTCTGGAGACGAGGTATCAGGAACGCCGCGTACGTAGTCCCGGAGAATTCGAATGCCCACTTTTATGATGTATTCACGAACCCAGTTGCCAACGTAGTACACGTCCACGGGGAATGGATCATATTCGCTGTCTGGGTGGGCCAGTAACTCGGGGACAGTCTTATCCCCTCCCAATGAAGGGATAGCGGTCGCGGAGCCCTCCGGAGGATACAGCTGCGATAGGCCAAAGTCTATGAGATAATATCTTGACGGACGCTGAGTTCTCGTGTAAAATTTAGCGTCTCCGTTCCAGTCTCTTGCTCTGCGCGGCCTGGACGGATGGAACCCATCGGGATACATGTCCCTAGGATCCAGCATGATATTGCCCACAGTGCAATCACTATGAGAACGAAATCAAGGGTGAACCCGGAGAATATTCGATCGGGACCCACCGATGAGCAATGCGATTGGCGTGCATGAACTGTAATCCCTTTATGAAAGATGGTTCGACATCAAGTTCAGCCGTAATTCTTCAAATCAGCTGATCCTTACCTCAAATACCTGATGAATACAGCTAACGACCTCGCCCATAGTGTCCCATTCGGGATCTGCGTATTTCCGTAGCAAGGGCATGACTATGAGCTTGTAGTCCTCATCCGGAACAGAGAGTATCTCGTAGATGGGAACGCAATGATTATGAGAGTCAGATGCCAGAGGTTCGCTCCCGAGACTGATGATGATGCCCTCTTCCTGTGGGTTCTTGTCAGGATATATCCTTTTGAGAGCAACCGGCGTGTTGTCAGACACACGAACGGCGTCCGCGACGCGACTGTCCTAAAGAGGTGATGCAGTAGACTGTCATAAAAGTAATATCCAATATTCCCAACCTGAAATGGGTGAGCATCTTCCTGCTCCCAAGATACCACATCATCGCCCTTGCCCCTCCACGAAGGTACCCAGTCTGGTTTGTAGCGATCCCGGAGCCTGTAGCCACAGCTAAGCAGCCATTCGTATTTGGCAGCCCATCGAACTTCCGCAGGATATAGCTGACCAGCTTCGACGTCGATTTCGGGTTGCATTTGGTGGAGGGGACCAGAGCGGGTACAACAATCGCGTTGCAGAGATTCTAATTGTTCCGAACCAAGTGGCACCCGAACGTTACGTAATAAGGCAAAGCCTGGAAGCAAACCTTGCGTGACTGCGTGACACTCTCTGGGAATAACTAAGCGCTTTGCACGACGTTCTTAAATCCGTCTAACTTACCAGCTGGCGTATCTTCAACTAGTATGTGTCGAGCATTCAATAGTATGGAAACTCATTATATTTTTCCTTTCGCCTGATACTTGAATTGACGGACGCTCCCCAAAAAAGCCCGGTAACGAACCCAATGAACCAGCACAATGTGGAAAAGGCACGAAAGAGTTTGACAGCCATACATACTTATCACACCAGGTAAGTAAGGATCACGTAACTCATTTCATTGCGGACAGCATTGATTGCGTTTTGTTACCCCATGTTGCGACATTGTCACCGTGCTTCTTCTATACACGGAGGAAATTATACACAATGCCCTAACCTGTTTGGTGTATAAACGCTAGGGCCCTGCGTGGGAGAAGCTCATATCCACATTCCGCCCTCTCTCTGCCATGTCCGGCACGCCCGTGTCCCCTCCTCCAAGGACGTCGGATGCCATTCTCGATGTCTACGCGGACCAGATCAAAGCCATCAAGAAACGAGCGCCCAAGGCCGTCGAAGGTCTGTATATCCAGGCGGAGCAGACCGCAAATACCGCCATAGAACTTTTCATGCAAGATCTCCCTCTGTACAAAGAATACCTCCCGTCTGATACCCTGGGCGAGCTCGAGGAACAGCGGCTTCAGTATGTCCACCAGCAATCATCTCCTAACGGCGACTGAACCATTACTAGACTGAACTACCAGAAATCTGTCCTCGAACGGGCCTTGAAGCGTTCACGCAAATCTCGCTGGACGCCGTTGTTGTTTGTTACTAGACGCATTCGCACCGAGGCAGAGCTGTATCAGGATCTCGCTGAATCGTTTCAGTTCAAGTTGAAGGTAATCAATCGGCGTGAACACGAGATCGATGCTGATCAGGTCAGTAGACTGCGTCACAAGATGCGAGAATCAAGCGCATAGCCGAAGTGGTTACCATAGTCCATCCAGACGGTTCGTCTAGCTATCTCAATATCGCATTGTTTTGTGCTGATGCCCCACAGACATGGACCGTCGCAATGCTGTCACCGAGTTCCACGAAAGTAGGGACGAAGGCGAGGCATTGGGAAGCTCGAATAGGCCAACGATGGATCGTAATTCGTCAGAAGGGGACACACCGACGAGATTCGGCCTTATCGCGCCATGGGACGAAGAGCAACAGACTTTCGTCAATTCCTCCGGACAGGACGTCACCAACAATCAAGTTGCACAAGGGGACAGAATTGGTTAGTCGAGTCGTCGCGATGCGAAGTCATCCGCCTGCGCTGAGGTTTTACAAGCTCTGCTTCAGGCATACGTCGAGAACTTGTCGTCAGAGGAACCGGATACGGACTCAGGCATGTCATGTGTTTGCACTCTGTTGAATGATCGTCCCATATTCTGGTGCAGTGATGATCCATGACAGCACCTCGACATTTGGAGATGGGCTTAGCGTTCTTCAAGGCGAGTCCGCGGCGTTCACCTAGGACTGCTTTAGACCGTGACTTACGATTCTTTACTAGCATCACCGTCTCCTCGTAGGACGGAATTTGATCACGAACAAATCGAGAATCAGAGTCATGATTCTGCGCCCGACACGACTCAGGCTGGGAGCCTGGGTCTATTATCTTCGGTGATGACCTTACTGAAAGGGGCTATCGTAAGCAGCGGAAGCAAAACATAACAGGGGTTGTAGGACACGTAATAGTCGAGTTGGTGTAGCAATATGATAGCGGCGACATTTTCGAACAACCTCGATAGATGGGATGGCGCTTTGGAAGTCAAAATCGGGTACGGTTTTTCGTTCCCACGCCTCCAGCACTTTGCTTTGTGCCATACTCGTCAACGAACGTTTCACGCCCTCGTGTCCACAAGGTTACATACAGATACACAATGCAGACAATGCAAGACTACGACGCTCTGGATGGACCGACGGTGTCCGCTTGCGGAAATGCTGTCGCGATTACAATGGGCCTGGAATCTGGTTGCCAAGGTTCCAGTGCTTCGTGTCCGACAGGGCAATGATCTCCGCGAGGCTGCATTGTAGAGCCATGGTACACTGGTCCTGGAGCAGATGTTGAAATAGCGTAACTGACTCGCGACAAGAACCTGAACTCACCGTCGTGAACGGTAAACGCTCTCTCCGCTCCTGCTCCTCACCGCATCTGCCCGTACGATGAACATCACCGAGAAGGTTGTGGTTCGGCTAGTCGATAAAACACATATCATCCTTGGCTCTGGTTTATATGGACAAGTTGTCTACGGACATTAGAGGACAGACGTCGTTATGCCGGTGGCCATCAAGCGGTCAAAGAGACACGAAACAGAGGCGAGTTCGAAGTTTTCACCCTGTCATTGGGTACCGCTAACGAATTCAACGTACAGCGATTTGAGCGTGAGGTGAAATCGTGGGCAAATTTAATCCACCCGAACATCTTGCCTTTGTGCGGATACCGGAAGGAAAAACCCGACGCGGCGCCCGAGCTGGTTTCACCGTATGTTCCCGAAGGCACGCTGAAGGACTGCTACATGACGCATAATCTAAGTACCGAAACCAAGAGAAATCTGGTATGAACGTCTCCACCTTGGCATTCTTGATTGTTAATTGCAACTGCCGCCAGGTGTTCGATGCTGCACTTGGCCTGGCGTATCTCCATGAGCACAACTTGGTCCACCTCGATATCAAAGCCTCCAACGTGTGTCATACTACCCGGTCATTATCTCGACGCTTGGCTCTGAACTTGCCCTCGCAGATCCTTGTCACTCACGTACATACGAAGGGGTCCTCATTCAAACTCCGCGCTCTCCTCTGTGACTTTGGGTACACCAAAGAGTTCCTCGAGAACAACTACAACAGTTCGTCAATCGGGAGGGGCTCGATGCCCTGGCAGGCATGGGAGGTCGTCTCACCCAGCGCAGTTGCGAACATGTTCAAGGATTGGGAGAAGAAGCACAAAAGGGAGCAGCTCCACAAAGCCGATGTTTGGTCATGGGGTATGACCGTCCTGGTACGATACAAATATGCTTTCTTCGGAAACCGGTTGATTGAGCCACAGAGTATAGGAGGTGTATTCGGAGAAGCAACCGTATCACTATTTGCCGGAAGACGAGATCGTGGCTCAGCTCTCGAATGGCAAGAGACCATCTTACGACGCTGCTCAAGTGATGAATAACGGGATGGATTCGAGGCTCATGAGCGTGATGCAGAGATCCTGGGAGCTGAATCCCTTAAAACGGATATCGATGAAGACTGTCCTCGACGATGGGAGGGCCAATCCAGCTGCTCGGTAAGCCTGCTGAAGTGCGTCGGAGCATGCGCATTCTCACCGTGCCTCAGGGTATCGCAAGATCTGTCTCGACCGCGTACCCCGTCGGATCAGGTTGACAGCAAAGGCAACAGGATATTGTTCTATGGTCAGACGTCTCATCTGTCCTGCTCAAGCTTACAGCTGACACTTCCCAAGCTCGCGCACGATACCCCGCGTGGGCCAGCGCGGACCGTGAGCAGGATATCCTGGCATTCGAGGCAAACCAGGTGTTACAACTGAAAAGCGAAGATATCGTCGCTGTAAAGCACGAGTCTCCTGACGGGTGGTTCCGAGGACAACGCTTCACACGCATTAGAGACAAAAAACCTATCTTTCTCCCCGAGGTGCTACGCGATTCAGAGTAGTGCTCTTCAATTGCTTAATGTTTCCTCTCACTGATACCAAGGCATCAATACTAGGCCGCCGACCACGAAGTTGCACAAGGACAAGTTTCCGTTCATCTGTAGGTGTTCCTCCTCGAATGTTGGGCCCAACGTCACCGCCTACTAACCAAAAACCCAATCCATCCTAGCGCATCTGAAGGTGTCGTACAAGAACAGCTACGGAGAACACTATGAACCAGGAACAACGGTCCAAGTGTCAGGTGCTCCAAGCAACCAGCTTAAAGATGGTAAAATTGGACAGAAGATGCCCGGTTGGGTACTCAAGGCCGGAGAAAGCGGGATTTTCCCCGTTCAGCACGCGAGGAAAATGTACGACCGTTCCTCTCTTGTCGTAACGTAGACAGCCATGCTGACATGTTTCCGGTATGCCTTCGTTAGCCTAGGTCCGAAAGCAACCGATCTGCCCCACGGAGTGCTATACTACAGTGAGTGGAATTATTTTTGGCCATGGCCTCCGCGGTGATCTCGCATGATTAGTGCGCGTATGGAAGGACTACGATGGCAAGAAAATGTACACGCGTGACGAGACATTATTTCTCCAATTTGAGGCTGGCGACGTGATCGCGGTCACCGACGCTCCTGCAAATCACCCATGGACAGGCGAGATCATCCCCTCCAGCGACTCGGGTGCGCGGCGGTCAGGCTTGTTTTTGGTGGAAGCGGTGGAGGTTGAGTATCTGGCAAACTGAACGCATGCAGATGACGCCTACACCTTCGATTTTCGATCCTTCTTTTCCATCTTCGGCTAATTCTGCAGCACTGGATCGGACCATGGTACGGACATGCAATGTAGCATAAGGTAGTGTATAATTCCACATATACATTCTCGTTGTCAAGTATAGAAAGTATAGATGCCAATCGAGAGCGGGCTTGATCGACATGGAGTGCATCCTCGTGCTTGACTAGCTCAACCGCGATGGTCTGCGCTGCACATATCAGCGAGGCGTCAGCAGCGGAATAGGGTGACGATGAGATACACGCGCTGTGTCCATGCCCTATAGCATGATCAGCCGAAGACGGGATGTTTCTCACAATCTTGTTGATGCTTTCCATAACTTGATCCATGGTCGGTCGTAGATTTAATCTATTAGGAACCGTCACAGCGTCCATCAGTCCTAACAGGAACTCATAGCCGTTTTCATGACCGTGTGGGCTCGAGCGTAAAGCTGCATTGTGTGCCTACGGGCCACGCTATCCTCTGCATCACCTCTACATCATCGTGCTTTGCTCTCACGAGCACCTCGAAGACTCACGCGGCCCCGACTCCTGCCTTTATAAGATGGACTTTCATGATACTATCTCAACGTACAACGTTGTTACACCGGCTGCACGATATCTATGGACCGGTGCCCCGACGAGGTCCTGCTCATCATCTTCACCCGCGCATGTATGGACGGAGGCACGACCGGTCGCGCACTTTCGCTAGTCTCCAACCGCATACATCGCGTCTCCGCAACCGTCAAGTATCAGTCTCTCGTCGTCAACGGGCATTCTCAAATCAGCGCGCTCGCTGCTCGCTTCGCCGATCTCCGCCATGATGGCTCGGGTGAACATCCTGGGAAGGGGTACAAACAACAGGCCTCCGGAATGCCAAGGGTGGGGCATTTGCTAGTATCGATACTCTCGCTACCGTCAGAAGCTCAGAGCAAAGCAGCACCTCAGTTTACTGAAGACAAGAAAGCTGCCTTCTTCTCCCTCCTCGAGCTCGTCAGCCCTACCCTCCTCACCCTCTTCACCGACTCCTGGCCCGCCGGCGCCTCGCCGTCGCTCACTTTCCCGCGCCTCGCCGCTTTCTCCCTCCCGGATGTGAGGTTCCTGCGTCAACTTTCGTTCTCCTTCCCCTCGCTCACCCACCTCCACCTCACCACCTGCTCTGGGGTCTGGACTGCCGACTCACAGACCGCGGGCTCTGGGCTCGGGCTCTGGGGCGAGCTCGCGGCCTCCCCTTTGCACGACACGCTATCTCACCTTCGCCTCTCCGGCGTTCAGTTGGGCAACGCGCACGAGTACCTCCGCCTCCACCTCGACTTGCCGGGGGAGGACAAAGGACCGATTGAACCGTACCATATCGGCGGCGTTCGCCTGATAGGAGGGCTCACTTACTATTTCCCGCCGGGAGGGAGCGACGAGCGACAGGCGAGGGAGACGGCGGTGAAACTGCCGATGTTGAAGAACGTGTGGATCGAGACCAGGGCTTTCGGGTTTGTGGGGAGGCGCCTCCCCCAGGATGGCCTGTATCGCGCGACGGTAAGCGGGCTTCGAGCTGTCGCGCGGCGGTCGCGGATGCGTGAGAATGCGGGCGACAAAGGGGGCAGACTGGTGCTGCTCCGCACGAGGAAGGACGAATACGGTTTTGAGCAGCTGTTGGAGGACTGGAAGAGCTACGTCGAAGGCGGCACTGGTCCTTGGACTGAGGACTCGGGCGCTTGGGATCCGGACGTCTGAAGCCGACGATCCCCTTGATTGATGCCATCCGACGTGCAACTGGTGAAAGAATTGTTGCCTACGGACGAGACTCCTGCCGGTGCAGACGATGACGAGATGTACTCAGGCTCGGACAAGGAATCCTCTGACAGCTTTTACGCCTGAAATAATTGGGGCAACATTGATTACTGGGATGACCAGTAACGAGCGAGACGAGGGTATAACGTTGCCGGGCGAGGTTGAAGTCAAGCCGTTGGACGGCTGCCTTTCTAGCGTAGAAATCGTGGTAGGGCCAAAACCGAACCCATGACGTACACATACGAGCACTATATGTATGCCTAGATGCCGAATACGATACAGCTTGCGATCCTCGTCAGGTTCGTCCATGGAGCAACAATCAGACTACCCATTGTATACGCGTTTATCAACACTCAGAGCGACGTGCATCCTTGTTTCGAGGCTAGCCGCAAGCCCGGCTGAGCTCAGTGCACGACGCACGGATCGTACACATCTAGGGGGGAGGCACGTCGGATGCCTGTACTTATTTTTCCCGGCGAAGCGCATCCCGAGATTCTACTAACAGAGGTCCCAAAAACCGCCCCAAAGTCCCATGAACCCGTCCTTCAGTCGAAGGTCACCACGTATGATGTCCTGGCTCTGCACGAGCCTGAGCTCCCGCCCGCGCATCCTGGTCACGCGGCGGTTGGGGTCGGCCTGGTCCTTCTCGTCGTCGGTCATGATCCGTTCGTCTTCGGGGAGGGAGAGAAAGTGGTCCTGCGTGCGCGAGAGGACGGCGTGGGTCTTGGCGAGCGCGAGCGCGACGGCGCGCGAGAGCGGTGTCGTGGCGGGTGAGGCGGTGGAGGCGGAAGTTGGAGAGGTGAAGTGCGCGAGCACGAGGGCGGAGAAGAGGTCGCCGACGCCGGAGAAGTAGCCGGGGATCAGCGGGACGCAGTGCGCGTGCACGACCGATGGGTGGGCGGAGTTGGAGTTGGTGGGCTGGGCGGAGGAAGAAATGCAGAGGAGGTATTCGTCGTCGAGGTGGTCTGGAGGACGGACGGCGGGAGATAGTATGTCCAGGAGCCAGCCTTTGAGCGGGATGGAGCTCATGACGGCGTGAGGGACTCCGTAGGTTTCGTGAAGGACGCGGAAGGCTTCTTTTAGGGAAGCGGGGTCTTTGATCTCCACCTCCGTCAGCGTCCTGGAGGCAAGAGAGATATGTCAGTCGGCGGATCCGGAGTGTAGGCGGACAGAAAGGGCACTGACTCCACTTCGAACCAGTTGGGGGTGATGATAGTGGACAAGGGGAGCATGGAGCGGTAGATGGGGATGACATCTGGCGCGACGTAGAGCTTGCCAGCATCTCCTAGGACAGCTATTCTCCGAAGGTGATGAACGGCTGTGAATGAATGATTCGTTCGTGCTTACGATCCAAAAGGTATATCAGGTCTGGGTTCTCCTTGCGCAACCTCTCAGCTAGCTCAGCGACGGCGGACACGGCTTCGCCTCCGGGTATATATCCTGAAAGCCGAGTGAGTACACCATACGCGCGGGACAACGTATAAACTCGCCGGTCAGCAGTCGCGAAGGTCGGAGAAGTCCGTTCTGGGACATGATATCGAAAATCGTCTTCAGTTCCGCAGCATTCGTTCGGGACCCACCGAAGCGTCCGTAGCCTATGCATGTAACGTCAGGCGTCTTCCTTCTGACTGAATGAGATGGTGACGCACCTGAGTGGTTAGAAAAGTTGACGGTGTTCACCACCTTGAATCTTCATCAACAGCATATCGGGCGAAGGCCAAGAATGGGGTTCCTACATCGACGTCGTAGCCCAGACATTGCAGGGGAAACACCGCAGCCTTGCCGCCGACGTAGCCAAAGGCGACATGTGATTGTATGCTGAGAACGCGGTCACTCGCCATCTTGACCCGCAAAGGATAATGCGAGATGAGAGCAAGACCAAAGAAAATGGCGAGTCATGGATTATTTCCAGGATCCTTATCTAAGCTGCTCCTGTCGAGTTCCCGATGGCAGGATATGGCGAATAATCGGGCAATAGCAGACGGTTTTCGAGTTGCGCGTGTATAAGGTGAATATTCCATCCTCATTCTGTCCATGCACCAGAGGAAAAGTGTCTGTTCGTCGGGTGAAGTCCGGGCTGGACGATGTTTGCCGAGAAGTGAAGGCCAAATGGAGACTCCGCCGCGGGTTCACGCCACGTTTGCGATCACGCTGTTCGACGCAAGCGTGCTCACCGTGACTGTGGCGCTCAGGTAGACCTTGACCCGTACCACCATAGATGATTGACGGCACCCGGTGTGTGTACTACCTTTGAAAAAGGCAGACAGACTCTGAACGACGACCTCTGCAGCCTACGACAGTCATGGTATAACGCTCTCAACGAAGCCGAAACCAATTTCCGCCGTCTTGTCACCTCGAGCTCCTCTCCGGAATGGAAACGCGTGCTTCTACCCGCAGAGGACTTGAACGCGAAGGGAAAGCTGCGTGCAACGGAGCCGCAGCTCTCGGACGTCGTCATCCACCGCAGGGTCGGCAAGAAAGCGGATAATGTCCACCGGATCATCCTGGACGTGAACTTGGGCAGTGACCCGGTTTCGCTGGAGTCGTGGAGGTCGGTCATCGTCACTCCGGAGTTGCGGAAGGAATGGGATCCTGCAGTTGAAGCCGCCCAGCTGGTGGAGATGTTTGATCCTGCGACGCGCATAGCAAAGACCAACTTCACGTTGGGTTGGCCTGCAAAGTACGTTTTTAATGGCGCATATATGAGCCAGTTACTAACCAGAATGTCAGTCCCCGGGACGCTGTTACTATATCACGGACATTCAACGACGCTACAACGCTAATCGACATATCAACTTCCCTACCCCGTTCTCCTGACGAACCCGCCTACCTCCGACCTGCTCCCCCGTATGTTCGGTCGGATGTCAAACGTGAGCGCATATACCCTAAGTTGTGTCTAATCTCATGGGTCCCTAGTACTCGCATGGTGTATTCAACTTGTACAACCCCCTCCATCCGATTCATCCCCTCAACCTTCCGAACAACCCGTTCGACGCAAATCCCTCGGAAACAAACTCCGTATCACTTGCTATTGGCAACACGACGTGAAAGTCATGTGGAACTTCAACAGTTCGTCTACCGTAGCGCAGCAGCTCGGCTCGATGGTCCTTGGCCTGTACCGCACTGTCCAGAAACGGGCGTTCCGCGTACCCACACTTACTGGCTACGGAAATGGCGTGACGATCGAGCGGATGCGCTTTGAGATCGACCGGGAGGCGCTGACCATCGACTACGCGATTCACCCGGAAGAAGATCATGACTCGCATGCGGTGGAGGCGAAAACGATGAAGGGCATGGACGAGCTTCACGCCGTTCGAGAAGCACGGCGGCTTACTCGGGCTCTCGAATGTTCCTTGCTAAAGCCCGATGGCTGGGATGTGCAGGTACGACGCATATATCCTGCTTTCATGGGGGAGTTGCTCACCCCATTCCAGGTCACCACCAAGGCATCCCGTCAAGATATAGCGAAGCTGCCATGGACGGCGACTGCCGTTCGTACAAAACCATCTTCAAGCTCTCCACCTGCTAGCCCTACCGGCAAAACGTCCGACAAGGTCGTCCTCTCATTCCGTCACGCCTCCTTGCCCGACGACCAGGCCATACTCAAAGTCCGCGTCTCGATCGAGTACTCGAGCGCACAAAGCGGCCTGCGCCTGAATGGGTTGCCGCAAACCATCGAAGACCACGAGGAGCGCGATCCGTCGTACTTTATGTCCAAACAGATGCTCCAAGACACCGTGAGCACCGCTGACCTCAGCTTCCGGACCGGCCAGACATCCGCGTCGAGCGTCCACACGACGGGCAGTGGAGTCAGCGGGAGCTCGAAGACGACGGAGACGCCTGGCGGGTTGATGAGGGTCGCATCTGAGAGGACGGCGGCGGGAGAGAAGGGCATTCTGTCGCGGGTGAAGCGGAATTACATCTACTTCTCGTCGCTTCTGCAGGAACCGGAGCAGAAGTGGAAACGAACGACGGAAGGACGTGGAGTCGAAGTGACTCAACTTGACTCCATAGATCCCACCCTGGTAGTCTACCGGGCTGAGGCGACCTTCGTGGGTGTCGGCCTTTGGGACCTTTTCGCTACCATCGTGTCGCCTGGGGCGAGGACGTACTGGGACAAGCTTCACGAGGACGCGACGTTGTTGGAAGACGTGAACGAACTCACCGAACTGTGGCAGTACAAGACGAGGCCGGCATGGCCTGTCGTGTACGTCGGGATTCTCGTCTCTGCAACGCACTAAATGAGCTTACAAAACCCGCAGGGGTCGAGATTCTGTTGTCTTGAGGACGGTGTACAAATCCCCGACAGCCGTCCACGTCTTCGCGTTCTCTGCAGACGATCTCCCGTATTTCTCGAATATCCCGCCTCCGCAGCCGAACACCATCAGGACCCAGGTGGACTTGCAGGGCTGGTCCATCGAGGCGCTGTCCCCGACGACCACGTCTATCACGTTGCTCGAACAGTCGGATCCCAAAGGTTGGTCGAACAAGGCGAGCATACCACAGCAGATGATCAACACTCTCGCCGGTATCGGCGATTTCGCCATCAAGTGCGGCGGCCCACCGGTAGCGACGAGGTTGGCAGGCGCCAAAGCTACCCAGGTCCGGTACGACCACGATCGGGGCCATTATCGCCTAGAATACCAAGGGTCTGCCAGTCGACGCTCTACGGACGCGTCCACAACTAAACCTGGCGAGACCGCGGACGGCACTTCGAGCACGGGCTCGGCCTCTCAGATGCCAGTGATTGAGTGCGAGCTCCGCTGCGACATCGACAACTGGGCGCCCTCACTAGACATCGTCGTCGATCCGCCGCCGCAGTCGATCACCTGCTTGCGGCGCCACCGCCTGTCCGAGGGCGGCGGTGGCCTGTGGCTGACGATCACGCATGACGCCGTGTTTTCCGGCGACGAGCGCATTCTTGCGATCGTCCGCCGCGGGCCGGGCAAGGAAAAGGGCCTGGTGATGGTGAATGGCGCGAAAGTCAACGTCGACGTGGAGGAGCTCCCGGAAAGCGAGGTGAAAAATCTGGCGAAGAAGAAGCGCGTCAAGCCGCAGCGAATACCGTTGGACCAGCCCCCCGTCCTCGGTGCCATCCGGCGACGCAAGGCGGAATGGGATGCGGACAGTGATCACAGCCTGCCCGATGGCACGGAGTCGACATCAGGACGCAAGCGACGAGACTCTGCCCAGCTCAACCAGGGCTTTTCTGCGCCGAAGTTCACGAGTCCTTTGACCAAGTTCTTCACCATGGCTGTCGAATCCGCGACCGCGACCACCCAACAAGCCGTGGCCGCCATCTCTCCCCCGCCTACAGCGGAGGGCGGTAGCTTCCCGAATTCGCAACCGCCGATGCAAAGCGCGCTCGAAGCGTTGGCGCATCTGCAGAAGCTCTATCCCCAGGCTTCGTCCGACGATTGGGCGCTGGTGAGCGAGAAGGGTTTTCCCGCCAAGCGCAAGCTGTGCCCCGACGTTTCGCCATCCATTCTGGTGCACAGGGGGGAGAAGGTGATAGAGGGCGTCGCAGCGGACGAGCTCGCCTCTGCGCTGACTCAGTATGGCTGTCGCAAGCAATGGGATGACCGATTCGACTCGGCACACGTCTTCGAGACTTTCGGTGCGGGCTGCCATACGGCGTTCGTGGTCACCAAGGGCGGCTTTCCGTTCAGGGATCGAGGGTTTTACCTGGCCTCGGTCGTCGCGCGCATGAACGGGCCTCCCTCAGCCTCACGGCGCAACAGCGGCACACAGGATAACCGGCAGAGCGAAGAGCGGGTGACCATCTTTTACGTCTCAGCGTCGTTCAATCCGGAATCCGTCGCCTCTTATTCTCCTAACAAGTACAACTCTTATAATCTGCCTATTGGACGGGTGATTATGGATGGTTGGGCGCTGGAAACGCTGGACCCATACGGGACAGAGAACTACGCCATTCCTTCCACGAGATGTACGAGAATCGTCGCGGTCGACTACGCTGGCTCGATTCCCGCGGCTGTCAACTCGATGATCAATGCCGCGCTGCCGCGGTCTATCGGATTGCTCGAAACGTATATGAAGACCTTCAACGCCCCGCCCATCATCCGGCTGCCGCACCAACACCTGCGCGTCTCGTCGAGACAACCTGATGGAGATTGTTGGGTGATCAGCACCCGCGATGGCAGTCGCAAGCTTGTTTCTACGACATATCAGCCTGACAGTCGGACATATTGGACCTTCGTCCAGGCTACTTTTCCTGCGGCAGGGCCCGGGGAAGACGTTACGCCTAGGCAGAGTCGCCTCGGCCTTGCTACTGCTTCCTCGCCCAAACCTACGTCGACAGCTGAGTCTCCGAGACGGAAAGACAGCGTTTCGTCGGACCGTCCTCGTCCAGCGTCGCGCCAGGACCATTCACTGTCTCCGCGCGAGGCGATGTCTCGATCGCCCCCTCGTCACAGTCGCATGCGCACCCAGTCCTCGGCGTACACCCTCAAGCCCAGCGATCTCGTCCCTCGCGTCCCGACGGACCTCGTGCTCGCCGAACTTGCCGTAGATGCCAAACTCTATCCGGAAGGTTTCGCCATGCGGCTGCGGTCCGACGTACGCGACAATGCGGACGAGCTCGACTTGCCCTCGACCCCGGAGGACGCATTCAGTTTGCCGGAGAAGGTGCTGCCAGTCGCATGCGGCGTTTATACGTTGCCCCCCTCCGGCCTCCATTCGGCGGACACACCGCCGCGGAGGTTAGTGCGCCTTACGTTGCCGACGGCTCAGTATGCTGTATCGACCTTGGAGGATCCGTTGACCGGCGAGACGAGGACGGCGCCTCCCAAGCCGAAATGGCTGCTGGACCTCGAGGAGGGTAAGCGCGCCGTGCTACACGTAGAGATACGACCGGCGACGGCGAGCAACCCTACCGGATCAATCTCCAAGCGCTCAGGATCAAAAGAACCGGCGAGGGTTCTCGTAGACGACGCGCCCATCAGCATCTTGGACGAGAAGGAGTCGCTGAAAGCTCTTGGTCGAGACGAGCTGCTGGACGACGGGACAGGGAAGGCGGCGGTTCTATCGCGGTGGGTTGCTTGGGTGCCATTCATTTCGGCGATTCCGTTATCGCTATTCTTGGCGCTGATAAAGGACGGTTGATTAGGACGTCTGCAGCGGAAGAATCGATGCCTGTGGAACTCCGCACGCCGCTCGCGGTCGCGCGAGGGCTCATGGACCCAGTCGCGTTGGCTTCCGTTCGCAGGGACGGGACGGAGTCGACGCCGGCCGCCTCCCAGGACGAGAGCGAGAGTCCGAAGACGGAGAGCGTCAACGAGGTGCGTCGGACTCTCACCCGCTCGAAGAAGCGTGCGTGCTCACGTGGTCGCCCACCCCCTTCTGCTTCCTTTCTGTCCGCCCAACTGCCAGGTGCGCGCGGGTGCGAGCGCGGTGCCCCATCCGGCGGATGGCGGTGCGGTCGCAGGTGCTGCCGGTGGCCTGCTCGGCTTCCTGAATTCATACTCGACGCCGTTGATGCGGCTATCGGCGCTCACGCCGCGGGGCGGGCTCGCGCGCCTGCCCAGCCTGTCCGGCGAGGCCGCGGAGACGCCGGGCGAGGGGGCCGAGGAGGCGCCGCCGGGGGCGCTCGCGGTGGCTGGTGGCAGCGCGCCGGCCGGGGTCCGCGCCAGAGCGCCCACGTATACATATCCGCTCTCCTCGGTACTGGCGGTGGCCCTCATCGCCTTCCTGCTCGGATCGCTGTTGAGGTCGCTGCTGTCCCCGGCCGAGTTTGTGTACGTCGTCAAGGACGCGGGAGACGTGCAGGTGCAGGACGGCCAGGGCTGGCGCGAGATCAGGCGGCTGTTCGAGGTGAAGTATATTCTGGGCGGCTGGGACTTTCAGGTTGCCGTGGTGCGGCGGCACTGATATGTTCTGATCGTAATAATAGGTCGTCGCCGGTGTTGCTCCCATCGTGTTTTGTGTTTTCTGTCGCGTTGTCTTGTTTAGCTGCACTGTATCATACGCAATGGTGTCTTGTGGTAGTTTGACAGGAGGGTTTAGGTTATTACGCCGAATAAGGACAAACACAGCAAGGGGCTATGGCCGAGGAGAGCCACCGGCGGTGCCAGCGATATAATGATTGGTTCCCAGCCGGTGGGAGCCTTCGATTGTCCCGCCTTAGCCTCGATCGCCGACGGTGCCAGCTAGCGTCCCCCGACACCGTGCGCGACGACGACGACGACGACGACGACGAGCGTGAACGTTGCACGAGCTCGTCCGGGTTGCGTGCCACGACGAGGACACGCCCGGGGCTTCTATTACGTCCGCAGCGCAGGCCTCGCACCGCAATCCCGTCCCCAGCTGCAGAGTTTATCTGCCTCCTCCTCTCCTCTTTCCCTCTGCCTTCCGTCCTCGCCGCCTCGCCATCATGGCCAACGCTCCCCAGCCCGGTACGGCCCAGGGCACGCCGACCGACAGCTCGCAAGATCCGAGCCAGATGTCGTGGGAGGGCGACAGGATGTGCGTGGATCCTCTGCCAGGGCCAGATGCGGTGTAGCGCCGCCAGGCGGACACTCGTACTCAGACGCGATTTCTTCTGCCGCAGGTTCAACATATACATATACGACTATTGCAACAAGCGTGGCTTTCGACGGACGGCAGAAGAGCTCGTTAAGGAGGCGGAGCTCACGCCAGAAGCTCAGCCGCCTATCAACGCGAGACAGGGTCTCCTCTTCGAGTGCGTCCGATGCCTCGCTCGCTCAAAACGTGTACCATCTAACGAACGGTCTCAGGTGGTGGAGCGTATTCTGGGTACTGTTTACGGCGAAGAGCAATGGGAACGGCAGCGAAGATGCGCTGGTCTACACCCAGGTACGCGTAACCTCCTGTCCGTCACCGTCGGACCCTGATGCGACCACGACCTCGTAACAGCACCAAGCACAACAGCAAGTCGCGCGCGCGAGCGGCCAACGAACCGTACCTCCCAATGCAGGAGCGGCAGCCGCCCTCCCCATGCCCCTCGGCCGCAACGGCTACCCTCGACCGCCGCCACAAGGCGCGCCCAACGGCATCCACCCCGCAGGTGGCCCTCCCCCTCCCAATGGCGCGGCACCTTTCCCGCCCACAGGCGGCCAACCGCCACAGCCCAACGGCATCGTCCCCGCCCCAGGCCAACCGGGCGCGATGGCCCAGCAGCAAAACTACCCGCAACGACAGGTGAACCCGCAGCGCGCAGGACAACCACCACCGCCGTCACAACAGCAGCAGCAGCAAGGGCAGCAGCAGCAGCCGAACGGGAGCACGTATCCGTCGCCGACGATGGCGCACTCGCCTCAGGGAGGCGCGGGCGGCGCGCAGCAGGGCCCGGGACCGTCGCCGCTCGCGAACAGGGGCATGCTTCCCCCACCGGGGCAGCAGACGTTCGGGAGGCCGCCGAGCAGGGCGCAGACGCCCGGTGGGTCGCAGCACCCGGGCGCGGGGGGGATGATGACGCAGCCGAGCCCGTCGATGGCCCCAAGGCAGCCGCCGGGCGGAATGCAATCGATGGTGATGAGCCCGCACGAGATCCACGCGACGTTGGCGACGATACCGCCGATGGCGATACCGCAGCTCCGGGCAGAGGCGGGCATCCAGGGGGACAAGGAGCTGCAGCAGTTCACGCCGGAAGAGAAGGTGCGGTCAAACGTGTAGTGGCTCGTTCCTCTGGACGCGCGAGATCTGATTTTATTTTCTCTTTTGTGTTTTGCGCGTGTAGGGCAGGGTGGCGGCGTTGTGGAGGAGCAAGAGCGGCGGGGTGTTGCGGAACCCACCCGGCGGGCCGTCGGGCCCACAGGGGATGCCTGGGATGCCGCCGCGGCCAGGCCCGGCAGGTCAGCCGCCCATGGCGCAGCAGCGCCCAAAACGCAGTAGCAGATCTCCTCCGGACGAGGTAAGCGCATATCGCGTACTATGTGGTTCTTTGTTCTCACTCGGCGATTGAACGCAGCAAATGCAGCCCACGCAAGATAGCTCGCCGCCGGACGCCAAGCGCATCAGGCCGTCGCCAAACGTCCCGGATGGCACGCCGATGGTTTCGTTCGTGGGTCAGCCACCTCAAGGCGGGATGAGGCCGGTCATGGGCGGCGGTGCCGTGTACCAAGGGCAGCCGGGGATGGTGCCGCTGGGGCAGCAAATGGCGCCTCCGCCGCCGCACACCGTGAATGGCATTCCGACCATTTCGCCCATGATCCAGAACCAGGTGCGTGTCTTTTTTCTCTTTCCGTTCTTCAGGAGCGAGCTGCTTACGCGTGTCGCAGATCCACAACGCGCGAGAGCAGTACCGAATGTCGATGCAGACGCTGCACAAGAGCAACCTTCCGTCGAATGCGACCCTGGTGCAGGGGTTACCAGGCGGACCCGACGGCTCGGGCGGCTTCCCTGGCGGCCGAACGCCCTTCCCGGGCGGCCCGCCGCCCCAGCAGCACCAGCAACAACCCGGGCAGCAGCAGCCGATGTCTAACCGGCCAACCCCAGGGCCGAGCCAGCCTCCGCCGGGCCCGCCGCAGCCACAGCCGCCGCAAGGCAGCAAGATGGGCCCGCCGCCGTCGCCCGCGAACGCACCGAAGGAACCGGGGGCGTCGCCGCGCACAGCACATACGCCCAACAGCCACGCGCCCACGCCCGCGCCGGCGCCTGCTCCGGCACCCACGCCCGCTCCTGCGCCAGCACCAGCACCCGCGCCGGAGCCTTCGCTGCAGCTCGGCGGCGGCCCGGACTTGTCGGCGGACCTGTTCAGCGACGGGTTCATGTCGATCGCCGACTTCGACCCCGGGTTCTTTGGCGCGGATCGGCCGGACCTCGACATCAACCAGTGGTTCAACCCGGACGGGAACCTAGGCAACCTCGATTTCAAGTAGCTCGCGCGTGTCGGCGTCGTGTTGGTTCCGAGTTGGATCTGTGTTTTGATATCGTCACCCCCGTGCGCTCGTCGCGTTCGCATTCCCCACATCCCCTTCGCCTCCTCTTACTCGTAGCAACCCCCTTTTTTGCATCTCCTCTGCCTATTACGCTCTGGTCTCGGCTTCTCTCCCCGTCACAGTATGTTCTTTACTCCTCTCCCTCTCTTATTACGTTGAACTTGGCTCCCCGGGGAACTGATCTATTTATATGGCTCCCGCTCCCTGGCCTCTCAAAACCCGCCTGCCTTCGAGAGAGGCCGACGTGTTCTTTTTTGCTCTCTCTCCATCCGGATCCGCAATGTGCTCGCAGTGTCCTGATATTGTTCTTAGGTATAATTGATTTGATTGGATGTGTATTCTTGGTTCTCCGCAATATATCATCGCGCCCACAACGCCTATACATATTGTACCATTGCATGGTAGGCTGTATCGACCATCGAAGCCGAGACCAAGGTACGATAAATAGACCGTAGGCCAAACAACACGCACCAATCAACTAGAGACCATGTTCCGTGGAATAAAACAGACGAATATGACATGCTAGACCTAGGTACCTGACACGCAGCCGAGCTCGCGCGTTGTTATGTCACTAACATTGACAACACCCGCAATCCACTCGCCACATTATAACGGCTACCTCCTTCCAACCAGAATTATCGGACGGTGAGCCAATCCCAGACAAATCCCTCTATCAACTAACACCGAGTTTCGGCTCTACAGATGGTTTTACTCGCCGCTGGCTACGAGTGCACAGAAGCGGATTTCAACTCGTGGCTTGAGGGCAGGGAACTCTTAGACGAATCTGGCATGATTTACACCAACGTCATGGAAGAGCTGTCGGCCAAAAGGGACACGTTCCCTCGCAACCTCATCCGCTTCTCTGCCCTGGCGTGGCCTCCTCCTCGCGTGGTGAACGGGGGGTTCTCGTACCAATACAGCGAGACACGCCTCGTCTTCGTCATCCGCCAAGTCTCCGATGACGACTTGCACTTCTCCAAATGGAACAGCGCCTATCAGTCGCAGATCGAGGAGCGCGAGGACGATCGGGAGTGGAAGCAGAAGCTCGTTCATGAGCTAGGTTTGCCTGCGGACCGACTCAAGTTCGTTGCGCTCCCGCTGGTAGCCCAATACCCCCCGTTGAAGACGTACGAGAAGATGACTTTGATACCGAACGCGGAGCCGTCGGAAGTCCATATCGATAGCTCGTTCCTGTAGTGGTGCCTATTATACGTGCTCGTGCTCTACTTGTAGTAGTTCCAGCTTGATCGTTTCCAGTGCGCATGCTGATCGCAATGTCTCCCAACGATGCACATTTTTTGCTCAGGAAGAAGCAGGAGGTGGTTTGAAGTGACCTAGATCGTGGCTCACAAGCAGTAAGCGCGAGGCAGGAAACAACCATCCTCCCGATATGTGGTGGTTATCCTTCGTCCATGGCTTCTGCTTCCGCCGCATTCCACCATACGACCGGTCCCAGCCCCTGTTCCGCTATCGAGCACTGTCGACATACGGGCAGTATCGTGTCAGCGTTCCGCGTGCTCGCCCGACCAAGTGGAAGATGTGCATACGGTGACCGTGTAGGGCGGACGAGCCCGCTGCCGAACGGCCTGGACGCCCTCGGTCGCTTTTGGCGGGCCTGGCTCGTCGTCGAAGAAGTCATCTGCCTCGACGCGCACGCGGATAACCTCGCCCTTGTCGATGTACATCCGCGAGCTGACCGGGCTGTCGAGCAGGCTGTGCGCCGTGGGCGGCGGAGCGTCGGGCTCGTCGGGGTCGGGCGGGAGCCAGAAGTGGGCTCGTTCGTTCGGGTCGCTGAAGTGACCATTCGTGAGTGGCCAGCCAAAGGGAGAGGTGGAGGACGGGAGTCTTACAACGCGGAGGGCTGGGGGAGGTACATGACGGGGATGTAGATATCATCGAAGAAGCCCACGGAGACTGCGAGTGTGAGAGGGTGAGCGAAGCCTGACTGTGCAGCGAGACGGTCGTCGCGTACCTCGAATGCCATCTTCATCGGACGACTTGACTTTGGCTAGGATCACCTCCGAGGCGAACGGTCGAAAGACGACGAGTCTGAATACGACTATGACCCTCCTATGGCGTCAGACAATGCACGAAAAGCTTTTTCAGGAACTGGATATTCACCTTTATACCATAACATCCCGTCGCCGTAGCGGACTTTGCCTTCCCCCGCCTCCGAGATGTCGAATACGCACACGCAGAGGCCGACATCGTGCAGGACCCTGTTCGCATACTTTTTATTGAGTTCGGCAATGAGCGCCTGCTCTACCGGCGTGCCGAAGGAAGAAGGGTGGATGGCGACGGTGTCCTGATTAACGCAAAGCAACATTTTGAGATAAACGGAGGACTGCAAAATGTTATAGCGAGACCTTGATGAAAGATAGCTGGAACATCGTTCGTTACGTTTGTCGCCGAGTCTGCCGGGCGTGCATGCAAGATGAAAGCGAAATAGATTAGTCTAAGTTCAGTACAACATGGAAGTCGAAAGATGAATATTTGGGTTAAGCGCCCAGGAAGGACGGGCGCTAAAAGCGCGTACACACGTGACGCGGCTAAAATGTCATCTCGGCACGGAGTTGCCCCCGCCTCTACGCGTTCCCCCTTTGCCAGCGGTGGTCAGGGACTCGCTACGCCCACGTCTGATTTCTGCAGAGTTAATTTAGCGATGGCCGATACGCCTCTTCAACCAACCGAACCTCCAAAGGCCAAGTCCTGGCTACCTGCGAGGTCATATACCCATTTCATTGCGGGAGGGTACGTGCATATTAGCAATACAGCTTCTACGGTTCATTATACATTTTTTGGTTCGTATAGACTTGGGGGAATGTGCGGGGCGATTGTGACCAGCCCTTTTGACGTTGTGAAGACGAGGTTACAGTCTGATCTGTTCCGGCAACAACATCCTGTCAACGCGGGTGCACAAAGAACAGGGGGGCTTCTCTGGAATTTTGTGGAGACGGGTCACATTCTCCGGTATGCGTTGGCATCGCACGTTCCGAACAATGCTCACATCCCGCGTGCGACAGTGATATATACCGAGACGAGTCTCCCCGCGCGCTCTTCAAGGGCTTGGGCCCGACACTGGTCGGCGTCATCCCCGCCCGGTCCATCAATTTCTTCACCTATGGCAACGGCAAGCAGATCATTGCGAACCACTTCAACGACGGCCAGGAGAACGCGTACGTGCACCTCACCGCGGCCGCGATCGCGGGCATATGCACCGGTACGGCGACGAACCCGATCTGGGTCGTCAAGACGCGCCTGCAGCTCGAGCAGTCGCGGCACCGGCACCAGCACGCCAAGCCGTCGTTCTTTACGCGCGCGCCGCGCGAGAGGGTGGTGGGGAAGAGCTGGTCGGTGATCAGGAAGATCGCGCGCGAGGAGGGCCTGCGGGGGTTTTACAAGGGCCTCAGCGCGAGTTATTTGGGCGTGACGGAGGGGACGATACAGTGGACGCTGTATGAGCAGCTGAAGCGGCTCTCGGCCCGGACGCAGGGCAAGGGCGGCTGGCAGGAGTGGGCGGGGATGGTGGGCAGCGCCGGCACGGCGAAGTGCGTCGCCAGCCTCATCACGTATCCCCACGAGGTAAGCCCCGTTGCGGAATGTCCTCGCATTCGTTCATGCATCCGTTCCTGATGCAAGACTTATTGTTTTTTCTCAGGTTTTGAGAACGCGGCTACGGCAGCCGCTCGTGGACGGCAAGGTGAAGTACACCGGCCTGCTGCAGACCCTCAAGCTGGTCATCGCCGAGGAGGGCGCCAGGTCGCTCTACGGCGGGCTCAGCGCGCACCTTATGCGCGTTATCCCGAATGCGGCGGTGATGTACTCCATCTACGAGGCCGTCCTCCGATGGGAAGGAGCATGATGTCCCTCCCTTATTCGGCTCTCCTCTCTCCCGCCTCCTCGTCACTCAAACACAACTGGTATCGGCGAGCTCGCGTTGGCGGGCCCGCTCTCAAAAAGTATGTCGACGCCATGCTCTGCTCCGCTCCGTCAGTCACTCCGCAACACCTCGCATAATGTACATCAACTGCTAGACGGACCACGTTCTCAGGCAACGAAACGCAACGCACCACCCCACTCATACCCACCTAGTCTTATTCTTCGCATTTATTGTATTCCTATATAATCGGTAGACTGTACATGGCACCGTTAGTTGAGGAATGCATAGCACCCTCTGACGATCCAACTCGCGTGCGACGCGCATTCGTGAAGACTCGAGCTTTTGGACTTACATATTCATCGTACTAATGTGCACCATATCGTCCATCATTCGTGCCATCGTCGTCTTGTAACACCTCTGCTTACACGTTTCTCTGACTTGCAATTGCATGTGCCGTCGCGGATTGATATCACGTCAGATGCCTCTCACACCCCCTCCACGCTTGATGGTGTAGACGATTGCAGCTGCCCAATCACGGCCATGCTGCTCGAGGACTTGCCAGCCGACGTCCTCTTGCACATTCTGAGCATTCTCGAAATCCAAGATATCCTGCGCTTACGCCAGGTGAGAGCACGAGCCCTCCGTCCTTCCTCGCGGCGTACATGCTCACACAGCACTGCACGTCCAGACATCCAAGGCTTTCCACGAGACATCCTCGCTCCGGAGCGTCTGGCACACGGCCCTAGATACCCATCTGCTGGCCGCCGGCACCCCCGTCCCCGGCATCCACTCCGCACCGCTCAGCTCCCTCTCCGCCCGCGACCTGGAAACATGCGCCCGCCGCGCCACGCAGCTGCGCCGCAACTGGCGCTCCCCCCGTCCGACCGCGCACGCCGTGCGCGAGGTCATCGCGCGGGCCGACGCCAAGTGCTGCAACCTCGGGCTCGCCTTCCTCCCCGGCCACGGCCGTCGCTATCTCGTCTCGACGACGACGAGGCTCACGCGCGCGATCGGGCGCCGCTGGATTATAGAGTGCTGGGACATCGCGGAGGGCGACGCTAGTCGCTGCGTCGCGAGGCTCGAGTTCGAGTCGGTGGTCGCGGTGCGGGCGAATGTGGAGCCGGACAGTCCGTACGTGCTGGTGCTCGTGCGCCGTTCGTCCACTGAGCAACAAAGGCGAGTATACTACACCTCCATATTCGGGCTGGACGTCTCCGAAGAGCCGGATTTCGCATTCAAACTCCTTCGAGAGTTTCCTGGGGAACACGTGCCGCTACTTTTGAAGGGTGATAGGCTCGTCGCTGCGCACACCGACAACGTGGTCCGTGTCTGGGATGTGACCGTGGGCACGGAAATCATGCAATTGGATCCTCCTGTGGGCACGATGCTTCCGGTGGGCGACTTGAATCGACATCCGCTCTGCAGCTGCCACTAACTTGCCCCACATCTTAGCTCAAACCGTGCTCCGGCGTAGTCTTTCGTCCAAACTATGCCATTCTCTTCCGCCAGACGTCGATCGAGACGTACGTTTTCCCCGCAGAAGGCGATCATCCTCGCAACATCCCTCCAGCCGCGGCCCACACCCTACCGTGGCGGATCAGCAACCTCGCCGTCAGCGAGCGCCTCCCTTCCGCTTCCTCCTCCTCGCCCACCAGCCCACCCCTCATCGACATGTTCCTTCGCTTCGACAGCTGGTACCCCTGGCCGGTCAACATGCTCCACCACTTCCACCTCCGTCCCAACCCAGACCACCGGCCAGGCTCCGCCCTCGCGCGGGAACTGCCCTACCTCCCGCGCCCCTACCCGACCTCGTCCTGGTCGTCGACGATCGACTTCTTCACCCCGTCCGACATGGCCGTCGGCCCGCGCGGGACCGCGCTCTGGATCGACTCGCACACGGAAGACCGGTTCGGCGCGGGCGCGCCGGACGGGCAGCGCCTCGCCGGGCGGACGCTCGCGGCGCCGCGCACGACGGAGGAGGCGCTCGCGCTCGGCGTCCGCGCGCTCAGCAACACCGCGAGCGTGCAGGGCCAGGGGCAGGGCCAGCACGACGAGATGGGCGCGCTGAGGGCGATGGCGGAGGCGGACGAGCGCGTGGAGGAGATGGAGTTTCAGGTGGACGAGCGCTGCTTGTGGAACCGCGTGGCGATGGACGAGGACGAGGGCCGGATCGCGGTCGGGTTCACGGACGGGCGGATATCGGTGTACGAGTACGCGCCGGCCTGATGTGGCGTTTGTCGCCACTCTCGGTCGATCGTGCGATCGTCGGTCGATCGTGCGATCGTCATGCGCAATGCATATAAGGCCAAGAAATCGTGTGTCCGATATCAAACGTCCAAACCATGGACTGGGGTACGGTACAGGCGTGTATGAATGAAGATCATTCTCTGGTCTTCGGTCGTTCTCTCGTAAACCCTGTCAAGGCCACTGGACGACTGCTCGTCATCGACGTAAGGAAGGGCTGAAGAACCCTGACGCGGCCCTACGTTGGTGAGTCTTGTCGGCAGAAATCTTAACGTCCGAGGGGACAAACACCAGTTTCATCCCCCCCTCGTTCCCTGACCCGCTCGCAGCATTCACCGTATCAGGCGCAGGGGCCGCTTGGAGCTGGCGGATGACGCCAGTGCCGGTATCGTAAGCGAACGTCTGAGCCGACGACATGCTAGCTGCGTCCGCGGGGCAAAGGTCGAGCCCGATCATCGAGAGCACGCCGCCGAGAGGCCCACTGAGCGTGCCGCACAGCGTCGTGATGACTCCTCCGAGGGCACCGGTGATTGCGGAGACGGGGTTGAAGGCGTCGATCTCCATCTACGAAGCGACGGATGAGCGATCGTGGCGTGTCATTGATGGTGTACCATCGCCACGTACCCGGACAGGGACCTCAGAGGGACCCAAGGCAGCCTGGCTGAGGTTCGCTGCCGCGAAGTCATCAGGCGCGACGAATACAAGACGGATCTCGGACGCGTTGTGGGGCGACGCCATGAACATGGGCGCGGACATGTTTGACGCGTCCATGACAAGGGACGCCACGTTGCTCGGCGAGCCATCCTTCACCACGTTGACGATGCCAGGAATGTAGTTCTCTCGTCGCGCCAATCCCCGACGCGAGGGCTCGTTTCCGTGCACGTCCTTGTGATCGCCGTTCACGATGATCGACTCGTCGTCAGCGTGATGATGCCTAGTTTGCGCCATCTTCTTTCCGCCGACGGTGACCGAGTCGTCGGTGCCGTGGACAGAGACGAACGGGCCGTGGTGAGCGGTCGAGTTTGTTTCGGCCGCGGCTAGGATCGATGGAACGCTTACTCTGACCGCTCCTGTTTGCTATGCCGGAGGTCACCCCACAGAGATTGACATGATGGGAATATGGAACGTACCGCATCCAACAATACTACGTTCTCGGGTAATGCTATATGATTGTACCGAATGAGCCAAAGTGCGAGCGATGCGTATGATATTCGACTCACCCAGCGCGCGAGGCAGGTGAAACGGGAGAGGCAAGGCCTCTCCAACTCGGAAGGTCGCGCAGATAACGACCACCGCCGTGACGAACTGGGTTCGGAGCACAAACATCTTTTCGAACAGGTGGATAGGGTTTGGTTAAGAAGGAGAGGTGATCAAGTTGACTGGGTCCTGGGAGACTTGGCTAGGTTGTGATGAAGAACGCAGGCGACCAAAGCGCTCAGAAAATTGAAGGATAACGCTAGAAGGGTATATCAGCCGGACGGGACCGACATAAAGCATGCAGAAACGCGCTCACCGAACCGGTCGCGGATGTTGAGATGAAATGAAGTAGTGAAGGAAGAACGATGTGACGACCGATTATAAGCCACCGAGTTCGGTGTTCGGTGTCGCTGTCGGAAGATCTTCGCAGCGCACCCGCTGACATGTGTCAGTTGAAAGCTGTCAAACCGGGAGGCGCTTTCGCGACATGATAAATCTGACGAAATCTAATATGCAGACATCGACGAAAGCGTCTATGCACCAAGGATGCAATGTTTTTTTGCGCACGAAAGGCTCATAAGCGCTTGCTCTGCCGGAATGTGGTTCCCAGTTCAAGCACCACCGGAGAAGCAGGATGGCTGCCGGTGCTCTGACGATATATGGTCTGCCATTGCATCCTACACCGTACATGCACCTCGACGTTTCAGACTATTATAAGCCGGACGTCAGACCCATTTCCCTAAGACCACGACAATCGACGTACCAAGTGACGACTACCAGCAGATAGGTCCAGTTCTCCGATCTAATACTCCCCACCCCGTATACGCCCCATAACAACATCCCTCGCTTGCTGGCCAGGATCGCACTTACGAAGTTTGTCGTAATCATACCTAGAGTAGCCGGTAACTTTGGGTCCGTCGGAAGGCAGCAGAACATTATTTACCAGACAAGAACACTGTCGGATTCCGCAACAATCGCACGCTGGCTATACGAATATGCTGCAGCTGCAACATGAAAGTGAGTCTTCGAGGCGGATATCGCGTGCGGCTTCGCATCGTCGTGACTCTTCGTGATCAAGATATGGGGTTTATGGCCGATGAGCAGCTATTGGATGAGTTGGTTAGACTTGAGGATAACAAGCTGGAAGAGTAGACATACGGTGTCCGGGTACGTCACAGGCCGCCTATAGTTAACGCTGATGCTCTTCAGAATCAACGAGACTCCTTTCCCTGTGATCATGTCCTTCGCCTTTTGAGGTCCTCCAAGTTCTTCACCGATCGACTGCATCCACTTAATGCGACCCTGCCCAAGTTCTGAGTGCCGGAGGGGAAAGGATTGTTGATACCACTGACCGACTCGAAGAACCGCACGTAGCGTACGTTGTTCACATGCCTGACCAAAAGGCGGGTTCGGCGTGTATCCTCCAATATGAAAGCGAACATACTGCCACTCACTGGAAGGCGTCATGATCCCCCCATACAATCGGCTGCTCCCAGAAGCTCCTGGGATCGTAGCCGGCCTTCAGCAACGACTGCCTCGCCTCGTCCTCGACGGACAGTTCTCCTTCGTTCACTTCTGGATGAGGCGTTGCCGGTCCAGTACTGCCTGGAGGTATGTGAAACGGAGAGTTCGGATCCCGGAAGGCAGCTTGCAGCTGCTACTGGAAAGGCAGACGCATGAGTACCAGCCCAACCGAATATCCGGTAGATGATCGGCTACCGACTTGTATGGTTGAATACGCACGACTTGTCCTCAAGGGACAACGCAAAAGGTGGATCGCGGCCAACATTATGAATAAGTAACACGGTGGTAGCGCAAAGACCTGCGTCGGGTGCGATGAGCTACCGGCCGCGAACGCGGAACGAATCCGACCGTTCGGACTCTCATCGTCACGTTCTCAATAATCGTTGGGCGAACCTCACGATGATAGCAAGCTACATCTGTAAGATCTGACACGTAAGGATCCATCAATACGATACCTAGTCTTGCACAGATGTAAATAAAATTCCAATCACAGAAGCGTACGCTCTCCGTTCCCGTGGCAGATGTAGCTACCTTCGCCCACCATCAGCACACTCTCTCGCAATAGCCTCAAACGCTCCTGTACCGTCTCCTTGAAAAGGCAGTTCTTGAAGACGATCGATTGAATAGGTGTCGACCCGCCGTGCTTTCGAGCTTCTCCCGTGTTACGGCTGTCCACGAGTTTGAGGCAAGCATCGAATAGGGTATTCCTCTCTCGCGACTCCGACTGGTTGTCGGGATCGTGATTGACGTCCTTGAAGGTTAGAGCGGTGAGGTTCGGGAGCAGAGGGGTGTCGATGCGGTCATGCATTGACTTCGAACCGTCAGCACATCTAAGAGTGCGGTGTCCACGCCATGCGTGACGACCAGAGCATCGACTTGAGGGTGGTGCTGCAGGACCGCACACCAGGATGTGGATTGCATACTAAAGCTATTCTCCAGCTGTAGGATCGTGGGCTTCAAGACGGAAAGCCCGCTGATCAGCGAAGCGGTCGGTGACGATTGCATCATGATGGAACTGGTCGTCATGACCAGCAAACTGGTAGACAATGAACGCGTTTGGGAGAGCTTACTCGAACGTTGGTGTGATTCCGGCTTCAAAGGTTCGATATTCGTTGATGTTGGCGAGACAGTGAGTAGCGCTAGCCAGCAGAGTTCAATGCACAGACGTTAACGCAGACTGTCTCAGGCGTCGAAAAGACCGATCGCTAGTGTTCCAAGACGGTAATGAGGTTGAGCGCAAGGCATGACACCTGCCGCGACGCACCGCGAAGCGCATGATACATGTACCCAAACGAAGGCAAATATAGAGGGCTGCACGATGCATCACGAATTATGAATCATTCCGCAGCCTGCAGTCAGTCAAAAAAGGTGCTGTAGCATTTGCTAGTAGAGTACAATGTTGATCTCGCGAGTCAAGGTATTATCTTCCAACCGCCGGTAAGTCCCATCACGTTCTCCGGGTCCCAACGTTGCTTGATTACCCTCAGTCTATCCAAATTTGCCCCATAGATGTCTTCAACACGAGTTTCCGCGTTTGCGTAGTTGCCGTAAACAACAACATATTTGCTATCGAACGGTAGGGAATCTCCAATGTCGATGGCTACGTCGTGAAGGTAAGCCGTTGATTGCTGCATCGCGCGCTGAAAGATCTGGTTCGCGGCCGGGTCTGTGTAGAATGCTTGCAACAGCGATGGAAGGAAGGTAATTTCCCGCGTGACGGGATATGCTGACGCTGCGCCATGCGATAGCACGGAAGGGAGAAAGGGCTCCATGATGAACACGTGTTGAGCAGTGGGATCTATCTGAGCGAGTGCAGTACCCCAGAACTGAGATCAATACGTTCAGTGAACGCAACCGCGGTAGGAGATTTACAATCCTCACCACGGTCTCGTTCAAGGCGGCTTTCAAGAACTTGTCAGAATACTTGATGACGGGGACGGTTCCGAACCGTCCTCTATGACCGCTTTGAGACATCAAACGATATGCTGGTTTGTTCACGACGGTTTACCTGGCATGAGGTGTGTCCGGGCTGAGGAGAACCATGGACGTGAAATTTCTGGTGGAAACGTCCGAAATTGTTGCGGGAATATCCAAGAACCGATCGAAAATGCCGGCAGGCGGGGTCGGACCATTATAAAATAGCACCGCTGTCGCAGTGAGCTACATCATAATGTCGGTTCAGACGAAGGAAATGTACACTGATGTCGTTTGCCTCACCTGCCCCGCGGTCCATGCGTATACAAAATTTAGCTCTGCGTTCGCATCGGTCACGGAGGTAAATGCTGCCGCAGCTGCAGTAGCCTCTTCCACGTGCACCGCCGAGTATACTACCATACCTCCCTATTAGCTTTAGGTGAGCCCCAACGTGGTTCGCAATTCGAAACAGACGTACGCACCCATACTGGACCTTGAGGGTATGTCCGCAACGTGAACTGTGTGACAATGCCCTAAGACCCGTGTGCAGAGTAAGCATGTGTCGTGTATGGACTCGGATTTGACTCACAAAGTTGTTGTAGCCTCCCTGACAGTTTAATGAGCCCGAATAAAATTACAACCTTACGACATGACCGAGACTCACTCTCAACGCAAAGAACAAGTCCGGATAAGCATTCTCAGTGACGTTGACGACGGTACCAGAGGGTACTACAACCTCATATCCCAGGACGTTGTCATGAGATAAACCGTGCTGGTTCGACAAATAGGAGTATCCTGTGCGACGTTGGTCACTAAACAAAAGAAAAGGCTGACGAATGTATACGCACCACCACCCAGAGTCAGTCCAGCCACCCCAACTCCCGAAGAACGACCTCCCACAACGTTCACCCCAAGAGGGATGAGAGCCGCGTATACGTCGTCCCATATCAGGCCACTCCCAACCGACACCGACGACGTGGAAGCATCGTATACGACTTCATTGAACCAGCTCATTGAGATTTGAACTCCCGGTGTCGACGAAAACTCCTGATTATACGAATGACCTCCTCCTTTGACCTGAAACGTCATCTGTTACAACACAGAACAATAGAGAGGCAAAGGTCACTCGCGGCGAAAGGGGTCCTTGTGACGGACAGAACTTGAAGCTAGCAGAGAAACGGTCAATATCATGAGAGCATTCAGGCATAAGGAACGACACACAATGACCCTGACATCCGCCGCTGTTCCCGGTTGCACACTGCAGCTGGAATTCTCGGAACTGGAGCTTACCCAATGCGACACGTCGGCCTGGTATTGGCTTGATCCTGTCGAACCGTCTATGAGCTCGCAAGTCATCGATGGGAAGGGGTCAGCAACGTACCAGGATAGAAGACTGCTGAAGTAGATGAAACAGACTGTTCGATCTTGCTGCAGGCAGTTGAGGGTGACCCCGCGTTACTGGAGGATCGGCCTTCGAGTATTACACTTCCACCGAGGAGCATGGCTAATACTAGCAACACCATGGTGGTCTGAGCCCAATTGAGGAGCAAGGCCGTAGGATGCAAGAACGAACATCGAAATTCGACATCCTCGCTTATATACTTATGGCCGGCCGCCCAATAACGTTAACCTTGGATGATATCTGTAGCACATCACGTCATCATCAGTTGGAAGCGAAGGTCATAAGGCTTAGATTCTATCGTCGATGAGATGACAGTGGTGCTCCGTTTTTGCGTAGCAGTCCAACCTCAAAGTGAAGCAGAGGCATAGGCACGTTCAAGGTGCGGGTTGCCTGTCTATACCACTGCCAGTGTAACTCAGCGCATAAACAGCGGCACCGATGAGAGGATGGAGCGATTTCAACGTGTACGTATGCCGTGTTGACGTGTCTAGTCTGTGGCGCCCGTCGTTCAGTCAGACCGGAGTCATGGTACAGTACCCGCTGATGCGGTGGGCGTATCGGTATCCTCGAAGTTCCAACCGCAGTCGGAGAAGCGGCAATCAGCCCAAGTTGAGCTTGATACAAATTCCACAGGCCGGCTTCACCAGTACTTGCAGCGCGAGGGGGGCAATCGAACCGATGCGGTCCGTCACGCAGTTGTCGTAACGTCGTAGAGCATCGCAGGGTCGGTCAGTGGCCGCTCACTGTCGTAAGTGTGGGCCGATTGCATCGTATACCCAGTACTGTAAATGAGCGCTTTGGAGCCTATGAGAGTCGGAGGTGTAGCCGCAGTCGACGGTCAGCGGTCTAACGATTCCCGAGGTCGAGTTCACCAGTAGTTGTTGATATCACAAAGGACCACTGCGGCCGGGGTATCTACGCGCCCGAGTGCAGGTCGAACGACCAGGCCTGCAGTCAAGTATGGTGCTCAGCTTGAGCCGACTTGTTATGCATCAAACTAGGAGAAGCTGGACGTGCGCGATCCGTTTCCAGAGTCCCGGCGGTTGGGTGAGTTGGCGCGAGACCCGGATCCCTGTGTCCGGGTGGGACAATTCCGAATTGCTACGTGAACGACTGTCTTCATTGCGCGTCGAGAGGTCTGACTGTGGAGACTGACGAATGGCTGGCATCGGAGGCTTTGGGAGAGGGTCCTAAAAACGCTCACGCCTCAGTGACCGAACACAAGCCAACGCTTGCAAACCTGTGCGTTCAGAGATCATATTCATGTATGACTGGATTAAAGAAGATGCCATCCAAACTCGACAAAGAGAAAACCAGTAAGATGTTCACGAGCGCCCGCGAGACGGGAAGAGCGTTCCGACACATGGACCAATTAAATAAGTGATCGATATCCGGTGGCGATGACAAGTACGTTGTCGGTGTGAGAGGTACGTGAGGATGTATACACATGTCCCATCATCAATCAGCTCGTGACGCGACGTTAAGAAACGAACGATCCCAAAAAAAAAGACGACTGCGATATTACGGCGCCTGCTTAGAGGGCGAGGAGCGCGAACGCGAGCGCGGAGGTGCCGCCCAGAGCGAGCATGCTGATACCGGCGCGGCCGGCGGCGGATGCGTCCGCGGTCGTCGACGGGGAAGCGCCCGAGCCGGATGCGGATGCGGAGCCGGCGCCGGAGGCACCTGCGGTGGAGCTGAAGTGCGGCACGGTCGAGACGGCGCCGGACTCGGTCGCTGCGATGCTCGCCGAGCTCGAAGACGCGGTGGTCGACGCCACGCCGCCGCTTCCGCTTCCGCTTCCGCTTCCGGTGGCGGTGGTGGTCACGCCGGAGGAGACCGTGGTGGAGTTGGAAGAAGAGGAGAGGTCGGGCGCGGCGGTGGCGAGCGTGGGGTCGACGAAGGCGCCGGTGCCCCAGGGGATCGCGTCGCCCGTGCCGGGCTGGGTCGCGTTCGTCGGGGTCGTAGTCTGCCCGGAGGCGGAGGCGATCGCGAAACGGGTCGTCCAGTAGGTCGTGGACGACGCCGGGGAGCGGAATTGGTAGAAGTAAATCGCGGAGTTGGGCGTGACCTGGTGTGAGAGGGAGGAGGAAGGTTAGCGGGAGATCCAGGGAGGGAGGGAGTGGTAACGATGGGAACGAACCTCGGGGCATGTCCAAGTCAGGGAGGCGTTGCTCGCGTCGGTCCCGTCAACCTTCGCCACGGCTATACAGAGGGAAAATCAAATAGCGCCCGTCAGCACGTGTGTATGCTACATTCAATTTGATTTGATGGGGGCACACGCTGATGGCGGCATCATGTCCCCGGACGACATGGGCGCCAATCGCATCGGCGTAGACGAAAAGCGACGATGAGAGAAGAGAGTAACGTGACTCAACTGGTGAGGTGCACCATGTTGAAGTTGTCGCCGGTCATGAGCTCGATGTACATCTCCTTCCAGGTGCCGGACGCATCGGCGTCCCAGGCGATGGGGCAGCTCGCGCCTTGGTTGAACACGTCGCCGGGGCCGGGCTCGGACGGGTTCGGGTCCGCGCGGGCAGCGAGGAGGGCGGAGGCGAAAAAAGTTGCGACGGCGATGCGGGAGAACATGATTACTTGAAGTGTTTTTCTGGTGGTGAAACCTCTGGGGTATTAGGCTGAAGTAGAAGGGCTGGAAAGTGCGTGTCAGCGATATGAGACGGATTTATAGCAGGTAAACGCACAGGACGCGAGGACGGTCCTGTGAGGCGGGGTGCCAAGGAGCGACAGATGTAACGAGCGGCGGTGGTAGCGGGAGCGGTGCAAGGAGCGCGCGCTCGTGCAGAATGGCAAGAGGAGAAGGGCTGGTCGGGCACGTGTCGGGTCGCACGGCGGACAGAATCACCGCGCATGCTGTGCCGTAAATAGTCCTAGACTCCGCTTTAGTCTGCCAGGCGCAATCAGGGTTCAATCAGTGCCTGGTCAATGCGTGCGACAAAGCGCTGACCTCTCCACGCTGACATCAAATGCCACGGTCGCCGGTCGCGGAGACAATGGTTAGTCTTTGACCAGACGCGTTTCCCTCGGTCATCCCCGCTCCCCATTTCAGCGTTCCTCCTCCTGCCCTTGACGTTTCTCACCGACTCTATTTCTACTTTATATACCCGTTTACTTCCCCTCTGGAACATTCCTCTGTCTCTCTGTCTCCTCTTTTGATCGCCACATTTACCTGGAAACCACACGACCAATGGCTCAGGCGGTGTTCGAGGACCATCCTCTGGGCGAGTATCTTAAAGGTACGGCGCGCTTTGATGGTGGAGGCGCTGTCACACCCTCGGGACCGACTTTCATGTTGACCGCTCTCGCAGAAACGGGCGAGCGCGCAGATATCATGCCCGGCGCGTCGCATGACTTCGTGCCCGACGACCTAGACGACGACGAGGTGGACGAGGCGTACCGGCTCTCGGTCACGATCCTACATCTCCTCGAGGTCAGTCGTGCTTCCGTGCTCCGCACTACCTTCTTTCTTGCTCATATACGATCGAAAGGCTATCAAGGACATGGCGGCGTCCACGTTCACGGCGTCGCACCGAACCGAGTTCGCGGAACGCTTTAAGTACGACGTGATCTCGTCCTCGCTGCTCTCCACCGCCATCACGCCCTCCCCGCATCCCCTTCGTCACTCTTTTCCACACATTCACTCGCCACGAACGCGTTCTCCCTCATTACCTCCTGTACCGGGTCGTCTACGCTTCGAAACGCCTACCTTACCTACACCCGTGCCCGTTCATGCGCCTGTACCGCGTGAAGATGCAACCCCACAAAACTTCACCGCAAGCGCGACTGCAACTTCAAGTAACAGCAGACGAAACACCAGAAGCCAAAACACGCCTCGCTTTCACCTCTCCTGGTCGTGGTCCGACCACGACCGCCATCAATGGTCCCGCGCCCTGGTCGCGACCGCCTGCTTCGCCGCCGCGGCGCGCGCATACGCCATCGCCCGCTTGTCGCTCGCCCTCGCCCTCCTCGTGTACTTCCAGCCCTGGCTTCGATCGCTACCGCAACGGCTTCGGCGCGCCCCACCGTGGAAACTCGCGCGCGCACCCACGTGGGACGCACCCGACCGTCGGCAATGGGCCACCGCGCTCGTCTGCACGGCATGTTTCGCTGCCGCCGCGCGCACGTACAATGTCGGGCTCTTCTGCCTCGCCGGCGCCGCCTGCGTTTACTTTCAGCCCGAGCTGCGGGCCGTACCTCGAAGGCTACGAGAGATACGCTGGAGCGCGCACCTCTCTTGGGACGACCACGCCCGGCAACAATGGGCGACAGCCTTCGCCGCGACGGCGTGCTTCGCGACCGCCACGCACATATACCGCGTCTCGCTCCTCTGTTCGACCGTCACGCTCTGCATTTACTTCCAGGCGGAGCTGCGCACTCTCCCTCAACGTCTGCAACGACTCCCTTGGCATTTCACGCTCACGTGGGACGACTACGCCCGCCAGCAGTGGGCAACTGCCTTCATTGCCACCGCTTGCTTTGCCGCCGCCGCACGCATATACCGTCCCGCACTCCTCTGTGCCGCCATCGCCGCCTGCGCCCACTTCCAGCCGGAACTCCTTTCCCTGTCACGGCAGCTGAGAACGCGCTCGTTGCCCCAAATTCGATTGACATGGGACGATCACGCCCGCCATCAGTGGACGACCGCGCTGCTGTCCACCGCGTGCTTCGCCGCCGCCGCGCGCTCGTACACCATCGCGCTCTCCTCTCTCGCGCTCGCCCTCGGCGCCTATTTCCAACCCGAGCTCGCACAGCTCCCCTCCCGCGCATCGCGATACATCGCCTTCTCCTGGGACGAGCACGACCGCGCCCAGTGGGCGCGCGCCTTCAGCGCCGCCGCCTGCTTCGCGGCCGCCCTCCGTTCGTACCGGATCGCCTTCGGATTCGTCGCCGCCGCGCTGGGGACCCACTTCTCTCCCGACCTCGACCGGCTGCAGCTGCGGGTCCGGCAGCGCGTGGCGGCGTGGACGGAACACGATCGGCGGCAGTGGGCGACCGCGCTCGGCGCGACGGCCTGCTTCGCGGGCGCCGCGCACGCGCACGCCGCCGCGCTCCTCTGCCTCGCGCTCGCCCTCTCCGCGCGCTGCCAGCCGCGATTGCGCCAGATCCGAGCCCGGGTTCCCGCGTGGAAAGACCGAGGCCGCGATCGGTGGACCAAAGCGCTCGGCGCCGCGGCCTGCTTCGCGGGTGCCGCGCACGCTTACCCCGTCGCGCTCGCCTTGGTGATCGGCGCAGGCGCGGTGTACTGGTATCCACGGATGCGGCAGGCGAGGGCGACGTTCCGCCGGCCGACGTGGGATGAGGAAGATCGGGGTCGGTGGGCGACGGCGTTGAGCGCGACGGCGTGCTTCGCCACGGCGGCGCACGTGTACACGATCGCGCTCTCGTGCGGCGTCGTCGCGCTGATCGTATACTATCCGGACGAGTTGCGGGAGATGCCGTGGACGCTGGGGAGGCTTGTTCGGCGTACGCCTGAGTTTGCCCAGTGGACGGCGGAGCAGTCCGGACGGGCGTTGGTTCTGTTGCAGGGTCTGTTGGATCGGTGTTGTGAGTCTTTGTTGCAGATGCCGGAACAGGTCGAAGAAGTGCTGGAGCGATCGGAGGTGCTACTCAACGAGATGCTCCAGTTGCTGCAGCAAACGCAAGTCCGCGTGTCGAGGCAGATCCAGGCGCAGCTGCGCGCCCGCCAATCCACCACCGCCTCCGTATGTCTACCCACGTCTACGCGTATACACGCGCCATCTCACCACGGTATTCTTTTTTTCCACAGACCATCCAAGCCCTCAACGAGCTCATATCCGCCGGTGCCCTCTGGGACTCATGCGTGCACGAAGCTCTCGCCATCCTCGAATCCGACGAACGCGCCTCGCTTTCTCTTTCCAACTCGCAGCACAACCGTTTCTCCTTCTCCTTCTCCTCCCCCTCCATGTCGCCCACCTTCTCTCCCCTGCGCGTCGCGCTCCACTCCTCGCTCCACACGACCGCGAGCCAGTGCGAGAAGGTGCGCGGGCTGCTCTCGGCGCTCACCGCGCCCGCGGAGCTCGCCCAGCTCGCGGAGATGTACGCCCCGCCGTCGCCGCAGCTCTCTCCGCTCTCGCCCGAACGACGCGCAAGGCCGATATCTACGCCCGCGATCGACAAGCGATCGACGTGGAACGGCAGTTACAGTGCCCTCGCACGGTCGGGGAGCTTGCCGCACCGCCGAGAGCAGCGGATGAGCATACGGGAGAAGCACAGGTCGGATATGAGCGCGTTGTTAGGCTCGCCGCTCGCGAAGCACGAATCTGTGAAGAGCGCGCCTGCCACGCCGGCGAGGGGTCTGCCTGGGGTGCGCGAGGAGGACGGCACGCACGCTCGCGATACGGTCGGCCGCGAGGAAGAGCGAGGCGAGGACGATCCGGAGGAAGAAGAAGACGCGGTCGACATATCGCCGAGAGACCACTTTGGTGCCGCGGCGATGAACTTGCGGAGGCGGAGGCGGTACGGCGGGCTCGAGGCGCTTGCGCTCGGTATGCATTCCTCGTCGTCCACGAACGGCCTCGGGTCGCCGCCGTCAGGCCGAGAACGAGACTCGTTCGGGCTCGGATCCTCGTCGCGCTTCACGACGCTTCAGCGCGGCGGCGCGCACCCGCTCTCGCTCCACGCGCTTCACCACGCCGTCCAGGCCGCGCTCGCGTCCAAGCGGTACGCCTGCGCCCACCTGCTCGCACTGAGGTTCGACGAACCGCACGACCAGTTTGTCGACGACGAGGACGGGGACGGCGGCGCGGAGGCGCAGGCGTACTGGGAAGACGTGCGGAGCGTGATGGCGTTGCTGACGTCCACGTTCGTCGACGCCGCCGCGCGACTGGGCGAAGCCCTCGACGACGCGGAGAGCCGGCGCATGCGGGAGGCCACGCCGAGCCCGGCGGTCGCGCCGCTCTCGCCCGCCACGCCGAGCGCGCCGCACTCGCGCATGACCTCGTTCGACCTCGACGCGCCTATCAATCTGGCCCGGGCGGCGTCCGGGGCGTGGCGCGAGCCGAGGACGGTGCAGCAGATGGTCGGGTTCGCGCCGATGCCGTCCCATATGGCGCGCTTTGCGCAGCATGTGGACGCGATGTCGTCTGCGCTGGCGGATGCGAGGGCACACCTGGAGCGATGCGTCGCGGCGCTGCGCGACGGCGACGGTGCGGACGCGGACGCGGCGTCGGGAACGTCATCGGACGTGGAAGGAGAGACGGAGGCGGAGGGCGCCCAACATTCGCCGTTGCCGCCGCAGGAGGCGCCGGCGCTCAAGGCGTACGACCGGCTCCGGCGCGAGCTCGGTTTCGCGCTCCGGGAGTGCGAGCGCGGGCGCGAACGGCTGTTAGACGCGCTTGCGGCGCAGAACGCGGCGGCGCGGGATGACGAGGGAGGTGCGGGCCCGGACGAGGACGCGGATGACGTGCCGCTGCTCGCGCCCGATACGGGCTCGGGCTCGGACGACAGCGATAGGCACCTATCGGGCGAATATCAAAATTCGGTTGGGTCGCTGCTCGGTGCGGTGCTGGAGAACGTGGCGGTGGTCGAGGACGCGGCGCCGCCTGAGGAGGAAGCGGAGGAAGGGGTGTTGGGTGGCGCGGAGCAGGTGTTCGAGGCGGAGGCGGTCTCGGTGGGCGCGTTCAATAGGGAACGGTCGAAGCTGTCTCGCGAGGAGAGGATCAAGTTGGCAAAGGCGCAGAGGGAGAAGGGGTTGAGTGGGTTGGGGATAGCGATGGTGGAAGAGGAGGCGGAGGCAGGAGAAAAGGGAATCAGAGAAAAGTGGGGGCCAGGTGGGGACGTCGTGCAGGAGCTCAAGGATGTCATCTGGCAGGTCGGTGAGCGACGGAGAAAGCTTGCTGCCCAACCGCCACCTATGCCACCACCGTCGCTACCATTACCGCCTACGCCACCCATGCCGACGCAATGAGTGGCGTCGGACCGACCCTACGATGCTCTACGATGTCACGACGGCTGCGTTACGGAATGGAACGGTTTGAATGACCCCTCGCGCTCTTTACCTATGCTCCTCGTTAAATTCTCTCTTTTTTTGATGCATGTTACCTGTCACTTTGGGCTTTGGCTTTCCTCTCTCTTTTACAGTAGTTACACCACCCACGCGTCCTCTCAATCACGCAGTTCGCACTCCATATAGGGTACTTTTCTATATACCTCGCATAATCCTTTGACTGTCAATGAGACAGGTACAACTGAAGCATGAATATCATTTCACGATCGGCATGTATACGAGCAGGCGCGTTGAATGCTCTGACCGACGTGGGATCGGCCCCGCGTCATCACGAGCTAGCAACTCTTGCTGCTGACGACGACGCCTACGACGACGACGACGAGACGACGACGAGACTACGTCGAATTATAAAGCATCTCCTGCAGCCGCTCACAAAACAACCTAGTTTCGCTTGCGAACCAACAATTCAAGAGGGGACCACTCCGTCTCGAGACTGGAATTCTTTCATCCCTGCATCCTCTACTACAGGAATTCGTATCAGTGGAAGTCCCTACTGTCTGGACCGGTTGCAATTTCTTAGCATGGGCACAACTATCGAGTAAGTTCAGAAACGTGTAAGCGTTAGATAACACAATGACGACTTCAATGGCGATCTCCTCCAGGAACAAATGCGCAAAGGTATGCTGTATGTTGCTCGGAGATCCCGAGCGGGCTTCCCCCTTTGCTCTGCGCTCTCCAACGCCTCTCGTAGCCGATTTGTGGACCTTCAGCACGAAATGGTACGGATAGGACGCGAGATGGCCACCATCATACAGGAGTACAGCGTTGGCCTCCCCGTATCCCGCCTTCCCGAAGACGTTCTCTACAAAGTGTTCTCCTTCATCCCGTCTGATCCCCGGGCTTTGCATCGGGATCATCGTCGCCCTAGATTCCCGAACGCGGCGCAAGTTTGCACATTTTGGCGGCGCGTTGCGATGCGCACGCCCGCACTCTGGAATGTCCTGGACATCGAGAGCCCTGCGCTGGCCCTACGGCTGTACTATCAGTTCCCATTCCCTATCCGGATTTTTGGCTGTGTCAAAATCATAGCCAAATCCTCCCGAAGACCGCACGCGTTGCGAAAAATCCTCCTGGACTCTTCACGTCTCGAAGAGCTGGACATTTCTGTTACGATTCGGGGCGCGGCCTCATTCAACGAGTTGCTCAGCTTCCCTGGGCCAGGCTCCGCGCCTTCACTAAGACGTCTGGCCGTTTACCTGGAAGACACAGCCGCGGCGGACTATAGCCGAGGCTCATCGGTGGCTAGCTTCGTGGGTAGCGCCTCATCTCGAGTCGTAGGAGCTCACATTTTTCGAGCTCGCTTCATGGATGGCACCGTTATTCAATTCGCATAACGTCTGCGCGACTGATCTGAAGGGCCTCGACCATCCTTGCCACACGTTCTGGAAGTATTACGTAAATTTCAACAGCTAGTGGTCCTCGTCTTGGACGGGACGTTGCCCAGTGCCGGAGCGGACTTCGATCTTGTGAACAACTCATCCACAATTCATTCCGTTATGCTTCAGGGCACAGGGCGTGACTGCCTTGCCTTGATTGCCTTGCCTTGATTCGAAGTCTCGCCTTGCCACCTGTGGCCGCGCTTTCGACAGCAATGACTGATGAAGACCGGCCTTCGGTATACGAAGCCTTGTTCGATGCTGGCGTTCAGCATTTTCCTTCCTTACAGTATCCCGATGGACTTCTCGCGCTCAGCATATGCCAAGGGAAATACCTCGCGCGCCTCAAACTCGGTCTACGCAATCCAACCAATGGATTCATCTATTCCCTGGAGACGGAAGACCAAGCCATGTGTTCGAACACGACAAAGAGATTGGCCTCCCGGATCTTTGCCCTCAAACCGACGGTCCTGCAAGTAGAAACCTTTGATTATCCCTACGATTATTGGCTCGCACTGCTGCCGTATACTCCACATGTCCGGGACTTGACCATCGTTGGCCCGACCATCTCCCACTCTCTCTTCCATTTACTAACCGGCGACGCCGGCGATGTGCCCCCAGGGCCTAACGCCCACTTCGTCAACGCTCCTGTGCTACCAAATCTATCGACGCTGGTGATCCGAAACCTCGACGACGGATACTCCAGCATAGACGCACTGCTTGACTTCTGTGTCAAGCCCGTAGGCCACGTAATGCTCCCTCAGACACGCTGAATCCGTCGCGCGAACAGCAACCTGACGTTGTCCCCGGTTCGATCGATCACGTTCAAGGATTGCACCCTTCAAAAGGACTGCGTCCACGACGGACGAGTAAAGCTGCTGCGAGAACGCGTCTTAGTTGTAGGAGGGTTGTCGCATGTTCGACCATATTAGCGGAGGTTGGCGTTCACATGCCCTTTGAATGAGCACTGCATTATTGCACATCAAATGTATGAGTACGTACGCGTCGTCCTTTGTCGGTACGACCCTTACAGTCATACACGAATCATCAGGGGCATCTCCAGCAGTTGAGGCTCCCTCTTTTTTTTTTAGCATAGTTCTCCTGCCAGTGTATCATCCGGCGCGGTCCCAATACGGCAACGGCAGGTTCTCGAGGCCTCGCATATAGTCGAGCTGGGACACAGTGGCCTCAACGATTCCTGCCGGCCCTTGCGAAGCTAACACGCCGCCTCAGCCAGATCGTGCAGGCTGATGTATCACTTACCTACCGTTATCAACGCCACAAACTTCGACGGCGTGTGGCTATGATATCCATCAACTTCGTTCGCGCCTTCACCGGAGTCATTCTCGAAGTTGCAAGTTGGCTGCAATCCCAACACCAATAACTGAGCCCATCCGATATTCACTCGTCGTGCAGAACAAGGCGAACTAGTCACTTCATCGTCTGGGCCGAATCGACACCACCCTCCAACAACCGCAATCTCGATCATAAGTTGTTTCCGCCAGGGTCCATCAGCGGGTCGCCGTTCGCATGATGCCACGACTCCCTATTTCCCGGCATCATCACTCTCAGAGTCGTACTCCAGATACATGGTCCTCGATGTTGATGGCGATATATGTACCTGTAAGGAGCGCCGGCCTTTCCCTCCAGCTGTGCTCACCCCTTCGTTCTTCCCCCTGCGCCGGGCGCGAGGTTTCACTGCCAGTTCTATACGGTCCTGACGGGTCTCTTTTTCCTCGACTCCTTGGCTGGTCCTCAGTGATTGTGCACGCGACGTGATCTCCACTTGTTTTCTGTCCCAGGTTCAGACGGATGCGTGATGGCGATGCAATTTAACAGGATGAAGGGAGGGAAGGAGCAGGACGGGACGGGGTCGGACACGAGCAGCATCGAGAAGGGGTGGGTGGGTGGTGTAACAAGGGACGATCGCGAGTTCTTGGTGGACGAGGAGGCTAGGCGGTACGCGTTCGACGGGGTGGACCTTGATCGCGTGCAGAGGAAGTTGAAGCAGCGGCATGTGCAGATGTGAGTCGAAATCCCTCTCATCTGTGTGTATGTAATTGACGCGGCATGTTCGACGCAGGATTGCTATCGCTGTAAGAACGACCGCTGCTACCTTCGGAACTATCAGCTGAAGCATACCTTCCTCGCAGGGCACGCTAGGCTCGGGCCTCTTCATCGGATCGGGACAGGCTCTTGCTTCCGCCGGCCCCGTTGGTTCCCTCATCGCGTACGCGTTGGTCGGGACAGTTGCCTACGCGTGAGTTCCATGCATATATGCACTCGCAGATGTCCTGACCTCGGATCTGCGTCAGTACTATGTGCTCTGTCGGCGAAATGACCTCCCACGCGCCTGTATCTGGCACATTCCCTCACTTCGCCGCCCGATGGGTTGACCCCGCACTCGGCTTCGCGGTGGGGTGGAATTACTGGTATTCGAGTACCATCACTATCCCACTCGAAATCACGGCGTCGTCCCTGCTTATCACGTTCTGGGATAATGAGGTGAGTAATTCCTTGTGTTGTGCTCGCCTGGAGCGACGGTAACGACATCGACATCGTCAGATCATGCACCAATACATATATACGACACTCATGTGCTTCGCGGTGGTGATGATCAATGTCTACGGTCTGCGGTGGTTCGGCGAGAGCGAGTTCGTCTTCTCGGTGGTGAAACGTGAGGTTCATCATGGTTTCTCTCTCATACATTGCTCATGTCTCCACAGTCCTCTTGATCACGATACTCATCATCACCGGACTCGTCATCGATGTAGGGGGCGGACCCGACCACGAGCGCCTCGGATTCAAGTACTGGAAGGATCCCGGCGCGTTTGCCCGCGCCAACCTCGTTAAGAACCCGCACACCGATGCGTTTCTCGGCCTCGTTACTGTTATGGTGCTTGCGGCATACTCATTCCAGGGCATGGAGCTCGTCGCAATCGCCGCATCCGAGACAGAGAACCCGCGAAGGAATATCCGCAAGGCCGTGAAGCGGGTATTCTACCGCATTCTGCTGTTTTATTTGCTGGGCACCTTCGTCACGGGTCTTCTGGTTCCATCCAACGACCCCAACTTGCTTCACGGTGAGAATTTGCTTGCACTGAACATGATGTACCACGATCGTTGACCACCAAGTATCAGAAACGGGAACGGCTGCCCAATCTCCCTTCGTCATCGCCATCTCCCGCGCCGGAGTTAAAGTCCTCCCCTCGCTCATCAATGCCGCGATCCTAACCTCCGCCTTCTCCGCCGCGAACTCGTATCTCTTCTGCGGCTCGCGTGTCCTCTACGGGCTCGCCCTGCGCGGGCAGGCGCCCCGCCTCTTCACGCGCTGCAGTAAGGACGGCTTGCCCCTATACGCGATCCTCTTCTGTGGCGCATTCGGGTTCTTGAGCTTGATGAACGTCAGCCAGGGCGCGGCGACCGTGTTCAACTGGTTGCTGAGCTTGAGCACTGTTGGCGGCTTCTTCTCGTGGGCGGCGATTAACTTGACATATATCTTCTTCTGTACGTTTCGTCGGAGTTTTCTCCTCGTCGGAAGTTCCCTTACGCGTCTTGCGTAGATCGTGGTATGAAGGCTCAAGGCATTGATCGACGAAGACTTGTCTACAGCAGCAGGCTCCAGCCGATCCTCGCTTGGTGGGGTTTGGCATGGAACGTCATCTTCATCCTCGTCGCCGGCCTGCCCGTTTTCTTCCAATTCACCGCGGCTGGGTTTGTCACAGCGTACATCAACATACCGTTCTTTGCGGCGCTCTTCCTGTTCTGGAAGCTAAAGTATAAGACGAGAATGTGGAAACCGAGGGAGATGGACTTCTTCACGGTTCGTCGTTGTTCAATTCGATCTGAACGAGGTTATTGACAACTGGTGCAGGGTATACCGACAGTTGAGGAGACGGAGCAGCCGGAGGAACCCCCCACCACTCTGTCCGAGAAGATCTTGGCTACGATATTCTAGCCGTCTCCCCTTTGCCGCTGTGCATTCGTGATTGGTACACCATGCACTAATATATTTCTGCAGCATTGCCAACGATAATTTCGATCGTGATTGATGGTAAAGGTCTACTTGGTTCTCTCAGTTTTGTGTCTTTTGCTCCCGTTCGCAGGGAATTATCATCTGCGCTGGGGTCTTCAGGGCCCCGGCGCTAATCTACGTTCCGGGGTCTTGCTGTGCGTGCGATTCAGTTCAACGTTGAACCCTCTTTCCAGCCGACATGCGTTGAGTACGGTCCAATCTCTTCAAAGAGCCTTTACTAGCTGTCCTATAACTCCACTGATCTATCCTTCACTGGGATATGGAACTCCCAGATTGCCTTCCACATACCAAGCAGCAGCGACAGCAATTGAACGGGAGCTTCCCGTCGTTGTCGATGGCCAACCGGCTGTTCCGCTACCGGTGCCTCGTCGGCAATCTACATACCTACCGACCTACCAACAGGCCAACCCCGGGGCCGAGCCAGGCTCCACCGCGCCCGCCGTATGCGCAGCCGCCGCCGCAAGGTAGGAGGACCCCCGCGCAGATATTCCCAGGCGGTCCTGACGGCTCAGAAGGCTTCCACCCTTCAACCAACACGTCTTCCCCGTTACTAGAAATCGGTGTGTACTCCTGTCTACTCAACTACGTGTCGTGAATTGGACAGTTCGCGTCTGTTGAGACTTAGAACCGGGGGAAATCCGTGTGCTCCAGCAGTACAACTTTCCGTATGCCCATGGGGAAGTGCAACGCCTTCGGCTACAGAAGTCAGAGGTTCAGGAGTTGACAGAAAATGTATTCCAGGTGCATACGGCTACATCTTCCTAAACTTCACTCTCATTTGATACTGACCGCTTTCGTGATGAATCTAGCGCCTCACGCAGCAGACGGTTGGTGATGATCTGAAGGAAGTCAAAATAAATCGATCAACGCTCATCCGGCTGTTGGTCAAGTTCGCCCATCGCTCCCATTATCTGCCGTCCTGTCTCTTCATCCGTGTTGATAACATTCTTGAGCATAGCGTGGCAGGTGGCTCCTATGGCGACATATTTAGGGGGGTGTACCTCGGCACAAATGTAGGGCTGAAACGTGTTCGGTTCTTGGACGGTCATGATAAGGACGTTCGCCTCAAGGTTGCTACGCATCTCTCAGAGGGAAAATATACATGGACGCTCATCTACTTTATAGCAACATTGTCGTGAAATACTTTACTGGCGTTTTTTGGATCACCCGCATGTTGTCAGGTTTCTAGGACTAGCCGGCGGTGGTGGACTGGCTGAAGTCCATATTGTAACCCCGTGGATGGACAATGGCAACATGTCTGGATTTATCAAGGCTAGAATTCTGAAGTTGCAGGATTCTATTCGCCTAGTACGTGCAAGTACTTCGCTTGACCCTCGACATAAATTGATGTGCTATAGCTGTACGAAGTCGCCCAAGGACTGGCTTATCTGCACTCTCAATCTATTGTCCATGGAGACCTGCGATGCGTGCGTCTCTCAAGCAGCAACACATCTATCTCATGATTGTGACAACGATTGCATAGAGTAACGTCCTTATTGATGCCGCAGAGCACGCCCAACTCGCCGATTTCGGCCTCTCGCTTATGAGTGACGGCGCAGAGTTCTCCGTCAGCAGCACTGTGGGGTCTCTGCGTTGGGCAGCACCTGAACTAGTCCAAGTTCAACACATAACTCGGAATTTTGCGACAGATGTGTATGCCTTCGGGTGCACCTGCCTCGAGGTACATGCTCCATGAACTGTCGCCTCTGACGCTACTCAAAGGTGCCTTTCAGGCTAAGACCCGCCAGCACCCATTCGCCGGCATGATAGAATTTCAGGTTATTATTGGACTACAGAGGGGCGAATTAAAGCCGAAATGGCCGTCCACTCTCGATGAATGTTCAGGAGCGTCGGAAATAATATTATCAAGCATAGCAGAACAATGCTGGAGTGCAGGACCGTCCAGGCCGCCGGCTAAGGTGGTGGAGGCTGCCATGCGCGAGGCGTACAAGAGAAGTATAGGCGGGCTCATTTCACCGTTGTGATTTGCTTCTTATCCCGAGGTAGTCAAACGTTGATTCAGTCAATGCTTCCTCTTTGCGCCCGGATTAAAACGTTCACTGTGCAATACGTCACAGAGTAGGACATAAATCCAACTCAGTCTACGTTAGGCTCTAATTTTCGAAACATCTTACATCTGCGGTATTCGGTATCATTGTGTGCATTGTACATCATCGCCGGGAGTTAGTGAGTCTATGTCCCCAAGCCGTATACACTGTTGCACTGAGATTGCAATCGACTCCGCGGAGTGCTCCAATTGCGAAATGCATTCATTTGCGCTGGATGGCCCTATGCATGCCTTCATCCAGATATCCCGGTCTGTTGATTGTCCCAAAGAATATGTACAGCAAAGCAAAGAGCTGGCCGTCATTCGTAACTGCCATAGACTATCTGCATTCCCTCTTGTATTTCTAGACCGTGTGTAACGTCTGTGTGACGCCCATTCAGGGTGAATGGTTCTACTGCATAATGCGCGAGGGACCTATGCCAGTCATGTTACGGTATGGACGCGCACGACCGGACCCAGGTTTATCTGATCCTTGAAGTCTCCCGTGGACATGGCACGGATACGGTACGTGAACTCTCCACCATTTTTTTTCTGCCAGAGGCTGATTGGAGTCAGGCGATACACTGGTGCCGACGAGAAAGTCCAGGGTGCCTATGATGAGTCTCTCTCCGCTATACCGCGGCTGCAGTACTACTGATTTACGATACGTCAGAAAGCAGCATGCCATTATACATCATGTCCGTGCCCGCTTGTCACTCCTGGCTCCTGAGTATCAGATACCTATTCGAGCATCGTCCTGCGGGGTACCTGTGATTGTTGATCTCCGGTCAAGGCTGTATATAATTCTATCGTAAGCTTGTGTTTCAATGAAAGTAAACACAACAAGCTCCCGGAATCCGCGCTCTGACACACTGGCAGGTTATCGAGTTGTTCTCTGTAGAGTTCTCTGTAGCCATCAGCGACGTTTGTCGATCGTGACCCCTTGACGTTCAGGTCCCACATACATAGTAAGACGTACATCAGATAAGAACGATATATTACCACGGTCTCCTTCAGTCATCCCTCCCATCCTCGATCTTGGCCGCTCTGCTGTCCGTGAGGTGTTCTCTCCCTGCATCGAGCTTGCGGAATTTGGCCTGCATCCAGACGCGGTACATCTTCAGCTGGCGTTTGCGGTTTACGAGCAGCCGGCGGTCGACGCCGAGTTGGTCCGCGGAGAAGAGTGGGCCGGAGCTGTGCAGCGCGGAGAGGGCAGCTTGGGCTGTCGCCGGAAGCGTAGAGATATCCGGCTTTGACGCAGGCGTGGTGTCCGTCGGAGGCGGATGCGAAGCGGTACCTAGCTGGCCCTTTGGTGACGAAGAGAACGAGAGTGGTGTTGGTTCCTGGACTTCTGACGGAGTTCCTGGTGCGGACGAGGACGCGGGGGAGAAAGGTACGGCCCCGCTGTCTCCTTCATCGTCGTCTTCGTCTACCTCCGTCGTGCGCACCGTCTTCTCGGACGCGGTCGCGGCTCGCCCAGTGAACATCATCGCGAGCTCATCTGTGCATCGCGCGTTAGTGAAAGGCAAAACGGTGGATATTGTTTGAAGGACGCGCCGAGGTCAAAAAAATAGACGCGGGTCTTGTCGCCGCGGATGTAGAAGTTGTCTTCGAGCAGACGGCCGGCTTTGAACCGGAGTTGGGTGAGGTCGTGCCGGCCGTAGTCGCGGAAGAGGAGGAGCCCGCCGGGTTTTAGAATCTGCGACCGACGTAAGGAGCGCCTCGGGGTGGAACGGTGAGGAGGACAAGACTTGCCTTGTGGATGTTGGAGACGGCCTGCGCCCATTCCACGGGGTGGAGTGCGGAGAGGACGAAGACGAGGATGACGATGTCGGCCGTTCCTGGGGTGAGGTCGGCCGGGAGGGAGGGGTTGGTCAGGTCCCAGACGGCGGCGGAGATGGTGCCCGCGGGCGGGGAGAGGTACGTCGGATGGTTCTGCGCACATGTCAGTCGATGAGGGGAGGACAGGAGGAGGAGAAGAAGGAGAGGTAGATCCACCTGGACGACTTTGATCGCGTGCGAGGCGTAGTCGTACGCGTGAAAGCGGAGGTGGGGGTTGGCGTTTGCGGCTATGAGAGGCAGGACGGCGTTGCCGGCGCCGCAGCCGACTTCGACGATCGTGCAGGGGCCGGCCTGGAGGAATGGTCGGATAACGTAGGGAAGAGAGAGCGGCGGTGGAGGGCGCAGTCGCAGAGTCAGGTAGACTGAGGGGAAGGTGCAAAATGTGGCGACTTACCTCCGCTTGCGATGCGGCTACTAATTCCGGAAACTCGAGGTGTAGCCTAGGAAGAGTGCATAAGTCGGAACCAAACGGCGATCTCAGCGATTGCATGGCGCACCACTTCCGATTGCGAAAAAAATTGCCCGCGTTGTTCTTATAGAAGTTGTCCCTGAGATGAGCATATCTTCAGGGATGCTGAGATTAGACACGAAGCCGTTCCTTACCAGTGCTTGGCGGGCTTTTCGTTGTACTTGGCCTTCTCCTCCTCTGGAACTGGCGCGGCGCGCTGCCGCGCGAGCGACGCCTCGATGCGCTCGCTCTGGTCGTCCGGGGGCGGGACGTGGTCCCATGCGTTTTGGCTCCAAACGTCGGACGCATCCGTGAGGAATCTAGCTTTTAATCTCGCGTTAGCGGCGGGTTGAACTGGGAACGATGGTGAATGCTCACCGTGAGCCGAAGGGAGGCTTGTCCGCGCGCACGTCGTGCACCGAGCTCGTTGTTTTCGGTATCCGACCGTGATTCGACGCGCTATCCTCCATCGATAGATTGTTACGACGATTGTGCCGGGTTGTGTGCAGGGTCGTAGCTGCAAATAGCAGCGATCAGGGATGAAAAGGACGGGGCTCGGCTTGAGCCTGATGATGAATTGATTCAAGCACTGCGCAATCGCATCAGCCTTTGCCTCCCGCCTCGCCGCCCTCTCCCAACGATCCGCCCTGCGCTTGCCTTCCGTTCGCCGTAGCTTACTCGCAGTTTCTCTGATCTTTTCTCCGAGTTCGCTAGACGCCGGCACGAGGGGTTCGTCACTGCACAGGAGGAGATTCGGGGCTGCGTACTGCAACCGAGCCGGACGGGACCGCATCTGTATAGCTTCACCCCAAGTCACGACAGCTTCCCCGACGAGTTCAGGGCGACCACACGTAGCGCACCCGGCAACACCCACGGACTACCGACACCATGTCAACAGCAGCGGCAGCCGCCGCCCGCGCGCCGGGCGAGGACGACCTTCAGCAACTCTATAACCAGGTGTGGGCCACCTTCGCTGCCGAGGACGAGGCTACGACGACGACGACGACGGTGCCCGCCCATCCATACGCCAGCGCTGCCCTCCCGCGGAACACGAGCGAGCGCGACCTCGACTCGTTGATCAACAGCTACGGCGTAGACGAGCCGCCTGCCGAGCCCCCGCGCGCAAACCCGCCACCAGGTGAGCAGCAATCCACAACGAACACCGCATCGCCCGATCTCATTGCTTCTTGTCACTGTCATTCAGCGAAGACGCGGATCCCGCGTGACAGCCAACCCGGAAGGCCGCTGCCTCCCCAGCAGCAACAATACCAGCCCCAGATCTCGCCGACGCTCACCTCGCCGACCACGCGGCCCCGCCCGTTGCCCCGCCCGCCGGGCTCCGGCCCATCACCCTCAATAGCCATGGCACCAAGCCCATCGATGCCCGAGCCGCAACCCTACCTCGCCAACGGGGACTCGACCCGCCTCAGGTACGTACCCATTCCCCGTATCCCATTGGCTCGCGTTAACCCTCTTCGTATGTTCACCAGCGTTTCCTCCTCTCGCGCTGGCGGCCTACCCTCCTCACCGCGGCCGGGGTACGCCTCCCGCCCTGCCTCGTCGCCCAGCCCCGCGCCCTCGCACCCGCCGGCCGCGCCCTCGCACGCGTACAGCCAGTCGCACTCGCACCCGGTCCAGCACGCGTACGGCATGCCCGTGCCCGACATCAGCGCCGCGGGCGACCCGGGCTACAGCCCGTACTCGAGCCGACCGCCCAGCAACGGGCTATACGCGCACCCGGAGGGCGGCGGGCCGCACCCCGCACGCTCGTCGTCCCTCGTACCCGGCGCGCAGTCCAGGCCATCCTTCGAGCACCATTCGTCGAGCCTCTCTTCGCCCGATTCGTGTATGTTTCCCCTGCCTTCGCGACGACTAAGCTGACATCGGCCCGCGCGTGCAGATCTCGGCCGTTCGGCGTCGGCGTCGTCCCAGGGCAGCGTCTACCGCAACACCTCCGCCGGCTCCTCCTCGATCCGCCGCGGCGGGCCCTCGTCCTCGCTCGCGACTTCGATCGACCTCGAGCGCGGCTCGTCCTACCTCGCGCAGCCCTCACCAGACGCGATGCCGAGCCTCCGCCCGCAGGCATCCTTCGCGCTCTCGGACACGATGGGCTCGATCAACTATTACCCCTCTCCCGCCGCCGAGCGCGCGCCGTCCGAGCTCGAGGCGCTCGTCGCGTCCAAGGCGCGGCGCGAGGGCGTCGAGCTCGCTCCGGCCGGCGCGCTGGGCGTGCACGAGCTCGGCGCGGACGAGGACGAGTACGACGACGACTTTTTGAGCGAGGACGAGGACGACGAGACGCGGTTCGTCAACTTTGCGCTGCTGTCGCACCTCGCCGTGCGGCTGAGGGACAAGGTCCCGCGTGGGACGCACGTCAAAGGCAGCATCCCCTACCCGCGCGCGTTCACGGGCCGCGATATCGTGTCGACGATCCAGGCGCAGATCCAGCGCGAGCTGCTCATCAACCATGGGATATCGACGAGCGACCGCCGCGCGGCGCTGCTCATCGCGCGGTCGTTGCAGAGCCAGCTGTTCTTCTACGAGGTGGAGTGGGGAGGACGTGTGTTGCAGGATGGGGTGGAGGACGTGTATATGTTTTTGGACGATGCCGCGGGCGAGGAGCGTGAGGGAAGGGAGCATGTGCCCATGGAACGCGAGGAGCTTCCGACTGGTGTAGTGACGCTGCTCACGCCGTGTTACTCGGCGCTGTGTAGGCGCAACACGGAGGATGGGGAGCCGTGCTACGCGTTTGGGTGTCCCAGGAGGGTGAGTCGCGTTAGCCGAGTGCGACGATAATACTGACGTTACTCGGTGTCGCGTTATAGAAAGAGACATCAATGTTACCGCCGATCACCGTCCAGGCGGAGGCACCGGAGATCGTGAGTGTACGGAATAAGGGCATGCGAAGAGTGCTGACCGTTCGAGCAGAAGGAGGATTGGTCGCTGACGGTACCGCCAGAGGTGCTCAAGTCGCTCCCGGAGAGCGAAGTCAACCGCCAGACGTAAGTGCTCCATTGACAGGAAGGTTCTGGTAAGGTATCGACAAACACCATTCAGGATCATCCACAAAATCATCAGCAAGGAACGCCAATACGTCCAAGATCTTGACCTTGTCGAATCGGTACGTCTTCCTCCACGAGCCCTTCCCCGCACGCCTCTCACACGCCCACCGCGCAGCTCTTCATTCGACCGCTCCGCGCGGCGCGGCCACCGATCATCCCGCGCGACCAGGTGGACGACTTCATCGAGGAGGTGTTCGGGAACGTGCTCGACCTGCGGGAGTGCAACCGCCGGCTGCTCGAGACGATGTACGTCCGCCAGCGCGAACAAGCGCCCGTCATCCAGCGCATCGGCGACGTGTTCCTCGGCGCCGCGGCCGAGTTCCGCCTCGCATACCCGATCTACGTCGGACACCTACCGCTCGCGGAGAAGCGGATGAAGGAGGAGATCGAGTTCAACGTCGACTTCAGGCTGTTCCTCGAGGTGCGTTTCTGTTCCGCATCCTGCATGGCCGAGACGCATGACTGATCGCCGGCCAATCTATGCAGCAATGCGCGCGCAACCCCGAATCGCGCCGGCTCGACCTGAAGCACTTCCTCAGTCGGCCGTCGGAGCACTTGCAGAAGTACCCGGTGTTGCTTGATGCGGTGTACAAGGAGACGGTGGTGGGCAACCCGGATGCGGACTTCTTGCTCGAGGCGATCCAGGCGATCAAGAGCCTACAGACGGTCGCGCAGCTGTGGACCTTCCAGTCCGCGATGTGCAAGGGCCCGACGGGCAAATTTGAGTGGTTCGACCTCGTCCCAGAGGACGTGCGTAGCGCGATCCCGAAGAAGGAGGCGAAGCGGCAGGCGTGAGTAGACCACTCCTTTCCATTCTGAATCGTGAAGGACACGGCGTTGACAACGCTTAAGGATCATTTTCGAGCTGATCAAGGGCGAGATGGGCTATGTCAAGGATCTTGAGAACATCGAGCATGTACGGCCGTCTCTCGTTTCCAACATGATCAGTGTCCCCATGCTGAGCACGACTTTCTCTTCCAGATGTACGTGACGCCTCTGCGCGCAGCCGACCCGCCGATCTTGCCGGCGTTCCGCCTCGAGCCATTTATCAACGACGTCTTCCACAACTTCAAGGAGCTCTTCCACCACCACAAACGTCTCCTCTCGCGCCTGCACGAGATACAGCGCGAGCAGCACCCGATGATCAAGAGCATCACAGAGGCCGTGCTCGATGCGTTCTTGAATTTCCGCGAGGCTTACCTCGAGTACGTACCCAATTACCCGATCGCGGCTTACCGCATCGACGACGAGATGGGCAACAATCCCGCATTCAAGGCATTCGTGGATGTGAGTAGCGCGCACGTTCGATCCCGCTTGTGAGGTCCACGCTGACCACGCTGTCTTCGTATAGCAATGTGTGCGGCACCCAGACGCGCACCGGCTGGATATGAAGAGTTTCATCAACAGGCCGATCCCGCGTCTGCTCCGGTATGAGCTCCTAATGAAGGGCATCCTGGACGAGACGCCGGAAGACCACGTCGACCGGGACGCAATCCCGCAACTTCTCGAGGTCATCAAGGCCCTCGGAAAGGAGACCGAGCCCGGTGTCGCATCCGCGAAGCAGAAAGTCGAGCTCTGGCGGTACAACGCCAACTTGGTGTTCAAGACCGGTGAATACGTCGTGAGTTATCGAGTCAATGGACGGGACATTTCCGGGCGATGCTCACCATGGTTCGTGCGAAGGACCTCGACTTGTTGGATGAGAGCAGATCTCTGATACACGCTGGCAAACTGCTGCGGCAGCCTGAGAGCGGTTTCGAATGGAGTGGATGGAGCGAGCTTTTCGTATTGTTGTTCGACAACTACCGTAAGCAAACTCGAAGTTTGAAGTATCATACACTGACGTCTTGCCCAGTGGTAATGACGAAGCCGCGAGAGAAGGAAGGGCTGACTAAATACCATGTCACGCGCAGAGTGAGTATTCGTCATATGGAGGGGATTGGCCGTGCTGAACTTGCGGGCAGCCCATCCCATTGGACCTCCTGACCTTATCATCTTTCAACGATCCGCCGACTCAACGCTCAACCGGTCTCCTGCGAAACTTGCGTGGAGGCGAAACCGCCAACAACGGACCCGATAGCGCCGGCGATTCGCGCGCCGTCTACCCATGCACTATCTACCACAACGGGCGAATGGGTGGTTTGTATACATTATACGCCGATTCGGCGCAGGTCCGGACGGAGTGGCAGGAGAAGCTTAACCACGCGCTCACCCTGCGCAAGGCCGTGCAGGAGAACAACAAGGTGTTCGAGATTGAGACGCTAAGCGCGGAGACCTTCCTGGTGCCTTCGATGCAGGTCGGGGCTGCCCAGCCCTCCTGGAACCACGACAGCACGTTCACCGGCAAGGTCACCTGTTCGGTGCCATTCAGTACGCTCCTCCCTGCATTCAGCGTGTCCAGTGTAGCTAACAGTTATGCAGATACTGCCGATGGCCGTGCACTGATGGCGATTGGGTGTGCCGAGGGTGTTTGGATCGGATTCCGTCACGATGCAAGGTGTAAGTAGCCCGTGCTCGTTCGTGCGGCGACGGGAATGCTTATCTTCGTCTTGCAGCATTGCGCCGAGTTTTGCACTTGAAGATGGTGACACAATGCGCCATGCTCGAAGACTTCGGCATATTCTTGGTCCTGGCAGATAAGGTGAGCCATTGTGTTAGCTATGGCATCCCTTAGCAAGTTTACATACCGACGACGCAGTCATTGTTCGCATACCATATCGAGGCCCTCGTACCCTCGTCCGTGCAGAGCGTAAACAACTCGCAGACACCTCAAAAGCTTAGTGGGACAAAAGACGTCCACTTCTTCAGTGTGGGCAATCTCAACGGACGTACGTTGGTGATCTACATGAAGAAAAAGAATGTGAGTATAAGGGTTTACTCGATGTAATGCCCGCGCTCATTGTCATCTACAGCTGGACTCCGTTTTCCGTGTGCTGGAGCCTGTCATCGGCAAAATCAACGAAAAGACCAGACCCCAGGCTTCCTGGACAACGCGCCTCGGAGTTGGGAAGCAGCGCTCGGAATGGTTCCGGATCTACAGGGTGAGTCAACACGACCCCACGTCTTGCACGGTGCTGACACCCTATCTATACCTAGGACTTCTTCCTGCCATCCGAATCCTTCGACCTGATCTTCCTCAAGGCGAAGATTGCTATCTTATGTACCAAAGGATTCGAGATCATGGATCTCACAGAGTATGTCATGATGTCACCTGTTGTATTTTCTAGATCTGATCCCTGTCTAGCTTCAAGAGCGTGACGATCCCACAGCGGGATGATCCTCGGTTGGAGAAGCTGGCGAAGCGCTGCGAATCGTGCAAGCCTGTCGGGATGTTCCGGTCGAACGAAGACGAGTTTCTTTTATGTTATGACGGTCGGTCTCTCCAGCGTCACCGGCGACAACCCTAGCTTATTTGTTATCCGGCAGAATTTGGTTTGTACGTCGATCGCCACGGAGACCCTAGCCGGAAGGTCTTCACTGTGGAATGGGAGGGCACGGCCGAGAAGGCCGCCTGGCACCCACCGTACATCATGTTATTCGACAGTCGCTTCATCGAGATCCGCCATGTCGAGAACGGACGGCTGGTGCAGATCATCCCGGGCAACGACGTGCGATGTATATGGGACGGGCGCGGGGCAAATATCCTCCCCGCGACAACTCCGGGGCCGGAGGGATGGCAAGACGGTGCAGATCAAGATGCTCGCGTTCACGCCGTGATGAACGCCCCGGATACCGTCATGACTCCAGGCAGGACGCGCGCCACAGCGCAACACGTCTTCGAACTCCTACCTACGGTGCCTCTGTACCTTCCCGGGTCACTCAACTCGCCTTCACAGACGAACTACTTCCCGAATTCGCAGTCCCCACCGCACTCACCGCGTCTAGCGCCGTCGATGTCAAGTCACGCGCCTTCGAACTACGTCACGGCATCTTCGTCCTACGTCGCGACGCCGTCGACCTTCTACGCTCCGACGCCATCGACTGCTTATGCTCCGTCACAGACGTGGCGATAATTTGGATCGCTCTCTGAACCTTCTCAACCACTTCGCTTTCCTTGCATCTCTGCACATATTTGATCCCCTGTTGTTTTAGTCTTTCTTACGCCATGTAATACCAAATACATCTGTAGGTATATAGCGGTTTTGTCTTCGCAATTCATCATCCCGGATATCATGAGATTGACGTTGTCATGAAACTCGTCTGCATCGCGTTCGACGAGGTTAGAATATTTTCGACGCGATTTTTTGTGCCAGTGTGTGTGCAGGCTCTAGCGGGGTTTCCGTCTCTTCTATTGAAGGGATGCCCTATGATATGGTACGATGAGTGCAGGAAACCCGAGACAGGACATCCATACGAACGGTGACAAAATCCATTTCTACACGATGGTTATGAGCCCTGTCAGCACAGCATGGACGGCAAAATAGTGTCCGACGACTGACCTTCAGGCTTCCAGAATTTGGTCTTCTTCCAAATTTTCCAGAAGAAGTATAGACCGAAGAATATCGGGATGTTGATGTATGCGGTAAGGAAATCGGACGCGTTGAACGACCAGAAAACCTCGAACCCGTTGATGAGGATGAAGATGACGTTCCAGATCAGACCCCACCAGGCAATGTAAGGCTGCAGCCGATTGTGATATACGAGTTGCGTGCGATCGATGCCCTGCACCTTCATCCCTCGATCTACAAACGACTATGTCAACCGTAGAAACGGGGTGAGCCTGACAAGACTCACGGAAATAGATGTAAGTCAAACACATGACGCCCCAGGAGAAGAATCCGCCGACGGTGGTCAGGTTCACGAGCCAGGAAAACACCGTAGCCGCCCCGGAGCTGGCGTTCATGAAAGCGAGGAACGCGAATGCCGACGTGATGGCGACCGAGACGACGGGGACGCCGTTCGGGGCACAGTAGGTGACGATTTTCGGCGCTTGCCTGCGGAGTCCGAGCCCGTACAGGATACGTGCACTGCAATAGAGGTAAGAGGATCCGGCTGAGAACGCCGAGGTGAAGATGACGGCGTTGACGATGGACGGCAGGACCTTGATGCTAGCAAGTCGCATCGCGATGACATACGGGGATTCGGCAGCAGTCCCGGTCGCTTGATGCTCACATTAGCCCCCTCGGAACGTAGACCTTGCAAGGTGGAACTTACAGTGGAGGAGAGTAGGGTCATTCGAGGGTACAATCATGCCTACGCAGCTCCAAGGTCAGCTCTCTTCCGGTGCATCGGCATGAATTCCTCACCCGTGATCAAAACTCCCAAAATATAGAAGATCACGACACGGTAAAAGACCCGCCTGACCGCAGTGGCGATGTTCCTGCGCGGGCTCTCGGTCTCCGCAGCTGCGACGGCGACAAGCTCCATCCCTTGGAAAGAGAATGCCGCTTGGACGATGACCGACAGAAAACCCAAGAACTTGTCGGTATTGGGATTGCTCACCAGCCCCGCCCTCGCGAATGGGCCTGGGTCGTCCCAGAACCGGAAACCTCGACGATCGTGGTCGGGCGCCCCTCCGAGGTCGATGACAAGACCCAAGATGATGAGGCCAGTGATGAGAAGCACTACCGCGAAATGATTGTCATTGACAGGAGGATTACGGAGGTTGAAAGACATACGTTTCAGAATGGAGAACATGAATTCGCTTTCCCCATACCAGCGAACACCAATGAAATTCATGGCGATGATCGCAGCGACCAAAACGGCGGTGTATACATACTGGTGGCTGATCTGTGCGTGGCATGAGCGGATCTGTTACGGAGCGTTCACGATTCGCACGTACTGAATCATCCCAAAACGTGAGCAGAATCGTGGCAGCGGAGATCTCAGCCGGTGTGGCGATAGCGTTCGACCAGTAGTAATTCCATCCAACCGTGAACCCTAAGGCAGGATCAACCCAACGTGCAGCATAGTGAGGGAATGTCCCAGAGACGGGTGCGTGCGACGTCATCTCCCCTAAGGAACACAGCGTTCTGCTCGTCTATCAGCGCACGAAACCATCACGATATTAGATATACTCACGAATACGCAGTTGTTCCAACGAGAGCGTACGCCAGTAGTGCTCCCAAAGGACCCGCACCAGCCAAAGCATGGCCAGAGCCTGACTTCGGCGATGAATCACTCTCCACACAATGATTGCTCTGAGATTTCGCTCACCCAAGAACAGGCCAGTACCTGCGTAACACAACCAGCAACCACGTTAAGAGTTTGCTGCGGTTTAGGAGCCGGCGAACGCACCGATAGTGCCGGCTATAGCAATCCTGAAGGCACATCAGCGTAATCGGGCCGGCCACAAGTAGTAAGATGCGCACATTTGTATGTGTCGCTGGCTGAGCCTTCGCTGCACGCGATCGAGGTCCGCGGCGTCGAATGCATAACGGTCTGACTTCTCTGAGGAGGTGTCGACCGGGCCCTTCTCCAAGCTCGAGGCGTCCACTACTTTGTCGTCAGCTACGGTGCTCGCCATGGTGCTCGTGCAGGAGAGCGGAGGTGGAGGGCCGCAACCTTCAGGCCTCGTAATGCGCCCGAGGGCACCACCGGGGGTCTTTTAGAGGCGTAGGTTCCAGAGAGCCGTGCCTTCGTCCAGACAGGGTTCTATTGCCACGATGATAAGGACGAACAGGGCTATCGGCGGTCCTTGGAAGTCGGGATGTATCGCAACAGGTTCTGTGATCATATGTATTCGCGCGAACGGATCAAGGAGGGGATGGCGAGTCGCCAGGGGTGTATTGCGGCATATTGTTGGGTCTTCGCTCTGCAAAAAACACACACCCGTTGTCCTATGTTTGGAAGCGATGGAGTGGAGCTTCGCGCGCACGCGTACAGGTTCGATTGATGGGGCGTGCATGGACGTGAGAGCTGAGGTCATTCGCCAATAATATCTTTACCTGCCAATGTACGGAGCTCGTTGCCCTCGCTTGCTTTCTCTGCGGGGGTAGTATCACACCGCCCAAGAAAACAGCGAACATCGTGGATTAGCGACGACTCCGCCATAACAGGCGCCCTAAGAATTATCAAGTAGTTCACGTTTGAAGCGGTCGAGACCGTCACTTATGGGCCGGAGCGGAATCCGGGTATCGATAGGCAGGAATGAAGCTGGTTGAAGTCAAGGACTATCGCCAACGTGGAGTCGCCAGTCAACGGGCAGCTCGCGGTTGTTTCCCGCGCTCGAGGCGTGGTCACCGCGTAGCTTCCTGCCGAACAATCCACTCGCAAACGACTCGCGCCTACGTATCTTGCTCGACGTCAGAAACTGGTTTCGTGCGGAACACAATTATGTAAGGTTATTGTCAGGCGTCGGGGATCGGTATACTCGGCCCACCGACATTAGACAGCTTTCAAAATCGATATATATCGAGCTTTCGTATTAGAGAGCTTTCAATTTCGATATATATCGAGACTTTAATATCCCGCGGCCAAAACGCGCGCCAAATCGAGGGATTTGAATAGACAGCTTTCAAAGTCGATATATATCGAGCTTTCGTATTCAAATCCCTCGATTTGGCGCGCGTTTTGGCCGCGGGATATCAAAGTTTCGATATATATCGAAATTGAAAGCTCTCTATTACGTTATATACGTACTTGCGACTCAAGCACGGAAGTTGCTGAAGCTGCTACAAGGCGGCTTGTCCATATCTCATAGAGTACTTTGACAGCTTCGACACACTCTTCGCTAGTGCTTATCATTTGCAATGCTGAACGTAGCTGGTATCACATCGCTGTCCGATAGGACTGTGAGCTCAGGTAGCTGTCATGCAAATCTTGACCGATGTCACATGATATGATTGACTGCTTCTCCTCCTGCAGATTAAGCACGATCACCAATGCGCGACCTTTATTGTCTAGATACAGTTCATTACTAGGGATCATAGGTTACGACTCCGGAGAAAGAGTAAAACTGCAAGAGCAGATGAAATTTGAAGCCATTTTTGGCAGCCACGTGATATCAATCAGGATTTGCATGGCAGCTAAGTAAGGTAGGGCTCATGCAAACTGTAGGAGATCACGTGGCCACTTTTGCGGGTATACGGCCGTCTCAGTCTCATTCCGGCTGCAATACACATTTTTGCAGGAATCCAAAAGCATGGGAAGCTTGCCCGGCTGTTTTCCTAGAACTCTATGCTGACCGAATCATGGCCAAGGTGCTAAGAAATGTGTAATGAAGTGTGTAGTCTCCCCTTATCGTGGGAACTCAAAGAAATCCAGCGCTGTGATTGGTCGCGTTGCTGTCTGGGATGCGCCAACCCCCCTCGGGACGCCACAGATTTGAGCATGTGATCTCCTACAGTTTGCATGAGCCCTACCTTACCTTAGTACGATCGGGGTGCAGAACGGAGTATAGATCTGCCGTATACCCTACCGCAATGGATTCGTTACAGTCACAGTACGCCGTAGGTAAGGAGGAGAGGCATGAAGCAAAACTTACTGCCCCAGTGAGGCTCGAACTCACGACCTTCCGATGCCGTTACGAATAACAGTCGGACGCTGTAACCAACTCAGCCATGGGGCACATGTAAGAGAGACTAATTCGCATTTATATAAATTGTTCTGCGCTACATTCGGCTTTCTTCGGCCTTGACGTCGACCATGTATGGACTCATGAGTCCATACATGGTCGATCAACAACCTGCGCTTACTATGCCACGATCAGTGCATGATATCTCTGTGGTGTCCTCTGCGTGAAAATCGAACAAGCCAAGGACCGACTTCGCGAGGCACGGCGACGGACTGGGACCAATATCAATCACAATAGACCAATGAACGGCGCCACCTCTCATTCTCTCTGATCAGGCTAGAGCATACTTGTGGGGGGGAGGGGGGAGAAGGGGGGCAGTACTTGTGTCTCCCGTGGTTCTCTGCCATGTGAACTGCGATAAATTGACAAGCCCCCCTGGAATGAAGGTGGCTGCGCGCGACCCGACGACGGGCGCCATGTTCATGGGTGCAACAGTCAGAAGAAGTACGTACTACGGGCACCAAGGTATGTGTTACTATCACATTCCAACCATCATCTACCTCACCTTCTGCTCAGGACACAGGGCCGTGGCATGCTTGACGCAGTAGGCCATGTTTGATGACATCGAACGCTAGGCAGCGTAGCCTTGAAGAGATTGCCGGATGTACTCTTGTTCAGACATCCGATACATGACACCCCGCTGCAGTGCACTATTAGCACTGTGGTGCCCTCGCGGATCCGATCGCGGGAGGACCACTGTGGAACGACCCATACGCAGGGCATCTGGTTGACACTTCTTCGATCATCAATGTCGTTCTGCTCGCTACACACCGTGCCGCGTTATTGAAACTCGTTATGGCGACTCAACAATACGGACGAATCCTCTTAATGGCTAGCATCCGGTGAGGCTGCCTGGACGGAACTTCTTTCGGGGTCCGATCATTTCGCTGTGTTTCTCCACCACCTCTTCGTGCCGCGCATGTGCCGTTGCCGTGCCCTGAATTTACTCGAACCAGGTTCATTCAACGCGGTTTGAAATGCTGTTGCATGAGCATGGATCTTGTGAGGAGTAGAGTTACGCCATGAGTCCGACAGGTGGCGATACAGTTGAACGAAATAAAACCAAGCGGCGGGACGTCGCGTTTCCTCGTTTTGCACATCCATAGCAGTCGGTCGGAGGTACGCACGCCCGCCGTCGTATCGTACTATTCCACATACTCACGAACATCCTGTAGACTTAACGTGGTCCAGGTGAATAACACCTTCTGCACATCCATAGCATTCGGAGAGTTGACGTAGTCCAGATCTTAACAGATCTCTATATAAGCAAAGACCGGGAGGACCGAGATCGTCGTGCATGAACCACCTCGCTCTGTCTGCGGAACTTGTCGACTTCAGCGCGCGCAACAGCATGCTACTTTGCTTCTTTTTGCTGCTTAGTGTCTTGAGTGTCGAGGCCACCAGCAATGCGAGACCATTGACACGATCACTTCCACTCTCATCCGGAACTTGTGTCGACATCGCAAGGGCCATTTCGTCTGCTTCTGCGGTCTTCTATCCAGGTGAGTGATGCATTCACGAAGCTTTCATCAACTAAGCTCACTACTGGTGCAATGTGCAGGATCGCTCAAATATGCAAGCGACATATCACACTCGATCGGGTCCAGCTCCCAAAACTCCGCATGCTCTGTTGAGCCTGGGACGGCCGAAGATGTCGGAGTGATCGTAAGGTTATCTACAAATTTCCGTTGAGTAGATCTCACTCGTTTGTGATAGCTCCGTCTGCTGGGTAACAGCAGGACGCCGTTCGCCGTGGGTTGTAATCCCGATGTATCCATGATCATGGGCACTGATGTGTGGCGACAGGTGAAAGGAGGAGGTCATGCTTACAATGTGAACTTCTCTTCGACCACCGGCATCCAAATCTCGATGACCCGGTTCAACCAAGTTGTGTACGATGCTTCCACGTCGTCGGCCTCTGTTGGGAGTGGTATGGTCTGGGACGATGTATATTCCGCGCTCGTTCCTCTGGGTGTCAACGTTGTGGGAGGAAGGCTCTCAGGCGTGGGTGTTGCTGGACTGACTCTGGGAGGCGGTAAGCCCATCTCGCGTTCACAGCTTCTACCAAGCCGATGAACACCACGCTGTAGGGTACTCCTTCCTGTCAAACCAGCACGGTCTCGCTCTTGACAATGTCCTGGGATTTGAACTCGTGCTTCCATCGGGGACTGTCCTGAACGTCACTGAAAGCTCTCATCCAGACCTGTTCTTCGGACTCCGAGTAGGCAGTTGATCAATCTCGGCGACATGCACGCTGACATCGTCACTAGGGCGGCCACAACAACTTCGTTAGTCCATCGCATGACGTAGCGCATACGTGGTTACCGGTGTGCTCATTCGTACGCGTACACAGGGTATCGTCACCAGGTTCACACTTAAAACATATCCTCAAGGAATGGTGTGGGTAAGTGTGAAACCCTCGGACAGTCGACGTCTAAATTGACAGAAACAGGGGGGAGTAGCGGTATATGCCGCGACGTCCGTGAACCAGCTTATTGAAGCAGCCGCGAACTTCTCGTCCGTAACCGACCCCAAGGCAGAACTTCTGTTTTCGTTTTCGTGGGCCACCGGACTCGTGAGCGTGCTTGTTGCATGGCTCGACTTGATATTTACACGCCCTCTTAGCTCACCGTGGTAGTAGAGGCGTTCTATAACGCCCCGACCCCACCAGCTGGAATATTTGATCACTTTCTCGCCATCCCTGCGTTGATATCAGAGATCTCGACCAGGGACTACACGTCCATGGTCACGGTTATACCAAGCACACCGACAGCGAGGTGAGATCCCATCCCATCCTGTCTTTCGAACTGCGCGTGCTCACAACCCTGACAGAGGTGGAGGTGGGACGCTTCCCAACACGAAATACTCAAAGGAATTCCTCCAGGCTATGCTCAACGAAACGACCGTGAGCAAGCAAAATATGTTGTTCTATAACACTCTGACTCATCACCATTGCAACAGTTCTGGGGTCCACAGGTGACTCTGGCAGATCCCACCGCGCAGCTGACTTGGGCTATCGAGCCCTTTCATCCCTCCGTTCTTTCTCATGGGTCGGCGTCGGCGTACCCCGCCACGCGGAAGTTCCCCCTCTTCCCAACGGCGTTAACTTTCTCCTACGTAAATCCTCTCGCGAACGGGATTTTCCAGACCGTCACGCAAGTGTCGCCCGCGTACCTGCATGAAGTGGCCATTCGCCTTGGCGACGCTTTGCCGTTCGATGGGGAAGACATCGTCGTCTACGGCAATTATGCATATGCGGACACTCCCATCGACGAGATCTATGGAGGAAACCTGGCCAGGCTTAGGACGATCAAGCGGCAGTGGGACCCGCAGAATGTGATGGGCTTGACTGGCGGTTGGAAGATACCGCTCTGATATTCGAATGATAGTACCATGTGTTGTATTCCCCGTTGGCAAAGAAACAGAAATTCTTCGCGCTCACGAATTCACGGCGGTCAGCCATGTTCAGGTCTCCGGCGGATCTGATGACCAAGGCGCATGTACCGATATCCTAGTCTCGAATGCGTCATGTCGACCGACGGCAACGTTCCTTCGGATGAACACGGGAAGTGCGCGTAGGCCCTTGCCAACAAAGCTGCTGGCCATCGCTAGTCTCACTGTGATTGCGATCATAACGGCGTTGGCGGTGTCCACTCACTCATCCTAGATCCGAAAATTCTAAGCTCGATACTCATGCCGCTTGGGCCATCATCGTTATATTCAATGCTACGTGAACCGCACCATGTCCGGATATTCATGGACCATACATGGATCCCTTCGCGAACGGGGCTCTCCAAACCACCCACAGGAATCGCCGGCGTAATTGCATAGCAGCCCTCCGCCTCTTGAAAGTTGGTAGAGGAGAAAGATAATCAACAAGCGCCAGGTATAGACCACCGAGTGTCTAGAGGAGTTCCACGACGAGATGACCTTGCAGCATTCTAGCTTGTATTTCATCCAAAGTACCTGTCAAGGTGTGAGCCAAGACCTGTGCCGTGGAAGCAGGGATAGAAGCACACCTCGTGTCTCGTCGGTTTGAAGCGCACAGGTGAAATGTACATATGTTCTCCGGAATCTGCCGGTCTGGGTCAACGCGAGAAAGCGATGGCGGAAACATTCGCAAGCCGCTTTATCGTCGCCAGCGGCGCCGGCCTAAACATTCGCAAGCCGCTTTATCGTCGCCAGCGGCGCCGGCGTAATCGGGAAACGCATTGCTGAACGGCGTATGCAACATCTTCTCCTGCATGACACCAATCTTGTTGAGGCAGATTGTCTACACCCTCGTCAGTTGTCCTGAACGTGTCATAGCCTAGCACTAGACTTGCTATGGATAGCCTGTTGAGAAACGGGGAGTTGAGATGCTCGTAGAAGGCCGTGAATGCAACTTGAAGTCTGCTCTGAGAAGGATTTAATCTTTATTTCAAGGGTCTCGTTTGGGAGGCAGGGCGCGCGCATACATTGGTGGAATCCTCGGGCGTACAGCTGACATCGTAGTCGGCGACGGAGCAAACGAACAGGAGCGCATCCACGAGATCAAATCGGAAGCCGGTCTGGACGCGAGCAGGTGTTCAGTATTGACGACACCATGCACCTCAACAACATCTGCACTCACCTCCACGAAGAGGCCCTAAACCGCCCAAGCGATCCCGTTCGACGGGGCATCCAACACGCAGACGGAATCGAACCCGTGGAGACTCCCCAAAACTTTGGCGATGCGACGGCCCCTGCACCTCCATACCGTTCGTATGCAACATGTAGACTTTGTCTCCACATCTTCTCGTGCGAACGCGTGCACGTCCCTGAAGCCTGCGTAGACGCAGCGGATGAAGTTGGGCACAGCGCCCACAGGATACGCCATGAGTCTGCGTCGAGGAAGGCGTCACTATCAGCTGATCGCTGAGAGGCGGAGGCAACGAGGACTGGACTCGGCGCGAAAGGTAGGTGCGTCTAGCCTTCACGCCGGTGATCTACATGCAAAGGGGTGGTAAACATCTAACACCATCGAACATGTGTGACTCGCCTTCACGTCGACGTCCTACAGAGTCGGCCAGCTTTCGTCACTAGCGCTTCCATCTCCACCCAGCACGCGAACGCGATCGTGCTTGGAATCTCTCCTTCCCTCGACCTCGAGATGCCATTCGTAACTTGACGCTACACCGTACCAGTCACTTCTCCCATGCGATCTGATGCGTACATCGAAACGTTCGCGAGGAGATGACGGGCCAGTGGGCGTGCACTTGGTCGACGCAGGAGCGAGGCGGAGAGTACGATCAATTCCGTAAAAGAGATGTAGACCAATTTACTCCCAAGCGTCGCTGATAGCCCTGCGGCTCGAGAAGGCTTTCCTTCCACAGCCTGCGAGTCCATTCTTCTTGTACGCGTGAGAACCCCACAACCATGACCATCGAGAGAACATTGCGTCGCAGGGATATGAGCGCTTGAGTGACGGAAAGGGAACAACCCCCATGGCGATGAGAGGATGCCAGAGCACGTCCGCGAGCTTCGGAGGTTGGACGGGTCCGGACTGGGTTCGTTACATACTACATGGACACTGCTTGCTGACGATGACTGCGTGTTATACTCAACCTTTACGACACTTGGGATGGATCCTGCAAATGCTCCGCCGAGCGAAACGAGAACGCACAATATGCCAGTGCACCCTGAATCTTGTGTCCCGACCAAGCGCCGGCATGCTGTTCATGTGTACTGCATTCTTGGGGACAATCAACGCACTGCTCCCATCACTCTGCTAGATTCTGTATAAGAACCCTTGCCACTCATGGCCTCTCGCATCGCCTCGTACCAGAATCACTGCCACTCTGTCGAGAATATATGCGTGAGGGTCGTGAGTTCCGAGACCCCCACCTTCGCTCTTGCCATGGCTTCCCCTCCCCAGCCCGCGGTCAATGCTTCCGAGGAGCCCAAAGTCGAAGATGTCCAGAAGAAGTTGGATCGCGCCCTAGCAAATGGGGAGACGCTGTTATCCATCGTAGAGGCGCTCACGGAGGGTGTCGTCGTTTGCGACCCTGTGAAAGGATCTGTAAAGGTTGCAAGGGAGATACTCAAGATGGTACAGGTAAGTCGTCCAGTCTTCCTTCAGCCGTTCGATTTCGACGTGCTGTGTGATAGAAAGTCCGCAAGAATCGAGAGGATTGCGAAGAGTTGGCCAGCCGTGTCTTCAAGCTCACCGGCACTATGCTTAGGATCCTCGACGGGAAGCGGAGCGAGGACGTGCCTCCGGAGCTGAAGAGGTGTCTAGACTCCGTTCACAAGTATGTTCCGCGGCTGTGTAACAAAATGTTGTATCATGCTGACTTCACACCCCTAGTACATTGGAGAAGATCAAGAATGGCCTAGAACCGCTCAAACTGTCGAGAAAATTCTCGTTCAGGGCATGGTTTCGGTCTCTACGCAGGAGGGAGTATATAGCGGACAAGATTTCGGGCTATAACACCGAGATTGATCGACGCCTCCAAGAATTTACGGTGAGATGCAATGATCATATACCATTCACGAGTTCTTATACCGTCCATTCCTTCACATCACATAGACTGTCGTCGTCAGCCATATCAATTTGACGTTGCACTCCGCTTTCGGAGACGTGAACTCCCGATTGGACCATTTTTACTCGAAGGCGACGGAAACCAGCTCAGGCGTGAACAATATCCAGGCCAACCTGACCGAGGTGTACTCGGTGGTGATTGGAATCCACTCTCTGATACGAGCACGGCTCCCTGATACAACGGAGGGTCCGCGGGGAGCGCAGGCCAACGCACCTGAGGCCGCAAGGTTTGTCGACCTCATCAGTATACTGTCATAAGATGCGCTAAAGGCAAGGAAACTCGTCAGCCTTCAATACGTCCCTGCCCCTCCTCGCCTGTACGGACGAGATATCGTCGTGAGGGCTGCAGCCGGCGAAATATGTGACGCTCAACAACGGCACATAGCCCTCTTGGGTACCGGAGGGATCGGCAAGACATCGGTCGCGCTTGGCGTCGTCGATGATTTAGGTGTCAAAGGCCAGAATGACTGCTACTTCGTCCGCTGCGACACGGTGATATCTGACCTAACCCTGGTCGCAAGTATCCTCCAGGCCATGGGAAAGAGCTCGTCGGATAACGGTGATCCCATGAAAAATCTTAAGACGTGTCTGGAGGCGGCGAGCCGTCCCATTGTACTCGTGCTGGATAACTTCGAGAGTCCCTGGTCACTGGATACACCCAATATCCAGCCGAGACTCACGGAAGTCCTCCGAACATTGGCTGCCATCCCTAAACTTCAATTGATCGTGACCATGCGAGGCAATGCCCCACCTGCTGACGGAGACGTCCCGTGGTCAGTCATGCACCTCGACCCTTTGGGGCATATTCCAGCGCGCGAGCTCTTCCTGTCCATAAAACCCGATACATCGCCGTCCGAGTTCAAGGATCTCGACCTGCTGCTCCAGAAATGCGACGGTCTACCCCTCGCCATCAAACTGCTGGCTCTACTCAAATCATCCTCGACCTGCGGCCGCCTGCTGAAGCACTGGGAAAAACAAAAGACCTCGCTATTGAAGACGAATCACCCCTCTGAATCCCGCGAAACCAGCATGCGTGTCTCTATATCAATGTCGCTGCAGTCCGCACCAATGCGCCGCCATCCGGATGCGATCCCGTTGCTTGCCGTCATCTGTCGCTTACCCGACGGTATCCTTGGGGGGGTCGAGCAGCTTGAGGAGATGGATCTGGGTTTCGACGATGTTGACGAAGCTTTGGCCACCGTCCTTGGATCTGGTCTCGCCTTCAGGGCTGAAAACGAGAGCATTAAGGTGCTTGCACCGATCCGCGAGCATGTTAATAACCACCATATTACTACTTCACGGAAACCTGTTTTTCCTCTTCTTCCTCTGCGCCAACGCGAAGCAGTCCTGCGATATTATGTCGATCGGATCGACAGGCACGCCAACAATAAACCCGGAGACGACAGGTTCCCGTCAGCGTACGAAAACTTGCTCCCGGAAACGGGCAATATCATCTCCCTGTTCATGTGGGAGCTCGCCCATAAACAAGGCGCAGCGCCGGATGTTGCGCGGGCAGCATTCTTGTTCAGCCATTTCCAGCAATTCATGCGGCCCTCCACCGAACTCATTGACCAATTGATTGCCGCTTGGGATCATTATGCAATAGGTGTAGCTCGCGCTGAAGGTCTGACCGCAAGGGGTGAACTCATGTACAGATCAAACAACTACCGATCAGCAAGGGAGGACTTCGAGAAGGCTTGTGAGCAATACGATGGCTCCGGCAACAGGCAACAACTGGCAAATGTTTTGCGACGACTGGGCGATATCCATCGCATGCAGAGCGAGTACCCGCAGGCGATAGATAAGCTCACCCAGGCCCATGACGTGTCCTCCGAGATCAGAGACCTACAGGGCGTGGCGAATTGCCTGTGGAGCTTGGGCAATATTTATCACATGCAGGACGAATATCCACAGGCGATAGAGAAGCTCACCCGGGCTCACGACGTGTCTTCCGAGATCGGAGACCGCCACGGAGTGGCGGATTGCCTGTGGAGCTTGGGCAACGTCTATCGCATGCAGAACGAGTACCCCCAGGCAATAGAGAAGCTCACCCGGGCCCACGACGTGTCCTCCGAGATCGGAGACCGACACGGCGTAGCGTATTGCCTGTGGAGCTTGGGCGACATCCATCGCATGCAGGACGAGTACCCGCAGGCGATAGAGAAGCTTACCCGGGCCCACGACATGTACACCGAAACTGAATCCCGACAGGGCGTGGCGGATTGCCTGTGGAGCTTGGGCAACGTCTATCGCATGCAGCACGAGTACTCCCAGGCAATAGAGAAGCTCTCCCGGGCCCACGACGTGTCCTCCGAGATTGGAGACCGACTGGGCGTGGCTTATTGCCTGTCTAGCTTGGGCAATGTTCATTACATGCAAAATGAGTACCCCCAGGCAATAGAGAAGCTCACCCGGGCCCACGACGTGTACTCTGAGATCGGAGACCGGAATGGTGCCACAGATGCTCTGCAGAGATTAGGCGAGATTGATCGTGTCCAGGAGCAATATGATCAAGCGGCGGAGAAGCAAAGACATGCTCTTAACCTTGCTTCCAGCATTGGGAATCGCTATCAGATCGCTTGGTGTCATATATACATGGGGAAACTCGACCGCGACCGGCGTCGTTACGCTGATGCCGTTGAGCATATCACGACTTCCCGGTCATTGCTCACGGAGATCGGACTAGACGGCAATGCAAAATACTGCTCAGATTTCCTTCGTGAAATTCACGAGCTCATGGTAAGGCTGCCGTCACTCGCGACATGCATTCGCCGCTGACCCGCGTCGTGCAGGCTGAAGAAGGTAGCAAAAGTCCTGCGACAGCCTCAGAGTCGAGCAACGACGACCTCAGAGGTGCATGAGATGCCATATGCGAGTATATTCCAATCTGCTGTAATCAACATGTTGGGGTGCTCTTACAGGGTCGATTTTCTCCGCTACTCTGCGGCTGCTTATCGAGATTGCACTACCTGTTTTGAGCGCCGTGCAGACATCCCGCGTGATTCTTACGAAGTTCTGTCCGTTCACGTAAATAGAGCTCTTTGACTTGTACGATCCGGGTAGATATCGCGTACCACATCACTAGATGCCTTCGTATCATCGTTCTTGATTGTGTTTATCCGCCGTAGTATACTCATCTGTGCATGTAGAGCTTGCAACGATCCCATCCACGACGTAGTAGAGCTTTCGAAAGTAGGAGCTCCGGGCTGGCTAGGGATTCTGCGGCGCTCCCGCAATCCATCGGAATGGAACCGCAGATGTCGAGGCGGTGGCGGCGGAGGCGGAGACGGCGCAGAGATGGTGCGAATTCGTATGTTGACGTTCTCGGTGTTGTATGTTAAGTACTGACGATTCGACGGGGTTGACGAAGTGAAGGTATCATATAGTAGCTATCTCGCTATGTGAGAAACATCATCTATTCTCGCCGGAACTTGAATCCTGTACTCAAGCTGAGCCACCCGCCTTGCCTACCCCCTTCGTTCGACATGAAGGAAACAGGCTCAACGCGCGCCGCGTGCTACGGGAACGGGCCGCAGGACAGGTCATGAAGCTCTCCTCGGTGTCGACTTCCAGCGTGAGTTGGGGTTACTCAGCTTTTCGAGCGATATGAGCGCATCTGCTTTGTAGCACAAAGGTCATAACAGCGTCGACAGCATTCGGCGTTAATTGACTTGCTGTTATAGCCAATGAGCCATCCGGGGAGCACAGTCAACATCGCTCACGCTACTCGAGTTTCATCCTCATTATGCTCGTGACAAGGTGAACAAACCCATGCCCTGGTGAAGCACATGCCTGATACCAGCACCTGTTTACGGGCTTACCTGTGTATCTCCATTGCACGCCTTGCTTTGTGAGTGATCTCAGTCATGTTTACTGCTCCGCAGTCGCTCGACACAAGCCTCCTTGCGGGGCATCGCACATCCCATTACACGCTTTGGGCCGTTGTGTATGATAACCCGGCAATGTCAATCCTATCCAACTCCTTCTGGGCATGATGGGCGCGGCCTTGACAACTGGGCCTAGGATCTCCTCACACGTAAACGGACCATGCAAAACGAGCTCCCGAACGCAGGGATAGTTGGAGAGCATATCATGTCCGAAATTTGGCTGCTAGAAGCCCTGCAGTCCATCGATAACAAGCGTTGTAGGGCTCAGTGCTGCCAGCCGAGGAGCCAGCTTGCGGCATATGGAAAAGCAACAGTCACCGCCACCTTCCATGATGGGCTCCACAGTGATGAGGAGGGGGGTGAACAAGAAATCGGAAGGCAGAAGTTCAACTCTTGCAGGATCGCGGCCATCACCTCTCGAATCCGTATCAGCTCGCGTTGCAGCGTGATGATCCTCTGCAAAGAGACGGCCGGCAATGTCGAGGGGGATATGAAATGTATTGCCTTCAGTAAAGAGTAAAGGGAAGACCTGCGCAGCGCAGCATACGGACGAGCAGTTCTGATAGAAAACCTGCGATGTGGCGCAGCGTTTGCCATTGATTGAAAGAGCACGTTCGTGATTATAAGTTTCAGCATAGCTCATTCTGGGTGTCCCGTATAGCGCACAAGTACAATGCAGCCGCTCTTGTGGAAGTAGCGGAGACGTGGTTGTAGTCGCACGCGTCTGGGTCATGTTAGAGCCACGCGTGCGACGTACGAGGCAAATATTGATTCGGCACTGTGGTTTGACGTCCAACTGAGCAGATGCTAGAGAGCTTTCAATTTCGATATATATTGAGATTTTGATATCCTGTGGCCAAAACGCGCGCCAAATCGAGCGATTTGGATACGAAACCTCGATATATATCGGTTTTGAAAGCTGTCTACTGTAGGCGAGCGAAACGTCTCGCGCCGGCCACCCAAAGGCGCTCACAAGCGGGCGCCCAGCTACCTTAATCGATGCCATAGTAACTGGTACACTGTATTTCAGGCAGGCAATAAACCCTCAATCGAGCTACACGAGCAACAAGTATTGATGAACGCGCGCGCAGTCGAGACGCCGTACGCTTGATTCAGATTCGCATAAAAGGTATAAATAAAAAAAGAAAAGGCGCGATGGAATACGGAAGCAGAAAGCGTTAGGGGGGGTATAGACGAGAGGAGGCTCGTTGCCCGGACAAATCGTCCATTCTGGCTGGACGGGGGCGCGTGGAGAAATTTATTTTTTGGAGAAGGCACTAGCACGCCATAGCAGGCATGAACGTCGAGGAAACGTGAGGGAGATTTGCGTGGATGCCCATGGAAGGTGAGAGAGAGAGAGTAACGTGGTGGGAAGGTCCGCCGACCCGAAGCCTGTTCCATCCGCGGCCGAGAGGGGAGGGTGAAGGTGATGGAAACGAATAACCGAGACCGAGACCGCGCTGCGGGCGAGGAAACAACAGACGGATACTAGTAATGGCACGGGGAGTACAAGGGCCGGTCCCTCCTTATGTACAGGGGGATGAGGGAGGCGGCGGCCCGACGATACAAGCTTAGATGCCGCCGTAGGCGTCTTCGGGGTCATATACCGTCTCGGGGCGGACATTCGTCTTCGGCGCAGCCGGCTCCGTCTTCGCCAACGGACTCGAGTGGCTGACGAACGCGGGCGCGTTGGGCGAGGGAGCGGTTCCTGCCTCGCCTACGCCGAACTGCTGGGCGAACGGGCTAGGGCCGGCGGAGACAGGCATCGGGAAGTCGTACGAGCTCGGGCTGAGGATGGGGCTCATCGCGCGCTCCTGGATCGCGATCTCGGGCAGCATCGGCGGCGTCGACGCAACGCGGGACTTGGAGGAGAAGCTGGGCGACGGCAGCTCGAGCTCCTGTCCGTCTTCTTCCTCTTCCTCTTCGTCGTCGTCCTCGAAGGACGAGACGGTCGCAGCAGAGGTGTTGTTGGCCATGACGGGGTCAGCGTGCTTGAGGTTCGGGTCCGCGAACGGCGACTCGGGGTTCGCCTGCTCCTTCAACTCGTTGACCGACAAGTGCTGCTGCTTCATGCCCGCGATATATGTCTCGGCGGACGCGGACGTCGTTGGCACATGTTCCTCCTCCTCCGCTGGCATCGGGGGCAGGTCCTTATCCTGCACTTCGCTAACGGCGGGGAGCGGCGCGCCGAGTTTGGCCGAGATCTCAGCGTACTGAGCCGCCTGGAACGGACTCACGCTCGATCTGTTCAAGTCGACGTAGTGCGGGTCGCCGGGCATGGGCGTCGTCGGGATGTTGACGGAGCCGTTGCGGGTGAGCGTGCTGGTCGGCTGCGCGTTCAACGAGGCGGACGGCTGGCGGACGAGCTGCCCGCGGGCGTCGTAGGCCGAGCCGTACGGCGCAGGCGTCGTGGGCGAGCCGAGCGGTGTCTGGCCGTGCGGCGCGAAGAACGGCTGCGCCGAGCCGGGGAGCGCGGTCGGCGGCGGCGAGGACACGGGCGTCGGCACGATCTGACCGGGGGCGAACGAGGGCTGTACGTAGGGACCGTTGTTGTTGTAGCCTCCGTAAGGGTCGAAGGGCGCGCCGGCCTGGGGTCCAAAGGCCGGGTACGGGCCCTGCTGCCCCATCTGCTGGTTGTAGGCGTACGGCGCGGGCGGGGGAGAGGCCATGTTGGCGAGGTGGCGCTCGATCATCGTCGGCGGGCGAGGGCCGCGTCCATTGTCACTCGGTGCGCGTAAGAACGAGGGCGGCTTCTCGTTGAGCGAGCCGTCGTCGTTAATGTACTGCGACTGCCGGCGGAAGGCCTCGGCGTTGAAGTCGGTGTCGTCGTGCTTGTCGCGGCGGCATCGGCGCTAAAAATAAGAACAAACAAGGGCGGGGATCAGCGATGTGATCAGCGGGACGATCAGCGGTGCCATGGCGTTTATGAAGGAATATATCATCACGGGAATGGGAGGAGGCAGAAATGGGGTTGCGTGACAGATCGTGGGAAAGTTGAGAGGCACATGCGGGTGAGGTGGAAGAGGGCTTACGATGAGGTAGAAGAGCCCGGCAGCGACGCCGAGGACGGCGATGACGGCTGCTGAGACGCCGCCTGCGATGACACCCTTGCTAATGTTCGACTGCGGCGTGGCGGTGGTGGAAGGCGTTGAGGACGCAGCCGCGGCGAGCGAGCCGGAGACGGACGCGGTGAAAATGGTGGTGTCGGTCGAGACAACCAGGCTGGTCCCAGCATGACGGGTCGTTGTGGGAACTTTGGATATAACGGTAGGGGTGGTGGAGGTGGTGGTGAGGATGGTGCTACTTGACGTGCTGGTGGTCCTCGGAATGCTGGTGGAAGTCGAGCTGGTGGTCGATATCAACGCAGTGGTGGATGACGCCGTAGATACCGCAACGACAGACGTCCTAGTCGTGAGCGGGATCGTCGGATGCACTACTACAGGGGTCGTCGGATGCACTACTACGACAGACGTGCTCGTCGCTGGGCCAAGATCAGCCAGAGTTCGCGACGGCGCAAGCGAGAGGACTGACTGGGCTGCTGGACATGCGAGAAGGTCGGTATCGGGTCCACAAAGACGCTCGTCGTACCAGGCAGAACAATCGTAAAGGTGTCCGTCGGGAAGATGGCGGTCGGGCTGAACCTGGGCTGGATGCCGCGATGGAGCGCGCGCCTTTCCAGACGGCTCGACATGGCGGGCGTGCAAATGAGGGTGGGGGAGAAAACGAATGTGAGGAATCCGCGCGGAGGCGAAAGGATAACGATCTGGCAGCCAAGGACGGCGCCGCAGATGGGGAGGGGGACGGGACGAAGAGGAGGAGGAGGAGATGATGGAACGCGTGACGGACCCGGTGACAATAATTTGGTTTCCACGTTGCTCAGGTTGGCGACCGACCGCGATTGCCTTTTTGAGGTGCGGCGTGGCGCTTTCTCTCCGCGACGCGAGCTTCGAGCAGGCACGAAGCAATTTTTCCTCTGGTCTGGACCTGCAATGAATGGGATGACGCTCCGCGCGCTGGTCCGATGCTGTCGGTTCATGAAAGAATGTCGGCGCTCTGGGCCAGATGATCAAGCAACCGGGTTCGTGGTGCAAACTTGGAGGGGGTTCATCAGGTTCCTGGCGCTCGATACATACTTACAACGAATTGGATGGTCGCTATCGGGGAGTCGCTACAGCTTTAAGCCCGGTCATACAGGGACTGCAACACAACCAGAGACAAAGGATGAGCGGACTCGGCGGTTCGGAAACGCCGACAGCGCACAAGAGCTCCCTATGTATCCCTGAACCCGCACAGATCGTCAAAATTACCTTGCTACAGACCTGGATACACTGCACACATTCAAGCATTATGCTTCTCCTCTTCTCTTGTCAGTTCGCCCATCACCAATGTGACGGCGGTCGGTATCCACCAGAGCGAACGTTCCATCTCGTCGTTTAACCAGTCTTCCGGGACATCAGGGCATGCGTCTGGTCTGTCTATGGACGGTTCCCGGACGTAGGGACATTGCACGAGGAACGAGTACCACGACAAACCCGAAGGGATACCGGCGATGTATAAGGACACGGGCCTTAACGCTTCAATGACCTGTACTCTTCCCGAGGCCGAAAGTCAGTTCATCGAGGACCGCAGGACTTTCGTGCATCATCGCCGATAGGAGACGCAAGGAGGCAAGGTGATAGACAAGCAACTGCAAGCTGAGCACACGGAACGCCGGTGAAGGCAAGAGTTGCTGATATTGATGGTCGGCCCCGAGCAGTCCGGGAAGGCATGTTCCGACTCGGTCGACGACCCGCTTAGCCCCTGACTTCATTCTACGTTCGTCAAGCAATCACTTGCAGCTCGCGATGAGGACATCACTGCACTGCAAACGAGAAGCAAGGGTATAGGAAGATTATAATTATAATATCGAACGTACTCCTTTGTATGTGGTCAAGACCGAGTAGTCTGGTGCTTGCGAGTCGCGCTGGCCAGTTCTCAAACGCCAACGTTGATGGGTCTGAGATAATATGCATGAGTTCTTGAGTACCTCAGGATACGTATCTGCGATTGCCTGTTTAAGTGCAGAATCACACGAGTACGGGCCTATCGCGTGTTCTCATTCGGATCGACATGGCAATGGTCCAGGACCCGCAAGTACATGTTACTATACCTTTGACTGTACCTCTCCGACGATATTTCGGGCTCTAGTGATTTTCGTGATTAGATGGTAAATATTCCACAGTTTGTTCCTGAAATGTGTCGAGTCAGTTCGATCTCGTTCATTAACCTAGCCACGCTGACGAACCTAGCTCTAGTAAACATCCGTCTCAATCTCGTCTTCGATCTCGACTCCCTTCCCCTTCCTCGTTTAGCAGTCTGCCCATTTCCACGTCCTCGCGCGGGAGGTTCACGCTCAATCCCTCCGCCATCTCCCTCTTCACGCACAGCTGCTCAGCAACAATCACCATAAGCGCCGCCCCCGCCGCCATAACGAGCCAAAAGAAGAGCGAGGTGGGTATAGCGGCGGCGTAGTAAGTCGTGAGGACGAGGTGGTTGAACACGAGCGTAAGCGAGAAGTCGAGGATCAGGCGCGGGCGGCGGATGAGCGTGTATAGGTAATATATGCTGCAGAAGCGGCGGTTTAGCTTGGAAAACAGGTGGAGAACGGGTAGCAACGCACTCTACGCCGCTGGCCACCATCCAGCAGAACGCGATCACCCATCCTCGCATGGGATCGACCCTCTTCATCCACCGCTCTTCCGTCCATTGCCCCGTGCCTATACGCTGTCCGCCGGACCAGACGCCTTTGAGCGACTCCCACCGCTCTTCGCCCTTGATACCCCGGAAGGATGTAGGCTGTCCGGCCATCTCGCGCCAGTCCATAATCATGCCTGGAACACAGCCATGTCAGCAACTGTCCACACAGCGGAAGCTCGGACGCACCGTAACTAACCTACGTTTGCCGCGCCTCCCTCGTACTCGAGCGCGTTCGGCTGAGCGAAGGCGGCGAGCAGCGGTGGTATGAGGATGCTCAGCGTGATGTAGTGCAGACTCTGCATGGTGATAATCTGTAACCCTAGTTCATTGCATCTCGTTATGGGCGAATTCTAGCAACATACATACCTGGGATATGAGCAGTACCGGGTCCCATGTGTTGGGTTTTGATGCTGGCGCCATGGCCAACGCGGTCAGCGACGGAAGCGAAAGTGTGCACAGCACAGCATCTCATACTTACACCCTCGCTCAGCAATCACCTCGGCCTCACCTCCCGCGCCCGCCTCACTTTCGTTTTTATCTGCAGGTAATACCCTAGGGCCGCTACAGGCTCTCAGGGTAAAGAATGGCGCCCTCATACCACCAGCTCGCCGAAGATGACGGTGACGACCTCATCGTCCACGGACCCGGTGCATCTACGGCCAACGGCGACGTGCCCGTGACTGCTACTCGCGCAACGTTCCAGCCGCAACCAGGGAGCAGTGGTCGGGATTACCGTCCAATGACCTACTACGGAGAGGGACCTTTCGATCCGCCCAGTTCAGACGAGGAAGACAACACGTTACTGGAGAAGGACTCGCAGAAGTTGCCTTCTAGTCCGCGGTTGGAGCGTGGTGATGGACTCGTGGTGGGATCTAGCAGGAAGGTATGTCACATATACGCCTTCCCGGGACACATGCACGGTAAACTGACATGCAGTTGTGATTAAGCGCAATGCTTCCCTCAAGTGTCTCATCGTATGCCTTGTCATTTTGGTATTCCTGGCGGCGGGTATCGGCGGGCTTGCAGCCATGTCTTACACCGGCACTGTATATCGCGTGCCAGGTACGCAACACATTACCATGGACCACATATTCAATGGGACGTTTGGTGTGGACAGACAGAGTCTACGCTGGGTTCCTGAAGGTACATAGGATCGTTCGACACCGGAGTGCGTGGAGCACTGACACGACCACTTTGTAGCTGGTGACGGCGTGTTTGCCATCTCGCAGAACAACTACATCCGCCTCGTCGACCTCAAGACCAACACGACCACGAATCTGGTCGCGATGCAGAACGTCCGAGACGTACGTACTCAAACCCTCCGCGTTAATCGCATTCGCCTACTCAGACGACATCCAGGCCAGGGGCAATCCCCTGCATTACTCTGAATGGAAGCTCTCTGCCGACATGAAATACCTCCTCGTCAAAGCCGATGCCCTCAAGCAATGGCGTCACTCCTCCTTCGGCAACTACTACGTGCACAACCTCGAGGACCACTCAACTTGGCCCCTCTTCCCTCCCTCGCACCCACCCACCACCGCCTACGCGACTTGGTCGCCCACTGGCGAATCCATCGCCTTCGTCACGGGCAACGACCTTTATGTCGTCACCTCACCCTCCAAGTTCGCCGAGCCGATTCGCGTCACGGGCACGGGCAACGCATCGCTATTCAACGGCGTGCCCGACTGGGTGTACGAGGAGGAGGTGCTCTCTGACGACTTCGCGCTCTGGTTCTCGCCCGACTCGTCGAAGGTCGCGTTCCTCACCTCGGACGAGACGTCCGTTCCCGAGTTCTCCTACACGGTCTTCAACCCGACGGAGAACAGCAATCAGGTAGTACCCTACACGAGCGAGATCGTGATGAAATACCCCAAGCCCGGGTACCCGAACCCGCTAGTCTCCGTCAACGTGTTCGACATCGCGGCGTTCGGTGAGAGCGGGAGCGCGCAGCAGGCGACGCTTGAGCTCGACTGGGACGGCCGCATCGAGGCCAACAACTCGATCATACAGGAGGTCGCGTGGGTTGCCGACTCCAGCCTGATCGTCAAGGAGGTGAACAGGGCCGCGACGAACGGTAGCGTGGTGTACTTCGATTTGGATGGGAACAACAGCTTGCGCAACAGGGGCGAGGTGGTGAGGAAGTTGGGCAAGGATGGCGAACAAGGGGACGAAGGCTGGATCGACGCCGACCAGTCTATCTATCCTCTGCCCAAGTCGCTCTCTTCCGATGGCGCTTACCTTGATATCGTTCCGACTTCGGAAGGTTACAACCACATTGCACTTTTCAACCCTGGTTCGGCTAGCAAGGCGATCTTCTTGACCTCCGGCGAGTGGGAGGTCACGGGCGGTATACAGGCGATCGACGTTGAGCGCAAGTTAATGTTCGTACCTCACCTCTCATATCGTCTCCGAAACCCGGACGCTGACATGGAAATGTCAGATACTTCCAAGCCGCCACTCCTTCGATAGAGCGCCACATCTATGCCGTCCCCATACCTGACTTGAACACAGTCTCCTCTGCGTCGTCAACGTCGTTCAAGCCCGTCAAGCCTACAGAACTCACGGATCGTGCTGCCCCCGCATGGTTCAGCGCCGACTTCTCGCCCGAAGGTGGTTTCCACCTACTGAGTTACGAAGGGCCCGGAGTACCATGGCAAAGCATACGAAGCGCGAATGATAGCTGTAAGTCCAGTCCTTCCTCCTAATCTCCCAACCAGCCGTATGTTAATATCGTGCTGACAGCATTCGACTACACCTTAACGACCAACGAGCGACTGAACAACACCCTCGCGCAGTACGAAGCCCCGATCATCATTCGGTCGACGATCGAAGTTGACGGACAAGGTGCACCGGTTCCTCTCCCGGTTCTGCACAGTGCTAACCCTCGCCTCCGCGTAGAGTTGAACGTGCAAGAGATGCGCCCTCCCCGCATGGATGACTCCGGCCGGACGAAGTACCCCGTCCTCTTCCGCGTTTACGGCGGCCCGGGCTCGCAGATGGTCGACAGCCGCTTCTCGCGCGACTGGCATACGTTCCTCGCGTGCGCGATGGACTACATTGTCGTCACCGTCGACGGGCGCGGCACCGGGTACAAGGGGCGCAAGTTCCGCAACTGGGTCAAGGGCGACCTCGGGTTCTGGGAGACGAAGGATCAGGTGGGCGCGGCGAAGGTGTGGGCGGCGAAGGAGTACGTGGATCCCAGGAGGATCGGGATCTGGGGGTGGGTGAGTGGGGTCCCGGTTTGCGTTTGTTCTCCGTGGCGTGTGTTCCGGGGTGGGCGGCGTATGGAACGAGGGCGCTGACGTGACGCTCTGCATTTGGTAGTCGTATGGTGGGTTCATGAGCTCGAAAGTGATTGAAGCCGATGCCGGGGTGCATTCGCTCGCGATGGCTGTAGCGGTGAGTGCTCATGCTTTTACGTATACCGCCGATGTATTGTTGATCATCCTGTCCCTTCCGCAGCCCGTTACGAGTTGGCTACTTTACGGTAAGTCCACCCGTTTTCTCATCGGCCGCGGTCATGTCGGCGCGGGCATTCATATCCTTTCATCTCGGACAAATGCTGATTCCCCGTTTCGTCACTCGGACTCCCAGACTCGATCTACACCGAGCGGTACATGGGCCTTCCCGCCGAGAACCCGGCGGGGTACGTGAACGCGTCGATTTCGAACGTGACCGCGTTCCATGCCGCCGACTTCCTCCTCGCGCACGGGAGCGGGGACGACAACGTGCACTACGCCAACTCGGCGCACCTGCTCGACATGTTCACCGGCGCGCACGTGCGGAATTTCAGGTTTAGGATGTTCACGGATAGGTGTGTGGTGCCGGTCATTCCTGACGCGTATGGTGAAGTTGACGCTCACGGACGTCTTTGCAGCGATCACTCCATCAGTCGGAGAGGGGCGTATCGCGAGGTGTTTGAATTCTTGACCGAGTTCCTGTTAGAGAAGTGGGGCAGCGGGGGCAGGAGACGGACCTGGTGATCTGACCGCTAGAACTTTCGTTTCTTTCTTCAAGGCATGGTTGGGTATGGCATAGGTATATATACATCATCATATTATTCGGTTTCTTATCCAGCAGACGTGCGACACGGTATTGTTCCGTCTCTGGTGCCGCCGAACACATCAATGGAACTGAGGTGCGTAACGTAGTAGATGTAGTTTCTTCGAATGGTCGGATGAGCTATCATGACATATACTATCATGAGTGCATTCGAGTGGACCGGTCGCGTAGCCTACTTCACAATGCGCTTCGTGCGCCCTCATCCAGTAAAGTACCTGGGTTCATTCCCAGGCCGGTTCCTCTCCTTTTGGCTTTTTTTATTTAAAAATTTGGCTTGTGACCGTTCACAAACGAACCTCATTGGCTATGCCAATCAATGGGGGAGGAACTGGCCATCGCCCTTGTCTTTGTATCTTCGAGTTTGCATGTCAGATTCTATGCAAAGGAAATTGTTGTTGAATTGGTCGTGGTACAACGCCACTGGCTTGCTATACTAGAAGAGCTCCCATTGGCCAGACGACATGACCAATGCATGACCTAATAAGCGTCGATGCAACGTCTTCTTCTCCACCCCCTAACCTTCTTCCGCTTTATTCTGGGCCTCTTTCACGTCTTAACTGACCACACGGGACCGCGCTCGTTACGAGTTCGCTAAGTCGCTTTGGATGGATGCTATGCCGACGGGTGCCAACCATCTCGGCATCCGCGCGTGTGTGGCTGAGCGCCTGGACTCCGTTCTGGCCTCGGCTTGCCTTTCGCTCTGCCACCGATCTCTCCGCAGGGGGCAAAGCCCAGGCTCGTCTCGACGTCCCGTCCTAAGATGTTCTCAGCCGGCGGGGGTACGACGAGGGCCCGCGCCCGGTCTGGCCAAACACTATGCAGTCAGACGTTCTTCTTGGGAGATGGCACGGTCCGCCGTGCGCGCGCGCGAGGGCGTCCAGTCCAGTTCGCGTTTCTCTTGACCATCGACGACGATATTCTCCGGATCCATGCACCCATCGACCTCTAGTACGGCGGCGGCGAGGAGGAGCCCGAAACGCCAGCGCCAGCGCCCGCGTGGCGTCTACAGGGGTCGCCCCTTGCAGCTGCAGCAGCAGCCCCCGGCCTCGACCGCCGCCGCCCCTTCGTCCGCCCCCTCGCCCATGCGAGCCTGGCCCGGCCAATGGTGGCTCGCGCGCGCCGTGATTGGGCACGGATGCCGGACAAAACGGGCGAACGTTTACCACGGCGAGACGCGGGCGCGCAGACCCGCGGGCGTCGACGACGAGCAGCCCCCCTGTCCGCCGTCGTCCTCCCCGTCCTGCGATCACTACTACTATCCGAAGCGGCGCAAACTCAGCCTCGGGAGCGACGAGGACTCGTTGACGGACGACGACGCGACGCTGTATGATGCGCATACGCCGGCGATCCATCCCACGACCAGCAAGCTTTGTGAATTGAAGATAATCGATCCGGACACCGCCATGGAGAGCGCCGACGACGACGAGTCCGCCCTCCCCGGCTCGCGCGAGACCTGCGACTACGCCGACTGGGAGGCGCTCAGTGCACGATATACGGCAGCCGCCGACGCATACTACCAAGGTGAGCACTGGCAAGCAAAACGCAGCGCACGGATGAGTGCCGGCGCGCGCGCGCCTTATCTCTTCCCAATATGGCTCGCTGACCACCCTTTGCGGCTGCTCTCTCTTCCCCCCCATTCCCCCCTCACCTTCTCGCGCCCATCGCGCTTCGCGATCCCCCCGGATATGTGGGGCAGATGACGACATCGCCGCCTCGGCGCGCGCGGTCCGCGCCGTCCTCGACGGCTGCGCCCGGTTCCTGCGCCACTACCGCGATCCGTCGGTGCTGTTCGGCGGCGGCGGCAGCGGCAGCGACTCGCCGCCGGAGAAGCGCTCGCCGGAGACGCTCACGCCGCCCGAGGAACGGCTCAGGCGCGACTGGGGCCAGGAGCCGGAAGCCAAGAACGCGCGACGGGACAGCCCGTCGCCGACGTCGGCGCGGGCGGCGCGGCAGCCGCTGAGCGCGTTCCACGCCGTGCTGGGCGGCGCGCTGGCGCTGTACGGCAGCCTGCTCGCGAGGGATCCGGCGGTCGTGCCGGCCTCGGAGGAGGCGGACGAGCCGCGCGATCCGACCGCGTATTGGCTCGCCGCGCTCGACGTGTTCGAGACGGGCGACGCGCTGCCCCCGGCGAGCGGCGGCGATACTTCCCGGCCTGCGCAAGACTGGCGGCTCGCCATCGCGTGGGGTCACACCCTCGTCTCCCTCGCGTCTCATCGACTATCTCAGCCGTCGCCGCCGTCGCCGTCGTCACCGAGCGGACCACCGTCATCGCCGCGGCCGTACTCGCATCGGACGGAACGGGGGCTGATGCCGCAGCCGTCGTGTCCGCCCGGCTCTCTGCTCGGTATGATCGCCGCCCGACGGCCGAGCAGCACCTTCGCACGACGCGGGTCGCTCTCCCAGACGAGCACGAACGAACTGCTCACGCTCGCCGCGGACCAGTACTCGCGCGGGATCATGCACATGCCGCGCCCGAAGCGGGCCGCGCGCACGTCCTACTTTTCGCCCGTGTCCACTCCGTTCGGCAGCCCGCCCGTGTCCCCCGGCGCCGGCGCGGTGTCCACCCCGCTGTCGAACATAAGCGGCGTGACGGGGCGGTCGGACGTGACGATCGACGTGGAAGCGGAGTATGCGGTGGCGAGGATGAGGACGAGGCAGCTGATGAGGATCGCGGAGGGCGTGGTGGGCGTGGCGGAGAGGATGGAGGAGAGGGGGGAGAGGCGGTATTGGGCGCGGTGGGCGGACGGGATGTTGAGCCAGGTGCGGTTCCCGGTGAGGGCGCTGGATGAGGCGGCAGGGGGAGGGGAGGCGGAGGACGAGGCGGCGGAGAAGGCGGAAGTGGAAGGATTTCGGGGACGATGCTGGCTTGCGGTGGGGAAAGCACTTGGAGAAGGGAGCGAAGGCGAAGGCGACCCGGAACGGCAGATGAGGGAGAGGGAGAGCAGGATGGCGTTGGAGCGTGCGGTGAGTCTGTTGGAGCAGGCCTTGTCTGGCGGCAGTCGAAGGCGGCGTGAAGTCAGCGGATGGTTGGTGGAGGCCTTGCAAGCACTTGCGGAGGTGGCACCGAGTGAGGAGGAGAGGGGAAGGATAATGGAGCGTGCTTTCGGCGTGGAGAGGCAGGGTCTGGGGCTCGATGAACGTGCACGCAAGGAGGAGGCCATGGACGAGACGTGAAACTCGTGCTTTATCCGACGACTACGATGATCCTCGCAAACCTCACGACACCACAAACGATCGCACGAACGATACCTCCGCAACAACACGCATGGTCGCTACAGCATTCATATTCATCCCCGCACTGGCCATATCCATAGCTTCGCTTTAAAGCTTTTGTTCTCATCCTTGCCACATTCATCTTATATGGGCCGTAGGCGGTGTATCTCTCATCTGGGCGTTTAGTGCACGTGTAATGGGTTATGTGCGGACGTTTTCCGTCAGGGGCGACCGTTGGATAGTAGTTCAGATGACACAAACACAATACAATAGCACGGATCCGCGCGCGTGTAAAGCTCACCGGTATCCAGACGATTTTCTTCACCAAAATCGACTAGAGGAAAGGGCGGGGTCCCGCCGATCCACCTTCGCTTGCACCGCCGTAGCACAACAAATCATGTGCATACTCAGTAAAGTTTGCGTAGAATCTACGATGTATGTTTGCCGTTTACCGTGCACGTTCGTCGTTTTGTTTTCAAGTCGGAGAACTAAATCGGGGATTGAACTTACAAATACAGCCACGGTTAGTGTGACGCGGGCAAGCTGTCTTAGTCAGCGAGGTGCGTTCACACGGTTACTCGGGCTCAAAGAAAGACAGGGGTAAGCTGTAGTTCGATGCTCGCAAGTAAGATACAGGCAGAGGTCGACTGAGCAGTCCTTATGTACGATAGAATTGTCCAACCCTGCGCCCATGCCCTTAGCCCGAGGCAGAGGGTAACGGCGCCCTGATACCCGATTAGGCAGTCGCGCCCCGGGACGGGACGAAGCCGAGACCCGCTCCGTTACATCCGCCCTCCTGGGACGGGCACCGTTCCAACCAATCGGGCATCGTATGCGACCTAAGCGTCGCGGTCTTCCCGAGCGCGTCTCTTCTCCTTACGCTCCTTAATAGCCTCGCGCCGCAGATAGTCGC